GCAATCAGCGGCGATCACACAGCTGATTAATTAGCGAGTTATAGGACAAATAAAAGCACAAAACTGATGCTTCAACTCCGAGCTTACTGCTTAAAGTGAATGACTTAGAATGCAGGGCGTATGATGCAGCGTACACCAAGTGGGCTGCTGCACCAGTGTTGGGTTATTTGATTGACAGGTCACTGCATGTCTCCTCGAATGAAAGCAGCGCAATCTTGGAAATGTGGAAGAGGAAGGCAGGAAGAACACATGCACTGATTGAGAGAAGCTGCTCCTAAATCATGCTAAAGTAAGTTTAGTTAACTAAGTTAACTCGACCCCATTAGGTGGAGCTCGTTTGCCGTCCATGCTTCCGCCGTTACCTGAAGTAGCCATTGTTACGTCATCATGCGACGCATCACAGCTTGTTTTTTGCGTTGACGAATATTTGTAGTCGATTATGTTGATGTATTGCCCCAGCCAGAAAAAAATTCAACATTTAACACTCAATAGTCTGATTTAATAAAGAATAAATACATCTTCAATGCGCCATACAAAACTACAAATACAAAATACAGCCTGTTGGATTTTAAACAGCAGCAAACAAAGTCACACAGTTTGTGTGTTGTTTGGCATTTCCATTTTCCTTTCCTTTGTTTATTTTTTAATGCTTTATTTATGTTTTAATAGGGAAATAATGTTAGATTTAGTAAGAGAAAAACTGTTTTCTTTTAGTTCACAGGACACACCAGATATTGGTACTAATCAAGGGGGCCAAACTTCGTATTTATTTTTTAAAAGGCCAACCTTTGTAGTTAAATCTTGGCATGATAGGCTAGGCCTGGACGATATAGAAAAAAAGCATATCGATAAAAAATAAATCATATTGATCGATATCGATAATTATCGATATAATTATTATAGTTATTTAACATATATTTTAATTGCAGCCCTGGATGTTTTATGCTATTGCTTAATGACCTACTTTTAATAAAGAACACACAAGCACTGAATTCAAATTCAAACCTTTATTCAACCACCTTTTTTATTTTACCACAACTGAAAGTTTTTTAAAAAAGAACTAAAAAAAAAGGAGACAACTTAAGGGGCCTGAGTGACGTCAGTAAATACTGACAAACATAAAGACTAAAGTGACCAGAAAATCTGATAAATAAATATTTAAATAGTCTTTTGATGAAAATAAACAAAACAAACAAATATATAAATAAACAGAATAGCTTTAGGTGGGAATAGCATACTACCAGTTTTAACTGTGTGAGAAACTGCCCACAGCCTGGTGTCTGAACACTGAAATATTTCTCCCGGGGCCGGGAGATTTATTTTTTTTAATTATCATGTGATTGACTTGATACGCAAACTGAGCACGAGAAGCAGGACTTATCCACGCCGGTGTTGTGTCGTAGAATGCACCCCTGCCGAATGCACCCCCTGCTAGTAGCCATGATCCAAATACTCGCGTCTTTGTAAAATATGAGCTCCTTTTCTTCCACTTTAAGAAGCTAATGAGTGGACGGGATGCATTCTTCTCACCTTTTCAACCCCTGACCCATTTTCATGCCTGAAGCGCTGTGTTTGAGAAATACTTGCGGCCGGGCACTTCATATCGCGGGTCGAGAGTGGCTAGAAGCTGGTCGAAGCCAGGCTTTTCAACGGTAGTTATTGGCAGTATGTCCCTCGCTATGAAGCATGTTACTGCATGGGTGATGTCCTTATGCCGCTCGGACGCTTTGTCGTATTTTGGCAAGAAACGAAGTCCAGTTTGGTCTGCTTCACATGCTTTGTGCTGGTGCTGGCAGCGGTTCCAGAGGATTCCTCCTCCGACGACGTGGAGCCGCGGCGCGGCCGACACAGCTCGTACTCCTGCGGGTGCGACCGGTTTAGATGGTAAAACAAGTTGGTTGTGTTACCAGACTTGGTTTTTACCAATTCTCTGCAAATTTTGCAAACGACCGCTGTTCGCTTTTTGTCAGACTTCTAAAAACCAAAACATTGCCATGCTGGTGAACTACAGCAATGTCCTCCGCTTCTCCTTGCTGTATCATTTTTTCTAATACACGTGCTGTCTGTTGTGGTTTGATAGGGGCAGGGCTTGGTGCCGTAGCGTACCTGGGTCTGCGTTTGTGATTGGTTGGGAGGAAGTAATGACTGTAGTAAAAGCTACATGATAGGCTATGATGAAAAAGAAAGGGAAACTGTGTTTTTCTATCGAACTTTTTATCGACCCGTTTTTTTTCTATCGCAGCACACGTCTATCGATCGATATATATTGTTATCGAATTATCGTCCAGCACTATGATAGGCTTTCCTGAGTGGTAGCTGCGCTGTAGTCATCACTTTATTCAGTAAACCACCGCCTGATAAAAACTGCATTCAGGACACTGATGTATATCCTAGGCTAAGCTCATGATCAGGATATTTGACTATGAGGGGTCTTACAAACAGACATTGGAATACTCAGACCAACCAGGCATCAGGAAATGTATGACATGTCCATAACGTCATAATAACACATTATCGTAGGCCTGAGTGATTTGGCAAAACAAAATGATCACGATTAATTTTTTCATATCGTCCAATCACGATTATTATCGCTATTTATTTGTATTGTTTTTAAACTGACAGTTTTAAAGCATCTGTACCAAAAACTAAAGAAACAAGAGATTAGTTAAATATTTTATTAAAAAAGTAAATAACAAAGCAATTTAAATAAGATGAACATAGAAAAATATAAAAAAGTTTTTTACTGAACAGTACAACAAATGCACAAAAATATAAAATAACAGTGAACTAGTTTACAGAGTGTATTTGCAGGTATGCAAAAGTCAAAGTAAACAAATTGCTGCCACAGGGATAATAAAGATGCCATTAAATGTAAACATGATCATTTTCAAGATATGATGCTATATACCCTGGTCACATCAGTGTTACTTGCAAATGTGCATTGTCTTAAATAACTGCTCCCTTGGAGAAAATGAAGGCACCTTGGAAAGTAAACATTTTCTTTTTTAAGTTATGGTGCTTTATACCCTGGTCACATCATTGCTACTTTCAACTGTTCATAATTTTAATGACTATACAGATTAGCTATTTTTGACAAGTTACAAACCACTAAGGCTGCAACAACGAATCGATTAAGTCGATTCGTCGTGACGAAAAAATTCGTTACCAACTAATTCTGTAATCGATTCGTCGGGCCTTTATATATGTCCATGGACACGGGCGTGTAAACATCAGCAGGACGCACAGAAAAGAAACAGCCATGGCCGAGGCAGCGGCTGAGAAAAACATGGACACAACCCATGGTGTGGGAAAACTTTACCAAGACTGAAAAGGAAGGCGTTCAGTGCAACATTTGCAAAGCCCGTTTTGTATGGCACGGGAGTACATTGATGATGCGCGAGCACAGGGCTCTCAAGTCTCACGCATTCAGCGTATGACACACGCATTCCCACTCGTTCACACGCTCACACACCACACATTGTATTTCTCACGAATTTAAATGAACACAGTGATGTCCACCAAGTTGCACTTCTTTAACTATGGAACTGGGGGAAATCAACTGAGTTCCTCCGAGAGTTCAGAAGCTGCGTGCCACGCGCAAGCCAATCAAATAAAGTATATCTACTGAACAGCCAATCAAAAAGCAGCATTGCTGTATCCGGGTAGATTTTGATATCTTGCGGTTTGACTAAAGACACTCGCCGAAATAGAGCAGGTTTTTATAAGGACGAGAAAGACCTGATGATTACAGTAAGTCAGTAACCTACACATGCAGAGACCTCAACACCTCATGGCAGCTAAACTCATATGATAAACTAAAGCCCTATGCTATTGCTATTAACAGCTGCATTGATGAATTTAGCCTGTTTATCCGATTAATCGATTAGTTATTAAAATAGTCGGCAGATTAATCGATTATCAAAATAATCGTTGGTTGCAGCCCTACAAACCACCTGAATAAAAAGTGCAAAACTTGTAAACATTATACATGCTGAATCTAGTCCACATTATTTAGGACTGAGGTCCAGGTTTTTTTGCCAGAAAGACCAGCCTATCTACAGTATCTGGCTTTAAAGCTGCCATGTGGCAGGACACAATATTCCCCCCTGTACTAAAAGCCCTCTCTGAGGGTGAGCTGGTGGCAGGAATACAGAGGTACCACCTTGCCAAGAGACGAAGTCTAGGATATGTTGTGGAGTGCGTCTTCCACCACACCAACGGATTGGTTTCACTGTCTGCATTTGGCGCTTGCAGGTAACTGTTAAATTCTGCCTCAACAGCCTGCTGGTCTGTCTGACCAGAAGTAGAGACGGAGAAGGGCTTCTTAAAAAAGCTGCCAAGTGTCTTCTTCTGTACTTTCACTGGTGTAGCTGAAGTTGAAGCTTCTGGTGAGGTAGAAGGCTTAAACCATGATGGCTTACGTTCATCCAACATTTGAGAGACAGCGTTGGCTTTCACAGCCTCTGCTTTTTCAGCCTGAATGTAGTGGATCTTGAAGCGAGGATCTACAAGGGTTGCCATGCACAGGAGATCATCAGTGGCAGCATCATCAAATTTTTCATTCAAGTAGCTGGTGACTGAACTCTTGATGGTCTTGGTAAGGTCTGTGTCAGTGTCTTCTGGCTTTAAGACATCTTCGTTGAAGAGTTGAAGGACAGGTTTCACACAACAGACACTGACATATGCTTCTGCAGAAAGGGCGTCAGTAAAGTCAACAAGTGGATTCAGGGCCCTGTGGACAGACATCAATGTCCTGCCATGAGGGAATCAGGTGTCTGTTTTTACGATCATCTGATAAAACCTTTGCAATGGCTTTCTCCTGCTCCAGTACTCTTGCTATCATGGCATGGCGGGAAACCCTCCTGGTAGGGGATTCTGTTATCAACCGATGCTTTGGGAGTTTGAGTTCATCTTGGGCAGCTGCAAGTGCCCTTTTCTTTTTCCATGAGTAAGAAAAAGCACTGACCACTTTCTTGGACACACTGATGGCTCTCTCAATCCTCTTGTCCTTCATGCTTCCCTCTGTAGAAAAGTAAAAAACATAAAAATTAATCACAAATTCTTAATATGATCACTATATCATTACAGTTTACATAAATTAAGAAAATATATTTAGGTTTTAAAAATCAAAATCTACAAAACTCTAGAACAATAAAAACAAAATGTTAACATTTTTGAAATGTTATTCAAGAACTATTATCAAATGTTACCAAGGGACAGCCAAAAACTTGATATAGTTTCAGACAGATATAGTGTCAGGAAAAAAAAAGTAAAATAATAAAATGTGTAACCAATATGTGTTATTTTTATAGTTAAACTAAACATAACATGGAACAAATTTCTTGTCATTTACTTACCTATAGCTGAGTGCAGCCGGTGACCAAAACACGGCAGCCGAGTCCAGCCTTCGAGAGCAGCAGCTTTCACAATGTTTGCCCGACTATCCATTGTGATGCACACCTGTCGGTCCTCACTAAGGCCCCCATGATTCAAGTGCGTCCTCTAGTCCCTGACTGATAATTTCAGCAGTGTGGTTGTCTGGAAAATACAGTCTCCAAGCATGTGCTTTTAAGAGCCCACTCCTTGTCGATGTAGTGTACTGGAGACTCAGATATGGCTCAGATGTGCGACTCGACCATAGGTCACTGGTAGTTGCGAAGTACAACACTTCTTTGAGCTCACGCTCCAGTTTTCCTCGGCATTCGTCATACAGCTGTGGCAGTGCAGTTTGAGAAAAGTATTTTCTGCCGGGGATTTTGTATCTCGGGTCCAGCACTTTGATCAAATGCTTAAATCCACTCCACTGAGTTTAAAGGCATTGCGTGTGTCTCCTCCTGGAATGATGCTCGTACGGTGCGATGACCGCAAAAGATGACACTAGGCCTGTCACGATAACAAATTTTGCTGGACGATAATTGTGCTACAAATTATTGCCGATTAACGATATCATTGAAACCATTTTTTAAATTATAGATAATGATAATATATGGCATAATATACCAGTACACCATGTCAAAAGCAATAAACTTTAATTGCTCAAGATTAAGAACTTTGAACTAGGATGAACAAATATAATAAACAAACAAGACAACCAAAAAACAATGAAAACAAAATGGACCCACATTTTGTTTTATCAAAAACTGCATTCAAATAAAAACCACAATCACAACTACAAACAATAAGAATAGACCTTGTCTCTGTAAATGGGCCATATTTGTTCATTTTACAAAGGGGAACCATCCTACATAACTCTTTTGTGTATGCCTGTTTGTGGTTTAGTGTATGTGTTGCAGTGTTTGGGTTTTGGGTGCTTTTGTTTTGAAGGCGCAAATCCGGCGCTTATTTTTTATTCTGAAAGGGCCAGGACGTTGTCCGTGTTTTGTTCTTTTGAGTGATTGATCGTGGAAAACGAGGGACACATGCTATGAGAAGAAGGAGATGCTGCACGTACGCGAATCCACTTCATGTAAAGGATGAAACATCGTTAATAGCGCTTAACTGGATGGTGCAAAGGTATGTTTGTGGGGGCTGTTCATGTGTAAATTGATTTGTTGTCCGGTTTGCTAACCTTGTGTATGTGATTGACAAGTGCGCCCGGATGAAAATGTGAGAGTGTAATTGTGCTTTGTGTTTTATTTCAGCTCTTACGGTGTCTGTGGTGTGTGTGTTAAAAAAATTAAAAGTTGAAGCCACATCACAGTGCATCTGTCCTCGTTCATGGAGTCTTTAAATCCAGTTGAGATGCTACAGTCTCTGGTACGGAACAAAAACTTAACTCCACACATAACTATTAAAACAATTAAAAGTGGAGTCTCGAGAGATTAGAGACCAAAGCAGTCGTTTCATCATTCATAGCGTTTGTTCCGCACTGTGTCAGTAAGTCTGTGTGTGTGTGTCTGTGTGCGTGTGTGCGCCAGCCCCCACCGTTAATACGTTAATTCATTTAAACGTATGCATTGAGTATTTAAATACAGAATAAATATGTGATATCATTAAATACAATAATAAGATGCATAAATACATGATCAAGTTAGAATACCTAAAACGTTTAAAATTGCTATCAAAACATTATGATTAACTATGTTCTTTCCCCTTATATCCAAACAGAGGCCGCTCTGAGAGCTTTACCACAAGCACAAAAGAACGGCGTCGAACGAGCTGTGGGGATGTGTAAGAAGGTCGTCAGTGCCTTCTCTAACTCACCCAAGAAAAGGAGGGAGCTCCACAAGGCTCAGGAGGCCCTAGGCTTGCCTTTCCGTGAGCTCATCACTGAGTCTCCTAAAAGATGGGGTTCACACTCTTCAATGATCAAGAGGTTTCTAGAGCAGGAGAGCGCTCTGTCTCAAGTCCTCCGTGCGGACAAAAAGGTGAGACAGCTAATCCAAGTGTATCACAGCTTATTTTCCACTGTACACACACACACACACACACACACACACACTCTACAGTTCCTCAAACTGTTTACACATGCACACACAGACACAGACACAGACACACAGCAATAATTCACCTCATTAAACAGCCCCTTTCCTCTATTCTCTGACACAGAAGAGACACCTGGTGCCAAACTGGCAAGACATTTCCCTCCTTGAGAGCATCAACAAGGCCCTGGCTCCTCTTATGGAGTTCACTGATGCCTTGTCGGAGGAGAAGTACATCAGCATCTCCTTCCTGAAGCCCGTCATCCATCTCTTCAATACTGAGGTACTCAAGAGGCAGGATGACCCAGAGCTGACAGAGGCCATCCGCGAGGCCATCCTTCAGTACCTGAACGAGAAATATAATGACCCTACCACCGACCACCTCCTCGACATAGCCACACTAGTCGACCCGCGCTTCAAGACGGCCTACATCCGGGATGCAGAGAGGGTGAAGCTGATCAAGACTAAGGCTGCTACAGAGATGGAGGACATGGTGAGAACTGAACATGCACCTACAGCAGCAGCCCCCTCACCTCCACCAGCTGCTGCTGCTCTAAAGGAAGAGGATGATCCACAGCCTCTCCTTCCAGCAAGGAAGGTAAGGAAGAGTCTTGCGAGCTACTTCAAGAAGACACCGGCACCAGGCCATGGCACCACCCCCAGCAGGATGTAAATTGAGATGGAGCTGAATATGTACATGCAGGCTCCTGAGCCTGACTCCGAGGCCGACCCTCTGGAATGGTGGAAACTGAATGGGATGAACTTCCCTCATGTAGCCAAGCTTGCAAAGAAATATCTGTGCATTCCCGCGACCAGCGCTTCATCTGAACGGGCCTTCAGCACCAGCAGTAACATTGTTATCTGCAAGAGGTCATGCCTCAAGCCCAACCAAATTGACATGCTCACTTTCCTTGCCCTCAACCTTTAAGGTTCATCCCATGCATTCATTCCTGTTTGTGCCTGACTGTGACACCTACAGAGGCTGCTTGCAGCCTTAAAGTACTGTTAGTTCTTAAACTGTTTTTTCTTCAGACTTGCACTTGTTTTTTGCACTTGTTAATGATTCCAGAGACTACAACTGTGTACACTTAATACACAAAAAGTATTTGTTTAAATTTCATTGTGATCTACTACTGTTCTGACTGCACTAAAGGCTAACGTCAATGATTCCAGAGACATGCACTTTAAGTTTTTTTATTGCAATTGTTTACATCTGACCTCACCATCGACAGCTCCCCAGTTTCCCCCTCCCCCCAGGTAAAGAGTCTGGGTGTCATCCTCGACAGTACACTCTCCTTTCATTCCCACATCAACACCATTACTCGCACTGCTTACTTCCACCTCCGCAACATCAACAGACTCCGCCCCTCCCTCACTCCCCACTCCACCGCCGTCCTTGTCCACAGCCTTGTCACCTCCCGCCTGGACTATTGCAACTCCCTCCTTTTCGGCCTCCCCCAGAAATCTCTCCATAAACTCCAACTGGTCCAAAACTCAGCTGCCCGCATCATTACAAAGACCCCCACACACCACCACATCACCCCCGTCCTCCAGCACCTCCACTGGCTCCCCATCAAAGACCGGATCATCTACAAACTTCTCCTGTTCGCATACATGGCCATCCATAACCTTGCCCCCCCCTACCTGTCCGACCTCCTGCACGTCATCACCCCCACCCGCTCCCTCCGGTCCTCCTCCTCCATCCACCTCTCTGTCCCCCCTGCCCGCCTCAGTACAATGGGGGGCAGAGCCTTCAGTCGCTCCGCCCCCCAGCTCTGGAACTCACTACCACCCGATCTCAGAAACACTGACTCCTTTCTCTCTTTCAAAACACTACTCAAAACCCACCTGTTTCGCTCCGCATACTCCCTGTAGCTGTCTTATCCATTCCGTGTCGATTTTTATCTGTTTAAAATGCTTATTGTTTTATTTATTGTCTTATTGCGAATTTCTTGTTTTTAACGTTGTACAGTGACCCTGGGTGCTTTGAAGGGCGCTTTCAAATAAAATTTATTATTATTATTATTATTATCTGATACCAAAAGTATATGTTTATTTTTAGTTATGATCTAGCATTCTGACTGCACTTCAGAGAAACTTTAATACTTGTAAAACTTTAAAAATGTGTTTTAAAAACTTGAAGAATGTGTTTTGTTGCAATTGTTGTTTGCTATACCAAATATATTTGTTTATTTCAATTGCAAATAAAGTGAGAAAAAAGGTAAGTGGTCATATATGTTGTTAAATTTTTCATAGAACTGAAAGCATACCATAGCTATATCGTGGTATACTGTTATCGTGATATAAAATGATCCATATCGTGATATACATTTTTTTCCCATATCGCCCAGCACTACCGTGATATATATTGTTTCCGTGATATAAAAGTAGTCCTAATTGTGTGACATACCCTGGTATAAGATTTTGTTAATACCACCTAACACTACTACAGACATAGAGCTTTTCAAACTTAGTTTGCCACCATAAGTGGAACCATTAAGAGTAGGGATGGGTCCGAATATTCGGCGCCGAAAATATTCGGCCGAAAAGCATTAAAAATGAATTTTCAGTTTTCGAAATAATATAATAGATGTTATAGTCGGAAAAAAATCTCCATTAGTGTGGATAAACATGGGTCTAGTATGAACTCTCAAAAACGGAAAACGCAGACGGCGCTGTTTTCCCTGATTTAGTAGCATGTTGATGACGTAATCGGAACGCGACAAGAGGCAAGCCGGCATGCTGATAAGACGCACACAATACGTGCAGCTGTCTTAGCTCGAAGACGTTCAACCGACATGTCTGCGGTTTGGAAATATTTCGACATATCAGAGAAAGATGGTCGGATGGCAATTTGTAAACTCTGTTCTGCTTAAGTGTCTCGAGGTGGTGTGACGGCAAAAACTTTCAGTACATCGGGCTAATCAACCACTTGAGCGCTAAACATAAGGACAAACATGACCAGTTTAAGAAACTCACTGCACAAAAGTTTGCACAATCGTATGTACATGCATGTAAGTGCATTTATTGTTGAAGGCCTCAGGCCTGGATTTGTGTTGCACAATCATGTATATGCATGCACGTACCTGCATTTATTTTATTTATTTTGCATATGTGCATTTTATTTTATTTATTTTATTTACTTTAGGCTATCCTACAAGGAAAATTGCACTTTTTTGTATTGTTATTGCAAAGATGTTATTTACTTAATTTTATTTTATTGAATGTTATTGTTATAGCATTGTTATGTCATGTGCTGAAGCTGAATAAATGTTTCATGGTTCAAACATAAAGTGATTATTTAAGTTTGCCAGGTTTTGCCAAAATCAGATAGCTTTAAAACAAATGTACGGCAATGACAGCAATTGTACAAAAATTGCTTGGTGATAAAAATTCATAATTTATATACATATTTATTAATCATATTCGGCTATTCGGTTTCGGCCAAGATTTTCCCATTCGTTCCATCCGTAATTAAGAGACATTTGGGACGCTGGTCTGTGAACCATTTGAGCAGTGAAAAAACTATGTTTTGACAAAGGATCTACTTTGGCAGTTCTCTGTACAATCACACAGCTTCTTTGCAATTCAATCCAACTAGCTGCTAAATCATGCAAACTGATGAACAGACTGCTGTTTAAAATACCTTTTGATGGTTATTGTTAACTAAATTTATCTTTCACAAAGAGAGGGGGGTGCACCGTTCCTGGAGGTACTGCAATACCAGGTTGATGCGTGGAGTGGACGGAGCAAGCCCCTATTCCATCTCCCAGTTCCAAAAATCAATTTAATATATGGTCCCCGGGTAGGGGACGTATCAGATATTAAACTGATAAGAACAGATACTACACTTGATCTTAGCCAAAAGGCCGAGAAGCGATAACTACAAATGGGAGCAATGGGGGAGTCATTCCGCTCATCACCCTTGCCAATCACGGTTCAAGATAATCTTTCAAAACACAGAAACCAATACTGTAAAATAAACAAGGCGACCGATTTTCTTCAACCGACAGCATAAAGAATATCAGATCACATTGTTTGTTCACAAAAACGTTATGCAGGTGAATGCAAAGCCAGGGCATTTCTGGTCATGTGAGGAGCTGTTGTCCAATAAGGTAGTAAAACAACGTTTTGGTTAAAGACATCATGGTAGCTTAAATTTAAAGTTTACTCTTCTTGTCATAATTCTAAATGTGGACTTGTATCATTATTTATCATAAATGGCTGCATGACTTTATCAAATAAGTGCAAATTCCCAAGACTATTTCCCATCATGCATTGCTGCACCTCATATCAAAAGCTGGACTGAAACTCGGAAGTTTTCTACCTCAAACCACTGAGCAGTAGACACAAACAGACCCAAAACGGGTCAGAGCTTAATCCCAATCCAATCTATGTTCTTAGATAAATAATCAACTCAGAGAAAGGATTAAAAAAACACTTTTTCTCTCTGCTTTCTCTGCCACATTGCAGACACTTCCTGTTCCTTTGTCCTCTGCCACTGAGTGTTTTGCATTTCTGCCACTGCCCCCTACTGCTCTGGAGTGTGAAAGCTTATGGTGGCTCAGTGGAAAAAAAAGGCTTGATACTGCCTCAGAAAACACAGTGCTATAACACCATCTGAATAAAATTGCAACAAAAATTCAACATTCAATAGTGTGATTCAAGGCAAAATAAATACATCTTCACTACACTACATAATAATACAAATACATATTTGTTAGAATAATGTGCATAAATGTATATAGAAGTTATCATTATTCCTCATATTCTTATGTAAGAGTTTATACTACAAATATAAACTCTTTGACATCTTTTTATACATTATATTAGAGTATTTTAATCATATAAGAGTTTTCCTAACTTCTCTCTTTTCTTTAGCTTTACTACACAGTACACAATGTTTTCTTCTGTGTTCTATGACCGTGTTTCCGCTATCAGCAGGTGTGGATGTGGGGGTGACGTATTCTCCGAAAATGAATCGTGGGAACTCCTGAGAAGGATCCATCCTTATCAGAAGGAGCTCGTTTGATGCCGCCTTGACCTTCAGCTATTCACAAATTGTTCATTATTAAATGCTTACTTTGCAGCACATTTACTCCCACATTTTTAGAAACATTGTGTAACCAGGGACAACTGTAAATAAAAGGGGCGGACAGAGAAAAGTATCCTTAGTGTGGTACTGAGATAGCCAAAACAGATCTCTGTCCATTACTCAAACATATCCATTGTCTTTCTCCTTTTATTTCAGGTAAATGCAAGCAGGTCTTAAACCTAACAATATTTCCGCCTGTTGTTTCAGGGCTTTAAATAGCAGCAAAGAAAGTTTCGCAGTTCATATGTGTTGTTTTTGCTGTTTTTTTATTTCATTCAATTTGATTAACTCTTAAGGCTGATGAAAAGTTAACTTTGGTAAAAGTTTACCTGATTCCTTTTCACAAAACAGGCTGTGAACAAAGTAATTTGGAATAAGCAAGACAAAGCCCATCATTGTCATGCTCATCATTCTTTCTTTCAACACACAGACAGGGGTCCACCATCTCTGGAGGTACTTAGGGTAATCACATTCTGAATCCCGAAAAGAGGACACTACTATGCAGGGAAGAGTTGTGCACGCACGCATATTTTGAGGGGGTTTTTTAGGTCGGGTCGAGTGTTTTTTACACGCTTCTAACTCAAGTAAACACATATTCTGAATTACCAAAAAGACACTTAAAGGTAGGGTAGGCAGGATCTGAGGAAGTGCCAGTTTTTGGTAGAAATCTTGAATGCAAACACTACCCCTCCCAACATGTTTTCCCCTCAGCTCATCCGCTCCCCTCCCTCTCTGATCCAGAAAGCCCCGCCCACAAACAGACACTCCTGCCTGCCTGCATTGTTTCAATTAAATACAGATATAATGGAGATAAATACTTCAGACAATTAAAAATGGGGCCCAGTCAATGTTAAATTGACAAGCACTGGTGCTACTGTAGAGTCTAAACAGGAGAAGCTCCTCTCTACACCTGCAGATGTAGCTCCAACTGTTGTTGCTAATGACAACAGTTTGTACAGCTGAGGCACTGCACTGTCCAACTCCATGTCTTTCAGAAACAGCAAGAAATCACACAGCTTTCCCCTGTTGCCCTGCAAGTCCTTGTTTGAATAAAGGACCTGAAGTTCAGACCTCAGTCTCCCTGAATCAAAGAACTTGCCATAACCTTTCAGGACACTCTGAAATGCCTCCTCTGGGAACACTTCTCTCATCTCATCAAATTTCCCTGGATTGACTAATTCTAAGAAGCGCATGCTTTCCAAATTCGCAAAACGCTGAGGTATCTGCTCTGAAAGATTGTCTAGGATGGCCATGTACAGACTGTAGCGCTCCTTGGGATCCTGCAGTTGTGACAGACGGCGCTTTTTTTTTAGGGGCTCAGTTTGTGGGTCCGATGTGAGATCTGCTGCTTTGGCATAGACAGCCTGGAAAGCCCCTCTGATCTCTTCTCTTAGACATAAGCAAGAAGAGACTCAATTCCTTTCTTGCAGTATAGAACATCCATAGATCTCTGCTGGACAATGTCAAACACCACATCAGTCTCAGAGAAGATTTGTTCATATGTGTACAACATGAACACAAACTCAAAATCCTCCAGTTTCATCAAAAAGCCTTTGGCAGAATCTAATGTGTCATCATCCATGGTCTTATCTGCAATGATCTTCTCAAAAGTCTTCAAGAGGGCATTATAATTGTTTGCCACAGTGCTCACTATCCGTGATGTAAAATTCCATCGAGTAGGAGCGTTTCTGGGCAACCTTGAGCAGCCTGCAGACTCAAGAAAAGATGTCCTTTTTGTGGATTTTGAGAAAAATGTGGCAAACCCAGAGAGAGATGCAAAAAGAATTCTGCACTCAGATAAGCATTTAGCCCCCTGTGACAGCACCAGATTCAATCTGTGTGCATAGCAATGCACAAACATTGCACTGGGGGCTATTGCTTTAACTTTGGCCTGCAAACCATTGAGAGCTGAAGCCATAACAGCTGCCCCATCATAGGTTTGTGCCACAAGTTTCTACCTGAAATTATAGCCTTGCATGTTCTCATTCAAGACTTTAAAAACAGACTGAGCATCTCTCCCCCCGGAAACATCAAAAAATCCAATAAAGCGCTCCTGAATTTTACCTGCACTATCCACATAGCGAACAATGACAGAGAGTTGGGCACAGCAAGCTATATCAGTTGTCTCATCCACCTGCCATGCATAAAAATGGAGCAGCCTGAATTTCATCTTTGATCTCATCAGAAACAGTAGCTGAAAGAGCAGTGATCAAGTCATTCTGGATTGAATGGGACATCCCAGAAAACACAGCTGATGACTGGAATTGTGTGGCAGAGTCATATTTTGCTAATGTTTCTGTAAACTCCCTGTAATTCTCCTTGTTGGATGATTTGCCACTCTCATCATGCCCCCTAAATGACAGCTCCTGACGGCCAAGCAAGGAAGTCACATCAATAAGGCGGTTTAGGAAAGCCCTGTTTTGTTTGACTGTTTCATTATGTTTTGCTACTTGAATGCGAGCACCTTCATTTATTGCATGTTCAACTCTGACTCGGCCCAGGCAACTTAACCTTGCACATGCACTCACATGTTCATTGCTTTTTTCATGCCTTTTGTGTGCCCTGTCAAAGTTAGATAGATCCCAAAAACCCACTTTTGACCAGACAACACATCCCTGAGATGGTTTCATCAAGAGGCATGGCCAACAGTACATTTTATTTGTGGCAGCACTTCCAATCAGCCAGCTCACCTTGTCATACCAGGACACCTGAAAAGACCTGTTACTTTTCCCCACCTTTTGCACCAAGTCAATCTTAGGAGTTGGCCTGCCCTGTTGTTTGACTCTAATTTTCTCTCCATATGGAAAACTATCAAATGGCTTCGCCAAAATTCGGTTGACAACATTCATATTATCTGCCATCATGCTCATGCTAGCAGCTGGAGCTGCTGTGCCAGGCTACGGTGAGTGTGTGTGTGTGTGTGTGTGTGTGTGTGTGTGTGTGTGTGTGTGAGTGACGGGGGAGAAGCTCTGTAGCTGCTGCTGTTCTTTGGGGACAGAAACCACAGAGTGACAAAACAGAGTCGCCAAACACAACAGCAGTTTTTCACAATGACGAAAATTCGCTGAGGATCAGTAAAGTCTCCGGAGCAGTTAAGAACAACGGAATGAATATTTTGAAAAATGCTCTGGTAGATGTTTTATTCTTCAAGATCGCTGATTCGCTTGTTTAGCTGTCAATCAAAAAAGGATTTCGCCTCAGACAGCTCATCCAATCATGGATGCAGAAGCTCGGAGTCCGGGAGAAAGTCGGGACCGCCCTCTCGCCATAGAACTCCAGAGACGCTGAGCGTCCGATGGGCGGGACAAAGCCCAGCATTTATCCAATGAGCGTCTAGTTTCGCTGCTGGAACAACCCACTTTTGAGCTTCCACATTGAAGTCAGCAGACACTGAGCGTCCGGCTGTGTGAAGCGCTGAGGATGAATGAGAACGAAGTTGTGAACAAAAGATGAAGGCTTCCTAGCGCGTATTTAGTTAATGAAATGTACACACAGCAGTACGTATTTCACCACTTTTTCTTTTTTTTTGGGGGGGTGACATTTTAAGGGAAGCTGAGCTTCCCTTGCAGTCTTAGAGCAATCGCCACTGGTGTGTAGTGTAGCTATCTGCGCTCACAATCAGGTAAGCTGGAGAGCATCCGTTTAGGTGCCTTTCCATATATTCACTAGCATGTCGGGGAGTTTGTTCGCTCCATTTGATTGGTCAGGTTTGGATGCGCTGCTTGGCACAGTTTCAATGAAGAAGAAACAGCTTCATTGGTGGTGGTCATGACGGACATGGAGATTAGTGGCAGTACAGAGCAAACTGAGGCAGCCCGACCCACCCAACATGAAGAAGAGGAGAAACTCGTTCCCAAAAAGAGCACGAGTTGTGACATCAGTTGACTAGAGATTCTACGGATTCAGAAAATCCGACAATGATAAAAAAAAACAACACTATGCAAAGATCGTCATGTGGCTGTAGTTGCTATAGGGGGAAACAGGAGCAACCTCTTCCACCACCTAAAGATGAAACAAGCCAAGCTCTATTATGAGAGCCAAAAGATGCGTGGCACACCTGCTGCACCACCGCAGTATCTCCTCTCACACAAAAGAGCTTGGCAGAGTCTTTCGCCAAAGGTACGCCATATTAGGCCTGAACGATATATCGTTTGACTATCGTCATCGCGATGTACGTGTGCGCGATAGTCACATCGCAGAGCCTGCGATATTGGAGGTGAATGAACTCATTTAATTTCAAGGGTAACCGACTGAGATACACTCCATGTGACTCTGCATGTGCTGTGCAGCGATCCACCAATCGCCTTGTCCTTAACTCAGTTGCCAATCAGACTCACTTCTCAGCTGCCAATCAGACTACCCTGCCAGCTGTCAATCAAAATCAGGGAGGAGAAAACCCACCCCTGCACATGTTCTGCACATGGAGGGAGACGCGTGTCCGATGAGAATTACTTTCGGAACTTTACTCATGACTATTAAGCCCAACAAATAAGAACTGTATGGGTTTTAAATTGTACATTTCCGTGGACCACTCTACTATAAGCAGTGCGCGTTTTGCGAGGTGCATGCAATTCTCGGAGGACATGCGTTTCTCGGCACAACACCGCTAACAACAACAACAACGATCGCAAAATGAACAACGAACAAGCGAAAACCACCGAAAATGAAGATTTGTTGCCAAAAAGAAAAGGAAAGTCAGTTATCTGGAATTATTTCGGTTAAAAGAAGGATGATGTCGACCAAAACACGTCTTCTGTGTTCATCTGTTGCCACAATAACGTCCCAGCACAATAAAAGCTAAAAATATCTCTGAGACAGACAGAAGCCGTTCTACTAACATTCACAAAAAGAGGTAAGATCAGAGCAGATTAACTGCCCTCAAGATTTCAGCAGTGCAGCATAACATTAAGTGCTATTCAGGTCATCTGGTGAAAATACTGTATTTTTAATATCGCAATATATATCGCAGGGTTGAAAAAATCGCAATATTATTTTTTTCCAATATCGTGCAGCCTTACGCCATATGATAAAAAATGGCCACTGTTCTGGCATTTTGTTTGCATTTGTATACAATTCAGAGTTTAAAAATAAAAGGAGAATGAACAAATGCGACAGTTTGGTTATTTTTCAGCCATTAATTGAATTTACAGGGAGAAAAAACATACTGTGATACATAACGTTACTGTGATGTGAAGTTACTCACACCGTTACATAAGATTTTTTTCATACTGTCCAACGCTAGGTGGAAATGTTGTCATCTGCCTTGGTTCATCACTGCAGCCAGGCCAAGTCAACAGACTGGTGCTCCCAGCCAAAAACCGAAGTTTGCAGGAGGTGAGTTTCAGGCTGGTAGGCTGAGAGAGTATAGCACTATAGTGTTTCAGAAATTCAGTTTCTCTGGAAGTGATGTGTCTTTTAGTGCCAAGGATTCAGCGCCTGTATCGAATAATCCCAGAAATTTTCAGTGAAGCATGTATCAATCAAAAAATATCAAGAAAGGGTTTGCAGGTTTGGCGAATGATTTGTAATATAAAGAGCAGCGAAAACACAATGGAGCCCCCCCCCCACAATCCATTGACTTGAGAAAGGTTGAAAAGTTGTTTTTAAATAAAAATAAATATTTTTTTTCATGTTCTATGTTGTCCCCATAACAAAAGCACAGTCACAAACCAAGTAACACAAGCAAATTCACATCAAAACCCTCTCCTTAATTTCTGTCCTCTTCCCCTTTTTGACCCTGTTACTGTGTCATTAAGACGGACACTATGTCAATAACATCATCATTTCTGTATTGTACCACAAACACATGGCATTACATTCATTCCTACATTTAATTTGCCCACCAAAGCCTTGCAGTGCCTTTGATAATCACTCTGTCTGTTTTATATCTATTGTCCACTTGATGGCGCAGTAGAGCACATTATGCACAACAAATTCAGCTCCGGGGGTTGAGAAACAGAATACAAAGCTTTAATGCTTCAAGAGGCTTCACTTTACCATCACTAGCAATACAGACAGGCATTGTGCGACACTTCAAACTAATGTAAAAGGATTTCTTTGAACAATTGATCAGGGGAGAGCGCGAACGCAGTCCCCCACTACCAGAAATTATGCAGTCGAGATTCCCACATTTGGGGAATTCGCAGGGGTCAGCACAACCGGAGTGCAATGGCTGAGCCTCGCCCTGGGTGAACCACCTTCTTGATCATGGTATCTCCCCTGCCAGGTAAGTATGAGTTGTACAGCTCAGCGACACGCACCACATCCACGCACATACCACAATGACTAATGGCGCCAAATATATACACATCACCAAAATTTAAGGCTATGTGGCTGCAATATACACATTATTATTTCTTACAAATAATCACCGTGCACCAAAGCTCACAAAAAACTTGCCTTTTGGCTTAACAAGAAAAAACAAGACTATTTCCCATCACGCATTGCTGCAGCTCATATCAAAAGCTGAACAGAAACTCGCACGTTTTCTAAATCAAACCACTGAGCAGCGACCACAAACAGACCTAAAATGGGTCAGAGCTTAATCACAATCTAATCTATGTTCTTAGATAAATGATCAAGTGAATTAAAGGATTTAACAACTCTTTTTTTCTCTGCTTTCTCTGCCACATCGCAGCCACTTCCTGTTCCTTTGTCCTCTGCCACTGAGTGTTTTGCATTTCTGCCACTGCCCCCTACTGCTCTGGAGTGTAAAGGCGTCTGGTGGCTCAGTGAAAAAAAAGGCTTAATACTGCCTCAGAGCACACAGTGCTATAACACCATCTGATTAAAATTGCAACAAAAATTCAACTTTATGATGTATAATATTGTGTATAATATTGTGAGCCACAGAAAAGAAGAATAACCCCTGCAAAAAATCCCTCATACATGATCTCTGCTTTCAAGTTGCCTTCAGTGGTTTCGGTTGGTGTGTAACAGAGCTCTGAAAATATTTGTAATCTGTTATAATGTACCTTGGAGTGGATAAAAATGTATCTTCAATATCAAATTGATTTCAGGGGTTAATAGATTGATGGATTCAGAACAGGGCTTGAATGAAAGCCAGCATACTCTTAACCCAACAAAGTGATAAAAAAAAAAAAACACTGAAAAATATCCTGAACATGAGTCTTACCAAGGACTGACACCAGTGTCTGCAATACAATTTTCATGGGGCATGGTTTACTTCACTGGCTGATAACTATGACATAGTAGGACTGGGCGACTATATGATCGTGATCGATGATCGCGCTAATTTTCAGTTCGATCATGGTGATCAGCTGTGAGTATATTTACTCGATCAAACATGGCAGAAACGTGTGTCACAACAGCCAAACAGAGTCGAGCTTTTCCTGCTCACTTCTGTAGGTTACCAGAGAAGTAAACAGAATGAGCAAACATGGAGCTAAAAGCAGAGCTGAGGGCAGCAAAATAGACGTCAGCAGTGACTTTGAGTCATCCTCAGAAGATGTTATAGCTGAGAAGTTTTTCAACGTCTCTCCAAAGTGACGTCGAGCAATTAAGCCGATAAACCGGCAACATAACAAATCTGTTCTTCCCGAGGGAAGCATGAAAATGGGAGCAGAGTCTGTACAGCCTGTCACTGCTGATGGTACGAGTAGTTTTAGCAGTTTAGCCACAACTAGCGGTGCAGCCACCAGACCAAAGTAGCGATCAATCATTTTTACCTGCCAACACTCCCGTTTATCCCGAGACTCTCCTGTATTTCAGACGTATCTCCCGCCCACCCCCCGTATTGTCATTTTTCCCGAGAATATCTCGTAGCATGGTCCGCATTCATTCATGATTCGGATCACTATATTTGTCTTAAGTTTCCACACAACCGGAGATAGTCCTGTGTTTCTGCTGAGCCTCACAGACAGTGGATTGATACTTTGACTTTACAGTTTGGGATGATTCAGGTCGGTTTCAGCTGTAAACTATATTTAAGCAGTGTTTGTTGGAAAATGAACACTTCAATGAAAGGAAACAAACGCGAGATATGCGAGAGTGATGCGTTCAGGGCAGCCTCAGATAAAAGAGTGCTGTATTTCATGCACAGATGTTCAGAGAGCCTCATACGGGAGAGCATGTAAAACATATCAGGACTTTAACACTAATATTAGTGGACTAAATAAGTTCAAGGCATAGCATACCTTTTATCTTTTTTTTTTTTTTTTTACCATTTGTTATTGTTAAAGCAAAACCAAAGTGTGCAGCTCCACTTATACTTATTTGGATGAGCAATTTGATAACAAATACTCTCATAATTAGTTCATATCCACCATACAAGGTCACTCCAAAACTGCCCAGCATGCGCCACAAACAACTCCAGGATTGTCTAACCCAAATGTTGGCAGGTAGCCATATCATCTACGTTTACATCACCTAATGTTTACATTTTAAAGCACCTTCATTATGTCTGAGGGGTGATTTGTTGATTTTGGGTCTTGCATATCTGCAAAAACACTCAGGACTGTAAACTAATTCTGTGTATTACTTAGGATTTATCTACATTTGTTGTACTGTTGAATAAAAATGTTTTTTTAGATTTAGATCTTATTCCATTTGCCTTCTTATTTACTTTGTATGTAAATAAAATGTTGAACTAATCTCTAGTTTTTTTAGTTTTTAGTACAGATGCTTTAAAACTGGCAGTTTAGAAAAAAACTGTGATAATAAACGAGATCGGATGATATGACAAAATAAATCGTGATCGTTTTTTTTGCCAAATCGCCCAGGCCTATGACACAGCTGCCATCCAGTTAAGTATAATCTGTCAAAATATCAACTACAGACATCGATCTTTCCTAAGTTAAAGTTTTGCCTCCAGGAGTGGAAGCATGAAGTGAAACTTTGGACCCTGGTCTGTGAACCATTTGAGCAGCAACTAAAGTGTGATTTGTCAGAGCATGTACTTTGAAAGTTCTGACAAAATGGGTGTATGTATAGATCTATGAACACACTGATTCTTTGCAATTTAAACCAAGTGGATGCTAGGTAAGAAATGCAGTACTATGCAGTCCCTGAGAACCACACAGCTTTTGCTAGTAAACACTGTCTTACTTTAATTAAACACGGAGAGGGGGGTGCACCATTCCTGGAGATACTGCAATACCAGGTCGATGCGTGGAGTGGACGGAGCAAGCCCCTATTCCATCTCCCAGTTCCAAAAATCAATTTAATATATGGTCCCCGGGTAGGGGACGTATCAGATATTAAACTGATAAGAACAGATACTACACTTGATCTTAGCCAAAAGGCCGAGAAGCGATAACTACAAATGGGAGCAGTGGGGGAGTCATTCCACTCATCACCCTTGCCAATCACGGTTCAAGATAGTCTGTCAAAACATAGAAACCAATACTGTAAAATTAACAAGGCGACTGATTTTCTTCAGCCGACAGTTAGCATAAAGAATATCAGATCCGATGTTTGTTCACAAAAACGTTACACTGGTGAATGCAACGCCAGAACATTTCTGGTCACGTGAGGAGCTGTTGTCCAATAAGGTAGTAAAACAATGTTTGTGTTAAGTTTAAAGTCTGCTGTTTATGTCAAAATACTAAATGTGGATACACTTTGTTATTTATCACAAACGGCCGCGTGAATCGATGAAATAAATGCAAATTCCCGGAGACTGGATGCTTCCCTAAGCATGAATTAAACCCTGTCTCAAACCACTGAGCAGCAGACACAAACAGACCCAAAATGGATCAGAGCTTAATCCCAATCTAATCTATGTTCTTAGATAAATGATCAAGTAAATTAAAGGATTAAAAAAACTCCTTTTCTCTCTGCTTTCTCTGCCACATTGCAGCCACTTCCTGTTCCTTTGTCCTCTGCCACAGAGTATTTTGCATTTCTCCCACTGCCCCCTACTGCTATGGAGTGTGAAGGCTTCTGGTGGCTCAGTGAAAAAAAAGGCTTGATACTGCCTCAGAGCACACAGTGCTATAACACCATCTGAATAAAATTGCAACAAAAATTCAACATTTAACACTCAATAGTCTTATTTAATAAAGAATCAATACATCTTCACTACACTACATAAAACTACAAACAAAATACAGCCTGTTGTTTCAGGATTTCAAACAGCAGCAAACAAAGTCACACAGTTTTGACATTTCTTAATTTTTTATATTTCCTTAATTGCAATGGAGGATTAAAGGGTAAAAAGAGTAAAAAGTTAGTTTTGGTAAAAGTTAACCTGTTTCCTTTTCACAGAACAGGCAGTAAACAAAGGGTTTTTTGTTGAAGCAAAACAAAGCCCATCATTGTCATGCTCATCATTCCTTCTTTAAACACAGAGTCAGGGGTACACCATCTCTGGAGGTACTGCAATAACAGGCCAAAGGAAAAAAGGCCACAATTTTTGCAAACTGAGCTCTGTCTACATCTGCTGTAAAAAAACTGAAGGTGGAAAGGATTTTGATGGTTTGCACTGTGCTGGGTATGACCTCTTGAGTGAACTCATGTACTTCCATCCAAGTCATGTACTTCATGTAAGTCCATCCTACTTAAAAGAATGATTTGTAATGATGTGATATTCAGCATTTTTACAAGAATTGGCCTCAGCTGTTTTTTCCCACAGATAGCCGATAAAATAAGCTTATTTTGAAACACACTCACTCAGCTCTTATACAGCCACCTCTCTCTGCCTGAAGTCACCACTCTTGTCTGTGTACCAATGTTTATTAAAATTCAGGGAGCTACTTTTTTCGCCTATTTATTTTAGTTGCAGTAAGAGGTCATCAGAAATGCTGCTATAAGATTAGGGTTGGGTATCGTTTGATTATGAACGATTTTGATTCTGATTCCTATCGATTCTCTATTACAATTCTTTTAAAAGGCAGGATATCAAAAAAAAAAAAAAAAGCAAAGTTTGGATGAGGGCGCTAACCAGAGCTCTTCTTTTTAGATGAAATTTCTGAACCTCTCCATGAATTTTTAAATTCTATTAACTTTTTAAGAACTTTACTTTGAATTTCTCACAGGGCTATTTTCAACCAGGATATAAATATCAGTTTTTGTTGTCAGGTAGTTTGTCTATGAAAAAGTACAAGGGCTAACGTTAGTTGGATATTTTAAGTTTACTCACCGTACACAGTACAATTTGTTTACCGCTTCAAAGTTAGCAGAGGACAGAAGTAATTTATTGTTTCACTTATCTGATCCTGACTGGTTAGCGGAAGACAGGTGTTGTGCTGTAGAATGCACTCCTGCCGTAGAATGCATCCCCTCCACTCATTAGCTTCTTAAAGTGGAAGACAATGATCTCATATTTAAAAAAAAACACGAGTATAAGATCATGAAAACATGTCAAATTGAGCAGTAAACTTTCCTTTTGTTTTTATGTATTTTTTAAAAAAAATGCACACACAGAGATGTACTTGGGTATATAAACTGTACAGTAAGCTGTTAAGGTAGAGAACATTAAATTTTCAGGACAGTAAATATTCAGAATCAGAGGGCTATTGTTTACGGCTTATCTGAATAGTCTGAATGAAATCATTAAAGGCACATGCTTTAGATTCCGTTCAACGTAAGGAAAACTTGGATTGTTTCGCCTTGTTGTGTACTTTCAACCGCGCTCCCGTCAGGGGTGCAGTCTATGGCACAACACTGGCGAAGCGCGTCAAAGACGAGCACTCGGGTATTTCTCCTCCATGAATCCTAAGGGGGGTATAATCATTGTTGGTCGTTTACCCTCCTTTGCATGATATAACTGTATTGCTAATTGAGATAAGAATTCATTCTTCCTGCTAAAGTTAGCCAAACTTTTGACCAACGAAGAAGAAGCCGCTGAACACCAACGAGGATGGAGCATATGAGACGAAGCCACAGAGAGAGAGAGAGGAGAGAGACAGAGAAAGAGAGTGCATTGTAACCCACAGCGGCTGCATTGCTGTGGGTTGCAATATACTTTCTCTCTCTGTCTCTCTTCACTTTCTGTGTAGCTTCGTCTCATACGCTCCATTCTTCGTCCTTCTTCTTAGTGGATTTTCGGCGGCTATTTCTTCCGGTCAGCGGACTCCGGCATCGAAACTTGGAATCGAAATTTTAATACTTGAACGATACCCAAAGAATCGAAATGTTAGTCCCCGTCCTTATCGATACTCGATTCTCGATACCCAACCCTATATAAGATCCCTGCACTTTAAAACATTTTTTTTAACCTTTCAAGTAGGGTTGGGCATTAATAAGGTAACAAGGTATTAAGGTATACCGGCGGTGTCTTTCAAAAGCAATGGTATCAGAATCAATAGCGTCGGCGCTGTGTTTTGTATGCCCAGAGTTTTATTACCATAACTACATCAAAGTTTGTCTGATCAGTGTTGGAAAGCTGTGCATGCACCCATATAGGATTTACTACGGTAGTCATAATCACATGAGGTAGGCAGTCATTGCAAAACACAGGAAGTATCGGCAGAGCGCTACACGGCGCTCAATACTGTAACCGCCTTTAAAGTTTGCTCGATCTGAAAAATTTCACTGCTGACGGACAGCTAAGTATCTGTGCTTTCTGTCAATATATGATGTATTAGGAGTACAAGATATTGGAAATGGAAAACTGACATTGCGATTTTGGGGGGGTTTGCGATAGGCCTGCACGATATATCGTTTGAGCATCGTCATTGCGATGTACGTGTGTGCAATAGTCACATCGCAGAGCCTGCAATGTCGGAGGTGAATGAACTCAGTTAATTTCAAGGGTAGCTGACTGAGATACACTGCATGTGACTCTGCATGCACTTTGCAGCGATTCACCAATCACCTTCGTTCTTTACTCAGTTGCCAATCAGACTACCCTGCCAGCTGTCAATCAAAATCAGAGAGGAGGAAACCCGCCCCTGCACATGGAGTGAGCCGCTGGCGCTACCGGAGTTGAGCTGACAAACGCCTCTGCTGAAAATTACTTTCGGAACATTACTCATCACTAGTGCTGGGCGATAGGACGATACATATTGTGGGCACAAGGAAAAAGTCTATCGTGCCATTTCTATTTTTATCGTTTCAAACGATAGGCTGTATTTTATACATAGGGCTTGTGCCATCAGATGATTCATAGTAACAACAACAATAATTGCACATTCAGTAGGTGTATTTGGTGTCAAACGGGAAAGAAAACAATATTTTCTTACAAAGAAAAGGATGCGTTGACATGTAGGCTCGCATTTCTCTTTCGATTTTGCGACATGACGCCGCTTTACGTGCCCTCTTTATGTCCAGCGTCTCCCGCACGTGAGGAGATCATTGTGAGTAAACATGGAGACAGCAGGGATAGGCAGTGCGCTGGCAGAAAAACAAATTGAACCCCCACAATCAATAGAGACGGAGTCCCAGGACGAACTCCTACCCAAACAAGGGGGTAGCTCGTCAGTCTGGCTTTATTTTGGTTTCAAAGCGACAGATTCAGAGCAGAAAACGGTCATATGCAAAGTATGCAAGAAAAGTGTTCCCTCGCCTGACGCTAATACAACCAACTTATTCTACCACCTCAGAAGACACCACGAGAAGGAGTACATTGAGACCCAAAGGCAAGAGTCACACCAATCAATGCTAGCAGCGCTAATCAACCAAAAATTCAAGACGCTCTGGTACGACACAAACCCTACGAGAAAACGTCCCGCATTTACCAACAAATAACAGACGCCATCGCATGCCTTATTGATAAAGGTATGGTCCCGGTGTACTTGGTGGAAAAGAAGGCATTCAAAGACGTCATCAAAACGCTAGACCCCAGATATGTCGTGCCAAGTCAATACTTCCAAATTTCGGATGTTGACTTTCTTTTGGGGACTAAATCCTCTGTCGCTTCCTCCTGCATGTCGCCTGTTTTCAGCGTGTAAGTGAGAGCGGCCCCTCCCCCCTCCACAGCTGGAGGGGCAGACGACTGCTTAGCAGGAGGGAAGGGGAGAGAGAGGGAGAGAGAGGCTTTGCGGAGCATGGAGAGGCATGCTGCTTTTATGAAGTAAAACAAAAGTTTTCGTGTTCTAAAAAAAAGATAAAAATATTGCACGCCCTGCGATGTGACTATCGCGCATGCGCACATTGCGATGTTCAATCGATATATCGTGCAGGCCTATGATGTATGTTATATATTATGGTAGTCTTGAACGGTACCACCAACACAGCAACTTTGACGGGCAAGGAAGAAAAGGAGAGTGGTGTGAGAGAGTGAAGTAAGACAGAGCAAGCAAAATAGTGTTTTTTCTTTTTTTAAGTAGTGTTGCTCGGTTTTATATTTGTAATCGTAGCTCTTTTTAACACTAAAGATTCTTACAATTTGCACAATAAGGAATGTCATTCTATTTAAATTTTATTTGTTATTATGTTAATATTCATGGAGTGGGGATTGACAGAGCAGCTGTGATAACAGATGTATATCATGTAAAACTGTTAGTCCTATCCTTTGCTTGTTACTGATTTATTTTCTTTAAATTTTATATGATCTATTTTAATCAGGTCGTGTGAATGGGGTTGTGAAGCAACCTACAGTCTGCTACTCAAAGATTGTGACTGTAGCTTGTGCAGCCCAGAGACTAGCCCTTGCCTGCAAGGACTCAACCAACAATGTTAAGAACATGGCCACTTTCAGAGATCACCTGCTCCTCTCATTCTTCCATAACAGTGCAAATCACACCGCAACACTCAAGGCAGCATCCATCATCCCGGGTGTTGGTGACTTAAAATGAAGGCGATCATAATCTGATACTGTAGTAGCTGTCTTTTGTTTGTTATGTAAAATGTTTTATCTCTGAGTTTAACAAGGCAATAGCAAGGACGTGGAGTGAGGAAGTATAACGATAAATTCGATCTCTATCAAAACAAGGATAAGTGGTCACAATTTTAGTTCTTACAGAAGTGGTGTAGTTGGTAATTTTCTTTGTACAATTGATCAGGGGAGAGCGCGAACGCAGTCCCCCACTACCAGAAATTATGCAGTCGAGATTCCCACATTTGGGGAATTCGCAGGGGTCAGCACAACCGGAGTGCAATGGCTGAGCCTCGCCCTGGGTGAACCACCTTCTTGATCATGGTATCTCCCCTGCCAGGTAAGTATGAATTGTACACCTCAGTGACACACACCACATCCACACACATACCACAATGACTGATGGCGCCCAATATATGAACATCACCAAAACTAAAGGCTATGTGGCTGCAATATACACATTATTATTTCTTACAAATAATCACCATGCACCAAAGCTCACTAAGAACTTGCCTTTTGGCTTAACAAGAAAAAAACAGACTATTTCCCATCACGCATTGCTGCAGCTCATATCAAAAGCTGAACAGAAACTCAAACGTTTTCTAAATCAAGCCACTGAGTAGCGACCAATAACAGACCTTAAATGGGTCAGAGCTTAATCCCAATCTAATCTATGTTCTTAGATGAATGATCAGGTTAGTTAAAGGATTTTAAAAAACTCTTTTTCTCTCTGCTTTCTCTGCCACATCGCAGCCACTTCCTGTTCCCTTGTCCTTTTTGTTGCTGAGTGTTTTGCATGTCTGCCACTGCCCCCTACTGATCTGGAGTGTAAAGGTTCTGGTTGCTCAATGAAAAAAAAGGCTTGATACTGCCTCCTGCCTTGATACTGCCACCATCTGAATAAAATTGCGACAAAATTTAACATTTAACACTAAACACTCTAATTTAATAAAGAATAAATACATCTTCACTGCACTGCACAAAACTACAAATACAAAATACAGCCTGTTGTTTCAGGATTTCAAACAGCAGCAACAAAACCACACAGTTTGTATGTGATGTTTGGCATTTCCATTGTCATTTCCTTATTATTCCTTATTATTATTATTATTTTTTAATGCTTTATTTCTGTTTTAATAGGGAAATAATATTAGATTTAGTAAGAGTAAAACGTTTTTCTTTTAGTTCACAGGACACACCAGATATTGGTACTAATCAAGGGGGCCAAACTTCTTCTTTTTTTTTTTTTAAAAGGCCAACCTTTGTAGTTTAATCTTGGCATGATAGGCTTTCCTGAGTGGTAGCTGCGCTGTAGTCATCACTTAATTAAGTAAACCAAGGCCTGATAAAAACTGCATTCAGGACACTGATGTATATCCTAGGCTAAGCTCATGATCAGGATATATTTGAGTGTATAATAATGTAGTTTGGTATCATTTAAAGGCAGACACACCTTAACTCTTTTACCAGTAAGTGGAAAACATTTTTTTACATCATTCTCGTTTCAACTCCCTTTTTTTTCTTTGAGTATGAGGTGTTTTAGCAACCAGCTAAGGAGCTTTAAAATGTATAATATAGTGTTTAATATTGTGAGCCATAGAGACGTAGAATGACCCAAGCAAAAATCCCTCGCATATGATCTCTGCTTTCAAGTTGCCTTCAGTGGTTTCAGTTGGTGTGTAACAGAGCTCTGAAATAATTATAATCTTTTATAGTATACCTTAGAGTGGATGAAAATGTATCTTAAATATCAAATTGATTTCTGGGGTCCAGTTCAAACTGAGGGACCGACTGCTGTATAAAATACCTTTTGATGGTAACTGCTAGTGATGTGTCCTTCAGTGCCGAGGCTTCGAAGCGTGTGTCGAGTAATGAAGGGGGCGTTTCCGCGAAGCGCGTATCGAGGCTTGCTTCATCAGGGTTTTTCCTGCGTTCAAAATTGCGTGGCGGCCGCCTCCACCTAATTTTGTGCCGCCCCCAGCCAGAGCGATTGATTTCGCTCAACACAGCGTAAAGCTCCAGCTGTGTTGATTGAGCGATTGATGTCCCGATGCAGCAGCAACGTATTTTAACTGCAGTTGCAGCGTTGCGCCACTATAGAGGCGCTATATCAACAGCAGTGCACCGGAAAGACCTGAAGCATCTACCGAAGAAGAAACGGATCGAATCATGTTTTTTCAAGTTTTTTTCCCGCTAGTTGGTGCTGTCGGCGTCCTGATTTTCCCTGGCGGATGGTACAAACAGGTAAATACTGCTTCTCTTTTTTGCATCCAAGCATGTCGTGTTTATTTTAAAAAAAAAAGTTTACTCCGTTTTTAGCGTTGCAGTTATGACAGGCAAAATCAGCCAGTACTTTAAAAAGCGACCTCGCGAGGAGGAAAGTCAAGAGTCCAGGTGAAACACAGCAGAGAAAAAACGTAACAGGCAGTTAAAATGCTATAATTCATAGTGGTGACAACGTGGAAACTTGTGTCAGGTCTGAAAGTACTTCACAAGGGACTGGTGATCGCGAGGGTCAGAATGCAGGACAGGACGAGTCGGCGAGGCGAGGGTAATTAATTAATTAGTTTCCAATTAGGAGCATAACAACGCAAAGCCAACGTGTACGTGGTTTTTATTTCTCTTTCTAGATCTTCTCAAAAACACAGAGCCAGTGGCTTTGACAAGCAGTGGCTCAATCAATTTACCTGGCTCAGGCATACTGAGGAAGGCATGCACTGCTGTTTATGCCAAAAGCACTGTGCCCCAACACAGCAGGCAATTGCTGCCTCCTTAGTGAGACAGCCATCAACCAACTACAGGCTGGACATATTAAAAAGACATGAGGTGACAGCCGTTCACAAAGCAGCAGAAGAGAAGGAGAAATATATTAAAGATGGTAGAACCTAAAAAAACTCAACTAATAAAGTTACAAAAAATAAATAACATAGTTTAGATAGTTTAAGAAATAATTGGTTGTCGTTTTTTTTTTTTAGGGAGGACACTGCAGCGTATACATATATATGATTGAAAACACTATCACTCTTCATGTCTGTATTAGAATAAAAACAAAAATACTTAATGCATGATGAATTGTTTTGTTTAAGGTGAAGACACCTCTGTGGAGCAGACTGAAGGAGAGGCACTTGGATGTCTGTTGTAAGGTGGCCGTTGATGGACCAGACCAGGAGGCCTTGGACTACAAGGAGTGCATGAGGAGTTTCTACAGAATGAAAAAGAGGAGGCTGAAATGTTCTGTCTGGTTGCGAGATGTGTGGATGAAGTGTACTTTCAATTTAAAGTTGCCAGCTGATTTGTGTATGTATATAGTTTTAATAAATGAATGCTTTAACATAATAATGGTCACACTCTTTTTTGAACTCTTAACTTAAAGTATGTTGCCTGTAAAAGAAAGTGAATCGGTTGAATTTACAAATACATGCACGTCATGGCGCATGGTCAGGATGGTGCCACCTCTGCCTCAATTTGAGCCAGGAAAAACCCTGTTCATGTAGGGGTGGAGCCAAAAATGATGACGTCCGAAGCCTCGCTACCCGGCTGTACCACGTGACTGATTCAAGAAACAGTTCACGGGTTTGGCGGATGATTTAACAGGCAGCGAAACGCAATGGAGTCCTCCCCCACTCACAATCCATAGACTCGAGACTTGTTGAAAAGTTGTTTTTAAATAAAAATAAATAAATATAAATGAAATGTTTATGTTTTATTTGTTGTCCCCGTAACAAAAGTACGAACAACAAACTAAGTAACACAAGCACATTCACATCACAACCCTCTCCATAACTGATGTCCTCTTCCCCTTTTTGACACTGCAGCTGTGTCTTAAAGACAAACACCATATTAATAAGTCCATGTAGATTCTCATTCATCCAGGTCATGGTTATCTTGAAGACTTAAAAAACAGGCAACTGGACTGTGTAGAGTTAAGAAGACGTTTCGCCTCTTATCCAAGAAGCTTCTTCAGTTCTAAAAGTGCTAGTGTCAGGAGCAGATATTTATCTTACTGGAGAAGGGGGACAGTTAACGACTGGGAGGAGTTGAAAAGAATGGGTCGTAGAAACCCATCTCTCGGTGTGTCCCCCCCAAGTCGTTATCCTGAAAGGGTCGTTAGCGACTCCTATCATGTGACCACATGACTCATGCCACCTGAGTCATGTGGTTCCAGGTGTGAATGTTTGTGGAGCTTTCTGGGGAGAGAGCTGAGAACTGCATTGTAAGTGCCAGAGAGATTGTGCCTGAGTCCACCTCCTCTGTTCAGAGAAGGTTTCTCCAGCCTGGTAAAGATGGCTTCTTTAACTCCTCTTTCGAACCATCTGTCTTCTCGAGCCAACACCTGTACATCGCTGTCCTCAAAAGAGTGACCTGTATCCTTCAAGTGAAGGTGGACAGCTGAGTCCTGACCTGAGGAAGTGGCTCTCCTGTGTTGAGCCATGCGCTTGTGAAGCGGTTGTTTAGTTTCCCCAATGTACAGGTCTGAGCATTCCTCGCTGCACTGGACAGCATATACCACATTACTCTGTTTATGTCTCGGTGTTTTGTCCTTGGGATGGACTAGCCTCTGCCTTAGTGTGTTACCAGGCTTGAAATGAACAGGAATGTGGTGTTTGCCAAAGATCCTTTTGAGTTTCTCAGACAGGCCTGCAACGTAAGGGATTACAGTGCTCTTGCGTCTCTCCTCCCTTTCCTGTTCAGTGTTATTTCTCTTTCTGTTCTTCACAAAGGCCCACTTAGGGTATCCACAGGTTGTCAGGGCATTTTTGACGTGCTTTTGTTCCTTTTCCTTACCTTCTTTCTTCGTGGGAATGTTCTCGGCCCGGTGGTTGAGTGTTCTGATGACACCCAGTTTGTGCTGCAGAGGATGGTGGGAATCAAAAAGTAGATATTGATCCGTGTGTGTTGGTTTCCTGTACACTTCAACGTTGAGCCACCCATCTGCCTCCAAGTGTCCCCCTTCTCCAGTAAGATAAATATCTGCTCCTGACACTAGCACTTTTAGAACTGAAGAAGCTTCTTGGATAAGAGGCGAAACGTCTTCTTAACTCTACACAGTCCAGTTGCCTGTTTTTTAAGTCTTCAAGATAACCATATTAATAACTTCATCATTTCTGTATTGTATCACAAACACACGGCATCACATCCATTCATTCATTGAATTCAAAGCTTCACGCACCAAAGCCTCGGGGTGTCTTTGGTTTATCACTCTGCCTGTTTTACATTTATTGTCCACTTCATGGCGGAATAGAGTAAATGAAGCACAATCATGAAGCATTGACCCAGGAGGCGAGTAATTGGATGGAAAGCTTCAATGCTTCATGAGGCTTCATCTCGCCATCACTAGTAACTACTAACGAAATTTATCTTTCACAATGAGAGGGGGGTGCACCGTTCCTGGAAGTGCTGCAATACCAGGTCGATGCGTGGAGTGGACGGAGCAAGCCCCTATTCCATCTCCCAGTTCCAAAAATCAATTTAATATATGGTCCCCGGGTAGGGGACGTATCAGATATTAAACTGATAAGAACAGATACTACACTTGATCTTAGCCAAAAGGCCGAGAAGCGATAACGACAAATGGGAGCAGTGGGGGAGTCATTCCGCTCATCACCCTTGCCAATCACGGTTCAAGATAGTCAGTCATAACACAGAAACCAATTAAGTAAAATAAACAAGGCGACTGATTTTCTTCAGCCGACAGTTAGCATAAAGAATATCAGAACCGATGTTTGTTCACAAAAACGTTACACTGGTGAATGCAACGCCAGGCCATTTCTGGTCACGTGAGGAGCTGTTGTCCAATAAGGTAGTAAAACAACATTTGTCTTAAGTTTAAAGTCTGCTGTTCTTGTCAAAATACTAAATGTGGATTCATATTGTTATTCATCACAAACGGCCGCGTGAATCGATGAAATAAATGCAAATTCCCGGAGACTAATTGCTTCTCTTATCATGAATTAAACCCTGTCTCAAACCACTGAGCAGCGACCACAAACAGACCCAAAATAGATCAGAGCTGAATCACAATCTAATCTATGTTCTTAGATAAATGATCAAGTAAATTAAAGGATTTAAAAACTCCTTTTCTCTCTGCTTTCTCTGCCACATTGCAGCCACTTCCTGTTCCTTTGTCCTCTGCCACTGAGTGTTTTGCATTTCTGCCACTGCCCCCTACTGCTGTGGAGTGTGAAGGCTTCTGGTGGCTAAGTGAAAAAAAAGGCTTGATACTGCCTCAGAGCACACAGTGCTATAACACCATCTGAATAAAATTGCAACAAAAACTCAACATTTAACACTCAATAGTCTGATTTAATAAAGAATAAATACATCTTCACTACACTACGTTTTATTACCTTAATTGCAATGGAGGATTAACAAAACCTGCTACTTCTCAGCAGAAGTAAAGGATGAAGTGAAAAGGGTGCTTCTGCACATGCTGGACACAGCGGACGCCAGTGCCAGCAGACCCACACCTGATCAGCCTTCTGTGAAACTTCCAGCCAAAAGGGCAAGTCTACTGCTTTCGGTGCATGATGAGATACTGAAGGAGGGTGCTAGCAATGAGGAAGAGCAACTGCTGTGCAGCCCTTCATCTGTGTAGTTACATCGCTACCTGTCCGAGTTGCCCATCAAGAGATCTGAAGGTGAAACTGTAAATGATGTACTGAGATACTGGCACGAAAACAAAACACACTACCCTGCACTTGCCCCACTTGCCCAAGCCTACCTCTCTGCTCCATGTACAAGCATTGATAGTGAGCGCTTGTTTAGCTTGGCTAGTGGTGGTGCAACGGATCATCATTGATCCGTGATCCGTTCGGATCGACGTCATCGGTTCGGCACACACGTTACCCGCGGTTCGATTTCTGAAAAAAAAAATTTGGCTTCCCTGTCAACTATGATGAGGAAGGAAAGAGGTCAGTGGACAAAACTGCGAAGGTGTGTAGGCACTGTGGCATAAGAAAGCCATATGACAGTGGAAACACATCGAGCATGTTCACGCATTTGAAAGCGACATCACCCGGGTGTTTTAATGACAGGTGTTGTGCCGTAGACTGCACCCCTGCATCCCCTCCACTCGTTAGCTTCTTAAAGTGGAGATAATGATCTCATATTTAAAGAAACACGAGTATTAGATCATGACAACATGTCAAATGGAGCAGCAAACTTTCATTTTCTTTTTATGTGTCTCAAAAATGCAAATATAGAGGTGTACTTGGGTATAAACTGTACAGAAAGCTGTCCAGGTAGAGAGCATTATATTTTCGGGACAGCAATATTCCAAGGGCTGTTGTTTTTGGCTTCTTTGAATAGCCTGAATGAAATTATTACAGGCAAACGCTTTTGAATCCATCCAATGTAAGAAAAACTTGGATTATTTCACCTCGTTATGTACTTTAAACCGCGCTCCCGTCAGGGGGTGCATTCTACGGCAGGGGTGCATTCTATGTCACAACACCTGAGATAAAACGAAAGCTGGCCAGCAACCGCTCATCACCGCAGCATTTAAGCAGCCTCTTCCTGCGCAATCCGACCGGGTTAAAGCTATCACAAACGCTATCGGTGTGTTTATAGCTGCAGACATGAGGCCGTATTCAGTTGTGCAAACGAGGGCTTTAAAAACATGCTGAAAGTGCTTGAGCCACGTTACAATATCCCACCGCGCACATACTTCATTTTTGGTTCATTGTTACATTTTAAAGGAAGGAGATATGCATATATATTGCACTTTAAGTTGTTTTTCATTAATAATTATGTTGAAAAGAAGATATTATGCCGTATGCACTACTTTTATATATTTTAATTCAACCATTTAAGTGTTTAATATACAGACAAAACTGCTTTTTGCTGATCCGAAAAATGATCCGATCCGTGACTCTTGATCCGAGGAACGATCCGATCCGTGAGTATTGTGATCCGTTGCATCACTATTGGCTAGTAATGTCATAGATGAGAAAAGAAACAGGCTTTCTGGTGAGAAGGCAGAGATGCTTCTGTTTGTCAAGAAGAACCTGTCAATTAAACATCACCCACTGGAAGAACTTACTCGTAGATCAAATCTCAATAGAAAAAATGTCAGCATCACTTAATCATAACACACCTTGCTTTAATAAAACCTGGTCTACATTTATTAATAAACTGACTTTCAACGATCGCCGGACCCCCCAAACCACAGCATCCATAAAATCTGGCCCCATCTTACTCACATCCACATAATCAGCACAAACACATCAACACATTTGCATCTGCCCCCATGCATGACATCGGACATCCTGCCGGACCTGCTCTCCACTTGAGCTTACAGCTTTTATGCTGGTCGGTCAGGGGTCTCCTTGATTTAGAAGGGGGTTTGGAGCAATGGGGGGGGGCGAAGGGAAAATGAAACAAAAGCTTCATACACACACGTGCACACATTCACATGCATACACACACTACTTTAAGATACTGTTAACTGTTTTTGTTTCTGTCTTGTCTGTATATGTACCCACCATCACTATTTTTGTGTTTTTGTTTTGTTTTGTTTTGTTTGTATGTTATATAAAAAAAAAAAATAAAAAAAAAAGGAGGACCTGCCATTGATGGTTAAGTGATTTCATTGGGAGTGGGACGGAGTACTTTGTTCACAACCTAAAGCTACCTGTTTATATTAATGTCTTTTTTTATCCCATATTAGGCCTGAACGATATATCGTTTGACTATCGTCATCGCGATGTACGTGTGTGCGATAGTCACATCGCAGAGCCTGCGATATTGGAGGTGAATGAACTCATTTAATTTCAAGGGTAACCGACTGAGATACACTCCATGTGACTCTGCATGTGCTGTGCAGCGATCCACCAATCGCCTTCGTCCTTAACTCAGTTGCCAATCAGACTCACTTCTCAGCTGCCAATCAGACTACCCTGCCAGCTGTCAATCAAAATCAGGGCGGAGAAAACCCACCCCTGCACATGTTCTGCACATGGAGGGAGACGTGTGTCCGCTGAGAATTACTTTCGGAACTTTACTCATGACTATTAAGCCCAACAAATAAGAACTGTATGGGTATTAAATTGTACATTTCCGTGGACCACTCTACTATAAGCAGTGCGCGTTTTGCGAGGTGCATGCAATTCTCGGAGGACATGCGTTTCTCGGTACAGCACCGCTAACAACAACAACAACGATCGCAAAATGAACAACGAACAAGCGAAAACCACCGAAAATGAAGATTTGTTGCCAAAAAGAAAAGGAAAGTCAGTTATCTGGAATTATTTCGGTTAAAGAAGGATGATGTCGACCAAAACACGTCTTCTGTGTTCATCTGTTGCCACAATAACGTCCCAGCACAATAAAAGCTAAAAAATATCTCTGAGACAGACAGAAGCCGTTCTACTAACATTCACAAAAAGAGGTAAAATCAGAGCAGATTAACTGTCCTCAAGATTTCAGCAGTGCAGCATAACATTAAGTGCTATTCAGGTCATCTGGTGAAAATACTGTATTTTTAATATCGCAATATATATCGCAGGGTTGAAAAAATCGCAATATTATTTTTTTCCAATATCGTGCAGCCTTATCCCATATTATGATGCACTTTTTTATTTAGAGATGTCAAGAGAGGCCAAAGGCCTGAAATGTGGTGCAGTTTACTTTGAGAACCAGTTTTCACTTTCAAGTGCATATAGTGCACTTTATCTTTTGTTTGTATTAGTATTTTAGTTTTATCCTATATTATGTGCTGCAATTTTTATTTTGAAATATTAAAAGAGGTGGTGCAATTTACTTTGAGCACCAGCTTTAATTTTCGAGTACAACGATTTCATTGCACTTAATTTTTTTTAGATGGAGTTCAAGTTTTAACTTGCAACACAACTTAAGTTGCAGCAACTGCTGCTTGTGTTTAGGTGTTGTTGAAAGCCTGCAATATATTGAATGTGATGTGACATTCCAGTGTCAAGTCAACTATTCCAGTGTTTCTCCAAGTATTCCTAGGGGTACCCAGAGGTACTGGAGGGGCAGGCAATAAATTACATTGTACCAGGCAAATGCTGGGACGTTTTTGAATTTTGTTTGAATGTAAGTTCTGTAAACTGGACTGAATTTTATGGTCAGTGTTGAAAATAAATCTGCTCAGGAGACACTGTTGAAACTCTCACTCTATTTCTTATTTGTGAGGTTTTATTCTTGAAAAGAGGGGTTATGATAGCATATAGCCTACCATTAGTTGTGGTTTTAATTGCAGTTATATACGCAAAATGTTGTCTGGGAGAGGGGTACTTGTATTAAATTTGAGAAAGGGTACTCAAGCCAAACAAATATGGTGTCTATTATATGATTAGAATTATTTCTTCGATAAAAAATCGGTATCGGAAAAAACGGTTTTGGCAGGTCAGACCTCCTTTAAAACCGGAAATCTGTGTCAGCCAAGAATTTTGCAATCGGTGCATCTCTATCTGATACTGTAGTAGCTGTCTTTTGTTTGTTATGTAAAATGTTATATCTCTGAGTTTAACAAGGAAATAGCAAGGAGGTGTAGTGTGGAAGTATAACAATTTGATTTAGAACTTCTATTTCTATCAAAATGAGGATAGATTGTCACATTAATACTTCTTATAGAAATTATTTGGTAATTTTCTTTGTACATATCATCAGGGGAGAGCGCGAACGCAGTCCCCCACTACCAGAAATTATGCAGTCGAGATTCCCACATTTGGGGAATTCGCAGGGGTCAGCACAACCGGAGTGCAATGGCTGAGCCTCGCCCTGGGTGAACCACCTTCTTGATCATGGTATCTCCCCTGCCAGGTAAGTATGAGTTGTACAGCTCAGCGACACACACCACATCCACACACATACCACAATGACTGATGGCGCCACACATATGCACGTCACCAAAACTAAAGGCTGGGTGGCTGCAATATACACATTATTATTTCTTACAAATAATCACCGTGCACCAAAGCTCACAAATAACTTGCCTTTTGGCTTAACAAGAAAAAATAAGACTATTTCCCATCACGCATTGCTGCACCTCATATCAAAAGCTGAACAGAAACTCACACGTTTTCTAAATCAAACCACTGAGCAGCGACCACAAACAGACCCAACATGGATCAGAGCTTAATCCCAATCTAATCTATGTTCTGAGATAAATGATCAAGTAAGTTAAAGGATTTATAAAAAACTCTTTTTCTCTCTGCTTTCTCTGCCACATCGCAGCCACTTCCTGTTCCTTTGTCCTCTGCCACTGAGTGTTTTGCATTTCTGCCACTGCCCCCTACTGCTGTGGAGTGTAAAGGCGTCTGGTGGCTCAATGAAAAAAATTGATACTGCCTCAGAGCACACAGTGCTATAACACCATCTGAATAAAATTGCAACAAAAATCCAACATTTAACACTTAAAAGTCAGATTGAAGGCAAAATAAATACATTTTCACTACACCACATAAAACTGCAAATACAAAATACAGCCTGTTGTTTCAGGATTTCAAACAGCAGCAAACAAAGTCACACAGTTTGTATGTGATGTTTGGAATTTCCATTTTCCTTTCCTTCAATTGTTTATTTTTTAATGCTTTATTTATGTTTTAATTGAGAAATAATGTTAGATTTAGTAAGAAAAAAAACGGTTTACTTTTAGTTCACAGCACACACCAGATATTGGTACTAATCAAGGGGGCCAAACTTTTTGTTGATTTTTTAAAAGGCCAACCTTTGTAGTTAAATCTTGGCATGGCGGGCTCTTGGAGTGGTAGCTGCGCTGTAGTCATGAGCTCATTAAGTAAACCACCGCCTGATAAAAACTGCATTAAGGACACTGATGTATATCCTAGGCTAAGCTCGTGATCAGGATATATTTTTAGTGTATAATAATGTTGTTTGGTATCATTTAAAAGCAGACACACCTTAACTCTTTTAGCAGTTTTAAAAAAACGTTTTTTTTACATCATTCTCCCTTCAACTCCTTTTTTTCTCTTTGAGTATGAGGTGTTTTAGCAACCAGCTAAGGTGCTTTATAATGTATAATATTGTGAGCCACAGGAAAGAGGAATGATCCAAGCAAAAAATCCCTCACATATGATCTCTCTTTTCAAGTTGCCTTCACTGGTTTCGGTTGGTGTGTAACAGAGCTCTAAAAATAATTACAATCTGTTATCATGTACCTTAGAGTGGATAAAAATGTATCTTAAATATCAAATTGATTTCAGGGGTCCATAGATTGATGGATTCACAACTGGGCTTGGATGAAAGCAAACATACGCTTTACCCAACACAGTGATAAAAAAACACTTAAAAATATCCTGAACATGAGTCTTACCAAGGACTGACACCAGCGTCTGCATTTCAATTTTCATGAGGGGTGGTTTACTTCACTGGCTGATAACTATGATGCAGCTGCCATCCAGGAAAGTATATCCTGTCAAAATATCAACTACAGACATTGATCTTTGCAAACTTTAAGTTTTGCCACCAGGAGTGGAAGCATGAAGTGAAACTTTGGACCCTGGTCTGTGAACCATTTGAGCAGCAACTAAAGTGTGATTTGTCAGAGCATGTACTTTGAAAGTTCTGACAAAATGGGTGTATGTAGTGATGTGACCTTCAGTGCCGAGGCTTCGAAGCGTGTGTCGAGAAATGAAGGGGGCGTTTCCGCAAAGCGCATATCGAGGCTTGCTTCATGTAGGGGTGGAGCCGAAAAAGATGACGTCTGAAGCCTCGCTACCCGGCTATACCACGTGACTGATTCAAGAAACGGTTCACGGGTTTGGCGGATGATTTAACAGGCAGCGAAACGCAATGGAGTCCCTCCCCACTCACAATCCATAGACTCGAGACTTGTTGAAAAGTTGTTTTTAAATAAAAATAAATAAACATAAATGAAATGTTTGTTTTATATGTTGTCCCCGTAACAAAAGTACTCACAACAAACTAAGTAACACAAGCACATTCACATCACAACCCTCTCCATAATTTATGTCCGCTTCCCCTTTTTGACACTGCAGCTGTGTCTTAAAGACAAACACCATATTAATAACTTCATCATTTCTGTATTGTATCACAAACACACGGCATCACATCCATTCATTCATTGAATTCAAAGCTTCGCGCACCAAAGCCTCGGGGTGTCTTTGGTTTATCACTCTGCCTGTTTTACATTTATTGTCCACTTGATGGCAATAGAGCAAATGAAGCACGATCATGAAGCTTCTGCCCAGGAGGCGAGTAATTGGATGGAAAGCTCCGATGCCTCATCTCGCCATCACTAGGTGTATGTATAGATATATAAACAGACTGCTTCTTTGTCATTTCAACTGTACAGATATTTGTTACTGTAAACTAAGGAACAAACTGCTGTTAAGGTTCTGGGAATCACATGACCTTAACTATTAATCATTTTCTGAATCTTTTTATTTTAACAGAGAGAGGGGGGTGCACCGTTCCTGGAGGTACTGCAATACCAGGTCGATGCGTGGAGTGGACGGAGCAAGCCCCTATTCCATCTCCCAGTTCCAAAAATCAATTTAATATATGGTCCCCGGGTAGGGGACGTATCAGATATTAAACTGATAAGAACAGATACTACACTTGATCTTAGCCAAAAGGCCGAGAAGCGATAACGACAAATCGGAGCAGTGGGGGAGTCATTCCGCTCATCACCCTTGCCAATCACGGTTTAAATAGTCTATCATAACACAGAAACCAATAAAGTAAAATAAACAAGGAGACTAATTTTCTTCGACCGATAATTGTCATGAAAAATATCAGATCCGATGTTTGTTCACGAAAACGTTACGCCGGTGAATGCAACGCCAGGCCATTTCTGGTCACGTGAGGAGCTGTTGTCCAATAAGGTAGTAAAACAACGCGAGGCTTAAAGGAATTGCGGTATCTTAAGCGTTTAAAGTCTGTTGTCCTTGTCAAAATACTAAATGTGGATTCGTATTGTTATTTATCACAAACGGCCGCGTAAATTGATTAAATAAACGCAAATTCCCGGAGTCTGAATGCTTCGCTTATCATGAATTAAACCCTGTCTCCCTCTGGCGTTTAAAGAAAAGAAGTACAGTTTGCGCTGTGTCTAATAAAACCGCTTGAAGTACTGTCTGAATTTCCGGAAGAGTCTACAATTTTTTTCAAAATAACAGTCGGGGACATTTTTCCCGAGGCATTGGCTTACAAGAACGAAATTTGAAAACCGTTTGACATCCTGTTTAAAGAAAAATGTCTTATTTGACACATTTAAACTATATTTTACTTTTTAATATCTGCTTTTATTTTATCCATTGTTTCTATTGTTTTTTTTTTATGTCTGCGTTCTTTTGTCTATTCATGTACGAGACTTTGTTCAGCTGTGGTTGTTTTAAAGTGCTTTACAAATAAAGTTGAGTTGAGTCGGGTTTGATATTTGCAGACAGAGGCCATCTTGAACCATGCGGGTGTCTTGCGAAATGTGCGAACTTAAACATGAATGCGAACTTCATGTTGAACTGACAGGCTTCGCTTTGATACTTCGGTTTAATAAACATTAAGTTCTACACATGCAAGAGCTTTTATCAGTATTGGATTGAAATTTAAGGAATAACAAATTACATTGAAACAACTAATAACACTTTGCTTCCTAATAAGAGGCCTTACATCCACCATGCACTGTTCACGTGTCCCCCGGGCGCTAATTGCCTAACTTCGGTGTTTCGGTAAACAGGTCTTTACACTCAAGCTATCTCAGTTTCAAACTGAATTTTACAAAGCCAAAACACTTTTCAGCGTTTTAAGAAAAGTTTCAGCCAACTTTAAAAGCGTTGCAACCTTGGACAGCTAGCTAGTCGGTGGTCGTTTTTTTTTTTTTTACTTGCACCACACTACGTGCCTCCTTTATCGCGTTTCAACTACAGAGAACTGACACAACTTAACACTGTACACAAGACATTGTGCAAAATCGCTAGCCTTAGTAGTTTTAAATACGAAAACTGTCGAAAAATGTTTATAGAAGAGAACTTACTCGTTGGCGTCCCGGCGAAACGACAGCTAGCCACAGTCCAAGTCGCGCCAGTCAATAAGTCCCTCCTTAGTGTGTTATAACGGCTCTGCATTGAACCTGTTTTGTACCAATGGGAAACTGTGGGGGAGGGGTGGGGTCCGCCTGCTTACCTAAACTGAACTTTAAGGTTAAAAACATGAGCTCTTGACAATTTGAAAACTATAAACTCAAGCCTTTACATGTTTTTTCTTGTTTATAAAGGGCTTGCTGATCAACTTTTAATTACCATCTCCAGTGCAAGTCCACTGGTTATTTATCTAAAATGAGCTTCTGCCTTGCTTTTGAGTTAAAAATTTAAATAAACACAAGGTACATGCGCTTAATTTGGATTTCGTTGCAAGGTGAGTAGAGCCTCTGTATGCTGGAACACAAACTACACAGCATTGCAGTGCTATGGTCCATCTCCTGATAGTGGCATTACAGATAAGAACTTATCTACCATATGACTCCTAAGGCCCCCCAAATCCAAAACATGGCAGGGAGGTACATTATTGGGGAGAGAAGTAGGACAATTCTGATTTTAGGGCCCATGGTGGACAAGGGCACTTAAAATATTATCATGGTAGTGGAGTGTGTGGGGCTTAATGTTTCTGAGAATAAGAATAAGAAAAACTTTATTAATTCCCGAAAGGAAATTCAATTGTCTGTTGTCTCACGTAATATATCTCCAAAAGTTATCTACTATTTACACAAGAGTTATAAAGTCTAATGGCTATTGGTACAAAAGATCTTCTGAATCTTTCTGTCCTGCAGTGAAGAGAGAGGAGCCGTCCACCACCATTGGCCCTTTGGTCCATGTTCTCTCTCTCTCTCTCTCTCTCTCTCTCTCTCTCTCTCTCTCTCTCTCTCTCTCTCTGTCTGTCTTCTAAGGCCCTCTCTGTAATTTGAGTCCAATTCTGCTACATACTTTATTTGAAAGCTGAGTGTGTAACAGACTCCTTCTGCTTCTGGCTAAACCGAAACTTTCTATGCTTTGCTCAGCTTCAGCTGTCAACTATATATCAAACTTTTTGAAAAGGGTATAGGTATTTGAAGCTCTTTATAGGCTTCCACCCAAAGCCAATAGCTACCCCTGCAAAGAATTTTGATATTTGGCCTTCTAATCTCACAGAGTGTACATTATATCTATAGAAATTAAACAAAATAGTTATAATGACAATCAAATGTTCTCTTTTTGACACATCTAGTGGCCATTATTTGATTATTGGAATAGTTTGACCATTGTGTAATAACTTGCTAATGGTAATGCCAGCCCTTATTTATGAAATGCTAATTTATGGTTTCGTTAAGATATACTTTTGCAGCTGTTTTTTCATGTCGGTAACAGTTAGTGAACATCTTGCTTTCAGAAAATCAAAAATACGAGTCGGATCGCTTATGACTGTATGATGTTCTGCTTAATACGCCTTTTATTCTGAAAGCGTGTTGCCGGAAGTTGTGTTCTTGTGTCTGCAGGTACTTGATTTAGTTAATTTAGTTAGTTGACGTGGGGAGCATAAGCCATGGACGACTATCAAACAGAAGAGGAGGTGAGTTTTACTCTTCAAAGCGGCAGTTGGACGAGTTTCTGTTGTTTGGAGTCAACAAACACAAAACAAAACTCTGCGTTATATAACCTGTTTGTAAATCTGTCAATATCGAAGGCAGGCAGCAATGGCGGCTAGCTAGCCAAACTCAAATGTTTCCTCTTAACTTACAGACAGCATTCATCGTTGAAGAAGTGAGCAAAATAATCAAAGAGGTAAGGAAAATAAAGTCTTGATCTCCATCTGTTTAACCAGAAAATGTACAAGTTTAGGCGATCGTTACACGCTTTCTATCAAGCGATTTTTCGGTTGCTAAGGACACTGTCGTCGTTGCTAAGGACTCCACATACAGTAACAGGTAGATTTTAAACTTTGCAAGTAATCAGACTGAGGCATTATATCGCTGATAAGCACAAAATTATTTAATGTTTTGCATCTTAATATTATTGATACGGACAGATTATTATTTTAGCATGTATTAAATTGGCCCTTTTTTTTTTGCAGTTTTGTTGGTCAGTTTTGCCCAACACTTCTTCGTTTTTATTCTGTCTGTAGTCAGTCGAAGCAGCCATTGGAGGAAATGCATACCAGCATAGCAGAGTGAACCAGTGGAGTACCAGTGTTGTGGAGCAGTGCCTGAGTCAACTCAGCAAACTAGGGAAGCCTTTCAAGTACATAGGTACAGTAGCTATGAGTATATCCTCTAACGGAGCTATTTCCATTGTTGCTCGATTGTACTAGCTCAGCCCTTCCGGAACCTTCGGGCTTTTAACAGCCAATTTATGATAGAGCTAGAGACTAATTTGGATATAACTTTTTTTTTACTGCAGCAAATGTGATGAATTTTTTTTTCTAAGCTTAATTTGAAATTTTATTTGAAAACATGAATTCAAAATTTTCACCAAGTCAATAATAAAGCCAGGACAGAAAAACGTCCTCTAAAGTCCCTCGTGGCTGTTGAAAGCCACTTGTTTTGTCGGCTGTAAAATCATATTGGATTAATATTTTTTTCTGATTTTTTTTCACAAATCTCTTATTTTACTTCTGCCCTGTTCGAAACTAGCAAATGTTTCATTAAAAACAGTTTTTTTAACCCTTTAAGTGCCAATTTAAGACAAAAAGTCACACATTTAGCAAAAATTGAGGGAAAATGACCCATTTTTTTAATGAAACATGATCAGAAACTGGTAATCTCTTGCAGGGTATTAAAGTCTTGAATATGTCAGAGATTAGTAATATAATTTACTTATATGCATTTTCAGTTTTTCTGTAGCATCAGATTTAATGAAAAACTGCGTTTGGCGCCTCCCAGTGGCCAAAACTACTTTGTCTGCTGTAAAATCATATTGGATTAATATTTTTTTCTGATTTTTTTTCATACATTTCTTATTTTACTTCTGCCCTGTTCAAAACTAGCAAATGTTTCATTGAAAATAAAAATTTTAACCCTTTAAGGGCCAATTTAAGACATAAAGTCACTTAAAAAGCAAAAAAAAATGGAAGGAAAAATTTAAGGAAAATGACCCATTTTTTAAATAAAACATGATCAGAAACTGGTAATCTCTTGCAGGGTTTTAAAGTCTTGAATATGTCAGCGATTAGTGATATAATTGAATTCAATGCATTTTAAGTTTTTCTGTAGCATCAGATTTAATGAAAGACTGCCTTTGGCGCCTCCCAGTGGCCAAAACTGCCTTTTCTGCTGTAAAATCATATTGGATTAATATTTTTTTCAGATTTTTTTTCATACATTTCTTATTTTAATTCTGCCCTGTTCAAAACTAGCAAATGTTTCATTGAAAATAAAAATTTTAACCCTTTAAGGACCAATTTAAGACATAAAGTCACTTAAAAAGCAAATAAAATGGAAGGAAAATGAAGGAAAATGACCCATTTTTTTAATAAAACATGATCAGAAACTGGTAATCTCTTGCAGGGTATTAAAGTCTTGAATATGTCAGAGATTAGTAATATAATTTACTTATATGCATTTTCAGTTTTTCTGTAGCATCAGATTTAATGAAAAACTGCGTTTGGCGCCTCCCAGTGGCCAAAACCACTATTTCTGCTGTAAAATCATATTGGATTAATATTTTTTTCAGATTTTTTTTCATACAGCTCTTATTTTACTTCTACCCTGTTCAAAACTAGCAAATGTTTCTTTGAAAATAAAAATTTTAACCCTTTAAGGGCCAATTTAACACATAAAGTCTCTTATGAAGCAAAGAGGTCATTTTCCTTCCATTTTCCTTCCATTTTTTTGCTTCATAAGAGACTTTATGTCTTAAATTGGCCGTTAAAGGGTTAAAATTTTTATTTTTAATGAAACATTTGATAGTTTTGAACAGGGCAGAATTAAAATAAGAAATGTATGAAAAAAAATCTGAAAAAAATATTAATCCAATATGATTTTACAGCAGACAAAGTAGCTTTGGCCACTCGGAGGCGCCAAAGGCAGTTTTTCATTAAATCTGATGCTACAGAAAAACTGAAAATGCATATAAGTAAATTATATTACTAATCTCTGACATATTCAAGACTTTAATACCCTGCAAGAGATTACCAGTTTTTGATCATGTTTTATTTAAAAAATGGGTCATTTTCCTTCTTTTTCCTTCCATTTTTTTGCTTTTTAAGTGACTTTATGTCTTAAATTGGCTCTTAAAGGGTTAAAATTTTTATTTTCAATTAAACATTTGCTAGTTTTGAACAGGGCAGAAGTAAAATAAGAAATGTAAAAAAAAAAATCTGAAAAAAATATTAATCCAATATGATTTTACAGCAGAAATAGTGGTTTTGGCCACTGGGAGGCGCCAAAGGCAGTTTTCATTAAATCTGATGCTACAGAAAAACTGAAAATGCATATAAGTAAATTATATTACTAATCTCTGACATATTCAAGACTTTAATACCCTGCAAGAGATTACCAGTTTCTGATCATGTCTTATAAAAAAAATGGGTAATTTTCCTTCAATTTTTGCTAAATTTGTGACTTTTTGTCTTAAATTGGCACTTAAAGGGTTAAAAAAAATTGTTTTCAATGAAACATTTGCTAGTTTCGAACAGGGCAGAAGTAAAATAAGAAATTTGTGAAAAAAAATCTGAAAAAAATATTAATCCAATATGATTTTACAGCCGACAGAAAAAGTGGCTTTTAACAGCCACGAGGGACTTTAGAGGGAGGAAAATCTAAAGGTCCCGGAAGGGTTAAGTGAAAATATTCATTTGGTTCCTAGTATGAATAAAAAAGTGAGTGTTTGTGTTTTCCCCTCAAGTGACCTGTATCATCATGCAAAAGAACGGTGCAGGTCTGCAGACAGCCAGTACATGCTTCTGGGACAACTCTACTGATGGTAAGCTTGTTTTGTATTTTCATACTATACATATACAGCCCAGACTGTGCTGCATACGTTGTTTCTCTTAAATTTACAACAATAATTAATGTGAGATGCGAAGCTGCATGATAATGTGGTCACCTCAGTCAGAAACTAGGAGCATGTTGTCACATAATTGAAGCATGTTTTACTATCACTGATTTTGTCTTTTTGACATCCTACAGGGAGTTGTGCTGTGAGATGGGAAAACAAGTCCATGTACTGTATCGTCAGTGTTTTTGGATTGGCCATCTGAACCATTCTTCAGTGTGCAGTGTTTAAAATGTCTAGGATTTTGTTTAAGGACCAGTGTGCTGTTTTTGGTCAGGATGGATTTATGAAAATTTTATATTAAGTGTAATTCAATAAAACATCGCAGTAATGTGTAAACTTTGCTTTATTTACATGTGACATGACAGTGTGCTACATGTACAGCTTTTTTTGTAATAAAGCAACAAAAATTGCAAATCTTTTAACGCATCCCGACCCACAACAATCTCATTTAACCACCTCAAATGATCATCAGCTACATTCACATGGAACAATTAAAAATGTACCTTTATCACAAAGCATTTACAAATTTGAGACTGCTGCTCAATGAGCATAAAACAGTTGTAAAGACAAGGCACCATCTTGATTAGAACATATGGAGATACTGTTGGTAAATGACAATTGTTTTGGCTGTTGCCCATGAGCTCTAGTCAGTTAAAAATAAACAGCAGAGAGGGCAGCAACTCTTGCATTCCCGGCAATATAAGGAGGTGAAAATGAAAACAATTTACATAAGGCAAAACAAGTTTAAATGATGCAAATACAATATCGACTGGAATAAGAAATGTTTCACAAGATTGATTAGAAGTTAATTTACAAACACTTGTTCAAAATTTACAGAATTTGTCAAAATACATCCATCCTGGTAGTCTGATAACACGATGTATCAAACTTTTTCAGTTTTGGCAAAATATTTATAATTACTACACAAGTGCAATTACAAAGCTGCTTTCAAAGGGAGGAAGAGTGGCAAGAAATGAGTGGTGTTTCTCCTAGTTAAGGCTCTCTCTCTGTATTTTCATCAAGATGTCTAAATCTACAAGTATATTGGCCAACAATGCTATGGCACTTCCTTATTTATCAATCCCACATGAGGTGAAGAGTCACCATGTACCTCTAAAAAGTGCAATCCAACAGAGGAGATTTTTTTCTTAACTTTATACCTAGAATTTAAAATTACTCAGCTTTGGCCTGATAAATTCAGTGGTATTCATCTCAGACTGCCAGAAAGTGGAAAGAAATGTCAAAACAACCCATTGCAAGAATAAATGGAAATAGTGGTTCAAAGCAAAGCATTAAAAAGGAGCAATTGAACAACTGACTCCACACCACGAAAAAAAATTCCTACTGATATTAGCACTTTCCCATTCACTTACAGCTCTCGGGTTGTACAGAAAAGCTGGTTATGAAAGAGAAAAGTTCATACACTTGTTTCAAAAGTGTTTGTTTCCCTCATCGTCTTGGACCAAATCAAAACAATAAAGGACAGAATCTGAGCGGCTTCCTGCCTCAGCTTTTCAGTAAAAGTACAGTACATTCAGTAGGCATGGAGCTTCTCCTTTTTAAAAAATATATTTATGTACACTTACATCTTATCTTTACCAATGCAAATACTCCTTATTTACATACACAATACAGTAGTATGTAGTAATGTGCAGTAATGTGAGGACACAAAAAAGGGAATGTCACACAGGTTGAAGATCCCATCAGTCACTGTCACTCTCATCCTGGTACTTGGTGCTTGCTTTGATGGCGCGCCCGTTCTGTAGAGGCATGTCCTCATAATCACTCCTGCACAAAACAAAACAAGACAAGACATGTTATTGGTTTATTTAATTCTACAGTAAGAATTTGCAAAATTCAGTAAATAAAGAAACACTTTACCCGTAAATTACTTCGTCATCTGAGTCATTGAGCATGGAGAAAGCTGGATTATCCTTCAACTGGGAGTCTTGGGAATCAAACAAATCAAGTTAGTTTAATATTTTAGTTTGACTGTTAACAGAAATGCAATTGTGCTGGTTACCGTACCATAGAGAGCATTTTTAGAGGGTGAATACACAAATGCTAATGTGTACAAGTAAAAGTTTAGAAGGCCATAGAATGACAGAAATTCAGCTGGTAAGACTGGAGTTAAGGAAAAGTTTTAAACTCTTTAAGACTATCAAAGCACACTCCTTCAAATGTTGACAGTGACATAAAATCATAGCCTGAATTAAAAATATTCAGAAAGGATATAATTTTGATAATGTGTGGACAGCTCAGCAACGAAATTGTCTTGTAGAGCCTTGGCACCAAACCTCAGGTACAGAATGACCATGCTGGAGGATAACAAAAACAACAACGGGATCAGATTAAACCTAAAAAACAAAGATTAGTGAAATCAAAGAATCATTTAAGGTCTTTGTGTTTTTCATTACACACCTTATAACAAGGACCACAAATGTCAGCGCTGTTAAAAACCTCAGCCGGAGATCTATTGAGGAAAACACATCACAGATTTAGGCTATTCTTGCAAAAGGAACCCAACCTGAATCAGTGAGAGGTAAGGTGTGCCGCTGTACCTGAGTACGGCATGTTTTTGAGTTCAGAACAAGCTCTGACGATCAGAAAGATCAGGTAGAGGATGTAGAGGACAACAACAATCAGGAAGAAGACCTTCATGCCCTGTACGGAAAAACGAGACTTTATAAAACTGCAAGAGAAAAAAAAACAGACATTGTGCATGTTTCTATTCATGGAAAAGACTCACTTGAAAATTTGCTATGTCAACTTTATACAGATAGGTCGGGTCTTGGAGTTCGTTGACCCTGAAAATTCAGATAGAGTTTATATTTCAAGTCCTGGTTTAACTCAAAGTTTCAGTTAATGAAGCTAGTGAGTCAGTCAGTCAGTCTTACGTTTGCCATATGCCCAGTGTAACTGCTGAGAGCCACAGAAGACCTACAATAATCAGCTTAGGAAGGTAGAACGTCAGGCACTTCCTCTCTCCCTGTGGAAACAGCAGAAAACACACAAAATAAGATTCATGATGAGCTAAGTTAGAAGGGGGAGCCTTTAAAGAAGAGGCTGTTCCAAGTTATGAAAAAAAGAAATGTAAAGCGTTAATTCAAAATGAAGATCAAGGGTATAAAAATGGACAACCAAACCAATGTGAAAGAAATTAATTACAGTGTCATCTACAGAGCCGCAGCCTTACTATATCTCATGCATACAGCCAGTTTACTCTGGGGAGATGATACTTTGAAATCCTGGATTTTATCGTTTACCTGTACTAGATATGATTAAAGAAAAAGTTTAGTTTGGGCACGAGACTCACCTGAACTCTGATACCATGATAGACACAAAGCCAAAAGAGCAGCAGGGCACACAGGAACAGAGCTTGGAAGAAAGCATCTAACGTCCCTGGAAACCAGCTGTTTACCAGGAACGACAGTGGGAAAAATGGATCTGGATAGAAAAAGACACAAATATCCAAAATAGCCGGTGTTAAAACTCTGACATAAGGTTGAAACTGGAAAAAGACACATCAAACTGCAGCTTTTGAGATGCAGATTTAAAGGTGGTGCAAATATGACAGAATGAGGAAACTAACCGTTGTACAATAACAGCAAAGGGAGCAGGATGGACATCCACTTCTGCTCAATGCCCCAGTCCCTCATTGAAAACTTCCTCAGTGAGTGTGCAAACATACACTGGGAAAAACATGCAGAAAAAATTGTCAGGTATACACCAACCTAATAAAAATCCAATCAATGTTACAGTTTTGTAGTACTCAGTGTAACAGTAATGATCTAAAATGATGTGTGCTCTTACCGTCACCATAAAAGTCAACACCACAAAGACAAACCGGAACCAAATCTCCACCTGTGAGAAGGTGGGATTGTACGTTTTCCACTGAAGAACAAAACAAAAAAACACAAATTTTTATAAAGCTGTGACCAACTGCAGCATCACAAAGACAAATATCACTGTTTTTTGTTTTGCTATGGGCAGAAACCTGCAGGTGTGTGCTACTTACCACAAACTTGGCTTTGAGTTCATATGTGATATTTTCAAGACCTTTGAAGCTGACCATGACCTGGTACTGGGTGTAGTTCAGGTAGCCCAGATGCAGCACAATGATCTCATCACATTTCTGTTTAAGGGACAAAAGACATCACTAAAATGATCAAATTCAACCCAGTAGTCCAGACTCATTGGTTTATGATATTCAGACATGCGGTGAGAAGAGAAAATCAGACGTTAGTTTGACTGACACCTACAGCTGCACAGTGTAGCGTCCGTGATCTCTGGTGCACTTTGTTGATATGCATCACCCTGGCATCTGACATCACCCCTTTCAGCTCAACAAAGATCTCGAAAGGCTGCCGGAAGTCTCTCACTGACATAACAACAGTAAACGCATGCTATTAAATGTACCCAAGTATACTCATGAAAGAAGAGACATCTGATAATCTCATGGTAAACAAGGATTAAAGTCTTACTGTTGCTGTGTTCAGCCTGCATCTCACAGGTGAGCCATAACTGCTGGTTGTATGTGGTCAGGGGGTTAGAGACTAGTTTAAAGGGCCCCGTCTGAAAATGGATAACAAATAACATCATTAGCCTCTGTATCATTTTGAGGGATACTCATCATTGGTAACACACAAGATGGTATTCCAATGAAAGGGCATCTTTATTGCAGTTATGTTATGGATGGTCTGAGCCTGCTTTGCTTCTGATGGCGCTGGTGAGAAACTTTTGTGTCCAAACAATACAGACAAAAACTGACAGATTTAACATCTAGTAAGCAGTGAAGTTCAATTAAAAATGTCCTTTGTAAGAAAAAAAAGACACAAATATCTGTTACAGTAATATTCATGGACACTGGTATACACAGTAGGGGAGAGTGGGTAAGTTGAGCCAAAGGGTAAGTTGCTTGGAAATGGTAAAAGAAATTGATCATCTGACCAAATATTTAGGAGATGGGCATCAATTCATGGAGGCTGTGATGGTAAGAAACACATGGGTGAAGGGGTTAGACATTTATTTACAAAAAAGCATTTTTCACTCTTGAAAGTGAATTTAGTCTGTCATAAGTTTTATTAGAATTGTGTTCAGACCAAAAAAGATCATTTTAAATTTGTTTCATACATAAATTGTGGTATCTATGAGCTACAACATGAGGTCAAAAACCTAGCATAAAAGTCCACCATTTTAGCTTAGAGGACTAATAAAGTCATAATAGTAGTTCAGGGATAAGTTGAGTCAGTTGCTCAACTGAGAAAGTAAAGAAGTCTGATGAGAGGATCAGAGTTTCAGTTCAGATTGTTGAAATGTTTTACTTTTTCTTTTCAAAAATACAGCTGTGAATGTTCTGAATCACTTAAAGACATTCTCATGTTAAAATGTTTTTTACAAAACAGCTTTTTAGCAGTTATATGCAATAATAATAATAAAAGAATTATTGTACCAGTTGAATAGTGTATAACGGATAAAAAATACACATGAATGTGAAGACGTGAGAGAGAAGGTGAGGGAGGGCTGAGGTGGAAAGTGGGGGGGGGGGGGTAGTAGTAGGGATACGGCTCAACTTACCCCGCTCCTATGGGGTCAACTTACGCCATACACGGGGTAAGTTGACCACAGGAGACCACCTTTTTGGCATGCTATTTGATCAAGACAGTTATGTTTACACTCATTCTGTTGGTTTGCAGGGATGCACAACATCTTGAAATATATGGAGATACACTAGTTTGAGATAAAACTATGTTTGCCTTGATGTAGTGATCTGTAATATGAAAAATGGCTCATCTTACCCCACTCTCCCCTACAACTCATGTAAATCAACAAAGCATAACACAAATGTTTCTGGTGTATATTAAGTAACACATATGTGCATTTACTACCGTTGAAAAACAAATTTTCTCATCTTACCTTGACTGAGGCATTTTTAACAAGTTGCTGATCACCATTGTGAACTTGCTCTAAAATAATCTTCGGACCTGTAGAGGCAATGGAAACAATAAATATAGTGTCACAGCTTTGGCTAAAGGAACAAAAACAGATAAGACTACTTTACTGCAAGCGTTATCAGTTCTTGATACATTACTTTAAGGAGGCCTGGATAACTTCTTTATCATCTGTACCTGCGACTCCGATGAAAACTGTGAGGCCAAAGCAGATCAGGAACAGCACGAACACCAAGACGAAATGTCTTTTGGACAGAGTGTAGAGCCGCATGGGGGCTAATCTGTTAAAGGAAGACATTCAGACATAAAACACTCACAAGCTTAACAAAAGAGTGCGAGTCTAACCGACATGCTCAATATTTGTTTTGTAGATTAAGCTGTGAGACCACAGAGAAGGTCCCTCAGATGCGGATATGTCAACACTGCAGGCGCCCATGCTAGCTTATGCTAGACAGAAACGAGCGACACACAGTAGTTTATCGCATATTTTATCAATTTAACCACCCGTAACGGAGCTCAAGTGTATCCGCTGACAAAAACAAACACTTACAACTCCATTTTTTGCGGGTCGTGGTCTCGATATCGAGATAAGGCGTTATAATTTCGCAGTGAAGCCACATCCGTGTATCACCATCACTCTGCGACAACTGGAGAGCTACGTCATCGGACTGCCGTGGTCATGTGACCGCAAAAGGAGAAAGGGGACGAGGAAAGGAAAGTGTACTTCCTTCCGTCCTCCCTATTGAATATATTCTAAATAAATATACGCGCTTGTTGAATGATTACACGCACTAAATGTACAACAGAGTAAAATATGTAGATAAATACTGTATTCATTTTGTGTATCTTGAGTATGTGTTTCCTGACAGGGTTTTTCACGACTGACGTTGTGCGCAGGCGCATCACGTCAACGTTGACTTCTAATTTCTAACGAGCCCACATAACATCTATTCAGCAATTTCAAGGATTTATTTACAATAATTCACTTGCGAACGGCAACATCTAAATTTCAAAAGAGACATGCAATATTTCATCACCATTTAACGCTGATATGGTTCAATATCCTTCAACATGCAACACTTGTTGCCTATAAATTAGGAGGCCTGGTGCAAATTTAAATGGAGGTAACGCCAAATATTTCAGTGATCATGCAAATATAGCGACTACAATAGAAATACAAATCACATAATTGCCTGCATGTATGTGCAAATTAAAGGATATTTCTTTATATAAACTCATTTATTTGCATTGATCTGTCACCTAGACAATAAATACAAAATAATCTTTATGAAAATCTCTGCAACGGAAAAAATCCTCGCTTGCATCTGCGATCATAACACAACAGGCCAATGATGCAAATCAGCTGCTCTGGTCTTCCCTGATATCTAAGTACATAAATCATGACAAATAATGCAAAAAATAAACCCCAACAACAAACAAAAAACATTGATCGTCTCTGACCGTGCAAGTGTAGCGCAGAGATTTTTTAGTAGAGACCTACCTGTAGAAACGATCATCTCGGTAAGGTGTCAAGTCCTCCTTCAGCTCGTTGTAGGCCTCCTGTATTTTCCGACAGAAGTATTTCAGCTCACCATACAGAGGGTTTTCCAAACCGGACGAATAGTCGCCGTCCATGATTACATGTACCTAACCGATTGACGGCCGAAAATGGTTATGCTGAAAAGAGCCGCGGCCTGCAGAGAACACAATAAAGTCCTGTCTGTATTGTTCCACCGTTTATAAATGAAAATGCAGCCGAAGCTGTTTTATTTGTGTCGGTTCAAAGACAGAAAAACGCCGTAAAAAAAGAAGAGGGGGCGGAAGCACTGAGCCAACACAGTAGAGGGAGATCACGTGATTAGAGATCAGCACCGCGGACAGAGGCAGGCGGCTGCAGCTGATGAAAGCATGGACACCGCCACGGTGATGTTAATCAGACATCAGTGCGATTCGTGGGTGCATTTCAGCTTTAAAACGACATAAAGCATTTGTAAATCAAGATTTGAATCATCTGCAATATAATGAGTCAGACACAATTGAAATAATGTCCTTAATTGAGTCCTATTTAAGGGAATAAAAACATATGAATTCTTCCTACCTGCTTAAGCTTTATTAAGTAATTTTTGGGATACTGAGTTGACACAAGTAGCCCAATCTTATAATGGCATATCACAAATAATAGTTCTTAACTGAGAAACGGGATCTTGTACTGTGTATTCTAACCACTTCGTTTCACCTGTGCTCTTTCTATGACAAGCTCTATTATCCCATCTAATGTGACAATGGAACCACCTTGTGCAAACTCTAATCCACAGGTGTCAAACTCAAGGCCCGGGGGCCAAATCTGGCCCGTGGAACAATTTTATCTGGCCCACGAGATCATATGATATTTGTATCATTATTGGCCCACCAGTATGAGGTCTGCAGATTTCCTCCAGGATGATAATGTAAACTTTAGCACTATTATTTAAAATATCCTTAATAACCATGAAAATCTGGGAAAGTAAAGAGTAAGGAAGATTTGATAAATAGTCAAGAATGTGGGAAAAAAATTGTGTTTTATCCAAATTTCCAATTTTGAATCTCAAGATTACAAGTCAAATATGATCTGACTTCTTATTTTGTGCTTTGATTTTTTTCAACTCAGTATTTAGATGTACTGTATGTAATTTTAATCCTTAAGACGCCAATTTTTAATTTTAAGTCACATTTTGACTTTAAACTCTTGATTTCAAAATGATGTCATTTTGACCTTTCAAACTCATGATTTCAACTTTCTTCTCATGTATTTGCGCTTTAAAAGCATTATTTTTCCATTTTAATATTGTGTTCTGATCTTTTGAACTAATCTATCAGATTTTTAAAAAAATCTCAGATTGCCTTTAAATTGATCTTTTTTACTTTTTGAATTTCCAAGTGGTTTATAATGATTTCGTTATAAAATTTTGAAAAGGAGACTTTCAGTTTGGGTTAAATGTTGACCCTGTTGGGCCCTCAGGTTAGACCTAAATCCAGAATATGGCCCTTGCTGTGGTTGAGTTTGACACCCCTGCTCTAATCCAATACCTGGTTATGTTTGCCATCCTTCATCTCCATAAAAATGAAATGCACTTCGACAAAGACTGCAGCAATTTTCTGAAACAATGACGTTTTATTCAAAAGATGCGTGACATATACAATTATAAAATAATTTACATGGCATGCCTTTCTATCCATTCACTATAAACGTTCAGTCACCAAATCAGACTCATATTCTTTTCAAGTGTTTTTGTCATTGAAGTTTACATCTACAAATACAAAGCACATCTTCTCTAAAGAAAAGCCAGATCCTACAATATCTACAACAGGTCATCTCTTCTAATCAGTTTAAAGTGAATCCTTAGCCTAAGTCCATTGGTAGTTCTCGACATGAACTCAGTGGCTTACACTCGTGAACTTATGTGAACAATGTGTGTTTGTGTAAGAAGCCATGACCACACATGTTTAAAGAGAATAGATGTAACACTGATGGGATTGGTAGACTGCACAGTTGAATACAGACACACCTTGACTTGACAGTTACACTCGACATTGACTAGTCTATCAACTACACTAAACAGGGCACTTACTCATTCACATCTTTTCCATCCAATGCAAACTTCACAAAAATAAAATAAAAAAAAGGAAAAACTGAAAAAAATTGCCCTTTTCAAACTGTCCCATCTCAAAATCTGGGCTACATATTTTTTTTTATCAACACAAAGAAATGTCCTGGAAAAACGCCACAATATACAGTATGTATAGATAATTTATCTCCTTTAGGAAATAATCTCATAAATAAAATGTACAGACAGCAACTAAGATGCTGAGGAACGAAAAGAACAGAGCAAACTGTGGTCAAAAGTGATAACAGGACTTTTTCTGGAAGAAAATATTGCACAACTAACACAAAACATGGGTTTTTTCTTTATGACATGCTCATGTTCTTATTTTATTTTTTATTTTTTTTACAATCTGTAGAGTTTTGTTTTTTAATTCTTTTCTAGCCTCCTTCAGTCTCCTCTGACAGACATGCATTACATTGAGATATAGAGAGATCACACTACAGAATGAAATAATCTCATCAATTTCAGAGACCAAAACAGAGCTGGTCCAAAGTGACGGCTTTATCATCCCATCAACAATTAGCTTTGACTTCCAGCTAGGCCCATTTTATTTTTTAATAATAACTTTAGCTAATGCGTAATTTGGCACAAATAGTGAATGGGACCCAAATCACACCTACCTACTTTAAGTTATTTAGCTCAAATACACCTGCCCTTTTTTTTAAAAACTGGTTTTGGCTAATATCGTATTCAAGTTAAATCTACTGCAGTTATAAGCAATGTGCCTGACAGTTCACATCCACCCTTCCAGCTGGCCCTGCCCAGTGTCCTAAGCTCAACATGAACACAAGCTTGACGGCCTGAATGAAAAAACATAAAAAGACTTCAGTGTCAGCTTAGTGAATGAAAAGATTTCTATAGCTTCATCCTTCATATGAGTTCTCACTTCAAAGAATAATCAACAATATTTCAGCTTCTTTACCTTCTTAGTTTGTTGTGTGTGTTTGTAGCTGTTGGAGTTAACAGTACTACTGCATGGCTCCACAACAGAGTTACATTAAAAACACAGTGGAGACAGGTGTAAACAGACATCTGTCAAAGTCACCAAAGTCTCTTTACAACATTTACATATAACTGATATGTATTTACATGACTTCTGGAGAGAGTATGAAATGGCATAGGAGAAACATACAAAAATATTTCCTGTACCTTACTTATATGTTTTTAAAGTGTGGGCTTAAAGAGTAGGGACAGCTTCCCCTCCCCTCTCCAGACTACACACTCACTTCACAGAAGTGACAGCAGGTGACACATCACTTCACACCAGTTATTCAATCAAGGCCCTGGCAACTTAATCAGCGCCTATGTCACCATATGTAGATTATTCACTTAAGTACAGGATAAGTCAGTCAAAGCTATTCCATAAGCCCCTCTCACCAGAAAGCACAGCATATTTCCGATTCAGCCAACAGTCTCCCAAATAAAGCAGGAACTCAGAAAACTATGTAGACAGAATACAAAGATTGTATATCACAAACAATGACAATAATGCTCAAATCTATATCTGAATAGATAAACAACAAAATTTACACATAAATTAATCTGTGAATCAGAGTAGCATTTCTTTTTCCTTCAAAGTCCCAGGAAACCATGTGGAAAAGACTGCAGATCACCTCAGCTTTCTTTACTCCCAAGTGTTTTTATCAGTGACACACCTTTCACAGCAGCGAAAAGTATGAACTATTAGTAGTGCTCCAAAATGATGCCTTATCTAAGCTTTGATTCCAGCCCAGAAAGACTGAAATAGTAACAAAAGGAATGGCAGAGAGAAAAAAAGACCCTCCTACCCTCCACTATGTTGAGTCATTTAATAAAATTCTAAAAGCAAAAGCAGTGTAATAAAGTGGTAGCTGTTTTACTGAACTTTTTGTACAGCAATGGATTTCAGTGCCCAGTAGTACCTGTGCACTCTGAGGAAAAACTCATTTGATCTCCAGAGTGTTGTTTTCAAGTATTACTACTGCTTCGTCTGAAAACTGCACCATGACCTTTCCTCCCTCTCAGTTAACCCATCCATTACCATGCAACTATGAGCTTCTTCTAAGCTAAAGCAGCATTTATTTGCATGATGATTACCAAAGCTCAGCTCTTTGGCCCTACATGCACTGCAAGGTGCCTCAGATTGCCAAAAAGAGCAGATCTGTCGACATTCTTGGCAAATGCAGCCAATGCTTATTGCACCAACTTTAGTGGCAGCATTGTGTAGTGCAGCGTGATTGTTTGTCTCTCTATGACCAGGGCTGGTTTTAGCCTTCTCCCCCAAAATCATACTTTTTAATCTCAACCAAACAACTGCGCCCCTCAAACAGATTGCATTTAAATCCCAGATATAACTCAGGGTAAGTAAGGAAGGGGGACATCTCATTTGAGACGTTGTGTAACGTTGGCTAAAGCCACAGCAAAGGCCTGCACAGCAGAGAAGGGATACTGGAAGTCCAGGATGTAGGCATTGCCGTCGATCCTGCCAAACTGCATCACCTGTGTAAAAAAAAAAAAGAAGGTAAGATTTTGTTTAAAGACAAGAAAAGAGAAGAGATAATGCTGCAGTCGAGTTACCTTGGAAGTCAGATGTCGGAGCTGAAAATGACGTCACACCCAGGTTACCAGTGTTTCAGTTACCAAGTCGGAAGAGAGCTAAATCTGAAACAAGGTGGCAACATCTACGAAAGTTGTTTTAGTGCTTGCCTTATATTCGAACAAGGCAAGCGCTAAAATAACTTTCGTAAATGTAGCCATCTTGTTTCTGCCTCCGATTTTGTTTTTTTCCGACTTAGTACCTGAAACTCTGGTAACTCGGGTGTGACGTCATTTTCAGCTCGGACTTCTGACTTTCGAGGTAACTCAAACGCAGCATAATTCAACATAACAGATGAGATTTCTGACCTGTCTGCCCTCCAGTTCTATTTGAAAGTTCTTGGCAGACTCTTGTGTGACACGCCCACCGAAGTCCAGCTGGTACACCTGCGTGGCCTCATTCCACAAAGGCTGCTTGTTAGCCATGACATACACAAATCCCTGACTGCCCAGCCCTCTGTCCTCCTTCTCATTGGCTTTTCGACATTTGATCTCATCCAGTTCACTGGCCGCCCTTAGGTTCCTCTTACTCTTCCAGCCCTTCTTTCCACTCTGGCACTGATTGAGCAGCTCGTCTCCACTGATGAACAACTCCGGCTCACTTTCTGAACTGTCCTGGAACTCACTGTTAGCAGTGGCTTTACTCAGCTTCTTAGCCTTCAACTGCTGCTCCTTCTGTCCCTTCAGCTTCTTCTTGTCTCTCCCTCCCAGCCGTGGACTGGATATAAGTGAGTTGAAATCACCTAATGCTCTGCCCTCTTTCTTGGACTTGCTCCCTTCTGCCAACGGTGGCACGTTAGCTTCATCCGCCCGTCCATCTGCTCGCTTTCGGTTCTTCTTGCTGAACTTCTCAGACCGCTGTGGAACCGGGCTCTCAGTCAAAGAGAGCACTTCCTGAAAACCTTCTCCAGCCTCTGCCATTGCCTCTTGCAATCCTCCATGATTCTGCAGTTCTGCTGGTGGTGGAGGGGGAGGCGGCGGAGGCGGAGGAGGAGGGGAGAGAACATTTTTGTCGACTGCCATGTGGGAGGCTTTGGGTGGTAGTGGCACTGCAGGACTCGGCATAGGTGGGCAAGAGTTATAGGTGCCCCATGGAGTGTGGAGGGCAATGGGGGGAATGGGAAGCCCGGCACAAGCCCCCCCTCCTGTATACAAAGGTGGGAGGGGGCAGCAGGCAAGGTTTGCCAAGTTCGCAGGGTATCCTGGTGGTAGGACAAGGGTAGCATCCTGCTGTGAGAAGGGTACAGGTGCTACCATCTCCTTTGGTGACGAGCAGGGGCGAGGTGATCCTGGAATGGGCTGAAGCTGAGCTCCAGGATAGGCAGTGGCTGTGGGGTACTGGAGAGAGATCTGATAGCCTGCAGCTGCTGCAGCAGCTTGAAAAGACGCAGCACTGGGGCTAGTGGGGGACTTAGGGGAGAGGACAAAAGGCAGTCTTGACACATCCAAGTGCTGAGCTGGGCTAAGGATGAGTGGGGGTGGTTTGTGGGGTCCAGGGGGTCCAGTGGGATTCAGTGTTGCAGTTCGTTCCTGAGGAACCCACACCTCCTCTGTGGTTGTGGGGTCCCACTGATAGGGAGGTGGACGTTTGACAACCAGCCCTGATGCATCACCCCCTCCTAGTGCCAGATGTCTCAGTGACTGGTTCAGTGTTTCATCCTCAGTAAATGCTGAATTGACATAATCAGCCCTGTCTCTGTTGCTCACTCCTCCTCCTGTTGCACTCCCCGGCCCTTCAAAAGAGCTCAGCAGGTTGTACGAGGACTGAGAGGCCAAAGGAGTGGCGCTGTTCGAATGAACTATAACTGTGCTGTGTGGTGCTCCAGTCCCTGGAGGAAAATCCTGTCGGATAATAGTTCCTCCTGCTATTCCATTCGCACTCCCTGGGGCAGTTCCTCCAGCACTGGATCCAGTGCTACACTGACTGCAGGTGTATAAGGCTGTTGGCACCCTCTGCTGGAATGAGGCTGCTAGTGCACTACTATTTTTGGCCTTTGGAGGCAGTGGTCTTGGTGGTTCCAGCATTTGTGAAACTTTGAGAGCGGCCTCACGGCTGTTCCTCCTGAGCGTGGCGTGGATAAGACTGCTGTCCAGCCTCTGTCCAGGGTTCCTGCCAACAGTATTGTTCTGATTGGCTGGGTCAGGGTAGGGAGGTGGGTCCCCACTGGGTATGGAATAGCGAGGGGCTGTAAGTCTGTTTAGGGTGGCAGAGGCATAGGGCAGCTGGATCTTCTTGTCCGATGAGGATGAGGATGAGGATGATGAGGTGACCCTGAGAGTGGCAGAGCTGCCAGGTCCCTGGAGTGTGTAGACATTCTGATTGCAGACGAGGCGTGTTCGAGGTCGACACACTTCCTCCACATTCCCACTGCTGTCAAACGTTGTTATCCTTTCATATCCCAGGGGTGTGGGGTACTGCGCTTGCTGCTGGCCTGAAGCGTAAAGTGGAAACTCGCCTTTTTTTGGACAAAGGTCTCCAGGTGGAGGAGTCCCACTGGTACTACCTCCCAGTCCAGATGGAGCAGAGGAGGCTGCGGTAGATGCTGACGCTGAAGCAGCAGCAGCAGCAGCAGCAGCAGCAGCTGCAGCAGCCACAGCGGCTGCCACTGTCCCAGGGTAAGGGGGTGGGGGGTTCATCTTGCTGAGCTCTGGAGGAGAACTGAACACCACAGTGTCTCCCTCAGCCAGCTGTGGTCCCGGCCGAGGGCTTTTGATTTTCAGGAGGTGCTCGTGTTCACCCCCTGCTGTTCTTTCCACCACCAAATCAGTAGGTGGATGAGGGATCTGAATCTGCAGTGCCCCTGGCTGGAGCACGGCTGCACCTGAAGGCGGATTTGATGACAAAGAAGGAACAGGAATTTGAATTTGGAGCTGTTGCTGCTGCTGCTGAAGTTGATGGTGGTGCTGTTGTTGCAGCAGCTGCTGCTGCGATTGCTGTTGGTGAAGCATTTGTTGTTGCTGCTGCTGGAGTTGCTGCTGCAGTTGTTGATGCTGCTGTTGAAGCTGTTGTTGTTGCTGTATGTGCTGCTGAAGCTGATGTTGATGCTGCTGCTGTTGCTGCAAGTGTTGGAGCTGCTGGATGTGCTGTTGCTGAAGTTGCTGTTGCTGTTGTAAATGTTGGTGCTGAAGTATCTGCTGTTGTTGCTGCTGCTGCTGAATTTGTTGCTGCTGCTGCTGAATTTGTTGGTGATGGTGCTGGATTTGTTGTTGGTGGTGTTGCAGTTGTTGCTGTTGGTGGTGCTGTTGCTGTTGGTGGTGACTCTGCTGCTGTTGTTGTTGTTGTTGGTGTTGTTGTTGTTGCTGCTGTTGTTGTGGTGAAGGATGATGAGGGGGTGGAGGTCCTACCATGAGGCGACCCATTTCTAGGCCCCCAAAGATGACCTGGCCAGGACTGGAGTACCGGGTGGGTACTGTGTACTGGGCTGTCAGAATGGTGTCCTGGCTTTGGTCTGACCCACTGGCACCTGCCCCTGAAGGGGTGGCAGTGGGATTTGTTAGGACATCCAACTGAACGTTTTGATTGGCTAGGAGTGACTGGACCAGACCGATGCTTTGGGCGGGTGACATGGCCTGGGCGGGACTGTGGATGGGTGCGATAGGGATGTTGACAGTGCATGGGGGGTTGTCATCAGCCCCACCAGCAGGGCCAGTGACGGGTAGGTCATCTTCATCCTCACTGAAGACATTGGGGCTGAAGACAGGCAGGTTGATGTAGTCCATGGAGATCTTGCGTACCTCAGGCAGGTAGATGGTCATCTGTCTGGGCTGCAGGTGGAGGAGACTGGTCTTGTAGATGACTGAAAAGAAAGAGAAATCAAGAAAATTTTGAGAAAAATTGTCATTTTGAATTTTTTTTAACACCTGATATGAAAAGCAAAGTTGCTGATTGGTTACCTGCACCAAGGTTGGTAGGCAAAAATGTGGCCAGCCCAACAATCTTGAATTTTGTTCCCCAAATATTAGATGTGACCTGAGCGAGGTAATTCTGCTGCAAGACAGGATCCAGGGAAAAATTTTTACTTTTGAAAGCAAGAAGGTAAACTCCACATGAAGAAATGTTTCAGCTAAATAACTTTATCTGCTACCTGAGTGATGTCATCCAGAGGGAATTCCCTCCTTGTTAGACTGGGCGATCCAATCGAAGGTTTCCGGATCGGTAACCGTGGTGACCTGGAGATCTCTTGAGTAGCCCGGGACAGTTTAGGTGATTTTCTGGGATCAATATTGATCCTGTTGGTAAAGGGACAAACTAAGTCTCTACAGAGAAGGTAACGAATAAAAAAAGAAGGTTTAGGCATGCAGAAAGACAAGTCCAGAACATCTTATTAGAATCTGAAACTATTGAATAAGGGTTAATACAGGAAGGAGAGTAAAGATGTCAGAAACGGTAAAGAGTGCTGGTGTTCATTCTTGTGCTGCAGCGTTTTTCAAGGAGATAATGACCTAAAGGGTTATTACACATTTCTTCAAAGCTTAATTCTTATGGTTCATGCTGTTGGAGGAGTGAGTGACTAATCTGAGGCATCCTTCGGTCCTCTGCTGTAACAGAAGCATCTTTGTTCGTGCTGAACCAGGATTCATGTGAGTGACTCAGCGCCTTAAAATAAATCTTAACTGGCACAAGACTGATTTATCAGTTCAAACTGATTAACTCCTTAATATTTAGACCTCACTGCCTTGACATCATCAAACACAAAATGTGGACAGTATCCACCTCATATGGAGCACTGACTGCTTAAGAGCTAAAAGGTAAAGCGTCACACTCATGCAGTGCGCACAGGTCAGATGTTTGGTTACCTGGGCAGTTTTGGGGATTTGCTGCCTCTGGATATCTTTGGAGATTTCTTGCCCACCCAGTCATCACTGAGCTCAATGTCGCTGGAGTCCGAGCAGTTACAGCTGTCGATCATGGCGGATATCAGACTGTTGCCATAAATCTCATCTGAAAGAGAAAATAACACAGAAAATACAAAAAAAGGAGGGTCATTTTGTTGTTAAATGCTACTAGACATATCTAATAAGTAGCACATGTCTTTCTCATCAACAGTGGTGCAGAAAACTCTTCCACCTTCTAACTTGGTAAGTTATATCCTCTTATCTGGGGATAGGCTATACGGGCTAAAAAACTTATCACGATAAGATTTGCTATTCTGGTGATAATGATAAAAGTCCTGATAAAAAATATTATAATTCCAATCTATATTTTTAGATCCACTGTCCGACGTCAGGCATACCTGATTTCACTTATCTAAGCCCCAATCTTGAAGGGAATCCCTCATGTGGCGCTTCATTCAGTAACAAGCTGCTCAGAAACGTCTTCATCATTACCTTCGGCCATGTTTGTTTGTTATTCTGCTCTGTGTGGGCTATGGCTGCGAGTCCCTCGCTCCTGCTTACGTCATCAACTTGCATTTATCGTATTTATCATGAGACGGCAAATATTTATCATGGAGGATTTTTCTGAGGATATATCCTGAACAATAATTTATCAATATATTCCAGCAATATTAGGCTACTTTTTATCCCATAAAAAGTTACACAAGCTGGCAAAGTTTAGAAATTATACGTCGCACAGAGAGATGCTAAAACAATATAGAATGTCAAACTGTTTAAAGAAACCACAATGACAGCAGGAGCTTTCCAACATTTCTCTGGATAAACATTTTTAGACTCAATCAGCCCCAAGACGCCACTTTTCTTGTTTCAGTTCTTTTTCACTCATTTACACAGTGTCTGTGGACCACTGCTGCTGCTGCTCCAGTTTAGGTCAAGCTAATTTATTTGATGGACATAAAAGTGTGGATGGGCTGGAACCATTTCATGGCTGACTTCATTTATCACTGCGTGGGGAGGGTGCAGGTTGATTTATGAGGAACCCAGGGGCCATCAGAGCCTCCATTAAGCAGCTTTTAATTAACATGGGCCCAGTCTGCTCTGTGTGACTAAAACACACTCTCTCTCTCTCAGGGTGCCAACTCCAGGAACTCAAATAGCTGGAAAAGCACTGTAGTGGGCTAATATGTGGCAGAGAAACACATTAAAAGTCCTGTTGAGCGTTTGAACGAGGAAGACGCATTTATGTTTAAAACACAGTGAAATAGTGTTGTCACAAGCAAATGCAACACACTGTTTAATGAACAGCCTTCCTCACCAAGGTCAGTTACGTACCAGAGGAAAGCAACAGGTCATTGAAGAAGTGAACAGAGAACAATATGCTTTACTGGCAGAAGGTTTCGCTGCAGAACAGCCGGATTCACAAACAGTTACTTCCCCCTTGCCATTATACTGCTAAATGCCAAATGACCCCCCACTCCTACCCTGCTGCACTGTGTTCCTGTTTATACTATCTACTCAAATAAGACATATATCTTTTTATATACACTTTAATTTGTTTTTATTCTACTACCACTCTACCTCCAGAAAGTGCAGTAATACTTACCATGCAGCTAGGATCCTTTGTTTTTACCCTTAGTTTTTATTCGGTTTATTTTTCTTATATTTAAATTAAACACCATAGGAATAAAATGCTGTGATATGGAAGCCAAGCAACGACATTTTGTTGTAAAGGTTTTTTTGGTGGTAAAAATGAATGATGTCAGGAGAAAACAAGAGAAAAACACAAAAAAGCGAGAAAAGAGAAAAAGATACAATTAAAAAAAGGCAAAAAATGTCCAAGGTGTGGGAGATTAGTGACACAGAGCTGCTCTGCCTGTCTGTTTCCAGTGTGGAGGAGCTACTCACTCGGTGGCTGCAGCTGTAGCATGGCACGGTGTCTGCAGGAGTCTCCTGCTGCAAGACGTTGTCACCGTTTGTGTAGTGACAATAATCTATGTGTTTTCAGTGCAAAATAAAAAGAAAAAATGTGTGTGTTGTCTCTGGCCCGAGTGTTGTAAATCGTTTCGTTCGCGGTCCTGACCTGACCACTGGCTCCCGTATTTCCCGTTTTCACTATTTAGAAACAGCCTATCTTCACACAGATGGGCTCATTCGCTGTTGCAGGTGACCGGAAGACATCAGTACAAACCAGAGATTTTTTCAAATCTAGTTAAAAGTCCCTTGCAGGATGTTAAACTTTGAAAAATGATGTTTTATCCAATTACTCGATTAATCGATGGAATATTTGGAAGAATACTGGATTACTAAAATATTCGATAGCTGCAGCCCTACGCTTTACTGCTATTCAAGATGATTCATTTATACCACAGAATGACAAGAGTATCTAAAAATTATTCAATGTATATCCATTATCCCAAAATACTAAATTTCCTAACAATGATCTGTACGTCTTCTACAGTTTGGCATCTATGGTCCATATATGTGAAATAGCTTGTCAGGCATTACTGTTGAGAGTGTAAATTCAAAAGACATGATGTTCAGGACTTTTGGTCCAAGTTCAGTTTCACCTGTTTTCCCGTCTGTCTTGGGGTCCATGATCACAAACTCTGGACGCAGTTTACTAATCCGCCGACCTTTGAGGATGGGCACCAGACCTCCAAGGTATTCCAGGTACAAAGTGTAGCAGGGCCCTCCCACCTCAGGGTTATCCTCTGTGCGTTTCATAGTGCAGTGCAGACGCTCGTTCCCAGCTGTTGGGTAGCTCACAAAGTCACGCATGTTGTTGGGATCTGGGATGGGGGGCTGAAAGAGAGAATTTGAGTTGTAGTTTAGCACAGGGACTCGACAACACAACGGCAGCAGAAGTCGTACAGCAGAAGCCTTTGCTCATGTCAAGCAAATTAAGACTTGCGATGTCAGAGGGTGACATTCACATTTTTTAATGACTTTAATAGATGCAACACCTCCTGCTCAGCCTTACCTTGATGGTGGGGACAAATGCAGCAGTGACGTAAGAACAGAGGCGAGAAGGCATGGTAAGCTTGGCAACATCTTTCTCCTCCTTCACTGCTGTGGCAATGCCCTGCTGGCAGAGGAGCTGCAGGTTGGCAACACGGTGCTCCACTCGCACAACGTAGAGTGCCGGCCCGCATGCCAGGAACAGCCGAGAGTCGCGATGACCCCAGCACAGCGTGGTGATGGGGCGCTGCAGGGTGGTGAAGGAGACACGTCACACACAGGTTAGGACTGCTCTGACACAGTATGTCTTTCAAAAAGTTAGTGTTTGGGAGGGAGAATGGAGAATGCGTTGGCTTAGGACAGTGATGGCTGAGATGAAACTTTTTACTTGAGTTTAAAATCAAAATGTGAGCAACAGTCTGAACAAAAAGAAACTCACCATTAGCCACGAGTTCTAAGCTTCCACTTCCAATACTTCTATTTATTTACAAATTAATTTATTTCATCATGAGTATTTTAGTCTAACTCCTTCTGACCTTTAAATCTATTTCCTTTTTAAAGCTGCATATTCACGCTGTCTACTTCTATCATGTCTGATGAGCTTTCTGTTGTCTTTGATCTAATGCTTATACAAAAACAAAGTCCCTTATGGATGAATCATAGACTGTATATAAAATGGACACCGTCTGCCTCCTCGCTGGATGAAGCCACTCCAAGAACAGCACCCTCTGTTGATGGGCTGCAGTATAGGTCATAAATCCCACCTCCGCCAGCAAAGCTTATGGAGCTGTGGACCAACTTTAGAAAATAATTACACAGAACATAAATTTTTCTCCCCCTGCTTGTGATGTTGACATGTAGTTATTGTAAGACTGGTTTGTGCTCAAGTCCATTTTTTTCTGTGAAGCTCCGTTTTTAAAAGTTATTAGGGAGTTCATGTTTTCTATGATTGACACCTGATACAGCCAATGGGCGTTCAGGGATTGCATAGCTCTACCGGGGGATATGCTGTTTGAGCCGAGCAACATCACAGCGACTCTCTGCGACTGCGCGGCCGAATGCACGCATCGCTACTGCGCAGCGCTGGTTTCAGGAAATGAAGAAAAATCCCGGAAATACTGAGAGCTTTTTGGCTTCAAATATGTATACAGGCGGTAGGCGGAACCAAGTTGTCCATAGTATATACAGTCTATGGGATGAACTAATGCTGCATTCCAGTTACCTTGGAAGTCGGATGTTGGAGCTAGGAATGACGCAACACTCGAGCTGACGGCGTTCCAGTAAACAAGTCAAAAAACCAAGATGGACGCCTACTGTTAGCTGTTGTTAACAATTGTCAGCTGTTGTTAGCTGTTGTCAGCTACTATTAGTTGACGTTAGCTATACCAGTTGTAAAGGATGCATAACAGTATTTTACTCTTACAAAACACCATAGCACCATACTCACAGTTAGACGTTGATCAGTACAACATATACCACTTATTTAATTTCACAAAAACAATGCAGAAGTGCTAATCAATAATACATTACGAGAGCTTTCACTGTTACTCTTGACTGTTGATGCACTGTGCTGCCATCTTGGATTATGACGTTGTTGTCAAGTCGGGGTTGATGAAGATCGTCCAAATTTCCGAGTTGGAAATCTGACTTCAGGAGGGCGTTTCAGATAAATTTCCAACTCAAAGCTCGGAAACTCTGACTTCAGAGTACAACTGGAACGCAGCATAACTTCTTTGGATTTGATTTGAAGTGCCACATATATACACAGCAGTCACTTGTTCAACTCCCTGCCATGACCCTCTGCTGCATGTGTTCCCCCCTTCACTACTTCAAAAGTCTCCTCTCTTTTCAGTTGTCCAAAAATGCCCCAAAATAAGAAAAAGAAAATGGCATATTTACATTTTAAAAAATACAGCTAGGCTGATCAAAGGGGATGAAAGGTAGAACACAAACTGCTACCTTACAGACACAAGCACAAGCACATTACATAAGTCAGTTATCCAAGTTTAGCCTTGTTTACGTTGATCACCTGTGCCGGTGTGTCCAGAGTGTAGATGTGTTCACCCCGAACATTGTAGAACTTAACTATAGCATTCCTGGTGGGGGTAGGACAGGTGGGATCAGGGGAAAGGAGGGTCCTCTCCATCCCCGCTACTGCAAGGAGGTCCCCTTGTGAGCACCACTGGACCACCACATCTACAGCATAAGTCACAGGATAAAAAAAGGCTAGATCAGACAAATGTTAAGATATGAAGCCATTTTTAGCTATATGAAAAGCAGTTAAATAAATACAGAGTTAATGGGAGACTTGGGCGTGCATTAAAAGACAGCCACACACCTTTCAGACCAGTGCGGATGAGGGTGGGTGAGAGGTCGTCATAGTTGTTCATCAGGCTGATGTCTCCGGAGGTGAAACTGACGGTCAGCAGTGGCTTCTGGCTTTGCACTGAGGAGAGACACAGGAAAGAAGGCGTGTCTTAGCAAGCAATGCAAAGGCAATAAAACTGAATTGTACTCATGCAAAGATCCTCAGAAGCTAAATTCACTGATCATAACGATTCACAATATTTGGAGTACAAACCTACATTTCCCAGCTGCATTTGTTCATTACTACTTTATAGTACCCTCTTCTCCTTCAGTATTCCTGCAGTGACCTAAATACCAGCACAAATGAAACATCAACCTATTCCCTCGACTTGAAGACCAGAATAGTCACGGCTTGCCTGCAGTAATCAGTTGACAAAGCACTGATTTAGATATACTTTATAATACCACTATGAAGTCAGAGTAGGACTGTGCAGCACAGTGATAATGGATCATTATCGTTTATCAGGACAGAGAGATCTGGCAGGTGGAGATGAGGAAGGCCTGGTGTCTCAGCCGGGTTGTCCACCTGAGAGATATTTTCTACAAGGGACCAATCAATTACTATTGATCACTTTAATTAGTGAGTTAGAGCATAATCAGTGTTCTGGCTAAGGCAAGCACTTTTCAGCTTAACCACTTGGCCCACAGGAAGGTGAAGGAAACAAAACAGCAGGAGGAGGACGGACCCTCACAGTTGCAGCCGTAGCAACAAGGGCTTATTTAGCTAGAGAGGTAAAAAAGAGTAAAGAAAGACCAAACATGAACCAACAAAAAATGAGGTCATTACGTGGGCTGGTGGACACAGAGAAAGCCGCAGGAGGGGTCTGCAAAGCTAACCACATGAACATCTTCCCTTTTGTGACTGTCCCAGATGCACACTGGCTTCCACTGGACAGTGAATCCACTGCATACATGCGCAGTCGCACTGTTGATTAATCTTTACTGTTGTATACTGTAGTGGTTAATATGGGTTAAATCATTTGAGGATTGCGACATCTTTAAAGACCCACTCTGATGAAAATCATGTTTTTCTTGTTGTCTACATGTTCACATGGCATTTTTCTGATGCTACAGGACATGTCATGAGAAAACGAAGTACAAAATTGCATTTCTGAGTATTTTTGCATTCAAGTCACTGTGAACTTCTCCCAAAGACACAAACAGCATGCTCAGACACATTGGCCCTCATTTATCAAGCTTGCGTACAGCAGAAAACTTACGTACGACAATTTTGACGTGAGGATCGGCATTTATCAATCTGCATGTGAGCGTATGCTACGACCAAATCTCAAACCAGGTCTGACATCGTGTACGCAAGTTTGAGTCAGTGTGGATCTGCGGTGCAGCAAATGTCTGTTTCAAAATAATTGCTAAACAAACCTCAAACCTGTCATTAAGCACAATCAGCCAGATTTCATTAGAGATTAAGATGTAAATAAAATAAAATAAATTTGTTATGTTCTTAGTGAAAAGGCCTATTTAATAACTCTGCCCAGAAACACTGCCACAGAGCAGGAGTGCCGTTTTAACATTGCGCACACACACACACAAGCCACTGTGGAGCGCTGCGTTTGACTTCTAAAAGGCAGGTGTCTCTGTCTTGGCCCAGCAGTGAGGATGTTGTTGTACACTACTGAAAGGGTGTGGGACATCATTTGGGCCCGTACAGTTTTGCACAATGTTGCACTGGCGAGTGGAGTGTATTATACCAGTTTTCATACTTCCGAAGAGCAAATCCGTGTTAGTTTCCACCACAGACGTGAGGATATCCACTTTCAGCTCGGAAACGTTTAGAATCTGTCTAATATTTCCTCTTTCATGTTTGACCTCAGTGGGCGAGGCTTATGAATCACGAATATTTAGGGCGTGACATGTTAATGACGATCGATTTCAGCCGCCGCATTTATCAAGACCCAATCATACGTACGCTGGGATTGGTCAGATACGAACTCTTTATAAATCTCACGTGTGTCCTATTGTACTATGAATCCTGAGCTCAGATCTGCGCTCAGTTCTGCGCAAGAGTGATAAGTGAGGGCCGTTGAGATTTCCTACGTAGCAAATCCAAGCTCCACCCCCAGAGCCCTTCTATGCAGGCCAGACTCTGAGAAGTAAAGAGGACGATCGCGGAACAATGCTCGTAGGAAAGCTAATTACGACATTAGCGGTCACCATCCCCCCCCAAAGACATTAAAATAGCTTCTACATTACCTGCGACTTCTGATACACCAGCAATGATAGGCTACAAGCTAGAGTGAAGAGGAGTGTGGAGAGCAGCGCTGTCTCCGCTTACAACTCAGAGGTTAATTGCTAATGAGCTACTGCAGCTGTGCAGAAGAAAAGCCCTTGAAAATGACAGAGGTAATGTGATTTTAGCTAAAAAACTTCATAATCACAATTTAAAGACCAATGAGAACGCTTTAAGTAGTAAAAAAAGCAGAGTGGGGCTTTAAATTGTGATAATCCTGGAAGAAGTTTTAATGATGGAGAAGATGTTTTTTGTATTGTTTCTCTGGGCTTTAATGAAGGCTGTAACGGACAACACATGTTTTGATTATCAACTGGGAGTCAGCCGTCACATCACGGTGAACTCTAGTTTTGAAGGTAATAGGATTTGGTTGGAGATAAAGTTTAAATTTATAGGTTTTTTTTATTCAAGTCTTTTTTCCACTGCAATGTGACAAAGACCATTTATTTCAATTCCACCTGAAGCTTTGACTGGGCACTTGAGCTTGCTGTAGATGCAACAAAACACAAGGAAGGCAGTGACGCACACCCTCGCAGTGACCGCTGCTGCTGTTATGACAACGGCAACCACACCGTTAAGAGCAATCAGAAGGTTCAGTGGAAGCGTCAGTCCATTGTCAGGAGCATTCATCGTGTTTCTCCATTTTGTCTGCTCTCTGTCTTTTACCACAGCCCCATCAACCATCCATTTGGTCACACTCTTTGGTCCTAATGTGTCTTCTCCTCATTTTCACAACTGGCTGCTTTGAAGTGACGTGTTCAGTTGCTGCCTTTTCACCACCTTGACGGGTCTGTTAGTCATTTTTGATGCCGATCAAACCACAAATTCAAATATTCAACCATACTTAACGTGATAAAAAAAAAGATGATTCACCCAAATTATGAGCAGCTTTTCTTCTTGCTGTTTGTTTTTTATGCCTAGATTAACATTAATGAGCCCATTGAGCTGGAAAAATGTCAAAGTCCTACACCGATCTTTTTTTTTTTTTTTTCTACTTTCAGTGTTCTCAGTGGTCTTTATTTTGTGATTATGAATTTTTTAGCCTAAATCACATTACCTGTGTCATTTTCAAGGACTTTTCTTCTGCAGAGCTCCAGTAGCTCATCAACAATTCGCCTCTGAGTTGTGGGCAGAGACAGCGCTGCTCTGCACACTCCTCCTCACCCTAGCTTGTAGCCTAACATTGCCGGTGTAGTAGAAGACACAGGTAACATAGTAGCTATTCAGCTCTCTGACACGAATATCTTTTGGGACATGATGAAAGTTTATATCATAATTAGCTTTCTTACAAACATTGCAATCTGCTAACGCACACGCTTGTTCCGCGATCATCTTCTTTATGTCTCCGGGTCTGGCCTGCATAGCGTTATGTCCTGTAGCATCAGAAAAATGCCATAAGAACATGTACAAGACAACATGATTTTCATCAGAGTGGGTCTTTAAAGAAAACAGATCAGCGAAGGGAATGTTATTTTATCCAAAGTAAGGGATGCCATGGTAACTGTCCCTGAAAACATCACAATGAAGAGACATTCAACTAAACTATATTTGTTTCACTATGGCAGAGGGACCAAGTAGCAAAGCTTTGTAATGGATGAGGTTGGCCGTGTGAGGGCATTCTGGGTGCACCAAAAATGGCCAGAGTTATTATATAAAGATGCCAGATCCCTCATATGCAACCAAAGTCACAGCTAAAGGGTCAAACATATCTGAGTTTATGCAGCATCTGTAAAATCATCACCCTGCTCTACACAACCTAGTAAAGGAAAAAATGTATTAAATCGCTGAGTGAGATGTTGGTGGCAAGTTACTTAATGAAACACTGAGTAGTTTGCAGGTGTATACTAACATGTCACCTTTGGGACATAACTGATGAAATGGAAAGACCCGGTAAAAGGCTAGGGAGCTCCCAGTCTGGGACCCACTGTGCACTGAGGTCTTGGGGACCTGTTGAGTCTTGGAGACACAGGCTGAGTGCTGCAGAGCTTCGAATCTGAAAGCTTGAAACTTTTTCACAATTTTCAAAAATAATCAGGGCAAACCCAGAAAAGATGAAAAAATGATCTTTTTGTCTTATAGATTTTAAATTGTTTTAATCTCTTTATTCATTTCTAATATATTTCCTTGCATCTGTAAAACACTATGAATTACCTTGTGTATGAATGGTGCTATACAAATAAATTTGCCTTGCCTTTAATCACCGACACAGTAGTTAAAGTTAAGCTTTCAGGGCCAAGTACACAAACTCCAGTTCAGTGATTTGATGATTCATCAGGTGTATTTTTGGCACTCTTAGATCTCGGTCAAAACTTCTCTGGCCTTGATAGTGGAGTCTGACAGTTTATTTTCACACCTGTTCCTTAATCTAAAATATTCATGAGAGTACAGGAGAGACTACAGATACGCATGATAATGTGGGACACATCTGGCAGGCATAGCTTGTGTCCCCACCTGGTGCCCCCAGCTGAAACTCTTTCCCCCTCCCTCAGGACTAAGCGTATGAGGAGTTAATGGAGGAGTGAAAGATGGGAGATAAAAGGAGGGAGGAGTTAGATGCTCACAAATGGTCTAAAATCTGCCTCCATCTGCACAAAAATGTCTGTGAATGAAACAGCTGGACTAATCCACGTCTGCACAACACGTCCTGCAGGCTTTTCTTCATTTGCCCTTTAATGCTACACCAGATTATACCCTCCCTCCCATCATGGCTACATTGGCTGACGTTTCTGTCATGTGCCACTAAAAGCTCTGAGCAGCTTACCTTGTGGTGGAGAGTAGTCATCAGAGTCAGTGTCGCTCTCACTACTGTCCTCCACCAGGAAGCTGGGATAGTTCCAGGACATGCTGACGATGCCATCCGACTCATGCAGCAGAATATGGGCCAGCATGCGCCCATGGCAGTCCATCACGATCACCTGTCCATCAGCAGTACCAAACAACACCTGGAGGGAAATATGGAAGTTTACTGGGAAGAAGAAGAAAGGCTCAATCTTCTTTTGGATATAAATACAAAAAAAAAAGAACAGAAAAAGAGACACTGGAAAGGAGATAACAGATCGAGAACAAAGAGACCCAAAAGAAACGCAAGGAAGAGGTAGGAAACTTGGAGAACAGATGTAGATAGGGTTAAGGTGATAAACAAAGACATATGTGCTGACTGAAAGTTTGATGAAGTCCAACCTGAGCTGACATTTGAATAGCACGCAAGAAAAATCACCATACAAAAACTACAACTCATTCAAAACAGAGGAAGCCTTCTGTCACTCACACACGATCCCCCTCAGGGCCTCTCTCTGCCCTCTGAATGACAAGTCAACATACCAAAGATGGCAAGAGAAAAACTAAAACTTTGCTCTCTCTCCAGATCTATCTGTATCTACAGGCTGGGATGAGTGTGTGTTACCTGCTGGTCATCAGGGGTCCAGATACCACAGGTGATCTGGCTCTCCAGGTTGATCTCGGAGGACCAGTGCCTCTGTCCACTCACCGATCCCACCAAGACAAAGCCATCGCGATATGAGATCAGAGCCTGGGTGCCATCGTGGGACCAGGTGAAGTCACTGACCTGCAGGACAGAAAATGTCTCAGTAAAAGATAACATGATAATGAAAGGATGCTGTCGGCTTGACTTGTTAAAGAGGAGAAAGCAGATTTTGGAAAAGCCCAAATCTGACATATCACTATTTGTAAAATCACCATTACTGATCTGACAGTGTGAAATCCAAAATCGGTCCAAGTATAAGCATCAAAAAACTGGTCCTCATGACTTTGATTGGGGCATTTTAGGGACCCTGGTATGCTCTTTCGCACATCCTCAAAACTTGGAGATGTAATGAAAAGCAGTGCCTGGAGAAGCCACCGGCCAGCCAGTGATTTCAGTTTAAAATTCATAGTTTCATTAAAGTATCAACACTTTTAAGTATTCAGGAATAGAAAAAGCAGAAAAGAATTAGAAATTTAAGTACACGACTTCAGGCAGAGTATTAATATCACAAAAAAAGGCCAGAGAGACGATTTTAAATACTGTGGGATTTAATATTTTAAGAGAGTAAGACAGTCTTTGTCACAATCAGCATCAACCAATTTAACTGATCACGTGCACTATTAAGTAGAGCTACAATTAAAGCTCTATTAGGCAATCTAACTGGACTACTGTCCTTATCCCAGCGTTTAAGCACTGCAAGAATCAATTCATTCGACTGAAGTTCATGTGTTTCTGCTCCAGTAGGTGGTGATATGCCCCCTTTTGGCTCATTATTCTCAGACCTTCAGCTAGTTCTATTAGACCTTCTTCTAGTGGTCACATACCAAAACAATCAACAAACCAGTCAACAGGGGAAAAACTGTTTTTTTCAAATGTTTTCATTTGGGTTCAAGTAAGATATATACGATCTCTCGAGAGTTTATGGGATTATCTGAAGGCAGACAATAACGGAGGCCTATACATTCACACTGTTTGACGCCTGGCGTACAAACTGCACAGCATGAGCAGAACCCTTTGAAAAGTTAAGAGCTGAATGAGTGGTACACATGCAAGAGAAAGTGAGCCTCCAACTAGACGATCAAGGCATTTTAGACTGAAAAATAATCTCTTTATTTAAAACAAACAGCCTTTGCAAATTTTAAGGTTAATTTTCAGAGGAGCTTTGTAGGGCTGGGCGATATAGCCTCAAATCAATATCACGATTTATTGAGCGAGTTCACCTCGAAAACGATAAATGGATGATAACTACTCCACATTTTGCTCACCCCCTCCCACATTAACTTTGTCTATTTCAGCCGCCACTCCAGCCTCTACAACTTTTGAACCGTCCTCCATCTCCTCACCTGTCTTTCCCTCTTTGTTACGGACTGGATGAGGCAGAGTCGTGTCTCTGACATAGGACAACATCTTAAAAGGGACATGAGACCATAGCCTACCTACATACATCCAAAACCTACTTTTACTTTTTTTGACACCGAATACACCAATATGGGCAAAATAACGGTTATTGTCGTAAATTTCGGTATTGGTAAATTTCCTCTAAATAATAATTTAGTGACTGGTAATTTAAAGTTAGCAAATTTCCATTGCTTACTGTGATGATCACAAAACTATATTTATCAAAGAGGAAAATTAAGTTTACATACTTTATCCAACTCTCCATATACAACAAGTCCGTCAGAGAGGCTGGCGGTAGTTTGCCTGTTTCTAATTCCACTGCAAGATTACTGTAGCGTTGTTATTTGCGTTTGTGTTGTGGCTGTTTACGTTAGTGTTTTGTTCTTTTGCAAAGCGTTTTGAATATTGAAATCACCCAACACTTCCTGGCCACTATAAGAGGAAGCCAGACTAGGTTAAAATGCACCAGAGAGCAAAAAGATCAGGAGTTGAACCTGTGACAGATACGACAAGGACGGTAACCCCTCTTCATGGGCCAGTCTGCTCTAAACCAGCACTCCAGTTTCTTATTTTGGACTTAAGTTAATGCAGGATATTTTCAAACCTTACTGTTCTTCTGAAAATGATTTAAATGTACAACATTGCTCTTTCATTGACAGAGGCCATAACCACGTCTGATAAAATAAACACTTGAATTTGAATTCGTAGGTTAACTGAAGTTGTTCGGCAGCATTTATATGGTTTCCTCTTTGTGTAACTTTACCTGTGCTCCACGATCATTGACCAGTTCCACAGACCAGCGGCCCTCATACTGAATCCAGACAAAGATCCCTCCATCTGTATCACAAGTGGCCAGTTTTTGGAAGGGCTCATTCCACCGCACCAACACCACCTTCAAGAAAAAAAAACAGAAAAAAATAAAATGGAGAGAGATTGGCATTTGTCTTTTATCTGAGTCACGGTCTGAGACAACTTTGAAACAATTGTTTCAGAAAATCATACAAATGATTTCAGTCTAGAGAGTGTAGAGTACTTTCAAAGTTAAAGTATGAAGCAGTGGCCTTTCTGTGACCGAGCTCCCCCCCCTCCCTGAGCCACAACAGATAATGTGAGATGATCACAGTGCCTCGTCAGGGTGCCCTTGTTCCAGACTCTGCACCCTCGCCTGCACGCTCGCTCCAAGTTCCTCTAAATTGGAGCGTCAGCTGAAATATCTTGAATGTGGAAAGCAAGACACCAAGATCCCACATTTCAATGAGCTAAATATAGCGACGAACCAGATGAAAATATCACAAAGTGGGTTAACCTCGTTTTGAAAAAGTCACAAAGGAGTTGCAAATATGCTGATTATATGACAGGCGCTGAGATGAAACAGCCGTCAGAGTGTCTGAGAGGGAAAAGTAAAGCTGTGTTTGAAGGCATATTTTACTTTTCTATTTTAAATTTTTGGAAAGTTTGAAAATGGATAAATGTAACTGTACTGCCTCTGACATGGTGACTAACACTTGTCCGGATGTCTCTATCTACTTAATGGTGACTGAATAGAGAAAAGCACCAAATTAGCTGTAGGAATGGAAGACGGAAGGTGTTAATTACTTGCAGAGGAGTATAGATCACACTATTCATAACCTCTCTCTTGATCATCGCCACCTATAACCATCTCCATCCAGCTCCCCTTCCCTGTCTATGTCTCTGTCTGGTCCTCTGTAGCGTGACTCAGCCTATTCCCAGGGGAAAATAATCCTAAACAGGGTGCAGCTCTGCTCTCGCTGGGCACAGCACGTGGGCTGAACACGCTCAAACACACAGCACAGGGCTGGTTTTAGTGAAGCTTACGCTCTCTGAGGGAAAGTCCAACAGATCAGTGGCTGAGAGCTGGATAAGCCTGCCAGTCTCGCTCGTTTGTCCCTGTAGAAAATCATCCCTTCCTTACACAGTCCAATCAGCCCGGGGTCAAATGAGTCAGGGGTCACTCACCCCGTGTTCACACGACAATCTGTATTCTTATGATAAAAAGGTGCAGGTAAGTATAGAAAAAACCAAGAGGATAAAGAATTTTCCTTTCAGTGTACATTCTTTCAGTTTCCAGCAGAACTGCATTGAAAAAACTCTAATCTGGAATAAGGACAAGCACAGTTTGCCAGCAAGATGCACTCAGTTGGTGATTACTTGGCCACATTATATCCTTTGTAGCTACAAACTCATTCAGGGTTTTCTTTATATATTTACAGTAAAAACTGCACAACAAGTCACAACCAGGTTGATGGATAGGAGGATAACAATGACTCCTGTATTGTAATCCACCAACTATGATTCACCAATATGCTGTAGAAGAAATCACAGTTGTTGTTTTTTTTCTGAAAGTAATTATATTCATAACATTATTCATACACTGTGGGCTATTCTCCTGTAAACAAAGTTGAAACAGGTCAAAGGAATCCATTTGAATTTTCAGTGACTATGCTAAGGTGACAATTATTTCTGCAGCGCTTCTGCACAACTCATCATTGGTCACTGCCTTGTTACTGTTGCATGTCTAGAGTAATAAGAGACAGGATTATACTTTGTGAGCTGATTTATCTCATACAAAAATGTTTATCTGCAGACACTGTGTGCAGCCCTGAGGGGTTAGAACTTCACATTAGGGCTCATTGATCTCTTGGTCCTGGTATCTAATCAACAAGTTGTCTAGTGAGACAGATTTACCATGCTTTTACTCCCACTCTAAGCTGTATAAATCTTAATGCGGCTTCACAGGTGTGTCTCAGCTGGGAAGCTGCAGGGTAGAGGACACATAGAGATCTAGCCTCAGGGTTCCTATGCAAGTATGGAAATAAATTTGATCAATTTCCAGGTCTTAAAAAGTGTGGAAAATGAGAAATAAAGTATGGAAAAATACTTATGTTTTCAGACTATTACCACAGTTCTAAAATTCAGTTTTCCAAAAAATAGGAAAGTAGGTATCTCCAAAAATATTTCTAAAAATTGGGGTATGGAAAAGTATGGAAATTCCAACTGTGTAGGAACCCTGCTAGCCTGTTTCAGACCTGCTTTGGTTTCTATCATTTTGACTGAGTTGTCTGTATTCATGGACCATATAAAGCAGTCTGCCATCTATCATTTAGACACAGCTGTCACCTGATGCAGCTTTGCTCTCTAGTAAAAGCATAGGAGCTTGTGCAGTGGTGTTGCCAAACACAATAACTTCACGCTGAAGGATCTCACTGTAAGAATATAAAGCAGTGTTGTTAAAACACTCATGCACTGTCTGCAACCTCTAATGCGCAAAAAGGATTTTCTGAATAACATTATACAACCTAATTCAGATCCAGCCACTGTATAAACAAGGCCTTGGATTAGCAATCCGATCAAGTTTGAATTATCCCCAAATCATTTATACACTAGGTATCATACACTAAAAAAAAGAAGGCATACAAAAAGGCATTGGCGTTTGGTTTGCACGTGTGCACACTTGTCAGAAGCTGCATAAAAGGTGAGAATAATCTGTGTTTGTGTGTAAATTTAGCTCAGTCCGGAGATTAGTGTGGGCTAGTCAGGCTCCCACGAGGAGACAGCTGAGCACCTCGCTGTGACGCAGCGATCTGGGAGATCAGACGTCACATGGAGGGAGACAGACAGGATAAGGGTGAGAAGCCCCAGGACAACGAGGGGACAAAGGGATCATGGGAAGCGTGGCACGTGCATACACTACAACAAAAACAGGCCTGAGAAAACCACTCATAAAACACCTCCTGATGCTTGTTAAAAATTAATACTTACTACTAATATTTGACCCAGTTACACGATTGTGCCCAGGGTATTCAAACAGGGCTGGTAAACAGTGAAACAGTACTGAGACTTTCAACTCTCACTTTCACTCCTCTACAGGTGTTCTGAAACAATAACCCAGTCCACTTAAGTTCAAAATTACATCACACTCTTTGTTGTTCTGTTTCACTAGATACCAGCACAAGCTCTGGGCATGCTGACATTTAAGTCCATCAGTACACCCTCTCGTGTTGTTGCTTGACCGAATCACTGCTGATCCACAATTAGCACTTCAAGATCCTTTAAAATAAGGTGGACAGAGTGTTAGGGACAGCTGCACCATGAATTTGACAGCCTAAAGCCACATGCTTTCAAGATGATCTTCTTCCCATCCAAGCCAGTACCAGGAGAGAGAAGAGGAGGCTGCATGTTTGTGATCCCCTTAATTCTGTCCTTTGGCCGGTGCAAGGCCATTGACAACTTCTGCCCAGGAAATTGGCACTGTCTTTTCTCCTGTGGTGCCATGCTGTTGTCACTGCAGCCCTGGCCTCTTGCTGGGACTACGAGTCTGGGAGTGGAGCTGACCCTCACAACTTGACTGAGAAGACCAAATCAAATCAGAGGACAGCTTTGGGTTGTGTTGGAGTCAGCAGAAGTGAGAGGACACAGTGACAGTGCACAGTCATGGTGATGCAGTCGAGAGCGTATGGGCCAATAGCATCACTTTCCCTGACGCAAAGAATTTGGGGAAAAATTGTTTTTTCACCAAAAGAAAATTCTATATTATTAGAAAATTTGGATTAAATAGACTCATCCATCTCTTCAGTAAACTTTTTTTTTTTAAAGTTAGAGAAGGCAGCATTTAAAGCACTTGAAAAAAGACTGCTGATGTAAACAGTTCCAGGCTAATGTTTGGAGAACCATGGAAAGGTCAGAGCTACGTGGCAGACGATCAAATCAGATGCAGTATGAGCAAGCAAGACAAAGAAACTCTGCCCTTTCCTTCAGCAAACTTTCCTGACCTGACCTCTTATTCAGGACCAGACAAGATAGTAAATTAGTGGCAAAACTCAATTTGAATTAGCCCCCTGTATAAAACCCTGGACTACACGGACTATGTTTACATAGCCTTCATTTCTGAGAATTTAGAATCCTTCTTAAACAGTAATGTTGAAGGAGTATAAGTGGTGCTTAAACATCCAGACCTCATGTAACGATCGAAATTTTAATGGACTGAGGTGAAACCGACTGACTCCATGAGTCACATGGAGACATCTTAAGCAGATAATAGATCTCTGAGCACTTGGTGACATTAAAACGCACTGTGTAATAAGATATACAGTTCAAAATACAGCACAAGCAAGTCTCTGCAGGCTGCCCTGAAGAGTTTAATTTTTACCAACACAAGTGTGCAGATATCTGTCTGATCCTTCACTACAAACTCTTCTTCTCACAACATATTTATTGTGCTCAGTACCAAAGGCCACACGAGCAGACAAGTACACCTGAGTCTGAAGAAGCAGGAGACATGAGTGTTACGCAACATGTCCTCTCAAAGGTTGGATTAACACACCAAAGCCATTTCACCTAAGCACATTTAGAGAGAAGGCTTTATCAGAGTGAATGGGTCATGGACTCTCATTCTTCAGCAGGGCGTCTTAAGCCAGGAGGTCAGGTAAGAAGAAGACTGATGGAGATCCTCACAATAAAAGGACCTGTGAAGGTAGTGGCAAGCACAGCGGAGGGAGTTATGACAGGTAGAGGAGGACAGAAAACTGTGGGGAGAGGAAAGGAAGGGCAAAGACATGGTCATGAGACCATGAAACACTATCAGGGGTCTAGACAAGGTGGTCATGGAGGTGGACTTTATAGAGATGGTGCTGCATTCGACCAGTCATGAATCTAATATCATGGTCTCCATAAAGTCTGAAAAGAGATTTAGTTACTCAGTCAACCAGCATCCCAGTTCTCCTCTCTGTGTATTTGAAAAAGAGGTTCTAGATCACTGCTGGTTTATTCAAAGACCCTCTACCAGGAATACGAACTGATTTATTTATGAGACTTCACCGGCACACTCTAAAGGCGTTAGGACGTCACACATCCTACATTAAAAAATGTGATGGAGAGGTGTGGTGGCTGTGTTCATTGGAGACAGTGATTTATATGTTGCGATCTGTGGAGATGATCACCATTAAAAGGACGAAACTGAAGAGCTGAAGTTAAATGTTTTTAATACAAGAACTCGTTTATCCCCAAAGGGAAATGGGCTCTATGCATCGATCCACTACTTCATAAACTTAAGGTTGTTCCTTTATTTACTCTCTTACATTATTGGACCAACTGATTAATCCTGGTGTGTCTGACTATTTAGACCATAACATTTTTATCTAACAAATGTTTCAGTTTTAACATTTGAGATGTTTTCTTTAAGAATTTCTCTTTACTTTATATTTTGGGGCTTTTATTAACTTTATTTAATAATGACATGATCGTGCACGGAGCTTAAAATTAAACACAAGTTTAAAACCATCAAATTCTGCTTTTATCAACATTTTACACCATGCCCTCCTCGCTCTTTTGGAACTTGACCGTAACTTATGGAGGGAGACCATTAAATGTTCATGGTTCTGTCACAGTAATGAAGCACTAAAGCAAGAATCATGTGATCAGATATGAGTCATTTTGAAGCTTTTTTTAAGCCATAAGAGGATTTCTTTGCAGTTCCCCGTGTACTGGTAAATAATGCATCAGATTCTATAGCGCTTTTCATCAGTGACCTCAAAGCACTTTATATTGGATACATCATTCATTCACTCACACAGTCACACCCTGGTGGTAGTAAACTACCTTAGTAGTCACAGCTGCCCTGGAGGAGACTGACAGAAACATGGCTGCCACTTCACACCTACAGCCTCTCTGACCACCATCAAACATCACTCACAATCATACACTAGTGGAGGACACACAATGGGAGCAAGGTGGGTTAAGTGCCCAAGGACACAACGGACAGACTACAGATAGGGTGGGGATCGAACCACCAATCCTCTAGTTATTGGACGACTACTCAACCCCCTGAGCTACTGCCGCCCAGAAAACAAACTGGCCTAAAAAAAAAAAACAGGAAAACTAACAAAATGAACTCAAAATGGACAAACTAGGGCTGGGCGATAAACCAAAAGTTTACAGATTCTAAAATTTACAAGAACAAAAATGACAATTACGTTATTTTGCCTGTTTCGGTATATTTAGTGTCAAATAAATAAATAAAGGTTGGTTTTGGATGTGTGTAAGTAGGCTATGGTCTCATGTCCCTTTAAGATGCTGTCCTCTGTCAGAGATGTGACTCCACCCCATTCAGTCCGTAACAAAGAGGGAAAGGCAGGTGAGGAGATGGAGGATGGTTCAAAAATTGTAGCGGCTGGAGCAGCGGCTGAAGTAGACGAAGTTAATGTGGAAGGGGGTGAGCAGCTTGTGGAGTGGTTATCGTCCATTTATCGTTATCGAGGTGAACTGCTCAATATATCTTGATATTGATTTGAGGCCATATCACCTAGCCCGACAACAAAATAATTCAGGTACACAAACTCTTAGCCATCAATCAAAATCATCTCATCCATGACTTTTAAAGAGTTGCAGTAACTGCAAAACAGCATCTATGAACACAAAGTCTTCCTGCATACTTTATGAGGTTGCATATTTTTAGTAAGCTCTCGAGTTCTACTTTCTCTCACAGCGTTTATACTCCAGAAACAGGAGACACGGTGTACTTTCTGACTGTGAGTTAACTACTACTTACTGCAGCAAAAATACACCTGCCAGCTAATTAAGATGCAGCAATCAAAGGAGATTTCTGTCCGGATCACAGAGCTTTCAATGTGAACTTCATACTCTACACTAAAGAGAAAAGAGACAAAAAGAAGAATGGCTTTAAGGTGACTTTTCCTGTACTACGTTTATTCCTCTATTTGAAAGAAGTCCCAACTAATTCTAACTTTAAACCTTTGCATACAGGTAGAAGACATCTACAAACACTTCACTTGAAGAAGTGACTTTTCCTCTAGACTAACAGCACTTTCACACATTGTTAAGAATTCATATTTCGTTTTATTGCCTGCAAATAAACACCACAACTTTCACTTGACAGGATTCTGACAGACAATTTCCCCCAAACCTTTGCTGCAGCCAGCATTTCATGTCAACACGCTGACAGATATTGTCAACCTGTCTCAGCTCCTCAGCTCTTACAGAGAATGAACGGACTCCTAGTGACTAGCTGCTCAGTCTGTTCAGCATCGGGTTGTCAAAAGAGGACTTGATCACTTCTGATGCATGTCCCTTTGGGAGTTCTCTGCAACATCACATGTACAGGTACATCAAAAACGACACTGAACTTACAGCTTTGATCTATTTTTAATGTTCTCAGGGGTGAAATGACACACCGGGTCAGTGGTTCTGTTTAGATAATGCCATAAAAATAGAATCACAACATTTGAGGCCAAATTTCTTTTAATATGACTATTTTTGCCCATCTGCTCTATTTACTTTGAGTCTATAAAAACCATTACTCTTGCAAATAGACCTAAATGTTAGCTGTGTTGTAATATCAGGGTTGATCTGGGAAAAAGTGTTCAAGCGAAGCAGAGTTAATAATCAATCCAATCAACCTGATGATTAATCACCTTTAGCTTGTTAGGTGATTAAAATACACTAGCCAAGTAGCCATGTTCAGACAGCAGAACAGACACTCCTGATCACAGAATTATCCATTATTTATAAAAGACCTGGGTCACAGCCCAACAATTGACAAAGTTTCACAGATTCCCCTCCTCAATTGTAAATATTCAATCTAACTTTCATTTGTAAAGATTTTGCATTTCTGATTATGTGTACCTTTACCAAGCTACTAAGCTCCACCAAAAACACAAAGCGTCAAATAAAGAGGAGTTCACTTCCCTCTGTGAAAAGATAGTTGTGGGAGACGGAGCAAAAGGAGCTTGGCTCTGCACCCGCACACATACACACACACACCTTGCTCCCTTTGAAGCTGTTACCTTGTAATTATCTTTTACCCTGGTTGACAGAGAATTAGACACTGGGGGGAGGATGGACCTTCATCAGAGATGTACCACAGACTCTGGACCTAAAAAGCTTTTTAATTATCCAAAGAAAATCCTAAGAGACTTCAGAATAGGTGCGCCAGCAGGACAAGAGCTGAGCTTCACCCTAACATGAGACGCTTTTATCCATAATATCCTGTGTTGTCATGGGGGCCACTTTTTTTATCAAGTGCAAATAAAACCACTTATCCATCCACAGGCAGTGGAACTCTTGATGGAGATACAGACTGAAACATGTCAAGGATCAAGGATATCTTTATTCTCCCTGAATATTTGTGTGACAGCGGAAGATCTATCCTTTACTTTACTACATTGCTCGTACTGGGCTGAGTCCAAAAGACACATCAGTTCAGAGGCTGGCTTACATTAGCATGATCACAGGACATTTGGGTCCATACATCACCGGGAAAAATGGCCAAACTTAAGGATGCTGGCACGAGTATTGATCTTGGCAGACCTCCACTCCTGCACAGTGAGCTCATGTTGCATTTTTTTGTGTGTGGGCTCTTTCATAACGAGAGTAGAGCTAATTTACAAGAGAGGACACTCGTCGCTAATGACGACAAGTGCTCAATGACAGGACTTATGTTCAAAAGGATGGGAGTGTCAACGGACATGACTGCATTTACTGCTGAGCGTGCAGCTTTTCAAGACAAGGAGATGTTACCTGAGTTTACTGACAAAGCTCTTTGAAAAATAAATGAGAATAAAACATTGGCTTAGGGGTATACAACTTTTTTTACCTTCAATACGATACAAAGATTATAGCCTTCAATACTGGCCTACACCTGCTTGTATCAGAGTGCTGATATCGGAGATTTTAGATGCAGGCCAATATAATCCGATATTAGGATTGTTGCTTATATTGGACCAATATTTGATATCAATATCATATCGGGACAGCCCAAATTGTTTTATGTTGAGCTTTCCCTGATTTTAAAAAAAGTAAGCAAAAGACTAGAAAAAGTAAATTCCCAACTCTGGGGTGTGATTTCAGTTTGTGTTTCTGTGTATAAGGCAAACAGCAATCTCTTTTTGACTTCATTCAACAGAACTGAAACGGAAAACGGCATGAGTGAGCAGACAGATCTGTCAGAAGAACCTGACAGAATTCATTAGTCTGTGTGATATTCACCGTTTTCAGAATCCTCAAATTATTCATAGGGAAGCTGAGCGGTGGATTGTGAATTTTCCAAAGCTTTAATTTGTTGCCCTATCTGAAATATATTTCTAGATAGGATACAAGGGTGATTTACATTACTTGTGCTACAGCTTCTAACAAAGTTTCATTTGGATTTAATTTGAGCAGGGTGTCTAGGTCCTTGAAAGCCTATACGCAAATATTTGTCTAATCATAACTTCAACTGTATGAGTTGAATTATGGAAAAAAAAAAAACTGTGAAACATGAAATTCTACAAACTCAAATGACAGACCATCAAGGTTAAATCTCAGAAGTAGAAGTAGGTAATAATCATAAATTTTAAGCGGCAACATTCATCTCCCGAGGGGGTGTCTAACTAGGTGTTATGCTGTGTTTGACTATAACTTAAATTTACGCCAGAATATCCCTTTAATGTTTGAACATTGGTGAAATAATGAAGGATTCAGAAGATGTGTAAGCTGTTATTGAATCAATCAGGATCCCTTTCTAAGGATCTACATGCAAAGAAATGAAACCACCACGAATCCAATAATTCAGGTACATAAGGGGACTTAATAACAGAAAATGTGTACATTTTAATTTCAAGTTTCAGTGGTTTTAACCTCCTCCACACTGCATGGATCATAACTACGGTGCCAGAGGAAATATCAGCGCTTGGACCACATTCAAGTGGGCAGAGTTAAATGACATCTCTGCTGCGCTTCAGTCACTCTCTGTGGGGACTCATCCACTCTCCCCTCAGCTGCTCTACGAAAATGCTGACACAGCACCTTACTCCATCTGACCAACAGCTACACCCACTGAAAGAGTAACGCAACCTGTGTGCAATCTCCACTGGTGCCAGCAGTCCTATATACAGAGGGGGATATTCATATTCATTGAGGATAATGGATTGTACATTGCACAACTATTTGCATCAAAAAAGGACTCTGGGGGAAGATACTGGAGGATAAAGAAGACAGAGGCACTGACAGGAAAACTGGACGGCTGTTTGTGACAAACCACTAACACCTGTTTATGTTTAACCAGACACAACCAGACAAAAAAACAATAATAACAAAAAGAGCAGATTAGACTTCAGATGCTCTACTTTCACTTGAAAAATACTTACTGCCAGGACTCCACACAGTTATTTTTCCTTTTTTAACCTGTTATTTGACAAAAAATCCAGTATATTTATTAAATGAGAATGGTCTGTGTATTTTCCAGGAATGGAAAGAGCTACAAAATAGTCTAACTGATAAAAGTGCAAAACTGTTGTAATGTAACTAATGGCACTGATGAGCACAGAGATTATGACTCTATACTTTTCAGCAAAGCAGCTGAATATTTCTTTGGGGTCTGCACACTGGCTGTGCATAAAGGCTGGTTAATAATACAAGCTAAGAATAACTGCTTAATTGACTGTAAGGAGTAAAAATGGCTGCTAATTCAGCAAGCAAAATTTCTCTGACTATTTACTGAATTATCTAGAAATAAGAGATCTGGACCTATCAGGTCAACAGAAACCTAAATCAAGAGATCTTTTCAAAATGGAAAAAAATCACTCGATGAATTGGGAGTTTTTGGCAGTGTGAGCATACCTCATTTGGATGGGGTTGATTGAAAACTTGCATTGTTTTGAAATTTCCTTCTTACTCTGTAACTGATGTATATATATATAAAAGCTTCTTATTTACAATCATATGGACAAAAGTCATTTGTTACTTTACACCCCTGGTGCTTTCTTACCTCGCTGTTGTGTCCTCTGAGGTTGAAATTGACTCTCTGCGGTGTAGGCCGGTCCCGTCTACAGTGGCTTGACGTGAATGTCACCCCAACAACACCTCGTCCATTCCCAGTAGCGAGCCAGCCCTCCTCGTAGTAGCGTTTCCTGCACACCGGTTTCTCCTTCTCGCTCTTGGGCACACGGCCCTTCCAAGACAGGCACAGGATGTTGGAGTCACTGCAGAGGACCGGGCCATGCTCCACGGCGGCGAACATCCCTGCAGTACTCTAAACAACCCCGTGGATTTACAAGGAAAATGATAACCTCTCAGATGGGGGGGGGGGGGGTCAGAGGTTTTTCAGAGGGGTCTGTTACTGTTACAAGCACCTCTTCTCTGCTGAGGTTACTGGTTCTGTGTTGGATGTGGGACAGCGACAACAGTGCATAGTACTTGCTCTTTGCCTAGGTTAACTGGTTGGTTGAAGTAACAAAGGGCGAAAAACTTGAGGTCACAAAACTGGTGGACTTCAACGTTGCTGGACTTGGCTGCATACACAACAAAAAGGCACTCATTCAAGTCATTTTTGATGCTTTTGATCAGTGAACTACCTCGTTGGTGTGGTTTTGATGGCAAGGCAACAGATGAGTGTCAAGAAATTATTTAGATATCCCCTGTGACAGATCCAACACTCATTCCTGCTGATCAAAAAGAAACAATCACACACCAAAACGCTTTCGCTTGTAAACTCATCAACAGGCAAGGCATCTATCCTGTCCAACCAGGCCAGTGCTTTCAGCTGATGTGGGTTAAGTTACTGTTCAGTTCAGCGTGTCATTTCTGAGTTCAGTGTCCTCCTCATACGACCCTGGCCGTCTGTGTAAGAGGAGGAGTAGGGACTCCTCTCCATCAGCTGTGAGCCAACAGGAGAGCCGCTCCTCCCAGTAACGTCATCACGTCAGCCGGTCTGTCTTTTCAACCCGCTTCCAGGATCCCATGGAGGACTGCTTGACAACACAAATAAAAAAGGATGTCATTATCAAACAGAAATGGTTGCTTTCAACATGACCTGTGTTTTTTAATGATCATTTATAAGGAGGACCCTGGGGTGGTCTTTCGGTGTTGCAACAGTGACAGTGCTTAAAGCTTTCAACCTCCAGCCAGAGACAACGCTCAAGTTGGCATCTTATTATCAGCCTCTGTTTGGGCTGTTATCGAGCAGGAAACAAGATCCTGATCCAAAACCACTTAACTCCTCAGAACTGGACTAGATGATCCCACAGGTCTATAAACTTAAAATGCAGTTCCAGGTTTTAGATAACTAAGACGATTCCTTGAGGTAAAAGGAGGTAAATTTTTCTGTGATAAACTAGACTAAGTCAGAGAAGTAAAAGTCTTATGACCTGGTCTTATGTATTCCAGACAAAAAAAATATAGGCAATGTCTGACATTTTAGATGGACCGGCGTAAGTATACTGTATTTGGATCAGGACTTTGTTTCCATAACCTCCCTCGATCGGAAACTGCGAATGAGACGCTAACTTCTCCCACAGCCGTTAATTTAAATATTAATGCGCCGGCCTAAAATTACCTCTCACTTGCCGATACTAATGTCCAATCACTTCAGGACTATCCTGCGCAGCGGAAGGATATTTAACTAATTGTTGAATTATTGAAGAAAGCCATGTATCATTTAACACCGTTTTTATTATGTTAAACCAAAGCGGCCACTCCCGGTTAAGGTTGAATATAACCCGAAGAAAGAGGACATCTAACGACGGATGAGAAAAAAAAATACTGTTGGATTTGACTGAGGAGTGTTTTTCACACGAAATTGAACCAAACAGACCTGTGGCTGCAGACAGACGCTAAAATCGTGATGCGGTTGGTCAAAGAAAAAAAATGGGACAAAATGAAGTAAAGGTGGACAAAACCGTAGGAAAATAAATGGACACTTCAGTAAAACCAACTGTCATCAGTAATAAAATGCTTTCTAAGATACTTGAAATTACACTGACAGAGAGACGGCGGAGGAGCATCGCCTCAACTCAACCTCCAGGCAAAGAAATGAGCTTAAACCGACATTAAATCACGACTGTCTGCTATAATGTTGACGGGGAGAAATATCCAAAGACAGTCTCGGCTCAAACTGACTCAAACACTGCTGAAGCCCGTGAGATGTAGCAAAAATAGCTCATCACCGTGAGCTGCCTGCTAGCTCAGACTAGCTACATCCTGGATGTTGGATAAAGAAGTAGAGCTATGTGGGCTCCAAAGATCACAACATGTCAGGAGTGGGATTAAGCCTTCCTCCTTTTCAATGTTGAGCCAAACCGAGATGCTCAGCAGCAACGCTTCCAACGTTTGCCGCCCCTCCACAAAAACAGACATGTTAGCAGACCGGCTAATCGACCAGCTAACTAGCTGAACCCGAACCACCATAAACGGATCCTGACTCCGTCCATCTACCGCTGGCACTCACCGCGGAGGCTGCGGCTAGTTGCTAGCCTACTACTTATCTTTAAATTTTTCAAATATAAGCATGTGGCTAGTTAAAATGAGCCCATGTCGATGATGTTGTGGACAATAGGTAATGAAAAATCTAACCTGTCGTCAACAAAGCCGGGGAACCATCGGCAGCCAGTGAATGCTTACCTCTTCTCCGTGCTGCTGCTGCTGCTGCTTCCTCCGCCTGCAGCCTGCTTCTGTTCACTGGCAGGGCCCGACAGCTGAGTCACGTGAGGGGCACGTGATTCAGACCGATTATATTTTCTCTGTACACCTTAATAAAGTCAAATGGAATTACTTAAATCTACCTGTAATCTTTGAAGTGAGGATCAATTCACATACTTTAATGTACAACCACAAACAAACGAATCTAAGGTACTGGAGCATGCTGTAGTTGTACAAATTTTCAGATTTAAGTATGAGTACACCTTTAGAAACATCAACGAATAAAAGTTTTAATTAAACACCTAGTACACTAAAAAAATACAATCAAAAAGTCGTTAATGTTGTCGCTGTTAGCTGTTTTTGTATATAATAAAAAGGCATTGATATAAATTTTTGTCTGTTCCATAAACGTCCAATATACTATACAATCCAATTCACAATTCTGCAATAAATTTTACTTTCAGGAGGCTTCTTTACTTTTCGTTTTTGTTGACATTATAAGACAGGTGATCTCATTAAAACCCATGCTATTAATGGTGGTGGTGCACTGGATGTGCAGAGAGGGCTTTTTTTTACATTTTATCTAGTTCAAAGGTGTCAAACTCAAGGCCCGGGGCCCATATCGGGCCAATGGAACAATTATAACTGGCCCACAAGATCATATCATACTTGTATTATTATCTGCCCACCAGTAGGAAGTCTGCAGATTTCCTCCAGGAAAACAATGAAAACTTTAGCACCATTATTTAAAATATCCTTGCTAAACCACAAAAATCTGGGAAATTAAAGAGTAAGAAAGATTTGATAAATAGTCAAGAATGGGGGGGTATTTTAAGATTACAAATCAAACATGATTGGATTTTTTATTTCATTCTTTAATTTTGTTCAACTCAGTATTTAGATTTGTGTTATTTTTATAATTTAGATTCCAATTTTAAATTTTAAGTCATATTTTGAGCTTTTAAACCTGATTTCAATGTTCTCCTCATGTATTTGCTCTTTAAAAACATTATTTTTCTATTTTTAATATCATGGTCTGATCTTTTGAACTAATAAATGAAAATAGAATATAAAATTTAAAATGTTCTATCTCAGATTTCCTTTAAACTCATCTTTTTATCTTTTTTAAATTTCCAAATGATTTATTATCATTGCTGTTTTTGTTACATATTTTTTGAAAAGGAGGTTGACAGTTTTGGTGAAATGTTGACCCTCTTTGGCCCTCAGGTTAGACCTAAACCCAGATGATGGCCCTTGTTGTGGTTGAGTTTGACACCCCTGATCTAGTTCATTAAAAACAGGGAGGACACAAATGTGAGGAACACCTTCAAACATAATGCACCAGCGACATCAACCACACCTAATAATCTGATATGATAACCAAATGGCTACACATATAGGGGTATCTTTTATACTAGGTTTACTGTGTTCATAATGTTTGGATTGGTTGGTTTGTATTATCTAACTATTCTCGAAATAGTGTTATAAAATGAGCTTGGTCTCCAGTGAAGGATAAAAACAATGGTCATTGCTCTTCCAGTACACACGGGGGCAGCACTACATCCTGATCTTACCTGGTTTCCCCACCTTCTCCAAAACATGGCTGCCTCCGTGCTCCTCAGACGTGAATTATGTTCCTTGGCAAGGATATTCAGTGGAGTGTCACATTCGGTACATAAATTAATGGACTTTTATTTTAAACAATTTGATAATTTACCCTGGGAGAAGTTGGACGTGTTTCTTGGGGGAAAATACCACGCGGTATCAGTGGGTAGCTGTAGTGTGTGGATTGATTGATCGTAAATGACATTTCTAAATGTTTTCATTTTCATTTTTTAACAGGCACTCAGACTTTCAGGAGCATGTTCAGTTCATCGAACTTGCCATGTCAGGTATGCAACATCTTTTCTTTATTTCTAAACGTCAAAAATTGGAAACACAAGTGCACGTTTTATTCTTTCGAAATTCAGTCAGTAAATGGACTCAGTTTAATTGTTACTACAGCAGTATTCTTATTTATGATTGGTCATGTCTCCCCTCTGTAGGTCCCAGCTCCCATTCACCTCCAGTTACTCCTTCCACACATCAGCAGTGTTTTCATCAGCACCATCCTCGGTGAGTGTGCACAGCTGATCTCCTGTAGATTATTGTCATACTGTTTTTGTACGGTGGCCGAAAACCGCCACTGCTGCAAATAAAAAAGAATGCAAAAAAAAAAAAAAGAAAGTCTCAACGGAAGTTACCAATGCAAAAAGATAAAAGAAAAGTAAAAGAAACCAAAGCCTGCTGTAAATAAAAAAAGAAAGGTGCAGATAAAAATAAAGCCACAACGGAAGTTAACAAAAACACCTGAGTCGATATGAAGTTTAACTGAAGCTAACACCACATTGGCATCGTCCAGTTCAACTTCATATCGACTCAGGTGCTACATGGCCTAACCAAATGGCACATTGAAAAGCACACAAAGTGAAATTAAACAGTAACCTTTCCACTTAATTCTTTGCTCGTCTTCACACCGTTGTCTTTGTGTCTAGATCGTAAAACACCGGTTATCACTCGTCCCCAGCAGCTCACTTCCGTTGTGGCTTTTTTTATTAGCATCCTTTCTTTTTCGCAGTAAGTCTTTTTTTTTTCCATCGCATTTTTTTTTGTGCCTCGTTAACTTCCATCATGGCCTTTTTTTTAAATTTAAATCTTCACCGTCTGTTTTTTTATTTGCAGCGGGCCTGGGTTCCTTGTTTTTTTTTTTGCATCAGTAACTTCAGTTGTGACTTGTTTTTTTTTGCATCACTTTTTATTTTTTTGCAGCAAAAAAGTACAAATATATGCACGTTTTGTTTGATTTTTTTTTTTTTTTGTCTGGCAGATCACTGTCACAGAGGAGCCTGACACGCTGTTTCAGACAGTGTCACTGCTGGTCAAAAGTCATGACAAGGCTGTGTTGGACAGCTATGAGTTATTCACCACGATGGCAGCCAAAGAACTGGGTATTAACGTCAAAAAAGTGTGAGTTCTCACAAGGGCGAGCTGTCAAACATTTAAGAGAAAGCAATGCACACCGCTACTTAAAAAATTTCAATTACTGAAAATTTGTTAATGTCATTTTCTTCTGCTACAGTTATGACCCTCCCATGGACATCGACAGGCTTACAGTCCTTAAGTCAGTTCATATCTTCAAAAAGCACAGAGTCCAGTATGAGATGAGGACACACTACCGCTGCGTTGAGGTGATAAGTCAGAGCATGGCTTCCTTGAATTTGTTCATAAAATGTTTAACTTGAGCAATTTTGAAAGAGTATTGAACTTAATGCATAAAATGCCTTACTCTTTAACTCATTTTCAGGGTCCTGTGAGTTTACATTTGCATTATTGGACTTTCCAAAAAGGCAGCTCTTTAATACTTAGAATTTATTGGAATTTGCATGTGCTTGTGCCTCTAATACATTTAAATTTGTTTTTATGTTTACCAGATTTATAGGGGCCAGTAATAAAAATACTGTCTTTCATTGTCTTTAAATTATTTGGATGCAGTGTACACTGTTTTGTTCAGGTCCTTCGTAATCCTCATCACTGCAAGACGTACTTTGAATAATTGAAGACATTAGACCTTTAAAGGGCATCCCACATATGATGTTTTTAGTAGATATGAAAGAAAATTAAGTATTCAGCCAAGTATTCAGAAAATTAAGTAAGGTTTGGAGAAAATTATTTAACTAATTAAAAATACCTTTTGTTATATCATTGTTCTATCTTTAAAACTGTGATGCTTTGATAAATTTTTCTTTTTTCTTTTCTGTAGCTGTCCCATTTAACAGGCTCCACGGCACAGGTGTACCTTGAATATGTCCAGAGAAACCTCCCTGAAGGTGTAGCCATGGAGGTTACAAAGGTAAGAGTGCATCACATCAGCAACAACCCAGATTACTGAACTCCTTCTCTGTACAAGTGGCTGGATATATAAATGATAATTCTGGTATATTTATTGGTTCATCATCAGACTGCCATGGAGAAGGTTCCAGAACACATCCTTGAACCCATGTGGAAAGAAGACCCCGCCGATGACAAGCCAAGCCAGTGATCATTGGATGTTTTTTATTTGGACATCTGTTATTATGTGGGGTGACATCTGATAAAGATATGCAATATTTATGTGTGGCTGTCACTGACCCATAAACTGCTACACAATGCTACATTCAGAATTCCTGTGGCTGTTCATTGTTGAAACAATTGTACTGTAAATGTTCTTTGTTTTGATGAATGAAGTCTGCATTCAATGATGACTCTGATTCATGTATTTAGTTTATGAATAAGAAACTCAATTCTTAAAGTTCCTTTACCAATGCTACATTTGTCTGATTAAGTGGGTACAGTAACTCTTCTCAGTGGGAACACGTTCAATCCACATAAAAACAAGACCAGCACACAAGAAATACCTTAAATGCTTTTATTGAAGAGTTAGTACACAAAATGTTGAAGCACAGCAAAGATGATCAGTTTTCTTTAAGGGTCGAAACAAGGAAGGGAGACAGGTCATTTCTCGAAGTTAAGCACCAGCACTAACCACTGCACTATCATATAGCCCTGAGAGCAAATACTGCCCATCTTGTTCCTTCTCCTCTGCTGGGTTTAAGGAAAACTGAGGACTCCCCCACCCTTTCTCCTGCTTGTTAAAATAACAATCTGACAATCACTTCATACGCTATAATTTCCCCATCCTCTCTGATGACCAATCTCTGAGTATGACATTTCAATGTCATTGAAATATCCACGCTAACCCACAAAAATGCTGAGCTGAGTTTTTCTGTTCGCATCATAAAGAAACACTAATGTGGTATCCTAATGTAGAAGAAAACAAGGATAAGAAATTTGTAAGGACATTGACCTTGTTTGAAAGAACTATGGAATAAATGGCAAGTACATTTCAGTGTTCCAGTGAACCATGACAACATGATTGTTATATCAAGACCCAGAGAATCTAAAATCAGTCCTTTGTCAGTATTCATAACTGTGCTTTCCACATTGTCATGTCAAAATTTCTTGCTTTGGGGGAAGTAAATTGAGTTTTGGGGTGGGACTCACTCGTGGCCCCACGATACGATATTATTACGATACTTGAGCCACGATATGATACTATTGTGATTTTTAACATTTTTCAATGCAGTGAGTATTGCGATACAAAATATTGTGATCCATACATTTTTTCAACTGTTTAGTTAATTTAGCATTTGTCTTGCCTTTATATTGGTCTTATTTACACTGTATTTTATTTTCAGATAGCACATGTTGCGAACCTTATGTGTCAGGTCCATCTCATTTGTGCCGTGCTTGCATTCCTAATGTCTTTCCCCAGCTGCTGCAATATTTGTTGTACTAACTTTCTCCTGCTCTATGATGTCTCCTCTGCCAACTTCACTGGACAAACAGTTGATTTTATTTTTCCATAATCATAGATTTGACTTTATATTAGCAATTAATTTGATAAAATCGATACTTGGTAAATTGGAAGATGGGACCACCAGACAAAATATCGGGATACAATGCTGTATTGTTTTTTTTTCTCCCACCCTTTACAAGTGCATTTACCCTAATTTATAGATCTCGAATAAGATATTCCAGAATGCTCCCTTCCACTACCCACATATTTACTATCTCTTCTTGTAAACATGACCTGAAGCATGAGGTAATTGTTTGACACATCATTAGTAAAAGGTCAAGTACCATACCTTCCTAACCTGTAGTCCTCTGTGTCTCAGCAACCTCCATCCTGAAAGACAGAATCTCCAGGTATTCACAGAGGGAGGGGTTCAGGGGTTTAAGACACAAGAGGAGGCTCACCTTTCCAAATGCAGTGTCGGCCCTCAGGTGTCTGTCACGCCACTGATGAAGGAGGGGAGAGATGTGAGGGAGGAGGACCTGGGTTCCTGGGGCCTGGGAGGTTAACTGTACTGTGTGCCCCCCTTCAGGAGACAACAACAGTCAGTCTGTTACAATCAACCAAATATGGGACAAAACAAGAAGGGGCTGCAGGGACTGAGGAGGCAGCGAAATGTACGGAGAGTGCTGAAGAAGTAGAGAAAGACAGACAGAGGAGAGACAGAAAGCAACACCTGTCTGTGGAAAAACTATGAAAGGGGTTTGCTGTACAATCAACAGCCATGTTCGAATGATCTGCGGAGCATTTGTACTGACAAGTTTTATTAACAAATCTGTGCAAGCAGTACATCAAACATACAGTACTGATATTCAGTGACTGTATAAATTGTCTTTTGCATTCCAGTAGAGTTTTGTTGTTTAAATACAATCAGTGATCTTAAATCAGCACCACATTGAGGTCAAAGTTAGAGATGCACCGATCTGGTACTGGTTAAAATATGATAACAGAAAAGCAAAGCCTTGATCTATCTGTTTAATTTAATGCTGTATTTAAGTTTCAATGTTCTTACTCGCTCATGCATCAGCAACATGCTAGGCAGCCGTTTTGCTCAATGAAAGTAGAAGGAAGCTCTCCCTGTATGCATGCAGGTCATGGGCCATGAGGCAGAAGTAGCAACCAGAGGGTTACAACTTTTTTCACAGTTTGTGACTTTATTGTGACTTGATGTAATTATCATTGGCCCATTGTTATTTGTTAAAAAACAGGCTTTTTTTTTTTTTTTTTTACAGAGTAAGCAGAGCCACATCTAAGCCAACAAACAGTGTGAAAGCCAGAACCGAATCTTGTCCACACTTTCAACACTTGTAAAAGTTATTCAAAATGATATTAAAAAGGCACCGGAGTATTAAGTTGAGGTATAAGTGATAAAAAAAACTTGAGCAGTGCATCCCTAAAATGCTTCCATAAAGGCTGATTATCAAGTTGATGCCACCTTCTTTCAAGTTTCCCTCCGATAGCATCATGTTTGAAATTCACTACATTTTGCAAAATCATCCATTTGATTAGTTATTTCTCTCAGCTGCTTCATCGTAAAATTTTGTTTCCTGTAAAGTTGAGAAATATTAACCACTAAGAATTATAAAGAATGGAATTACACATAAATCAAGATACTTAGGAGTGAAAGACTTCAAACCCCTCCTTTTGAATCTAAATGACCAACACAAATATTTATATGAGCAAAACACTGAGGAAGTCCCGGTTAAATCAGAGTGTTTATCCGTTGCAGATGATGTCCTCCTTTTAGACACGCTACCACTCAGTTTGAACTGTGACTTTAGAAGTGTTGGTAGATTCCTCCAATCACATAATGGCATGATAAGATAAACGGGAAAACACTTGAGACAGTGAAATTCCTTTTTAAGGTCTCTGTTACTAAAAGTGACATTCATAGATCACTATTTAAAGCCTTTTACTTTTTCCAGCCCTCAGCAAGACTAACTGATAAAAGTTCAGTCTCCACTGAGTTCTTGGTCCTCCGCTCTCACTGAGACTGGTCTTTACAGGTCTTCACATGAATTAGATGTTCACTCTAGTGGACATAAAATAAAGCCCGTTTCTGTTTTACTGTGTATGCTAGTTTCAATACTCCAGTTCATTCTCTTTTACCAATTATAGATTCGTGGTAAATTGTCATGACAACTCTCAGACTTGTTTATGAATGAACAAAAAAAGAGAAGTTGAGTTGATTTTTTTGGTTTTATTTTCTTTCTCCATGACTCTGTCATGTCTGTTGGTTATAATAAAACACATTCACAGGTTCACAAAATTTATGTTAATTACAGTAAATGGAGTTTTGATAACACTTCAAACAAATGTAACACAGTAAAGAGTAATTTCTTATCCTTAACTGAAGCAAATACTCATAAAATTTGCTTTCTTTTATAAAAGCTACTAGATATATATTTCAGTATACTATAATGTCTTTCCTTTATGTCATTACACAAAAGATTGCTGGAGACAAACATGAAAGTTCCAAACAGCAGAACTCATAACTTAAACAGCTGCACATTAAGGATATATATATATATCATATAAAATTAAATACTCATGAGTACTTGACAAGTGGAATAGTGTCTTTCTCTTGAAAAATATGTAAGTGTCAAACAATATCTGCAGCACTGCTTAGTGAGGTTATAATACAAAGTCTTTTCATGTAACAAAAGGAAAGACTGGGGAGGTCCAAGGTGAACTTAACTACGACAGTGGTGCTCAAGGGCTGTTCTGCTCTTTTTAATTAACACGTTCAAATATGCCGTCACCCATTTCTTACTATCATTTTAAAGAATCAGGAACATCTTTAAGGCTCACAGGGTGACTCTAACAAGAACCACAGAACATTTAAAGAACTTGGACAAAAAAATCCCCCACCCATGTAAAATAGTTCCTACAGTACCAACAGTATTTCAACATATGTAACAGAATGTGAGGATGGCTTTCACATTCAGCCTCCTCTGTTGTTATTTTCACATTATTTCCTAGCCAGTAGACAATATCAATAACCAGACATTTGGCCACAGAGTATGCCATGAAGATATTCAGAGACTTAGTCGAACACATAATTGAGGGGCACTCCGTTTTACTGCACCATTTTTGAGCCCCTACTACATTAACAAGGGCTTTGTTAATAGTTTTTAGGGCAGGCTGTGTTAAAAGCGTCGGCCACCAGGGGGCCCTGGCCACCTCTGGCCTCTGCCAGGTGGGGGGTGAGGCGGAGGAGAGACTGGTCCATTGTGGTAGCTGTGTAAAAGGATAAAATCACACATTGGATTTTTTGGCTTTGGCCAATAGAGGGCACACTCTGATAAGAGCAGCCAGCTAAAGTAGTCTATGAGGGGACGTTATCCCCACACAGTGACAGTGTACCTTTGAACGTCAAAATACAGTTGTGTTTTTTTGAGATGTCATTATTCCATGCACTATTTAATTATCTTCCTTCAAATATGTGAGCAGAAAGTGTAACCTACATTCATCTATGAATTAATCTTGGACTTGACATTTGCTCAACTAAAAAAAATTGGGGGCAAAAACTAGATTAGACCTTCTCTTTGATAGAAAAAGAGAGAAAGCAATGTGTTCAATAGAGGTCACAGTGAAGGAGGTTAGGCTATAAAGAGGCTTAGGAGGGAAGGGGCAGAGAGGAGTGGAAATTACGTCACAACCCTCAGTCTTTTGGCTCGCAGTTTACTGTGTATTTGTACCACAGATTTAAAGGAATGCAGCTGGTGTCAGCATGTTTAAACTGCTTAGCACAGGTATTCCAAATCCATTTAGGAATCTAAGAAGTGTGCGAAGAAAGTGCGGAAATTTGAAACATGCAAAGCTTCGGCGTGACATTAATATTTAAAAAGCACTTACCCTCTAGGGCCGCGTGGCTGGAAATGGCGTGGAGGTCCAGGGGGTGGCATGCCACGGCCTCGAGGGTGTGGTGGACGCCCTCTGAACCCGAGGTGACCCGGAGGAGGAGGTCCAGGGGGTCTGTGCCTATAGTGGGACAAAAATGAAAGGTTTGATTGTTTATATGCAGGGAACCATGAGTGGGGATACACATAAATAAATCTAGACTCATCAGAGCAACTACACAATTTTATCAATCTTTAAAAAAGTCAAAAAAGAAAATTGAAACAACAAACTGCTCCCCAAAAAGGATCAACTGGTTAAAAGTACTATTGCTTTACAAAAATACCAAGTGTGAGATCACTTTGAGGATCTAGGACAACAAACACACATCCAGTTCAGTTACCTTGGCATCGGTGGGAAGGGGCTTCTCAAGTGCATGGGGGCTGGTGGAGGGGGTGGAGGAGGGCCCATGCCCATTGGTCCAACTCTACCTCGATGACCCCTTGGGTCTGGGTATGGTCGCATCCTCCTCATTCCTCTGTGAGGCAAAGGCAGGATATTTACCAGAGTACAAATGATATCTTAAATAGGAGAGCAGCATATATATCACGGGCTGTTGTGTCACTTTTGCTTTTTTAATAAAAAGGAAAAAGATTTTGCCATAAATTTCAAAACCAAAGTGTTTATGTACTGCTTGATACTGTCATTTAACATCATATTCAATTTGAGCATCAGTACCTCATTGGTGCAAATCCATTCATTGGCCCATGTTTCAGACGTCCCCTCTCAAGCCCAGGTGGACCGAACCCTTTCATCATACCTCGCCCACCACGCATGCCGCCTCGACTCATCCGACCCCCTCTACCACGGCCTTTAAACCCACGACCCCTGAGGAGACGGAGATCATCTGTAAGGGGATCTTTCATGCCAGGACTTCAGATGAATTAACTCTTAGCTGAAGTAAGTGTACCATCAAATCAATCCAATGTAGAGGTGGCCTCTGGAGCACTGTATCAACCAATCAGAACTCTCCATGGCTTCTCAATTGTGGATATATATTAGCACAGTGGTTCTCAAGTCCAGTCCTCGAGGCCCACTGTCCTGCATGTTTTGGATGTTTCTTTGCTCCAACACACCTGATTCAAATGATTAGCTCGTTATTAAGCCATTACAGAGCTTGATAACGAGCTGATCATTTGAATCAGGTGTGCTGGAGCAGGGAAACATCCAAAACATGCAGGACAGTGGGCCTCGAGGACTGGACTTGAGAACCACTGTATAAGCAAGATGACACCCAAATGGAGAATAAAAACAGCTCATCTACTGCTGTTAGCAGTCTTTCTTTCCACCTTTCATAACATTGACTATGACATGAAATATTAATTTATCACTGTGTAGATGTTGTAGAGAAACCAGCAGACCAACCTAGCTTTGTTGTCCATGACTGGTTTTTCAGAGTCATCCTTGGAAGTTTTTGAAGTTTCTGTCATCTTTTCCTCTGTTTCTGCATCCATCTGCAAAAATGAAGGTCAGAATTCATATACAGCATAAGAATACTTCATATATGAGTATTTAATGATATAAGTCAACATCATTATCCTACAAATGAATCAGTAAAGAAAACTGAAATACAAAATGTTTCACATAGAACTGTGGAAACACAGAGAAATGAAGCACTTTGCCATTTAGGTATATATTCATGCAGAAATAAGCCAAAGGTCCCCTACAGCTATAAGGTAATCAAGCATGATTCCAACAAATGGTAACTTCATACCCTGTATCTAGTATACAGAAAAAAATATATTCACTAGCAGATCCAACAAATCCAATTTGATGTATTTCAAATTGCCGTTTCATTTCTGTTTCAGATGTTGTTTTTTATTCAAATATTAAACCCTGGAGAATCTAAAGCTTGGTTAACGAAATTAAACATTTTAGCAGGTTGTGAAATCTTTTATTGTAGCGATTTATGGTTTAAATGTTGAGTGAAAAGCAGATGTTTCCAACTATAACTTTGATTATTCATGAGATAATAAACACATACCATCAACATATTTGTGTTTTCATGAGGCAGCCTGTGGAGGTTAAAAACTGCTGCTCAGAATACCTCTGAAACATGAAACCTGAATGTTGAATTCTCTGCATTGTTCAATCACAGGGTGTGACAGGCTGTGTGCATGTGTTATACTGACAAAAGGTGACAAGTTTGAGGATTAGCATAGACAACTAGAAGTCCACACTTATAGTGGGAAAACTATTAATAATTTGACAGCACAGAACACAGTTGTGAAATGCGGCATCTGTGGCGCTGCTGAACTGAGTGCAAGAGCACTTAACTGTGATATAGAAGTGGGAAGTGAAGTGGATTGTGGGCACAAAGAAGAGGCTCTTATTTAACATACATGGAGTATGAGCATTTTATCAAATTAACCATCAACATGAGGTTATTGTGAGGAACTCTGCTTAACCACTTTATATGTTTTCATATTTGCTGTAGTCATATCTATTTGTTGTGTTTTTCTTTTCATTAGACTCTGTTGACACCTACAATAATGCAATAATGTGGCCATTCTACTTAGAGTAGGATAAACTGTTTGTTTTGCAGACTGTAGTGTTTGGAGTTAATCAATGGAAAAAAATCCACCTAAATTATCATTATAATGCATGAAATATTTAAGATACAGTGGGTGGTTGTGTATTGAAGTTTGTTGTATTGGAAGATTTCACTCATACTTTTCCATTTTTTCCCCACAGTTTCGTAACAACAGGATTTACAGTATAGCTGTTTTATTGGGTTGCACAAGACTGACCAAGTGATCATAACATTACGGCTCGTCTGTGAAAGTTCAATGTGTTTACATCATATCAATACAGGATATATGGTTTTGTAGAGCATTACTTTTGCCTTCACTAAAGTAGTCCATTCACATATAAAACACGTACACATTCAGAGGTATCACAATGTAACTACAAACAAAGCCAGCAGAGTCAGGCACGTCGAGCGTCATGGAAACATTTTATCCTTTCCTGAGGGACGTTTAGAGATGCAAGAGCTCTTAACTATTGAAACAAGAACAACAGAAAAACCCCATGTAACAAACGCGCTTGAATCACTCACAATGCTCTTCATTATTGTTAAGAACACTGGAGCAGATGTTTAGCATAGCTACATCAATACCTTTCTATGATGCCGAAAGGGGCCCGTCTAATTCCTGGATTAAACACCGCATAGGAGAGCAAACAGAATGCGTGTTTCAGTCCAAAACATTTCCCTCTGCGTGAGTAGTGTTAAAATAGGCTTCTAAAAGTTAAAAAAAACGCGACCTACTCAATAAAATATGTATTTAAAACGGTTGTTTCAGGTGTGAATTGAAATGTTGGTCATTCACAAAAGGGGCGTTTCTGTGCTGTTCAACCGTTCAGTAAAATGTAGCGACGAGTGACTTACTTTAGTTGGTGATGCACGCGAGGTAGAGTAAAAAGTGGAAAAGCGTTCCTATTTTTTGCGAAAATGAAAATGTTTTTTTTTTTTTAATTGTAAAAAAAATGTACAGAATTCCTCCAGGCTTGTTTGCCTCTGTCGCGGTTTGAAATGGCGGCTTCTTCAGACTATACTCTACTTCAGTTAAGATTTCTTTGTGAGAATACGCTACGTGAAGATCACGCCCATCAAGAGGTATTCTGGTGCCTGATTGGCTATTTATTACGTTCGTTCGACCTACCAGCTTTTTGATTGGTTTGGAATGTTGACGTACTATTCTAATTGTGCTGCACATCTTAAAGTCGGTTCATTGGGTAAGTAGGCCAGTTCAACACGTTAGAACGCCAATTAACTATGAATATTAATATGAATCTTTGAGTTGGACCTGGATCTGACACTTAATTAAACTGATTTATAAAGATGCAGTAAAGGTGTCGCTTCCTACTGAACTTTTCCAAATTGATGCATTAGACAATATAGCAGTTTGTCTGATTCTGTAGTCAATGTAAAAGGCTTTAACAAATAAATATGCTCCTGTTTCAAAACAACACTGACCAGTTACACATAAAATTGAACTTTGAGATGATTATTGGTGCATTAAGACACCATGAGACAAACAAATACAGAAATAAACACCAAGCTCTATTTCAAAACATTTAATTAATATTTTCCACAATGGCAGCCTCATATACAAAAATAAATGCCAAGTGCCCATTTAAACAATATTTACATCAGGAAAAGGGCAAAAGGTGAATGTGGAGCATGAAATTGATCTTAGTGATGTTGCACAACTCGGCAGACATGATTAACTCCATGTAACTTCATCAGATGTCTCGATCAGAGTAAATGTAAGAGTGGTCCATGTGCGTCCTTTACGCACGGTTCAGTATGTCTGAGAGCTGGTTGATGTATTCAATAGTGTATTTGAGGGTTTGTATTTTGGTCAAAGGTTGGCCTCTCTTGCTGTAGTCCGGTGGCAGATAGTCCCGGAGTTGATGCAGGGCCTCTGCGAGACTCCTCATCCGCATCTTCTCCCTCTCGCTGGCCTTCATGCGTCTTTTGGTGGACATCTTAGGTTTGCCGTGTTTCTGCGCAGCCGGAGCCGCCTTGCGTCCCGGGAAGCCAAAGGAGAAGTCGTTGATCTCCTGGTGCCCACTGGAGTAGCACATCTCCGGTGAGGAGCACATGGAGTCCATGGAGGACTCCGGCGATGCAGAATGAAGTGAGTCCTGATCTTCTCCAAAGGGGCTATCATGGCCTTTCCACTCAGCAAGAATGTTAGCCGTAACAGAGCCCAGGTCCATGTCAGAAATATCCAGAGACATCCAGGCGCAGAGAGGGTGACATGAAGGATGGCAGACGGGCAGATGGTGTGGAGGGGATTTTGGTCAAAGCGTTTTTATACACAAGCAGATCTCCGGAGGTTTATGGGTTCACAGCTCAGGCGAAAAAAAAGTTCAAAGAAATCCTCAAGTGCCAAAATGCGACCTTCTTGAAGGACGTCGTTCGTTATCACTGGGGTGTGAATACGGCTAAATAGACGGATAATGTGGTAGAAAGAAAAATAATTAGATTCCTTTTCTGCGGAATGACTCTTTAAAGTCTGCATGGCGACAATTGTCAGTTTGATGTGACGTGTCTAATTAAGGATTGCGAGGATGCTGTTTCACCTGAGAGCTTCACACCTCTCTGTCAAGTCAGGCCTGCGTGTGTCTGCAGTCTGGGGGTCACGAAATAGATGAAAATACACAAAGACCGTCTTAGTAATACAGCCTGAACTCATTTGTTCTTTATTGTGATTTTAATCATATCTAAACATAGTTTAATTTACAGAAATCACTGTCCCATAAAAGCCAAAATAATCTTATCCATAATTACTACTCTCACTATATGTCTACTTAAGTTTTTTTTTCCAGTCACCACCAATAATATCTACAAGACAGTAACACTCAACAAGTTCATTTACAAGAGATAGAGTCACTGGTTTCCCCTGACAAACTCTGAGATTAATAAGCTTTAGGAGGCTGCAGTAGGGCTGAGTTGTTATTTGGGCAGAGGATGCAGCTGTCACCAAGCTCCTGCCAGACCTTTCATGTCTGAAAAGGTGTGTAAGGCCTCACTCATGATCAAGGGGACCAACACTGGCAGGTTGTAAAACCAACAGCTCAGCGTCCTCTCTGTGTGTCCTGTTCAGATTCTGTGCTTTCTTTCTTTCCCTGTGTGTGTTTATGTTAAGTGACATGCAGCCTGTCAGATACCAGTGAGAGAAAATAAGCACATGTGGTGCTTTTAAGTGGCATTTAAGTCTGAAAACGGTGCTAATCCACAACCTCATCCCCTGATTTACAAAGGCTGATCCTCTAAGGGTCAAAGCGGCAGATTTTGGCAAAGCATAACAACACCTGTTTATCTGAACAATTCCAGGTATTAAACAAACTGTAACAAGAATCTAATAAAAGCTTATCATTAATCAAGTCCCCCTATTGAATTTTTTTCCACTCAGGGTCACATTGGAAGTATTTTCAGGAGCTTTCAAATCACATCTTGCACAAATTTGACTTTTAAAGGTGCAGCATGAGGATTTTAGCAGCATTTATCCCAACAAAAATAGAACATAATACTAATTCAAATGTAAAAACTGAACTAAAATGTGTTTCGTTTGACTGACAGTCCAAAATACAAAGATATTTGATTTATTTAAATGTAAAGACATGGAAAAGCTTGCTCATGTTTCTTCCCTTTGTTTCAAGGGTTGAGAGAAAGCCTCAACTAAAAACACTTATATGCTAATGTTTATCATCCTGCTGCTCACTTTAGGAATTTCAGTCTCAGCCTCTCTGCGAGTGGTAGTGGACTCTCGCTACAAATAACTGAGTCATCACTGTCCAACACAATAACAGGTGAAGCTGGAGTCATAGAGGAAACATCAGCATCCGTATGAGCTGGTGAAACATCCAAAACATTTGAATGTTTGCTGTCATTTGTTACAGGTACACTGTTTATGTCAAGATCCACACTGTGGCTCTTAACTGTTGGTATTAAAAGAGACTTGGCGTTGTGAGCTGTTTTTGCTGTTTTGGGTCCAGAACGAGGTTTCAGGGGGACATCAGAGAGGACTCTGCTCCTCATTTTTTTCACAGTCTGGATCTTTGGTTTCCTCTGAGGTTTGAACTTCTGATTCTCTGCATCACTGTCCTCGCTGGATGAACACACACTCATGCACACACTCTTCTTGGTGGTTTCGGGTACACTCTTATTTGTGTAACTTTGACCTGGGTCGGACTGGCATCTCTGTTTCGGGATGGATAATGATGATGATGAAGAAATGGCTTTTTTGACAAATTTATACTTCTGAGGAGGCTTTTCAGCGATATTACACAAGTCCTTTGTCTTTATTTGAGTTGATATTGTGGACTTCAGCTGCTGTTTTGAGCTATCAGTCTCTAGTTCAGACTTATTTGGTGCAGAAAGTGGTTCCTTTTTGCAAATGGCAGATTCTTTCCCTGATGTCTTACTGTCATTGCTACCTTTGCTGCTAATCTGTCCATTTGATTTTGAGTTAAAAGAAGAAATGAGCTTGAGAGGAGCTAACTCTTTAGCAGTGTTCCTCATTAGCACCCTCTCCCTAAGAGGACACTCTGTGTAGCACATCTCTGGAGCAGATCTGGACTCGCTTTCTTTGACACCATTTGAGGTATTTCTGCTTTTTGCTTCTATTACATTGCTTTCTGTGATTTTGGTCTTCTCAGGATCTTTGTGGTTTTCAGCCGATTGTGAAGTTGGGGAGGATGTGAAGGACGTAGCATCCCAGTTGATGTCACTCAGGTGCAGAGCATCAATAACTGCAGAGACTGAAGGAGAAGCAACAGCATCTGGGTCAGCTTCAGGGAGGTCATTCACAGTGCTGTGATTGTCTTTTGACTTTTGCTGCCGATCATATTTCACCGGAGTGTCTAAAACCAGCACTTCTGGCTCTTCTGGGTTCGAAATGACAGGGGGTGGCATTTGTGGAGGAGAAGTGGAGGAACTCTGGAGAGTCATCTGAGCCATGAGGTCTGAAATACCATCAGAGACAGCAGACGGCTTCTCCTTTTTGCTTTTTGGTTTTCTCTCTGGAAACACAAACAAGACTTAACATTAGAGTTAAATAAAAACAGAAGCATTTATAACATATGCATTCTGCCATCTCTACAGTGTGGGGTCATTCCTGCAAACACAGAAGTGAAGTCTTGGAAAGGTTATGAGCAGGGAAGTGGGAGCAAAGAGTAACCTGCATAAAGTGACAGCTATGTTTGAGAGCCAGACGCCTCTCTGCTGCATCAAAGCCTTCAGTGTGAACCGGTTGAGCTGCCAAACTCTACATTTTCAGGTGTCAGAGCGGCTGTAATAGACAGCTTTAGAAAAACAAGTCAGAGCTTCAGGCGCCTTTGATCAGCACATCGTGTCAGCAGCGTGGGAAGTCTTAGGAGGTTGTAGAAACTTTGGGGGTGGCTTCTGTTTTTTGTTTTGAAAACTACTGTCAGATACAGCAAATCTGGACATAAAGTAGTATAATTCACTTATAATTCACTTAATACTGAATGTTTGTGCTCTCATGTGCATTTCTTACTCTTGCCCTTGTTCTCTTCAGCCTCAGCTTTCTCTCTCAGGTATCTTTCCACCACCTCTGGAAAGGCCACATGGAACAGAGACTCTTCCTCCACCGTCCTCACCTCGTGTTGGTCGTCTGCAAGCCGATCCTCAGGAAACACATAATGTTCTGCAGGACAAAATGTGAAGGTTAGGTTCAAAATGGGGTTCACTGAGTTTATGAAGACTTAAAGACTTAATCCTCTTTCATTTTTGAGCTAGTATAGCAGACTTTTTCTAATTAGATCTATCTTCATTATTATATTTTGCGGATTTCTGCCTCTACCCTGGGGGGTTAAATGCATTAAATAGCAACAGGATCAGGAGTTCAATATATAGCAATATTTTATGGAAATATTTTATTTTTTTATTCTTTTATTTAAGGAATCATCAAGTTTGGCCTTTCTCCTCCAAACAACTTCAAGGATCAATAATTAATTAGAATATTAAAAACTGGCCTAATAACATGTGCCCGGACTATTCTGAGGTGTTGGAGGGAACCCCAAGCTCCGACACTGAGTATGTGGAAAACACAGATGCTGGGGACTGTAGCATGCGAGAAAATTATATGATAAAAGAAAAATGGGATAGTTTTGGTTGACAGATGTGTTAATTTTCTTGCCCTGCCAACCTATCTGCCCGTCTTATTTTTTGTTAATTTATTTTCAGATTTTTTATTCTATTTATTTTCTTTTATTTATTTCATTATTGTTACTATTCAGACCTCCATTCTGTCTGTTTTGTTTGATTTTTGTTTGTCTGTTGCAACGTTGAAAAAAATAAAAAAAATATATTTAAAAAAGGATCAATAATTAATTAAACAGTTGCTGATAACTTTCCTGATGCTCCATATTTTGATAAATCCTCATATCAAAGCAGCTCTATATTTAATGCATGGCATGATCACAGAATGATGCAGATGTGGATTTAGCATATGCAAATACACTGCTTGTTTCATCACTCAATGCCAACACATCATATAAAAAAAATGAAATCAGAGATGTGTAACCTTACATAATAAAATTACTCAAAAACAACAAGTTTATAGAAACATTTTCATGAACTGTTACTGTTGTACATTTAGATTCATATTTCATTTATAAAAAAATATACTCTTGTGTGGGTTAAAAATACCAGATCCAATAAAATAATATCACACATTAGGGACTATTTTCCAGAGAAGTTGATTGAGACTTTCCCGGGCTCATCTCATCAGGCAGCCTTGTTAGTAAAGCAGACTTGATATGACAGATTTCTCAGCCTGGAGAGGAAGCTAGTTTAGCACCTCATGGCTGTTGTGAGTGATCTATCACCTCTGAACCCACCTCACAGCAAGTCACTAACAGACAACCCGGTGACGGGCACCCCGCACCCCAGCCTCTGGCTCCTGCAGCAGTCATGTCACTCAAACCAGAGCATATTCTCTAAAATCTTACTTTTTTTGGTAATTTTTTTTCATGCAAGGACAACAAGAAGGACACCACTGATTATATTAATGAACATCTCTTGTTAAAAGATTTAAACTGACCTGGTGTGCTCCAGATGATTTCAAAGCAGGCGACTGAATTCCTCACTCTTGGTTTCAAGATTCTTTGTGGGGGAAAAAAAGTGCATGAATGAAGTATAAGGAGACTTTTTCTCAGATGTGAAATCTGAAGTTGAATTTGTAGGACTACCTGAGAGGCGTGATTTGGGAGGAGGATTCTCTTCTGTATTTTCTGTTCATGAGTTCTGCATAGGTCATCAAAACTAAAACCTTTTCACTGGTGTAGTGCTTCGGCCACTCCATCTTTTGAAGGGCAAATTTCTAAAAAATAAAATGTAATTTACAAAAAAAAACAACCAAACAGAAATACTGAACAAACTCACTTTAAAAAAAATTCATTACCTGCATTAAAAGCATGTTTGGCTGCCGCCTCCTGAAATGTGACACAGGCTTATCCTTGGGGATGAGAAACTCTTGAATGATCTGCAAAATATAATTTGATTATCTAAACCATCTACTGTGAGTCTCTACAGCTTATAAAAAAACATGAAGATGAAGTGCTGTACCTCTGTGAAAGGGAATTTTTGGTTTTCCAGGGTTTTCCTGAAAAAAGAGAATAATAAAAGATTAGAAACTATATGAAATCATGACACTCTTGTAAGTCATTCATCTCTGAAAAGTTTTTCATCTTTTTCAGATTTTTATAATCTTTGATTACATATATGGACACTGGTTGTATAGACAAAGTTAAGCTCTTCTTCTTTGCAGAAAAACACCTACTTCCTGATATTTGCCTCCAGGGTTGAGGCCTGACGGCTTTGTTCATGGCGGTGCCAGTCACACGGGCACTGGTAGTCAAAGTCCTGAGGCTGACAGAAATGTTCACTGTTACAAAGCAGGCAGCCGTTTCGCTCGTGTGTTTTTGCTGAGCCTGGAAAAATAAAGGATAAATCAGATTCAATATTTGATAAAATGAGTGGTATTAAATGTAAAACACTTCTATAACTCAAGTGTAAAGTCAAAAAAAGTGTTTTCTGACTAACTCGTCTCTCACATATGTGTATGTTTTAACATGACATATTAAATGGCTTTGAACCACGCGTGAAATGTGTCCTCCTAGACCCCCTCCTTATGCTTTTCACCTTTTATTAGGATCAGGAACAAGGTCAGAGGTCAGAGCAGGGCACCACTCACCAGGATGTCGACATACGTGACAGTGAGCAACCTTCTTAACAACCCCCTCAAACACCTCTGTGGTCTTTTCCTTCCACTTGATGAACCTGAGGTGATAAGAAAAAGAAAAAAGGTTATTACAAAATCACAAAACTTTGGCATAAATACAATCCTTATGGGAAAAAATATAACCATCATGTACTGTACATGCGTATATTAAAAAATGCAGGTGAGGACTTTTTTTTACCTTTGTAGAAGAGTCTCTCCTTTTAGTATCTGGATAAACCTTAGAGCTTGCTCTTTACCAACACCTGATATCCCCTAATGGAAGAAAAGCAATGTACAGTTCACATGTTATTAGAACAGATGGATTTTAAGACTGGATATTTCAATCTGACATGCCACCCTTACTTTTGGAATATAATCGCAGCCAAGGAGGACAGCAAGACCAACAAGATCCTCTCTGGAGAGATGTAACTCTGTTTGCACCCTTGAAGTTTTGTAACACTCCACCTGTGGGTCCTGGAAGTGAAAGGGAGAAATTAAATGTTAAAGATGTGGAGATTTTTTCCATAAATTCAGTGTGTAAATGAGCAGAAAATTGAACAGAAACGTTTCATTCTGATTTTGATCCATTTGAGCGATTTAGGCTTATCTTCATTTTACTCACTATGGATGACAGACACAAGCTCATATAAACATACTTTACTGTTCATGTTGAAGTTTCTGTACACAGTTTGGGCCCCGTACAAGAATGCGTCGCCATCATTGGTGATACAGCCATCCACCAGGCCCTGGGAGTCCAGATAGGCACACATGGCCTCAGCCTCTCCAGCTGCTGTCACCCATGGCACACCCATACAGTCCAGCATCTCTGCACACTGCAGAGGCAAGAAAGAGACAGGATGATAAAAAAACATGAGTGTTTTCATCGCCAAGAACAATCATAGATACTCACAGACCAATCACAAGTTTGTAAATGTGCCATTTTTGTAGACAAGATCAAAGAAGTGATACATTTATTTTTCAAGATGTAGTGGGTGGTGGTGGTGTAAATAGGAAGAGCAGCCAACCTCTCTCAGCACAGCATTGAAGCGCCCCCTGCTGGTCTTTGTGGTAGACTTGGAGACAGGGGCCTTTTTAAACCCTCCATATCTTGATGCTATCCTTGTGCTCATGGTTTCAGCCTTTAGTTTTGGGGCCTCTCCCTCCATCACAAAGACAAGCTTGACCCCCATCAGAGTTAGAGATGACACCCGGAAAAATAAAGTCCTGAACACAAAATACCACGGCAATGGCGGTTAAACGTGTGCAAAAGATTCAATAACTAAAGCAAACATCATTGGGGGTATTATTTTCAGGACGGTTACCTCAGATGGGGCTTGGTGACCCTCCCCATCATTGCCTGGACATGCTGGGCTTCGCACACCCACAAACTCAGGTCCACTGCCAGAGTCTTTCCGCTCAAACTATACAGCGGAACCGACTCACGAACTGGTTCGATGATAGACCACAAATCTTGAACACCCATGGCTGCCCACAAATGGGTTTACCGCGTTTTTAATACAGGGAGATTTGCAGAAAGCTTTGACACGACACAACAAAAACCGAACAACAGCCCGCAGATTTCAAACTGTGGCGCCGTTGGGCCGCGTTCCAAACAGTTGGGCACCTCTGTCGTACACTGCTATGTCTCTTCATTAGTTGAATTCCGATTTCAGTCAAACTGGATTTGATACTTCAGTTTTATCCGAAATTCGAGGCTTTCTGTGTACTAGTTCAGATAGTCAGAAGTTTTGACAATGCAAAAATGAATAAACAGAATCAACAAAGTGGAATTAGGCCTGCCATGTTAACCAAGACGTCATATCAAAGCGACTTCAAATGCTTGTTACTATGGATACGAGGTCCATGTAAACAGACAGGGAAGCTTTTTTACCTTTTTTCGTCTTTTGTGATATTTTTACTTCAGTCATGGACTCAAAAATTCAAATAGAAATAGTCGGATTAATCAAAGACTATAACTTTCACGTTGCAAAAAGTATAGCAGAGGTAAATATTTCATTTCTATAATTTCTTAAATCTACATTTTTATATATAACTTAATAATACTGTTTACCCCTGAGAATTAACACTTGTATCTCTTGACTACACCATACAGGGGCTCAAACAGAAGTTTCCTGAGGCATTTCTGGATCCAAAAGTTCAACCACTACTCGAATTCGACTGGCATGCGTATCTTTTAAACAAGAAAAGGGTAAGTCGAATAAAAGCCAGTTAAGATTATCAGGTCATGCCCATTCATCCATGTGGCTAGTACCTACAAGTTTAGGTTAAGATTATACTGTAAATGTCAAATGTTTAATATGCTAAAATATTTGTCTTTTTTACATTATTATTGTTTTTTGTGCTCATAATCTTCAAAATAACCTAAACAACCCTCCCAAATCACTCAACCATTCATTTGTAAAATAGAGCAACAAAAATGCATCAGTTGTATGGTCTTGTGTAATAGTCTCTATTGTTCTACCCCTCATGAACCTATCTGGAATCAATGAGTTTGTTATAAATAATAGAAGCAAATTTATGAACAGCTAATCACACCCACACACCCAAATCCTGCTGTAGTTTGACGTTGTGGTTATTGTGACTTGCTGAATGAATCACAAAACATTTGCCTCTCCGCACTTGTGATTCAAGGAGCTGCGTGGTGAAGTGTGGCAGTACTCCAGCAGCCTGATGTGCTCTCTCAATGGCATCCCCCTCGGTGATGAGAAGGATCTTGTGAGCTGGGCTGGTGATCATTGGAGTTTCATGTTCACTCAGCCACAGGCTTTCTTTGTGGCTATGGCTGAGGACTGCTATACCAAACATTTACAGAAAACGGGGGCAAGTCAACACTAAAGTTATAGAAACTATTATACTAATATAATATTTATGCTGGTAAAGTTAATTTGACCTTTTTTACATTACCTTATTTCCAACCAAAACACAATTATATTCATAATCAACTTCTGTGAATCATTAAGTTGACGGCCCCTTTTTATTCATTACATCTTAATTTATTATAAAGATTGAAATTAATCTTACATGAATATATGTCTTTTTAATATAGCATCAGTTTGTTTACATGGACATTGAGATAGAAGGAGAAGAAGCAGGGAGATTATTGTTTGAGGTGAGTCACCTAAAACACATTTAATCTTTTCCTACAACAAAACCTTGCTCCCCCAAATTAAGAAACGCACTACTGGATGATTATATAACAACATGTACAAGTGATTGAAGTACTTTTACATGACAGTAACATGTAAACAATGCACATTGTCTTCCATTTCCCCTAGCTGTTCCCAGATATTTGTCCAAAGACATCAGAGAACTTTGCAGCTCTGTGCACAGGAGAGCAAGGTCTGTCAGAGAGTGGCTACCCTCTTTGCTACAGGGGCTCAGTGTTTCATCGTGTGGTGCCCAATGGCTGGATTCAAGGTGGAGGTATGACACAAGCACACATAATCTGTTACACAACTTTAGCATCTGTGCTGTTAATTCTATTTACCAAACAATTAGTTCTGACCAAACAACCTGATTGGACAAAAATTGGCACCCTATGAAGTGCTGATATAGGAGACAACATCACATGGATTTCCAGTGTATCTATGTGTAACTCTGCTGGTGCAAGTGTTTTTCTTGACCACTTAGCTACTAGCTGATATCTCTGAATCTCACAACATACTTCTGTTTCATTGGCCGCACAATTAGATTATCAGGCATCAAGAACAATTTCCTGTACACTGCCTCACTTTAAGCTGACGTGTTTATTGACTCATACAACATTTCGGTCTGACAGACCTTCACTGCTAGTGTGCTGAAGCTTTTCTCATTGTTTTGAAGTTTACTCTCCTCCAACTCATGCGTCACATATAGTTCAGAGAGTTCAGCTGTTCAGAGATTTTTCCTCAACATTTGTACAATTAAATTATATGTAATAAAGTATATGTTATTCACTGTAATTATGTGACATACTCTTCTGTTTACAGTGTTTAAGATAAAAAAATCTTCAATGTTCTTTCTGTATTGCACAACATAGTTTTGCACAATAAAGCCCAGCTCTTATTGAGATCATGGATGAAAAATAACATTTTTAAAGTAGACTGTGAAAGGAATTAACAATATCTTATTTAAAAAAATAGCATCGCTTTGGTGTAGCCATGTGGTAACTGTATGTCTTTCGTTTTGCAGATATTTCTCTGGAAAGGAAAGGAAATGGAGGAGAGTCAATCTATGGCCCAACTTTTGCAGGTAAATATTGCAAGACATCTAATTTTTTACCATCAGAACAAACTGTGTATGAATGTACAATTTGTTATTAGGATATTTCTTGCACTGTCTGCAAGTCTACTGGAACATGAGTGCTTTTTCCTTTAGATGAGAGCTTTGCCGTGTCCCACTCCAGACGAGGAACTCTAGGAATGGCAAATAAGGGCCCCCACAGCAATGGATCCCAGTTCTACATCACCTTACAGCCAACACCCTGGATGGACAGAACTTACGTTGCCTTTGGGTTTGTTTTAAATTTGTCCTTTTGAAATGTCCAAGCTTTGGGATCATGCTGAAACTTCATATATTTATCTCTTTTCTAGTCAGGTGGTGGAGGGTGTGGACGTCCTCAGGAGATTAGAAGGGGTTTTGACCTGCAATGAAAGACCAAAGTATGAATGTAGAGTCAAAGGTTGTGGAGTGTTTATGTGTAATAACTGATGTCCTTTTACTAACAAAAGAACAATGTGTCTCATGAGGTAAAATAAACAGAAGATAAAAGTTACGTTTTTTAAATTTTCTTTCATACAAAACCTTTTTGGTTTTAGATGTTATGTTTACATTCAGTTTATACCATAATTCAAACTGTTTAAGATGAATGTCCTTGTTAAATAGCATTAATTGTTCTTAAAGGGAGTCCACATCAGTTAATCTGAAAATTTAAGCTATAAATAAACTTTTGAAATCAGAGCCTCTGCAATGTGTCAAATATAGTCTACAGAAATGTATCACTGTATTTTGCGCTGATAACTTTCTGTATTATCACAGAGTATTACACTGTATGCCTGACAGTCTTTGAGACATGTGACAATACAGTCATAGACTAAAATAATGAGTGACATGAATATATGAAGTCAGTTATTTAGATATCTGACATAACTGATACCTTTTTGTATTATCACAGAGTATTACACTGTATGCCTGACAGTCTTTGTGACATGTGACAATACAGTCATAGACTAAAATAATGAGTGACATAAATATATGAAGTAAGTGATTTAGATATCTGATATACATTCATGATCTAAACCAAAAAAATGTAAAAATGATTGTGAAATATTTGTTCAATACCAAAAAGCATTATAAAAAAGGACAGTGGGGTAAATTTTGTGGTCGATAGACAAGAGCATATAAAGCAGTCTGCCTAAAACAGGGGGTGTATTTTTCCATTCCTTTTTATGTGTTCATAGGTGAAATGTTTGTTGTTTGTAAAAATAAATGTCTGCAATTACTAAAGCCATATCATGTATTCACTCGTGATTATTCCCACATGATAGTAAGGGATCGAGTATTGTGAGCAGGCCATTGTAGCTAATTTGAACCCTGACCCTAGCCCTCTGACTCACCATGGAGAGGTTCTATGCATGATTCTGTGGACTGATTTAGTGTGAGATCAGGTGGTTCCTGACAAGTGTTAGTTCTTCACAACAGCAGTTTGATATTGAGATATAACAGACTGTCCCTTTGGAGTACTGACCAATTACAATCAAGCGTTTAGGAGCCTCACGATAAAATATTTTATGTGTAGTTATAGCAGTCATGTGGGGCTTTTTTAAATTACATTTTACGATTACAATATACCATTAAAAATATACCAGAAAATACAAACAAACTAACTAACTAAAGCAAACATCTACAAGACAAACAAACAAAAAACAAACACCAGCAACAAAAACAAACAGACAAACAAAAACCAGTAAGAAAATAAATACCGGGTAAGAAGTAAGAGAAAAGACAAGTCGTCCAGATGATCAACGATCTTATATTTGTCCAAAACAGAGTCTGTTTTCAGAGCCTTCTTGTTCTTAAGTCGATTAATAACTGTGCAGTATTGCTTCAGTTAATTTAGAAAATGGTCAAAGCTAGGTTTAGAGTCAGTCTATTTTTTCTTGTGTATGTGAAATTTACCAAGAAAAAGAAGTAACTGCACAAAAAAAAAAAAAACTTTCTCCATCTGCTTCTCTTCAAAACATATAAGGATATCTTTGTCTTTTAGATGGATTGATTGTCCTGTTTTCCTATAAATGTAATTTTCCCTCCTGAATATTCTAGAATACATGCAGTGATACAACAGATGGAAAATTTTTCCTTCTTCAAGACCACAGATAACACAAGAATACTCAATATGGAGGTTGAATCTCTGTAGGGTTTTCTTTGCTGGATATATTCTATGCATTATTTAAGCCAGAGCCGGCCCAAGCCTCAATGGGGCCCTAAGCAAAATTTGATTTAGGGGCCCTCTATTTCTGCCAATAATATTGATTGTTGATCATTCACACACCTTCACAAATCTCTTTAACTTCCCATGACATAACTTTACCACACAACTACCCGCGCTTTGGATGCTCAGTGCACATTGCACAGCAGAAGGCACATAACAGTAGCGGAGCTTTGACATGTCTACAGTAAGAATCATAGGCCTGCAGCAGCACTAAAATGTTTTTACTTTATTTATTTATTTATTTTTACAATAATAAATATTAGATCGTACAGAAAGCATCACTCATACATGCATCTTTTTTAAATGCTCTTGAGGGGGCCCCTATTTGCAGGCGCTTGGTTCGCTTATGCCTTGGGCCGGCTCTGTTTAATTTTATTATTCAAGCAGAACTTCTGCCCAACTAACCAGATTTTCCTCCAATCAATATCTCCAAGTCAGTCATGTGAGGCTGGCTCGGGCGTGGAACTGAATGTGGCGTGTTTAATGGGGCCCAAACTTCCTGGCAGCAGCTCTGGTTCTAGGGGGCAGTGAGCGTGGTGTACTTCTGCCCGTGGACCCTCAGGCATTGAAGCCTGGCCTTGGATGATACGAGAGGTTATTTTTAGCGTATTCCTCCAGGTGCGTGTACTTGGAGGTATTTTGTCTTTCAGTGGGGTCATGTGTAACAGATAAGCAGAAGTGAAACAAAGAGATGTGGTTTCTCCAAATATAAAAAGCCCTGTCGGTTAACCGTACGAGGAGCTCGCACGCGCTCCCTCGGTGTTTTCTCACCCCTCCCAAAAAAAAAGCGCCACGTGACCTGTCAAATAGGAAGTGGTGCGCGAGCGAGGAGCAGCAACGACCAGGAACGCAAGACGAGAGGGAGCGGTGAAACCTCCTTATACTTACTCTTGACGTCTTTGCGAAGAGAACTATTTCCATTTAGAGCGGATAGGGCAGATACTTGGCAGCAGTCATGTTCATGAAGGCGGTGTTTTTCGCTGTGGTTGTGGCTCTTCTCGGGGCTTCATCTGCGACAGCCGCAGGTAAGTTTGCGTCCTCTCAGTGCTGAGCTAGCGGCTAGCGACCGCCTATTTAGCTCGGTCAAGACATCCCCAGTTTGCTGATTTTTATCAGTGTGCCTCCATTTTTTAAAGTCACTGACTTATCTTTGTTTAGACAGCTGTCACTCATCCTTATTTCGCTTTATATTATGCTTTATGGTAACTTGTCAGCTTCATATTTACGCTGGTCAGAGGCACACAAGTTGTCAGGACTCTGCTAACTTTAGCTTTAGCTTCACAGCAATATGTGCTAACTTTTACTCTGTAAAACTCCAGTATTTGCTTATAAAGAGTAAAATAAGAGGGTACAGAGTGAGCTGGAACAAGACTGGTGCAATACTGCTTTGGGATCCAGTTGATCAGGTACCAACATGGACCAGATCAGCCTGTTACGCAACAGCCTTACATTACAGTACTCTGTGTTGACTCACAGTAAAATCAATGATATTGTCACGCTTTGCTGTGTTAGATTGAGCTTAAAGGTTGTCATAAATGGTTAAATCCTTTTCACTTAAAATTAGGAGAACTGCTGAGTCAAGATACGCCGCATGCAGGACGTTGCCTTCATATACCATGACTAACTGATCTGTGATTTCTTTGCAGATGAATGTTCCTCTCTGGCATGTGATGTATGTGGAAACACGAGTGACTGCCAATGGGTTACTTGTCCAAATTGTGAGTATTCGTCCTAAATGTGGTTATGTGTGTGTCAGGTTAAGGAGCGAGAGGCACAGGTTGGTCTTTGTTTGTCCTAAATTGTGCAGACAGCTGGATTGATTGGACACATGATTCCTGGGCATGGGGAGAATGTATGGCAGTGGGTGCTGACTATTACATGATGTCATTGCATTTCTCATAAAGCTTGAGCTATACCATAACTGTGTCTGGGCATCCCAACCAACATTGCTGATCTGAACGGGGTGATTTTGAGGTAAATAATGGACACATTGAGCCCATTTGGCATTAATTCTGCTGTGATTTTATGGACAATTACTGTTTTACTCCAATAAAACCAAAGTAAAGACTTGATAGTGTAGACTCTGAAAATGTGGATGTTTGGTTGTGATGGTGGCCTTCATCTCTGCATCACAGTTTTATAGTTTCATTATGTTAATGGAAATATCCGTCCACACATGAGAAATCCTCTTGACTTCAGCAGCACAGAGGGGGTTGTGGTAATAATCGCTATAGTGGAATTTTTTTTTTATAGTGATTAGGAAATCCTGCTTGTTGTGATAAAAAGGGCGCAGTCAGAAAGTGCATGACTGATTGATTTGTGAAGCAACCAACAGATTTTTATTCACTGCATGTTCCTTGTTTGGTTGCTGATTTATAGCAGGCCAGGAGTGGGGCTTAATGTTTCTGTGTTGTCACTGGTGTCGGGAAATTAGGTTGCAGGTTTTACAGTGGAAGTGGTTGAATTTTACATTGTAAAACTGTAGGCTTTGTCACAATTTCCAGTGTGACAAAATCATGCAAGAACACTTCTTATCTGTGTTTGAAAAGGCAGAGGGAACACTATCTCTCGAGCTGTCTGCTGAAACAGAACCTTCTAGTTAAAAAAAAACAGTCCTCACGAGTATTTTGATTATCAACCAAATCGCCCTGGAGGGCCTTCCTCCGACGTTGGCCTGAGTTCATTCAGCGTGTTTACTCTCTAGTGCCTGTGAATAAGATGAACAGAAGAGGAAGCGAGGGAATGTGTGGCAGGAAGCCTGCAATATCCTCACATAGGGGAACAGAAGGAAGGAGAGGATAACCACACGGGTTAGAGGAACGAGTGTGCAGACAAGCGAAGCTACACCAGCCTTGTTGTGCTCAGAGTTTGTGCCTGGGGTGATGGTCAGGACCAAGAACAGACTGTAACATGTCCACAAGTCTTATGTGTAGTTTAGAATTTAGGACGTTGAAAAGACAAGCACTGGTGTTTCACCTCTCATGGAGAGCTGACCTGTTTGACAGCTTCCCACATGAAAAGCCGTGATTCTCTCCGGGAAAGACTGGTATGATATTTTGTGACCCCACACCCTCCTTTTGTTTTGTCTCTGTATGTAAAAGAGGCACGTTACTAAATGATGTATCAGGCTGTTAAACAGGACAGGTTAGATGACTATTAAATGCCTGTCTACCACAGAGCCATTGGTGACAGGATGTGTTCTCAGGGAGTGATGTACTGGTTTACAAAGCACACACAAAATACAAGCTGGGACATCAACATCTGTGCGATCTTTAAACTCTGTTTTTCCCTCAAAAGATTTTAATACTGCAACTAGATATAAGATAGTGTGCTATTTTTAACTTTTTAATTTAATCTTTCAAGGACGTACATGGTACATGTTGTCTTGAAAAGATTTTACACCATATTTTAAACTAAACAACATAAAGTGGGTGAAACAGATAAAACACAGCTTGAAACGTTTTTAAAAATGAACTATGACATGTAAGAAGTCTTATGCATTTATTAGTAAAGTTTTTAAAGTAGCCCCACTCTTGTCTTGCCTTTCTGTAGTTTGATTGATTGAGCTTTTTTCTGTTTTTTCTTTTCTTTTTTTTTGTTGTAACCATAGCGTCATCCAGGTATTTTTCTCCATGATAAACGGCTTAAATCTCACCTTTTCAACTGGAAAAAATAATCAACAGATCAGTCAAAAATGAAAACAGTCGTTATTTGAGGCCCTTAAGGATTTGATTTGCTGGTTTCTTTCCCTTTTAATCCTCTGATGTTTACTGTAAACAAGTTGCAGGACATTTCAGGGAGGTTTGCTGGTTATATGTTTGGCCTCGAAAGAAAAATGGTTTCTCTCAGTATCTCCTCATTCTGTTACACACCGGTACAAATGACCCACTAGCCTGCAAAACAGGATACAAGCGGGTATAACCAAAACACACACAAAGGAGACCCAAAGCTAAAGCCTTCCACAAACTTGAGAATAGATCACCTATTTGATATGAACTCAGCAAAAAAACAGAAAGGTCAGCTCTGGCCGGCTGCTGAGCATAACCACACTGCTGCAGCGAGCTAACGCCTACCACTGTATCATTACCAGATTTATCTTTGGTTGCAGGGAGTTAGTGTAAACAAGCTTTTTGGCTTGAAGCACATTTCCCCGCAGCACAATGTTTAGACGCTGAAAAAGTTTACACGTGTACATACAGGCTCTGCTCAAAATACAGGCTGTAGTCAGAGACGATGTCTGGTTAGCTGGTTAGAGGTTGTTTTTCTGTGTTAAGACTGTCAGTTGAGGCTCCCACTTACACCTCCACCGCTGAGATAGCAGTGACTGTACTTTTTTTGTTGCGGTGATGATGTCACTATCTTGAATCAGGGTGAGAGCCAGTCCTGCTTTTCACAGCTGCCTGCAAGATAACAGCCCCTGACCTACAGGAGAGTGAAAAGAAGAGCCTCCCACATGGCTTGACTTGCAGAGATCACATTGCAGATTGCACAAAGAGTGAGAAAAATAATGCGGCCAACACTTTTCAGATGACTTAATCTTTAAAGTTAGTAAACCACAGTTGAGACGGCTCTGAGTCTGTTAAGTTTCCAGCTTTATTAAGTTTCACTTTTTGATTTTGAACATAGGAGGCATCTGATTTTTGGTGTTTTATCAAGCCTGGTTTGTTTATCATGTAATGGCGCAGGATCAGCCTTCTTGAAGGTGATAAAAACGTACATAAATCAGAGTAAGGATGAAGAATTCTGGTCGCAAAAATCTCATAAAATAACCGCTTTATAAAACCATAAGCCAAAGTACATCGTCTGAACTGAAACTAAAACCCAGGCTTCTCAAACTAATAATTATAGCAGGACAGCTATTTGTATGTTGTTTGTATCCAGAGCAAGCTCATAAAGCTGTGTAATCTGATAAAGACCTACCACGTTGTGAGTGAGTGCAGCTCTGTGAGCTGTGGGAAGAGCAACACTGGTCAGTAGAGCCATTTTTGACCCTATTTGGAGAAAGGAAAAAAGGTGCGTTCAACAATAGCTGCAGCCCTGTTGTTAAAGTTGGTGTTTCTTTGATTTATAGGCAACCATCTGGAGGAAGTTCTATATTCTGATCACTGAATTATTGCATAACAAGCAGGACCAGGTGCACAGCGCTGAACATACGCAGTTCCCTTTATGGTGTTCCCGTATGGCAGGATAACAACCTCTTCATGTGCTCTTAGAAACACATGCAGGAGTGATTTTTATCACCACAATAAGGTCAAAGGTATTCAAAGGCCCCTCCTGTCCCTATAATGAACCCACATCGAAGCCTTATGGGAAAACTATTTTTCACTTACGTATTACTTGAAGAGTTTGCTTTCAGGTCCTGTAAAATAGCATTCCAGAGAGGACTGAGACATGTCAAGGCAATGTGCGGCCATTCAAGAGATTTGTATACTGCTAGCGTACTCTCATTAGTGTGTCCATGACACCCAGGTTAGTCAAAGCACAGTGTAGCTTTTTTATTTTACAACATCATGTAAGAGTTTTTAATTGAATAGCTTGCCTGAAAGTAGGTCAAGATTTCCCACAACCCAATTTTGATTCTACCAGATGTAAAAGTAGTCTCAAACTTGGAGATGTATTAATTGTCCTGAGGAACATTAATCTCACCTGAAAGATGCAGGAATTTGAAACTTTCAAGGATTGGCTTTTGAGTAGTAATCAAAACACGAGTTGGCTTATTGTCAGCGAATGTCCACATCATCCACTTTTATTAAACTTCAAACTAAAATCTGCAAACTGCAAGAATGATCTTGTTGTTTTCTCAAATACTTTCCCTTATTACTATCCAGGCAATACTAAATTTTCGATAGGAGCACTACTTCTGTGCTCAAGCTTTAAATGTAATTTGTTGATAGTGTGGCCTGACTACCAGCAGTAAATTGAACACCGGGTAACTGGGTGTGAAAAGAATCTATAGTCACAAGGTGCTCTCAGTCGTGACTCATGGTTTCTCACATGGGACACAGGCAGATTTGCTCCATTAAAAAAATCCAACTCAGAAATCAATAGAAGTCTCTGTTGTTTGTTTGTTTGTTTGTTTTTTAAATCAAAGGTGTTTGAGATTGTAAATCAGAAAAAAACAAGGTTCTTTGTGTGAAATGACAAATAAGAAAACAGGTGCTTCGCTGTAATTTGACGTGTTGTTATGTATTTGGGACAGACAAGATGTCATGGCAGGGCAAAGTCTGTTTCTGTCTGGGTTAAAGAGTAACCTGAGTTTACAACAAAAGGGAAAACTCATAAATGATCAAACTATGAGTCAGCAGACAGCAGAACATACAGGAACAAACAAAGAAATAAAAAATGTCACAATCGCCACTTAAAGCTTTTAATCATGATTAGAATAATTAAACTCCTCTTATATTACTGTTAATTCAGTTGTTATAATATGCCCCATTTTAATAAGCTTCAACATCAAAACAATAACCATTCATGTTACTCTGAGTTTGTACTGAACTTTACTGTGAGAGTGACCAACAAGCAAATGAACTGTTTCTGGAAATTTAGGTACTGTAGCCATAAATAAACAAAAAATACAGAGTGACAAATTCTTTTACTACTGTGCTCATTACAGTCAGAAATAAAAAGTGCGTACTGAACATGTTTCAGACATGTTGGTCATTATATTATCAAGCGTTCTGATGAGGGCGGCAGGATGTGGGGGAAAAAAAACCTGTGCAGGATGTGAGCTTGTGTGAAAACCGCCCCAGTGGTCTTAGAGGGGAAATAAAAGATAAACCGACCCCCTGTATGTTGTTTCTTTACTGTTTGTATGCACCCAACAAGTGAAAGACATGTCATCAGATTACAGAGAAAATAGAGAACTTTAACTTGAAGAACCAAATAAGTTTAGATTACAAGTGAGTAATTGGCATCTTCTTGGTGCAATTTCTAAGTATAAATTCAGAAGAACTTGGTATTAAATTTGCATTAATTGTTTTGCATCCAGCTAACTAAAGACAATTACAGTTTTTTTACCTTTCCTTTGCTTAAAGCACTACATCCTTTCAAAACATATGAGGTGAAATGTTGGATGTCAATGCTGAATGTGGACAAAGTTATCTTTTGTAAGGTAAACATGTTGTCATCCCAAAATGAGACTGCAGGCTGATCTGAATGGTTTGCTCAAAGAGAGAATTAAGCAAGATTGACTCTAGATTTGCGCAGTAGTTGATTTAAAAGCGTAATAAACATAAAACTTGGTTTGTTGCTCTGGGTTACACCCTCTTTAATTCATATTTATCATGTATAAGGTATTTCATCCTTGTTACTTTTGTGTCTTTCAGCACCTGCCGGCTGTCAAAACATGAGTCTTGTGGCAGAAAATGTGACCTGCTCTAATACGAGCTGCTCAGGTAAGTCCATTTGCTGAGTTGTTATGAATATTAACATTTACTTTTTGGATTTAAGAATCAGCTGACAACTGTTTTTCTTCAGCTTTGAGTTTACTGTAGCTCCTTTTTTTGGTGTAAATAATCTCTAACCAAAGTGTTGATGGAGGATCAGTCCTTGTGTTTGGCTCTGTCTTTTGTCTGTCTTCTTTGTTGGTGTCCAAAAAGACTAATTGTCTCTGTGAGAGGAAAAATGAGGAGGCTCTGTCGTTTAAAACCTTGTTGTTTGGGTGGTGTCTTTCGCTTTTTACCCTGTCTTGGTGTTGGTTCCCTGCAGACCCGACTCCAAGTACTGCAGCCCCGACAGGTGGCTCTACTGCTCCCCCCCCTCCTCCTACTACAGCTTCCCCTATCCCTGTTGTCACCACCTCTTCCTCTAACACCAGCGAAACCACAGGTAACCAGTCCATGAAAGCCTCTGCTGCACCTCCTGCCATACTCTGTGTTGTCCACTTCAGGGGGCATAAGTTAACTTTTGTTATTTTGTTTTTTCAGTGATGTTGCCATTAAATTGATATTTTGTTTTACTGACCGCTGTATGGTCAATTTTAGTGCAAAAGCAGATTTCTATGTCCATGCTGCCCCCATATACTTTAAAGGTTAACAGGTAACAATGCAGTAAAATGATAACAGCTTCATTGTTCTTTATGATCTTTATACGTTGTGTTATATTAATACAAATGCAGACAAAAAATAGTTTGTCTAAATGCTAACATCCTAAGCACAAATATGCGTGTTTGTTCAGGGTATTATTTTTGCTGTTATTTGGCAAAGGAGTCGTCCACAAACAAGAGGGAGCCACTCCTCTCCAAGGCAACATCCTTAACTGGGCTCATCCAGCTACTCATAATTTTTCCAGATGAACTTTTTTTAAATGCTGTGAATAGATAAACAAGTGTTTGTATTCCTGAGAAAGTATCTGCCCAAAGGGTGTCAACAACCACCACATTTACTGTTATCATAGCCAACCACAAGTACCTTCAGATAAACCAGGACTTTATTATAATGAATACAACTTTAGGCAAGTCGTAAGTGTTATGTTTTTGCAAAGGCTAATAGAAGTGTTCTCATTGCGATCTCACTTCAGACAATTCAACCGTCTCTACCACCATTGCCCCGACTCAAAGCAGTAACACCTCTATTCCTACAACTGCATCTCCTTCAAGTAAGTCGCCCACACTAAGATTGATCTCGAGTTGATCCAAAGAGAACTGGATTAACTTTGTTTTCTTTTGCTCTGTCTTTTCTCAAAGACGGAACAAGCACAACCACCACACCGGTCGCCCCCTCTCCAGCACCTCACAAGAACACCTTTGACGCTGCGAGCTTCATCGGAGGTATAGTCCTGGTTCTTGGCCTTCAGGCTGTCATCTTCTTCCTCTACAAATTCTGCAAGTCCAAGGACCGCAACTACCACACCCTTTGAAGCGGCTGCATGTTTGGATCCAGATCATCTCCACCGTTCACCAACAACTAGAACCCTCCAGAGAGGCACCCTTACTCATCACGACAGACCCAAATAGTGTTTTCAAGCAGGTTTTCTAGATCTTTAATGTTTGTGCCACTTAATGCACATGATAAGAAGGCACCCACATTAACCTATATGTATGAGAAATGTCTAACTTGTACAGCTAAACAGATCTCCAATGATGATGTGGCATTTAAGCTGCAAGCATACGGATTACATCATCTGACAGCTACTCCCACCTCCATCACGCCGTTAGTCATTCTCCTGAGAAAATTTCCCAGTGAATTGATGCGGGCTGTGTTATTTACAGCCCCTCTCTTCATGATTATTCCATCAAATACACCACTCGAGAGCTAAATGATTAGTCACATATTCAAAGTAGCTTTCCTGGAATAGTATAGCTGCAAACTGGAAGCGTTTTAGCTTTTTATATTTGAAAACACTGTTTGAGTTTGCAGTTATTCTTAATACATGATGACTGCGATGACTCAGTATTGCTTTTAGCTTTGTGAATCATGGGCAGATTTCCTCTCCCCTCCCTGTTGTTGTATCATGTATATGTGTTCATAGATGATGTAAAAAAAAAAAAAAAAGGTGGGGTGATTTTGGAGAGTAAAAGCAACAAGGAATCATCAGATGTCAGAATTGGAAAAAAAACAAACAAATACAAGCAATCCCTTTGATTGAATTTTGGGTGGCACTTTGGAGGGATGTACTTTTTCTGGAGAAATCTTTCACCAAATGCTAGTTGTTAAAAAAATTAAACGAAAAATCCAGCTGCCTGAAGAGCAGTTTAACGCAATAAATCATCTAACAAGCTCCCGACCTTTTTACCCCTTAAGCATCAATTTTGATCTTGAATAACATCAAAACTCACCGACTCGAGGGTCAAGCTGGCCCAAGTTGTCCAGAAAGAGCCTGAGCGTCAACAGGAAAGATTGTAGATTTTCTCAGAAATATGAATCATCAATTTGTCCAGATGTATAAAAAAAGAGAATAGGGGTCTGAAATAAACGGCATGCACCTTCTTGATGTGGACAGTGATAGCAGTGAAGTGCCTTTAATGTTCGGTATGACTTAGAGAGAAATGCTCAAGGATGAGTCTTTATTTTTATTTCCCTGATTGAGGCCTGAGTGTTATCGTTAGTATATGTTTCTGAGACAGAATTGGTATCGCTGTGCTGATATTTGTGAGAGCTTGTAGTATCCCAGCTGGACTGAAGAGCCTTTTATTGTTGAAGAAAAATTGATAGAAGTCACTTGAAGGCCTTGATCAGTCCGATAGAAGTTATTTTCCTCGAAGAAGAGGACTGTGTTCAGTGCATGACGGTCTCCGTACTGCTGACCTTGTATGAATGAACAATTTTAAAGTTCCTTTCCCTTTGTTGAAGTCCAGTAATGCTCCCAAATTTCCTCCCACTTCATTTTTTATGTTCAAGAACTCAGTTGTTAATTTAGAAAGACATAAACAATGAGTTGGCTTGAGATTTCAGAGCAGTGTTAGGGGCGAGAAGGCGGTGGGTGCATTTTTTTAAGGAAAGGCAGAAATAGTGGGGTTTGTTTAAAACACTTGCAGACGGGGAGAGTGCATCGAAGTAAATGTTGGGTATTTTGAGTGCAGGTTTGGTTAAATAAGCGTTGCATTTTTAATTTCTAACTCTGCTGTGTAAATGAGACAATTGTGATTGAACCGCAACAATTAAGTGGCTGTGCAAGAGCTAATTTCTGCTTAGCTCAGTTATCTTATTAGCTCGCTGCTAACCGTGTGATCCCCCCATTTTCCCCTCCTGTAAATAGCCATGTCCTGTTTTTGTTCATCTTTTAGGTTTCAACTTGAGGAAAGGCTAAATGAAGGAGTGTTAATTAATACATTTTGCTTGTAGTGGCTTGTCAGTTTCAAAAATTTTTGTTCAATGCCTTCTTTTTCTTTCACTGCATGCTGGATGCTTGAAGTTGTAATTTTTTTTCCTCCCATTGCAAATACTCTTTAGGATTTAGACACTCTGAAAAACCACTTGATTACTTGTGAACAGCCCATATGCTAGTTGAAAGAATGCCTTGAAACACTTTGCATCAAGCCAAAGTCCTGAGTTTTGGCATGGAGATTGAGCATTGCACTGACAAGCTTTGTTTTTGTAATTTTGTCTTTGTAAATGTTTTCATTGTTCTGCCAAAAAAAAAAGAAGAAAAAAAATCTGATGCTTGTATAAATACTCAGTCTTGAATATAAAGTAAATAATGAATGATTAATCACTTTGTTTGTATGACCACAAACAGTAAGAAGTTCATGGGTGCAAATGTTTCAGTTTCTTTTTGTTTCGGCTTTTATCATTTTGAAGTACATGTTATTTGCTGCTCACCTTTAACACGCCTTCTAACCTATCACCTGGTGGCATTAGGCTACAGCCCAAAGACCCATAAATGGCAAGAAGGCTACAGAGTTTTTGCCTTAGCTGCACCCATCTGTTCATTTTTTTTTTTGCATGTGGAGAGCCTTCCCCCCAAATTAAAGAGTTAGCTGAGTTTGAGTCACAGTCGGTAAGCTGTGTGAACACCTAATACAGTCACAGAGTGCTATTCGCTCCTGACATGGAAGCTGCATTCTTCTAAATTACAGCATCACATGTTGACATCGTAATGCATCAAAAACACTTCTGCTATCCATGGATACTAATAGATGTCTATTGTGTTGCCTCTCTGCAGCTTGTCCCACAAGTTACTGGCTCTGTCTGTGCACCTCCTAAGGATAAGTGCCTTATTCAGTTAGTATTGATGAATATAGTTGTAGTTTTTAAGATAATATGCCACACCTATCAAATATCAATGGGACTCAGCACTTTCAGATGCCTGTGAAGTGGTTTTCTGTGTTGTATTATGCGTAAGTGTCTGTTTTGTCACACTCAGCCTTAACTTTTTGATCAAACTCATCAAGCATTTGCTAGCTACAAGATGACTAGGCAATCACCAGGCTTTATTTGTTTACTTGTAATTATTGGCTGCCATTTGAGTAGCATTTCAAGAGAGGGAGGTAGAGTTTAAGGCTTTTAAATGTTACAGAAATGGCTGAAACCTGCTTGTGAAAACATAGTGGGAACTAGAGGAAGCTTGGTCATAGCCTGGGATACTTCCCACCAGCACATTATGTTGAAACAACTTTCCGGTGATGTTGTAACCACAGCCACAGACCTCCGGTGTTTTTGAATGCAACATCTCCTCCATATTGTAAACTCTGACTGAAGTCTACTTAGATTGTAATGCTCAGTTGTTGCATTAAATTAGTTGTTTTCTGTCCAGCGGGATTTTTAAAATACAAAGATCTCAATTTTCTCAGCCACAGAGGGCTCTCCTTTCAGTTTTCAGCCTTGCAGTGTCCCATTTCAAGAGTTAGAGCTTCGTCATTCCCGCCATTTGCCTTGTGGCTTCTTTGCTATGGCGTGCACACAGTTACCGCAGGGCCACAGAATTTATGTTCTTGCGTTGGAGGCCATCAGTTTTGTAGGTACGATTTTGCATATTGGCTTTGCTCTCACCCCACCTTAACACACACATACGCACACACACATACACACAGACACACAGAACTGTTCACGCAGCCATATAGATACTTACAGGTGCCACAATGCCTCCTGAAATGCTTCTCTAGTGCCCCTCTTTTTTGTTTCCTCAAACGTTTTTATTTTGTGCCTTGTTTTCTAGTGTTGCCTTTAGTTTCACGATGTAAAACCAATAAAGTTTGAATATTGTAAAACAAACCAGTGTGCCTTTTCTTCCTTATATGAAAACCAGTCTGCTTTCTTGGGTCATGATCATTTACATGACAAATCACAAGTGGAATGATAACACAAGGCCAGGTCGTTGCTGCCTGGTTACCCAGGTAACCAAATGTTGCTAGTGACCCTTTGCTTGTCATACCCTGTGTGCGTGTGTGCTACGATATTGCTCCTAAATTTCTCTTTGGAGTAATAAAGTCGATCAATGAGAGACAAGATGTCTGCACAGATGAGATTTAATTTATCAAAGAATTTGGTAACACTATTTGACGCCTATCTTTATAACACATTGTAAATATAATTATGTATTATAATCATGTTATAGCACTGTATACGTCTAGTAATAAACACCCACAAATGACCATAATGCTTTATAGCAATAATCATAACACATTATAAAGCATTTTATCATGACTTACAAAGTCAGATATTATGATGTGTTATAACTGTTTAACAACAGTTGCTTTGCATTATCCATGTGGGCATTGTCAGTGAGTTGTTAACAGTTATAACACATTATAATACCTGAGCTTGTAAGTCATGATAAATTGCTTTATAATGTGATATGATTGTTGCTATAAAGCATTATGATCATTTATGAGCGTTTATAACTATAGTTATACAGTGCTATAATGTGATTATAACGCATTATACATATTTTTTGTAATGAGTTATGGAAATAGGTGTCAAATAAAGTGTTACCAAGAATTTCAGCAACAATGAAGAGCTGTCATGTAGTTCTTGTTTATGTCTCTGTCTCTACTTGTACTTGTGTATCTGATGTGCCCTCTTTGATTTGTCTCTGAAGTTTCTCGTTGCTAGTATGATCTCTTTTTTCATGCCATGATTTGAATCTCTGATCTTCTATTTATGGGTCAGCAGTAACCAGTAGGCCATGGCCTCCAAAGCTGACTATAATTCAATTTGCTGCCATAAATAGATGTAACAAGGAGATACTGTTGCAAATTTCAATGTTTTCCATGAAGCCCGGCTCAGGAAGGGCTGAAGGCAACCTTATCAAATGATTTACCTAACCGAGGATCAAAAAGCCCTAAATACTTATTTAACAGTTATATAAAACACAAAAAGCAGCAAATCCTCACTGATTTGCGGCCAGAACCATGACTTTGTAGGGATTTCTCTCATGCAATAAGAGAAACATAAACAAACATGAACTTAGTATGGAGGAAAAAGGAGAATATCCTGACCGTTGCCTCTCTGTCGTTAAAACAAGCCTCACCAGTGATGGAGCCAAATTTTTTTAACCAGGGCTGTCAATAGGGGTACAGACTTTGGTAGGGGTGGCCAGACAAAATAAACATTAGATGCTCTGTGTAACCCAAGAGAGTTATCTCCACTAATCACATCAACTTTCACCTCTACAATAAAGTATTGTAAAAGTTTGATTCTTGAATCGGATTTTTGACTGCAAAGAGAAACTCAACAGAGACCCAGGATTTAAATCTGCTGATCTTAAAATAAAAAAAGCCACTTTGTTAATTTCAATATAATAATAATAATAATAATAATAATAATCACTGTATTTTTATAGCACTTTTAAAAACAGAAGTTTACAAAGTGCTTTGACAAACAGTTGCAAAGCACAGAACATCAGCACATGAAAATAAAAACAAATAAAAACAAAAGCTCAGTTAAAAACAAGGCCTCCGAATTGAAGGCCAGTTTCATTTTTCATAAGAAACCCAGACAATACAGGAACCCTACAACATAAAATGAGACCATGAGGACCAAAATAAAAACATAAAATAGGTAAGAAGAAGAAATGTAATAGAAAAAATAGAAAAAAATATATAAGTGTTGCCTTTGAAAATACAACTAGTCAATCGTGGTTTGGAATTTTCGGGTGGCCAACCAGAATTTATCCCTGGCCACCCCTTAGCTCTGCCACTGGGGTTCACTAGCCTACACTGTGCTTATTTCTCTGGAGCGAAAAGTAAGACAAGTGAGAAAGAGGATCAGGCCTCCTTTTGACCTGTAAGATAGTATGAACTCCTTTCCTAATCAAAACTGCTCTCTCACAGGTGTAAATGTAATTTATTTAATCCATTTACCACGATTTGTTCTCGCTAGTTTGAAATATACTTGTTTTAAACCTTATTTCTGCTTGCGTAATCTATATTTAAAGTATGTTTAAAACCTTCTATGTTAACATCTAACTGCCATTACAGTCTAGCCATTACATGTTAAAGACTTGGTTTTGTGACCCTCCTGTAGACTTCCAAGCACTAAATCCAAAGGGGTCACAAGTCCATTTAAGGAGAAGTTATAGATACAAAATAAAATAACCTGTACATTTTCATTTTTATCAAGCTTTATTTCCTGATTCCCGGAGAAAGATTGAATAATTTTCACAGTTTTAGAACCCAAGTGAAAAAGAAAAAATCCCCAAGAGAACTACAAAGACCCTCTATTAACAAGACTATAACCGGAGTGGAGAAGTCTCTAGTAGACTTACGGTCCAAAATGCTTGTAGAGCACTTCAAAAAATAAAGTTGTTTTCAAAGATGCTTGTTCCACCACTCAGTTAGATACAATCTAAAAGCTCTACCATCAGTCTCGGATTGTAGGCCTGTTGATAAGTGATGACTGTGCACATAACTTGCAACATTCCCTGTTCATGGTACAAATTAGCATGCTTCTAAAAGAAAACCATACACATCTTGATGCAAATGTGAAAATTACTCCAACACTGAAGTAATTTGCATTTGTTACTGAAAAAAAAAACACACCTTTTGGATCACTTACTCCCAAAAACTAAAGAATCCACAGCTCTTATCAAAACAAGCCCATTGTTTTCCACTGTGTTGTGTTCCTGGCAGGACACATGATATGTTTCTAAGGTCATGCTGAGGTTCTGCTTATGCAGCAAAAACCCTGCACTCTAAAGGAAACCATAGAGAGCACACCAAGAACAACAGTTTGCACACTTGACTACATTCTCGAATGAGGTGTGTGTGCGTACACAGCGTGTTTGCGCTGAGCAGACTGTTATTCTTTTGGTGGCTCTGAACTCTCAGCTGGCACAGTTTCCAGGAACCAAAGAGGAGTTGCAGGAGAGAATGTGTTTTGGACAACTGCACCGCTGTCCTGCATGTCTGACAACAATCTGAAACTTGACTGCACCCTTTTTTTGTTTTCTGAGTTTTACACCTTGCACATCATTCATCTACCTTAAATGATAGACTCATAGATAGTCATACTCTGCAAAACATGCCTCCCTGCTATTGAACAGAGAACAAACAGAAGGTGCGGTCACAAGGTAGCAGAGCTGCAAAATCAGGAGAGATAATGGAAGGCGATGGAGATGTTGCATGTTGCCATAGCAGGTTCTGGACTTCTTGCTTGGGCTAACCAGATTGCCATGTCGAGTCATGCTCTGTAATCTAATATGGGAGCGCAGAGAAACAATGCATCAGGTTTAGTCCCTCTCTTATGACATGCTCAGTTCATTTAACAACGTGGCACACTCAGAGTCATGCCAAGAATACCAGGACTGAACAATGTTTGCAGGATAAAACAATAAGCTGTTTTCTTCTCCCATGACCCAGAACCATGGGCGAAGCAGACAGACATGTTATCTGGTGTAGTTTTCATTTCTGCAGAGTTGGATTATGTTGGAATAGTGTGTGACTGAGAACAGTTTTTGGTCAAAAATTAGAGCTGATAATTAAAGGTTAACCAAGGCTGTATATTGGGAGGTAGTAAAAGAGGAATGTCATAAGACAACTTCACATGTGACTCATTCATCTCAAAACAAGGTGGCTGACTCAAATGTGAAACTCTCAGCTAAGCCACAAAAATGTATCCTGCCAAACTGGCGCACAATAAGGATGGAGGATGGCTTTCAAAGTTGAATTTCAGTGAAATTAGCTGTTTTTGGCTGCATGAAATGGGAAAAAGTCCTGTGTCAAAGAAGCAGTCTCTCATGTGCTCAGTGATACAAACCACATCCGTTTGTCCTGTGGTCAGGGCTGCATTTACTCAGCTGTCCAGCCAGCTGCTGAGACAGAGTTCACAAAGCATTTAATGCATCTCGATGATGAACTGTGGAGGACAGAGGGAGCTTTATGCTGCATGCAATATCATATAGTTATGTCTTATTTCTGAACATGCACTTGTGTCAGGAGTAAAGCCTTCAGTTCTGCAATAACGAAGGCTAGGCACTGCCACCTAGTGGTTGCAAGAAGGAGGTATGAATAACTGACAAATGGGAAAAAAGTATACAAAGGAGCAAAATGTGGACAAAGAAAGCTTTATTAGAATCAGTAATTATGAAAATAGATTTAGAACTCAGATTAAGATTTAAGGACATGGTTTGTATGCTACAGACCCTCTACCTATGATTGTTTATCAAATTTAATTCATCATTTAATAGATTTGATGAGTACCACAATGTCAAATCAAGTGGAACATAAAAAATATTCACTACTTTTTATTTCTTTCTTTAAAAGTCCTAGAGGCCATTTCAAGGAAGGGGGACAGCGACATATAAGAAACCAAGTGGAGTCTTGAGGTTCAACCAGCTGTGGTATCAAAGCTGACACAGACAGCTCTTTCTTAGAAGAAGCTCATGTTTCCCAGGAGAGGTCGTCCTGTTTGAGGCTGTTTCGGAACTTCTGGGTCTCTTTGAGGAGCTGCAGGTTGCGAGCAGTTCCACTTTTCTTTCCTTTCTGTTTGGACTTTACAGGAGAAGGAGCAGGCGGTTCAATTTCACTCATCTTCTTGGCTGTGTGTTCCTCAGCACATGGCTGACTTTTGGTCAGTTTATGGATCTGTTTAGAAGACAGAAACCGTTTAGGTACCTGTTATCCAAATAATAATAATCTGGATGTACTAAGATTACATAGAGCTGTAAAAACCCATTTACTGTTGTGTCCCTGGAAAAAAAAGATGTAATACATACTGTTTTCTGGTGGTTGCGGAGCTTTGTGATCTGAACTCCCTTCTCCTCCATTCTTGCCACCAACCTCTCCAGCTCTCTCTCCAGATCCTGCCTCTGTTCACGGCTTTTAGCAGCATCTATCTGACCTGACAACTCCTGATGCTCACTGACAAAAAAAACAAAAACAGATTACTGATGTGTAAAAATGAAACAGAACAATTTCAAAGAGAGTACTCACAAGCTCATCTGTCCCAGCTCATCCTGCAGAGCCAGCAGCAGGTCCGACAGCGAGCCCAATGGCTGTTCTTCTTCTTGAGGTTCCTTGCCAGACTTCTGAGATGTGGTGGTAGATGCAGGGAAGTGCTTCTGCAGGCTTTTCTTGACCGTTACACCTGACTTGTGCAGGGAGCTAACTCGCTCACACAGCTGGGGCTGATGGTGCTTCATCATGTGAAGTATACTCTGCACATTTGCGTGGACTGAATGGCTTGGACTTGTTGACTACAAATGATAGGGAAGAGAAAAACCAATCAAATGGAGTTAAGAAAAGAAGAAAAAAAAAAACATGTTTGAAAGGGCATGAAGAATGACTTACAGTTCCTGCCACAAAGGGCAGTTTTTTGAGCCTCGGTGATGCCAACTCATTCTGTTTGGGTGTTTTCTGAGGGTGAAAAACAGCCGTGATTGCAACTGTATGAAATAAACATGGTTTTCATCAACTACAACAAGGAGTTAGATAGCAATATCCCAAGAGTATACCTTGGTTGTCTTTTTTGATTTCTTAGGCTTGATCTCTTCAGAGTTTTGCAAAGACAATCGAAGATTTATGTCCAACTCCCGCTGCAGCTGCGAACATGAAATCAGTAGCATGGTGAGACTTCAAATAAACAGGTTTTTTCTTTTTCTTTTTTAAAGGATTATTTTGGAGGAAAATCATTCAAAATTTCTTCTAACTTACAAGACGTTATGCATTAGGAAGTAACAGCAACAAAACCCAATGATACAACACTGTTTATCTTTCCGGACTTATTCCTGAATATGTACATTTTACGCAAAGTGGATCAGAAACTACTTTACAGACCTCATCGGCTTTCTCCTGCACAAGTTTACGCTCATGCTCTTCCTTTAGTAGTTTCTGTTCCAAAATTGCAAGCTTCATCTGAAAGAAACATTTCATTGTCACCATGACAATATTATTACTATGATTATCATTCAGCTTGTGATCATCAGTATTATGACGAACAGCTTCAAGCAGAAATTACCTCTGCCACAGTTTGGGTCCTACTCAATTTGAGACATTCTGATTCAAGTTTTTCCAGCTTCTCCCGCTGAGATTGGCTGTTTGAGCTGGTGGGTTGCTGACTCTGCAGAGTAGCCTGGAGGGAAATTGAACACAGGTGGTATGTCGATTTAGTAACATGCATTAATTTTTGCCACTAGCACTGTATTGAGAAATTATGCAGCATGAATGGCAAAGGAGTAACCTTAATTTCACTTAATATTTCAAGACTTGAATTCATCTACAGAATATTTTAAAAGGGATATTCCGGCGTTAAATTAAGTTATGGACAAACACACCTAACACAGAGTGAGACACCCCCTCAAGAGATGAATGTTGCCGACCGCTTGCTTCGCTAGTAATACCAACTTTAGTAACGACCGCATGATAGCAATACACAGCGGTCTGAGGAGCCATAAAAAAACCTCAACCAAAACATCACTCTATAGCCACAAAAAATGCTCAGAACAGCACCTAACTTCATCAACAGTACATATAGGGTCCTAGCCATAGTACTAGCCACCAAACATCTTTTTAATTCTGCCTAATATCTTTAGCAAAGAGACTTAACGCAACTACTCTCTTCCAGCAGCCGCTTGTTTGTAGCGAGATCTCAGGCCAGTCTGTTACAAACTACTACATTTATGATCATTTCTTCGTGGAAATGCAATCAGACCGAGATGCTAATGCAGAAGAACTATCGCGTCTGCAGTGCAAAATTATTATTATGATGATTATTACTTCAAGAAAATGATAAAGTAATGAACAATTTGTGTTTTGGTTGAGGTTTGTTCATGGCTCCTCAGACCGCTGTGTTTCGCTATCCTTCGGTCGTTACTTAAATTGGTATTACTAGAGAAGCAAGCGGTTGGCATGAACAACATTCATCTCTCTAGGGGGTGCCTCACTCGGTGTTAAGATGTGTTTGACCCTAGATTAATTTTACGCCGGAATATCCCTTTAAAGACAGATTCAGGTATGAGTCTTTTACCTTAGATCATAACATTTATAAGTACCTGTTTCTTCTCAGTAATATTCCTCCCCTTTTTGGCACTTTCAACCATCCTCCTCATGTAATCCAGCTGCTTCTCTAGAACCTTGCACCGTGCCTCTGCAGACTGTACCCTTGGGTCAACTTCTGTCCCCACGAACACACACACACATTTCTTTAAAACATATCTGTAAATGTGGTAAATTTAAAACTCCTAACGGGAGTGTGTTGTACCTTTCCTTCCAGAGTTATCTGTGCCAGACTGTCTTGCTGCTGGATGACTGAGTACTGTGTTAGACGATGCGGCCTGCTGGTGTTTTTCAGCACTGTGTGGAAACTCCCTGTAGCTCTTCTCTGCTTGAATCCTCTCCTGCTCCAATCGATTGATTTTCTCCTGAAGGGTCTTCAGTGCTTCTACAACAGCTTTTGAGGTATCAACAATGAGAGACAAGAACTACCAATGCAATTATAACCGTATGGGACAAGGAGCTTTGCATTACAGGTTTGCTGTACCTTTGCTGTCGACACTGGGTTTGGTCTGAGACATGTTTGGGTCCATGCTGATGGATGAGTGAGCAGTGAACTCCAGCTGTCTTGGTATCGGTAGTATCCTGTCTGGGGGTTGGTAATAGCTCCCAATGTAGCTGTTTTTGGATGGTGAGTCTAAAATCTGGAAGAGGGTGAGGTGTTGAAGGCAGCTTTGAACACTGCAAGAGGGCTGTTGCTCCTGATCTAACTAATCACTCAATCAAAAAAAACAAGATTGCACCACCATAGTTATGCAGCTACATATTTCCCAAACAGCCTCCAGCGTTAACAACCCCATTTATTCCTGAATAGTTTAAATACCAAGGTAAGATAAGCCATTCTCCATCGGGAAACTTGTGTATTGAATGACATTACAATAAGCAAGTAAGCAGCCCCAGGTTTTTATCACCTGGTAGCTACGGCGTCTTGACAAAAGTAAACAACACCAGAGCTACACTGTTAGCCACATTAGCAGCTAACGGCCGCTCAGTTAACGTTACCTGATCGTACTGAGTCTCCATTGTGCGACAAAGAGGTGACACGTTTTACAACGAGTCATGTATCACTACCAAAAGCCCTTTCGATAGACTCGAAAGTTTTGTTGCAGTTATTTCACCAACTGACTTCTACGAGCGACTCAGTTCTTCCTGTCACTGAACGAGCAGTCCGGACTTTTTTAAATTTCCCTCCTCTTCAGCCCCTTCGTCAGTGTGGTTCCGCCTGCGCACGGTTTCCTCCTTCAGCTCTCCAAAACAGGCTTCTCTCACTATTTGGATATTGCTAATAGTAATACTACTACTACTACTACTACTACTACTACTACTAATAATAATAATAATAATACGATGAATTTTGTCAGACATCATTGAATAATGATTGACGGGACGTTTTTCAATAATGTTATTTTTACAGTTAACCTTTACCATGAAAAACGCTTAGACCTACACAGATTATTTAGAAGAAAACAGCATTTGATTAGTCTCTTACTGGCAAGCCATCTTCTCTGATAGGACAAAAATGCTTAAAAATCTTTATTTTTGTCAGATTAACTGTCATGCATGATGTGAAAAACAGCAGGGTTTATAATGATATAATGCAGGGGTGTCAAACTCAACAAAAGCAAGGGCCATAATCTGGATTTCAGTCTAACCCAACAGGGCCCAACAGGGTCAACATTTTATTCAAACTGTTACCCAAACAATATTATTACTATGATCATCATTCAGCTTGTGATCATCAGTATTATAACGAACAGCTTCAAGCAGAAATTACCTCTGCCACAGTTTGGGTCCTACTCAATTTGAGACATTCTGATTCAAGTTTTTCCAGCTTCTCCCGCTGAGATTGGCTGTTTGAGCTGGTGGGTTGCTGACTCTGCAGAGTAGCCTGGAGGGAAATTGAACACAAGTGGTATGTCGATTTAGTAACATGCATTAATTTTTGCCACTAGCACTGTATTGAGAAATTATGCAGCATGAATGGCAAAGGAGTAACCTTAATTTCACTTAATATTTCAAGACTTGAATTCATCTGCAGAATATTTTAAAAGGGATATTCCGGTGTAAAATTAAGTTATGTTCAAACACACCTCACACAGAGGTAGACACCCCCTCAAGAAATGAATGTTGCCGACGGCTTGCTTCTCTAGTAATACCAACTTTAGTAACGACCGCATGATAGCAATACACAGCGGCCTGAGGAGCCATGAACAAACCTCAACCAAAACGCCACTCTATAGCGACAAATAATGCTCAGAACAGCACCTAACTATTTTAGGTGTTTTTCTTTAGCAAAGAGACTAAACACGACTACTCTCTTCCAGCAGACGCTTGTTTGTAGAGAGACCTCAGGCCAGTCTGTTACAAACTACTGCAGGGTGACATTTATGATCATTTCTTCATGGAAATGCAATCAGACCGAGACGCTAATGCAGAAGAACTACCACGTCTGCAGTGCAAAATGATGATGATTATTATTATTACTTCAAGAAAATGATAAAGTAATGAACAATTTGCGTTTTGGTTGAGGTTTGTTCATGGCTCTACAACAGGGCTTATGATGATATAATGCAGGGGTGTCAAACTCAACCACAGCAAGGGCCATAATCTGGATTCAAGTCTAAACCAACAGGGCCCAACAGGGTCAACTTTTAACCCAAACTGTCAGCCTCCTTTTAACAAAATCAGCAATGATTATAAACCACTTGGAAATTCAAAAAGTAAAAAGGGTAAATTTAAAGACAATCTAAGATTAAAAAAATTCCAACAAATTTGTTCAAAAGATCAGGTCATAATATTAAAAATAGAAAAATAATGCTTTTAAAGAGCAAATACATGAGGAGAATGTTGAAATCATGAGTTTAAAAGGTCAAAATTTGAGATCATTTTGAAATCAAGAGTTTAAAGTCAAAATAAAATTGGAATTGGATTAAAATGACATAAATCTAAATACTGAGTTGGAAAAAAACAAGGCACAAAATAAAAAGCCAAATCATGTTTAACTTATGGTCTTGAGATGCAAAATTGGAAATATGGATAAAACACAAATTTTTCCCCATATTCTTGACTATTAATCAGATCTTCCTTACTCTTTACTTTCCCAGATTTTCATGGTTTATTAAGGATATTTTAAATAATGGTGCTTAAGTTTTCATTATCATCCTGGAGGAAATCTGCAGACCTCATACTGGTGGGCCAATAATAATGCAAATATGATATAATCTCGTGGGCCAGATATAATTGTTCCACGGGCCAGATTTGGCCCCCGGGCCTTGAGTTCGACACCTGTGATATAATGTTTGATCGTTTCCACAAGTCACTTTTTCTTCAACCACACACTCAGTTCCAAATACACAACCGTTAAAGCTAATGGTCTTTATCGCAGTCATGCATTTGCATTATTTACAGGATAAAGATCTTTTTATGGTCCTTCATGTGTAAAGTTGTAATGCATGTGGAGAAATGACCAGTTTCAACTGCAATATATACATATATATATTTTTTCAAAACATTTTTTTGCATTACTATCCCCAGTTAAATGTCTTTAACCAGTCAATCAACCAATCAATCAATCAATAAAATACCCAGTAAAATGCGAATGGCAGTCTATAAATAAACTGTAGCAGAAAAAAGACAACATGCTTTATGTTTTTTTCTGTTCTCTTAATCATTTTTAACACACATTTCCCTAAACCCAAATATGCATTAAAAACACATTACACTGCCTTTGTCTAACAACGTTAATAATGATGCTCTTATGCTCAAACTGATAGATGAAATTTATACTTTCAGTGTTCACGTTGGCAGACAATAAAAGAGTAAAAGCGTCTTCTTTAAATTGTTCTTTCTCTCTCCTTATTTTGCCCGTAATTTCTGATAAACAACAGAGAGGAGGGGGTCTGCGCTCGAAGTGTATGATGGGAGATGTAGTTTTGAGAACCATACTCCGAAACACACACCGCACAAGTAGAACTCAACTCCCATAAAACCTTCCGAAGCGTGCTTGGCAACTAGCGTCTGACCAATCATCTACGAGATACCGCCCCATAATGTGCATACCATCCTCTCATTTGTCAGCTTCAACTGCCAATCAAATGTTTACCCCGAAGTTGCAGCCTCCCACTGCTGCTTGTACCCTGGGACTAACGTTACTGGTCAGTGCTGTGTCGAGACGTCCCGTAGCAGAAGACCTGCACCAAAGAATGAGGATAAAGTGAGTATTTGAGAATGACACTCTTACCTTTTGATGTCCAGTGAAAGGTTGGTGTGTGTGAATGTTGTTTTCTCCGCGGTTTTTGATGTTGTTTACTGGTGTCTTTGTTAACGGACGGCTTGAAAGCTCTAACGTGAAAGATTGGCAGCTCGTGATTGAATGGACCCCTCATGTTGACTGACAAGTTGCTTATTTGGTCATTTAAAACCACATTTATCAGGAACTGTAAACCAAGGTCAGTTTATCGTTATTAGAAAAAATAAAGGTGGCAATAACAACTGCCAGACTATGAACGTGATTCAGAGATTCTACAGATTAGATGAAATATTAAAATTTCAGTTAAAAATAAATGCGAGTGGCATTTCTTCAGTAAGGACAGGCAGTTTGATTGAAATTCAGCCCACCATAAGCATTGTAATTGCAATATCTGAATTATAATAGTTTTCCATGAACATACATTTATAAGCAGAAATATTTTTTATATATCCACATATACACATAAACATTTATAGATACATACTTACATACTCCAGCTGAAACGATATCACTGTGCATTTACCCTGTTATGAGGACAAACTTGACAGATTCTGTGGAAAACATTATTTTGCTGCATTGTATTGGTACATGTTCATTTTTTTCAATCCTTTTAAACTAAATTATTGTAAGAAAGATATTTTCATCAGGTGATCTTGCCTGTTAACATTTTCATTTGTCATTTTTACCATGTCTCAGTGTATGCTTTGTTGTAAACAATAAGATTTAGAGGCTAGTGGATTTGTCTTACAGCTGACTCTTTATTACAAAAGGACATTGTATGTGGAAATAGGGGAATATAAGCTTGTAGAATGGTAATAATAAAAGTGTATGCCTATTCGCAGATTAGATAACTCTGATAAACTCTGATAAACCAAATGTGATGTAAACACGGACTGTTTTTGTGTTATCTGTTGTGCAGTTTCTTGTAAGACGGCACAAACAAAAGTCCCACATTGGAAGATGGAAGTGCAAGACCAGGAGTCCCTTGGAAGATGGGATGGGTTGGGAAGCCGTGATGCTACCACCAGAAATGAAGCCATGGAGAACATCTGCCAGGAGGTCATGAGGAAAGTGGAAGCCATCAAGCCCATGGCACCAACATCACCACCTGCCTCAGGAAGCCCCCCCAACAGTGACCTGAATGACATCCTGGCTCACCTTCTCATGCTCTCCAAACGGTGTCCCTTTGAGGATGTCAGGGAAAGATGCCTTCGACTCTTGCAGGCCGTCCAGGTAGGAGATTCTTTTAGTGAGATCCCAGAGTGTGAAATTAAGCTGCACCATGCTGTCATAGCTCTTCTCTGGTGCTTATGGTTTTGTTCTGCTGCCATCTGCCTCTCTCTTCACCTCTTCATAAGCATTGCAAACAACGTGGTTGAGTAGTAACATTAGTCGTCAGCACCCACTGCATGTTTTGCCAAGTGGATTACATTCGGAGGCACGATGGACTTGTTAACACTTAAACACTACAAGTTCTAGGGTTTAACAATGCAGCACTTAAACCTTATGAATACATGCAGGGAGAAGAGCAAGAGCTTATAATGTTCTCATATACAGAAAACAGGCTCTTCAATACAACATGTAATTATTTTATCATCAAAATTATACTTCTGCAAAACATTACTTTAGCTTCAAGCCTACAACATGATAACAGTCATGGTGAAAAGATTTTAGTAAAGGTAAGTGAAAGAAATTAAACACATAAAGCTTTAGAAAAAACATATAGGAAATTTAAGCCTGAAAACAGCAAGTTATGAAAATACAGTCCGTTAAGATCTCAAACCTTTGAAGAACTTTTGCTTTGTGTCACTTTCTGGCCTCTTGATCAAAATTGTCTTTTCTTACCTTGTCTTTTACATGCTAAAGTAGAGTCCTTTGAGAAAATCTCATCCTGCTGACTTTTGACAATTAGATAATGTAAATACTTAATGTGTAAATTGTTTCCTTAGCTTTTTAGCTGGCACCTACCCCCTCATGTAGGCTTTTTGACATCGAAATTAATAATATGCAAATCGTCATTCATGTCACCAGTGTTTTTGTGTGTTTTAAACATCATAAAAAGGCATCAATAGGAATTTCATTCTATTTCGTAGATACTAAAAACTCCCCATAGTAGCTTTAATCACATATAGGCTCACTTAACCCATGATTACTGAAACCTCACATGGTTCAATTTTCAAATGGATCAAAGACAGAAAAAAGATTATGATTATTATTAGTTTGAACATCCTTATTAGGGGGAAATTCATAATTTATAGTGATATAGTGACTGTACAACAACAGTAGTACAATGACAGAATAAACCTAGTCAAACATGGTTTTCCAAAATTGAACATAAATCACATTGTTACAGTTATTATATATGTGTGTGTCTAATGCTAAGACCAAGGTAAAGCACAGTTTGAAAAGTCAATATAAATGCTACAATGGATGTTCAGTATTCAGCATATATTCAACGTGCAACAAGGGGTCTATTCTGACTATGAACAGAAACTTAGATTTTACCTCATGACTTTAGAGTTGTGTGTGTTTTTTTCTAAATCATTCCCACAAAAGGTTTTATTCATTACCACATGGTGAGTCATGCTCATAAAAACATCCATCCACACTTCACCCATGTGGGTATCCTCACACACACACAAGACATGTTTACTGAAAATACTCTGTAAAGCTCTCCATCTTCACACCCAGTGTAACCATAATATTTTTCAGTGTTGCATTAAACTCAATGGGTGTTTTCGATCACTTTATGCGGGTATATGCTTGTTTTTGCATGATGGTCGGTCCTTAATGAGATAAGTGGGGATAAGATATTGCAAAGAATGACAGATACAACACCATCAATTGTCTGGTTCATCTGCTGACATAATATCTCATTGCTGAATTAATGCAATCACATATGATCCATATTCTATATTATTTTATTATAGTTATTATCTTTTAGTATAGTTTTGATTATTACAGATATGGTGTAGTGTTATTTAAATTCAGGTTGCAGTATGTTTCTGAATTTGCTTAAGGTTGTGTTAATTTTCCTTCAAAACAAGTCTTCCTTTTTAACTCTGAACACAATGATAAAAGCCTAAAGGAGTAGAATTAAGATTAATTTGATCAATTAATGTTTTTTTGTTGATTATATTCTGGCAGTTAGATTTCTCAATGTTGATTTACAGAGAACACAATATTGGCTCTCTCCCTGCTGTAGTGCCGGTGTAAGTTGTAGTGTGTTCCTCTTAATGAGGCCTCTAGTAATAAACAAAACTAATCCTGGCAACTCCTGGTGGCCTGACTTGTTGTTATTCTGAGGTAATATTTAGTTTGGCTATGGCATTAAATCCTGTCTGTGCTGAAGTGTTTTGGGGAAGATGGACGAGAGAGGTTGAGAGAGAGGGAGGGAGATGAGAGAGGGAGAAAGCTGCTTTGTGGATTTAACAGTGAACCACAGAACACACCGTCTGGTATTTTTGAATTATGCTAAGCTGCATTTGCCGTAGGCTTGGCGTAGGGTACATTTATGAGCCCGGTGTGGCAGCTCATATTCGCTCTGGACCCGTGGCTGAGAATTCCCTGAATCAACACACACAAACACACACATACACACATGCACACCTTTCTTATACGGTCAGGGATGTGGAGGGGATGAGGGAGGGGGTCTCCGGCTCAGACAGACCTCTAATTCCAGCAGATCCGCTGATTAAAGACAAAATCTTTGAAAGCACAGACAGCCCTTTCCTCATGGCGACCCCCACTTTTCTAGAAGAGGACAGCCTACTTCTTTGTGCCAGTGACATCCCTGACTACACTCACAGCTTGCAACATTTGATGTATTTTGTTCACCAGCGTGTTTTTCCTCAGTATAACTTCCTCTATAATATCACCTGATAAAGTAAAACTAAGATCATTAGAAAGGGTAGCCAATTTCTTTGTTTGTTGGAAGGCTTTGGTGTGCAAAAATCGTACTTCCAAATTCTGTGCAAATGGTACAGAGTGGTGGTAAAGAAGCTCTAACAGTGTTTGCGTTACTAGTTAACTAATATTAAAGTAACACTATTTTTCTTTGGTTGTTATTGTTAGTAGTGAGAGAGTAGGGTAGACATTGGTTGATGTGTAATGTCTTTCTTAAAAAAATGATAAAATGCAATAATTAAATAATACTGTAGTACTGTAATAACTGTTGATAGAAAAATGTTTGGCTCAATAAAATATTGCTGCAACTTTTGGATTTCTGTCCAGCCATCTTAAATGGTTATGAAAAAAATCTATTATAATCTGATAAACATGGTTGTTTTAGTCTGTTAAATGTCAACAAAAACTGTGTAAAACATGGATGTAGTGGGGTTTCTTTAAAGATATGTTTAAGCCCAATTCCTTGTCAGAAACACAGACTCAACCTAACTTTCAATTAACCAAGGATCAGGCAAAGAGGTGGAGCTAAGGCAAACAGCTACAACTCAACCACCTGTCAATCAACAAATCAACCCTTACCAAAAAGAAGTGAATTTAAGTGTACTTCAGGTATATTGTTTTTTAAACGAAGTATGCTTTCAGTTTTCTTTTTGTGGACTTTTCAGAGATAAACTTAACAAAGTTAATGTTAAGTATACATGGCTTTTACTAAGAATTATACCAAAAGTCTAAATATATTAAACTATACTTATACATAAACTTTTGATCAAGATATACTTAAGTATGTATTTCTGCCTTTGTTTTAAGTATAATTGGTCTGTGAATACTTCCATATATCTTTTTAGGAGTATACTCTTAAAAAGAGCAGTACAAGCCAAGTATACAGATATATACTACTATTGAAATAATAGCATAACAAAAAATAATTTTAATGATGTTTCGAGTCAGCGCACAGGTAGCCAAGTGGGTTAAGGCACACCTCATATTAAGCACTGTGGCCCTCCGGTGGTCACAGGTTTGATTTGTGCTGTATGCCACTATGTCCTACCCCCATTGAAGTGCCCCCCCAATAAATAAGTTAGTTAATAAAGGTATGCTTCAGAGTGTACTTCTATAAACTAAAAGGGGGACTAGAAGTTTATTTCTAGTAAACTAATAGTATACCAGGATGTTATCTTTTAAGTATTCTTCAAATATACTTAAAAAACTAAATTGGGCCAGTTTAGTCCCAAGAAGTTTACTTGTATATATACTGATAGTGTATTTGTATTAGTGTAAAACGAATACTTTGGAAAGTATACTAAAATTAACTCAAGTGTACTTCATGAAATGTACTTGAGATAATTTTTTGTTTTGGTAAGGGCACTCAGCAAGTACGCAAGTTGATGTAAGACCCTGGGGGATTTTTTATTTTGACAGATATTTTCTCATTTTTCCCCAGGTGTCAAGTCCTTGTGCTAAGCTAATCTCACAGCCCATGTTATAGATATGGAAAAAGAGATCATTGTGCCCATCTAAGACTGTGCAAGAAAGCAAACAACTTCATAATATTTTACTGCGCAGGCGTCACATTTCTGCCACCAGTGTTTTCTGGTAATTCTAATGCAGCTTGTAATGAAAATGACAGCTCACTGTGCTGTAATATGCAATACTTATGTCGCCTCACTTGCCTTTTTCCTACAATCTAAGCCAATGCTAGTTTTTCACAGCACCCTGTGAATATGCAGGACAAGTTGTGGTCGGACTCTGATGTTTGCTGTTATTTTTTCCCCCCAACACTGCTGAGTACCAGAGGTCAAAGGTTACAGGGTCACAGCTGAAAATAGGGTTCTGTGTAAGCAGGGAGGGGTCAGGTTCCCTTAAGCCGTTCATGTGCAAGGGTCAGTTGGGGTGAACGTATGAGGGTCAAAACCGGTTAAGAGTGCAATCCTGCGAGTATTGTCAACACACACAGATGCTGTTAGAGGGTCAGGTTGTCAGAGGCTCTGTCCTGAACTTTATCGATCTAATGCATAAGAAAACACAGGGAAGACTGCATGCAGACACCCTCACATGTGCACACAAATCAAGAGGGACAATAGTGAGTGTTTGTTCTGAGTCTGTGAAGGGGGTGGGCAGACTCCATCGACCCGCTCTTTCTCTGCTCACCATGTTCCCTGGCTGGATGAAAGAGGTCCAGTCTTGGGCTGCTGGACAGAGACAGAGAGGGGTTTCTTCATGTTATGTAATTGCAGCATTGTGTTAGCCCTCTACCCCATACTTGAATAAGGAAATGATCAACCTGTTCCTGTGATGCAAACTGCTCAGATTCCAAAGACAAAGTCCACATGTACAGCCTAGAGTGAAAAGATGAAGTCGAGTACTTACAGAAAATACCAAATGGACTTAGTGTCTCTTTGAATTTGTCCAATTCTGAATGCAAACAGTCTATGAGCTATGCAGAGTAATCCCTTTAAATTCTTTTTTTTTAAGTGAACAAGGATGTAGCTTAATCACCTTGTTAGGAGAATTACAGCTCATTCCAACAAAAAGCATCTATTTTTGAAAGACCTGATACATGATTCAGCAGTTTACAGAAGCACATAGCCCTAATGTGGGCCTTTATGTTTCATTATCAATAGTAATCAAGTCACAAAGCAGTTTTTCTGTGAGATGAATACCCACCCGGTTTTTAACATCATTTACTTAGATTTTAAAGATTTTTTTTTAGAATCTTAAAGGAACTCTTCATCCATAAGAATAGAAAAGATGTTCATTATGCAGTAAAATAAAGACCTTTTTAACCCAATGTTGTCTAATGTGTGACCCCATGTAAAGCTTAATATTATCCCCTTAAAAGGATATTCCAGAGTAAATTTAGGGTCAAACATACTGTAACACCGAGTTATACATCCCCTCTGGAGAGATGAATGTTGCCGACTGCTTGCTTCTCTAGTTATACCAACTTTAGTAACGACCGCAGGATAGTAATACACAGCAGTCTACGTCTACACTCACAAACCTCAACCAAAAAGCCACTCTATAGCCACAAGTAATGCTAAGAACAGCACCTAACTTAATCAACAGTACATGTAGGATCCTAGCCATAGTGCTAGCCACCAAACATCTTTTTAGCTTTGCCTGGTTTCTTCAGCAAAGAGACCAAACACAACATGCCCATGGTGTGTTTGACCCAAAGGTTGCTTTCACACCTGACCAAGCGGACTCGGTTCGATCGGGGAGCTGAAAGTCGCAACATTGTTGCATTTATCACTTGTTTCGGTTCTGCTTTCACACTGTGATTTCTAAGGCGCACCGAACTTTCCGAGCACCATCACGTGGTTGAAAGGGGTGCTTGTCAAAGTAGGAGGGGTATGTAATCGCAAGGATTACAAACAAGGGTGGACTAGCCGTCTTGTGTTGTGCTTTGTCACATTATTTTATGGAATGCTACAACATTAGTCAAATGCAACTGTTCCTATAATGCTATCGTAGCTTGTCAGGGATTGATCCTGTTATTTTTCTAACTTTGACGATCTAACATGTGACGACATATGAGCTCAGAGTTTAAGGACTGTAACTGTTGGTAGTTGTGATTTGATTTTGTTTAAATATGCCAAATTGTGAATTTATGGGTTATTGTTGTTCAGACAATTGAGCTAAGCTAGCTAGCAACTGCTAATGTCAGCTGTCACTTGTTGCCATGGCAACAAGGGACGCCGTGCTTCCTCTACCCAAGATGCACTGCGTATAACGTCATTACGTACCTTTGGTCCTGTGTTTAGTCCGGTGAGCTTTCACACTATCCTGGCTGGGCCATCCTGTTGCGTGAATCACTTGCCGTTCCTTCCCACAACTTTGCAAAGTCGGCAGAAGTCAACTGCAGAATTAACGGCGTTCTGAATGAACGGCGCTTTGAAAAGTCCCGCAGCATGTGTTAGACCTCACCATCTACACATGGACCAATCAGGGGCTGCCTTTCCCTGTTGTGCGGGGAACAGTGGAAACACAGTCACTGATTGGCCCAGTTATTTTCTGATTGCTAATACACGCTCCCGATTGGCCGAAGTCCAGACTGTTGTGGGAAGGAACGGCAAGTGATTCATGCAACAGGATGGCCCAGCCAGGTTACTTTTAATGCACTTATTTTTTTGCAGGTCTTACTGCTTAAAAGAGCCACATTTTCATTGAGTGTCTTTACAAACTATCAGTTTTTCAACCTGAAGTGAAACTCCTGATGAGCTGGTGGCTCATGTTTCTGCTGCTCCTCATTCTTACACGTGCTTATTAAGCTAGTTATGGATCTTTAGGATGATTTAGCAGCTTCTTTAATAAACACATATGTGTGATTAATTAAGTCAAAAGGCTTAGTGCATCTGGCCTCCACCTAGAATGACCCAGAACACACCTCTGTGTCAGCATGGAAAGCTTGGGAGTGTCTCCAGAACCTTGGGGATGACATCACATATTGATCATGTTGCTTATTCATCAATGACTCATTCATGGCGCTTACACATGTGCTCAGCATTAATCAATGTCCTCTTATGAGGGCAACAAATATATACAACGTTTGCAAGATGTGCTACATGACAATAAAATAATGTGTAAATAAGACAAACATAAAGGAAAGACAAATGCTAAATTAGCTAAACAGTTGAAAAAATTGTATAAATTGCATTATATTTTATTGCAATACTCAATGTATTGCAAAATGTTAAAAATCACAATAATGTCATATTGTGGCCCAAGTATTGCGATAACATCGTATCGTGGGGCAACTAGTGATTCCCACCCCTATCCAATACCTGAAAAAGAGACTGAAACCCTGTGTGTCATCCACCTCCTCTTGTATGAAATCATCATCCAGCCACCAGAGGGAACAAAGTGTGGTGATACTATCTAAACAGACTCAACTTGTTGACCTTGAAAATTAACTTGGATAAACGCAATATTGATTTTCTGTGTGCAGATTCGAAGTCCAGTTGTAAACCTTGACAACAGGAGAGAGTTGTTGGAAGGATTGTTTTTACAGCTGTGACAGAAAGACGTCATTCAGGTCATTTTTGTTTGCATAAATGTGTGTGTGTACCTGTACCTGGTCACTTCTTTGTGAGTGCACTGGATGTGTGTGAATGTTTGTTTGCATGCATGCCTCCAGTCTTCTCTGGGCTGCTGCTGCTTACTGTGTAAATAGAGGGAGGACCCATGGGGTGAGCAAGAGGGTGAAAGAGAGAGAACCCTGTGGTCTGGACAGATCTGCTGGATTACGGGCAATCTCTGCTTGATCCAGGTCAGACAAATTGCAAACTGAGGGGGGAGAGAAAGCAGCAACAGCAGCAGCAGGCGGTGACCTCTGGCACAGTGACTGTACAGTGAATTGCTCGCTCCATGGCTATGGAGGAAGTGATAGAGGAATAAAGCTGTGGATTTACAGCTGCTAACCAGCTGGGCAGATTGATGGGACAATGTGGACAGGAACTTGGGTAGATGGGGTGGCTGATGTGTGTGCTCTGCCAGTGTGTCTCTGTATAGTCTATAGGATCTTAAATCTTTCAAAGCAATACAAAGAGCTATGTTGCAATCACATTGTGGACACTTACAGCTTGTCTGCACTACCAAGGCCTCTTAAGATGAGATTTCTTTTTGCTTCTTCTGGTAATGGAGATATCGGGGGTAGACATTTAAAAAAAAAAAAAACTGTTTATTTGCACTTATACTGTTAATTTTCAGATTTGTAGTGCAGTTTATTGCAATGACAAGATAAACTGATAAAACTTAACTAATTAAGAATTCCCTTTGGAAATTTCAATCAAAGAATACAAGTAATAGTTGATCCTTTCAGACATTTTTTCAAGTTGTTTTTTTTGCTTTGTCAGGACAGAGAAGAGAGATAGAACGTGTCTGTCTCTCAGAGAGTGGGGGGTAGTGGGGGGTAGCAAAGGGTCCCAGCTAGGTGTTTGAACCAGTGACTGGTGTGACGAGGACTGCAGTATAGCCTCTATGGGAGGTGAGCTTTGACTGTTTAGCAAAATTGCCGCCCAATTTCAGTCATCTAAAAAAAATCACAATCATGATGTAGTTTCAGCGTTATTGTGAGAGTGTAATACTTTTTATTGATCCATATTATGAACTGTCTGTGTTCTGTTATGACATGGCAAATTGAAAGGGATATTCCAGCGCAAATTTTGGTCAAACACACTGTTACACTGAGTTAGACACTCCCTAGAGAGATGAATGTTGCCAACTGCTTGTTTCTCTAGTCATACCACCTTCAGCAACGACCGTACGATAGCAATACACAGCGGTCTACGTCTACACTCGCAAACCTCAACCAAAAAGCCACTCTATAGCCACAAATAATGCTCAGAACAGCACTAACTTCATCAACTGTACATATAGGGTCTCAGCCATAGTACTAGCCATCAAACATCTTTTTAGCTTTGCCTGATTTTTTTTGGCAAAGAGACTAAACACAACTCACCTATTCTCTTCCAGCAGCCGCTTGTTTGTGGGGGAGCCCTGATGAGTTGATCACCAAGTGCAGCGGATCATTTCCACGAAGTAATAATCATCATGATTATCAGACGCGGTAGTTCTTCTGCCTTAGAATCTCAGTCTGATTGCATTTCCATGAAGTAATGATCATAAATGTTCTTCCTTGAGCTGCGAAACTCTGCTGCACTTGGTGATCGACTCGTCAGGGCTCCATAACTTAAATTTACACCGGAATATCCCTTTAAGTCTATATCCTGTATTCTTGAAAGCTGTGTTTGACAGTTATTGGTGAAAATCCCCTGAAAGAAACATATTCCAGCTTATTAGGTCCACTTACGCCAGATCAGAATAATTGCTCGATATAAAAAGGTTCTTCACTGTCTGAGAGACTGTGTGAGTAAATAGTCCAACATCGTCAAAATAATGTTCTGTTGTATAAAAGTTAAAACACTTTTTTATCATCTACATTACATACTATTGCTAAAAGATTCAGAGCACTTTAGGAAATGTCTTTACAAAGGAACAAGGCTGAAAACCAAATCTTTGGACCCTCAGACAGGGTTGTTAAAAACACGCATGATTCTGTATTGGAAATCACTGCATGGGCTCGAAATCACTTACAAAACCCACGGTCTGTGAGCAGATTTCAGTTAAAACTGTACCATGCAAAGAGGAAACCTCTCTGAAAAACAATCCACACAGTGCCTGAAATATGATTTTACCTGGGCTTGTCAGGTGCATGTGACTAATATTAAGTGTGAAAAGATACTACTTGACCAAATTTAGACAAATAGACCCAGTCAGATTTGAGCTTTTGCAGTATGACACTGCATTTTTAAACCATAACCATAATCATATAACCATAATCTCTCATTGATTGTACGGGGAAATAACTGAACAAAAGCCTAAGGTTTCGTAGAGTATCAAGACTTTCTTTGGCACCAAATAACTAGTTTGCCTGGAAAATATAACAGACCATTTTTTACATGCTATGAGAACACACTAACCCACATGCTCCCACTTTGATCCTGCGGCACAGACAGACCCCCACCTTCCACCCAGAGCAGCATGCTGTCGACTGCAGACTGGGAAAGACTAGAGAGCAGGGGGGGGGGCATGTGGGAAGTGTGCAACTAGGTCACTGTCAATCCTGTCATAAGCTTGAATAAATGATAAAAATGCACCCAATTCTGTTTTTAGTCAATATGAAGCACGTGAAAATATCTCTCACATATTTCCGGTGAGAAGAGCACAAAGAGGGAGAAAGATCATTTCAGGGAGAAAGTGTACCAGTGAAACATGTAACGGCTGATTTATCCTGGCACTGAGGGAGAGATTGGCGAGCACTGGGTATGAGCTTTTGTTGAGCCTCAGCAGTCGTCATGGTACCAGTGGCATGAGGTGCGCATGATGGGGTGGGTAACTTGGGGGGTGGAAGGGTTGCTGGCTTGTCTGTGATTATTTCGAGCAGTGCTATTCAGGAATCAAGTGTGAGAGAGATGCACACTTGGCTGTGGGGGATCAAAGTGTTGCCAAAAAAATAGGCTTGAACAAGAAATAAGGGGTGAAGCTGGGATAGGATTGGAAATATAGGTAGTTGTGGATGAAATGGGTGAAATTGAGGCAAGAAGAGGGTAAACGCTGCTTTTATTTGTATGCAGTCAGCAACCTTCAGTGGAAAACTACCAGCACCCCGATCTAGGAGCCCCGCTTTCAAGAACCTTGAGACCACTCAGCTTGCAGCCTCAATAATTTCTTCACGTATTCCAAAATCACAGAAAAGCCTCAAACAAATATAAAACTCATCAGAATACCCACATTTGTTCAGTAACACTTTGTCATCTGATTCCCAATCCAGTCTCCCTGCTTCACAGTTGTCTCTCTCCTCACCAGCACACTGTTCAAGGCTCAGCTTGTCTCACCCACACACTCCGAGACTGTTAAAGACAGAGCAGGCGGCGGAGGAGGGAGGCAGGGAGGGTTATTGGAAGGAGGAAGAGAGGGAGGGGGCGTGGTGCTGGACAACAGCAACAAAGTGCTGCAGCAGGAGGTGGGAGAGGAATAACAAACACTTTAAAGGGAAGAAACACACACACTGGAAAAGGAGGCATGTGAATAAAAGAGCTGCCTGGTGGGCTCTGGCTATCATCAGTGAGTGTATGAGAATAATAGCAGCCATGTTCTCCTGCTGTGCATGCGTGTTTCAGTCTCAGGCTGACTCCATCAGGAGGTTAAGAATAGAGATATGACGATCACATGGGGCTGTTGAATCCAAAACCCTCACTCCCTCTCTTTCTTACTCTTTCTCATTAACATCATGTGATATTTATAACTTGCATATAGGAGCAAACTTTACAAATTATTCATGAGGACGAGAAAGCTCTCTGTGTTACATCATTAGCGCCTGCTCTCATTTTTTCCCTGCATGTCTCACTCAAATTTGTTCTTATCTCTTTTAACTATGGGTTTATTTATAAGAAATGGTGTACTTGTAACAGCTGTCAGTCTTTTTAAATAAGAGCCTCAATGTCAAAGTTAACAGAGGTGGAAGTTGAGCCCTTTCAAAGAAGACATTAAGTTTCTCACAACATGAAAAGGAAAATCGTAAGCATAATCAATAACATTAAAAATAGAAATCCATTCAGGTGCTTCATTTCTAGGAGCCAGTTGACTGACTGGCGTGGTTTACTTGGACTCTAACAGAAAGGAGCCATTAAACATATTAATTGCTCTTGTGCACTTCAGTACACCGGCTGAGGAGGGTTATTTTGGGTCCGTGGTCAGGTGACTTCATAACATCATCTTCTGCCAGAAGACCTTATCTTTCAATCAGAGGTTGGGGTGGCAGCATAACTCGTGATACATACCTGGTACATGGGTCATGACAACAATGATATCCTAATACAATGGTTGAAAGATTGCCAGACAATCTTGCCATGTATTATTCTTAAGCTAGAAGATGGATATTTGGCACCACCTTTACAATAGGACTAGATATAGAGTATATCTTGTCCTGTAGATGGGTCAGTTTGTTCCATGACTGTCACCTTTTGATTTAACCAGTCAGCATACCAGTAGTTGGACTTCTTACAAAGTGGCAGTACTCATTTCTGTCCTATACATATTAAGGTTTCTCGTGCTGAAACATTATTCATATTGGTGCATTATGTGACACTGCTGTCCTTTCATGGATGGTACATGATGCCCACATGTCTGTTTCTGCCAGTGACATATCAGCCACTTTTTGAAGTAGCTTTTTCAATGAATATATTTTGGAGAAATTAGCATGTTTTTCAGGTAACTTTAACTGACAGTAGACATTTAAAATGTTGCACAAATTATTTACTGATGCTGGGCACATGGTACACAGTCAAATTAAATAAGACAAAAGTATTTTTCCATGTCAAGCACTGATTGTATCACAAAAGTTAGGAAAATGATGTATTGGTATTTTGTCCCATCTCTCTACAAAAGCATGGGTGCAGTAAAGGCTGGCTTCATTGCTGGGTTAACAAGTACACTTAAATAGGACAGGCAGAGACTTTATAAACTTTATTAGTAGTACCTGCACTTTCTCATCATGACTACTCCAAGTGTCTGGAAGCTTAATGTCATGTATATTTTGAAAGGCATACTTTTCGTTATGAATGTACCGGAACAGTTCAATGTGTTATATATTTTCCTCATTAAATCTGTCTGAACACCATCTTCTCACTGTCTGTCCATTGTGGTTCAGATTAGGGATAACACAAGGTGATCACAGTGTTGATACAGACTGTAGCTCCAACATCTTCATTATCAATTCATATACTGCCTATTTTTACGAAATACTTATGGGATGATCCAAAGTAACTACCTAATTTCTTAAGGCTCCTGTGGGAAACTTTTGGTAAATATCAATTTCTGTGCCCCCCCCTACAGACAGAGCAGACTTTGCTTATCTTGTCCTTTGTATACTTGAGAAACAATCTTATCTTGCTGTCATATAACAGTGAATTTATCATTTCTTTTGAATGTTTGTTGTGTAAACTATAAGAAACAGCTGTTCTTGCAACTGTGCTTGGCTGGCTTCTGACTCCTCATAACCATTTCAGGCATTTGAGACTAGGGTATAAAAACCGTCAAGCATTTTAATGATTGTCTTGTTTGCTTTTAGATATGATAAGACATCAATCTGAATTGAAGCCTATTTCAGACATTAAAAAAATCCCATACGAGCTTTAAACAGTGATTTAATACAACATAACTTTCTTAGTCTATATGTAAAATGAAACTCAGAAAAAGGATACAAATTGGACGCCATTTATAAAGGCCACAGTGTTTGCATCACTAGATTCAGTCCTCTACATGCCCATGCTAGCCATACATTGCTCCGTTTTTTTAATGCCATTTTTACCAGAGAGAGGCTAAATATATTTTTATCTGCATTTTCCAAATTAAAATACTGACAGTGAGCCACACCATGAGATCTGTACTTGTTTACATCCAGGTAGTAGAGCATTAGCATTAATAGCAGAAGCTATAGCCCAAAGCTATAGCCCAAAGCTACAAACCCAGACCAGTTACAGACTTGGACACAATACAAAGGATGCATGTCTGTCCCAAAGTAATGAGATAATTCTCTTAACCAGCTCGTAACTCTGCATGGTGCCAACTAGTGAGTGTGATAATCAGTTGACTGTCCAAAAGATGTGAAAATTGACGGCCCTAAAATCTGAGAGGCAAAGGCAACAACATAAAGTGTTAAGGTTAAAGTTTCTAATAACAATGCATTGTTTTAAATTGACTTATTTTTGCATCTCTAAATGTCTCATGTGAACATCCATCTGAAAGCCCCGTCTTTCTCTCTCAACAGCAGCATCTGTCTTTGGCTTTTGCTGTCAATGGAGTAAATGTGCCACGTGACCCCCCTCTCAACCTTAAGGCAGCAGTTTATGTGATGCTATACAACAAGGAATACTCAAGGCACTTTTTTTGCACAGATAGAAATATAAACACCATTAGTTTTTCAGTATTTTCCCCCCAAAATAAACACATAAAATCTTTGCTGACAGTTGACTTGTCGTTGAAAATCAGCAGGGGACTATTTGGCTGTTTTCCTGGGAGAGGTTAAAAACTGATTTCTTTATTATAGACTATCTCGTTCCTATTGTGTAAACTAGATAGGACTTTTTAGTAGTGTGAGTGCATTCCTGTGATCTCATGTGTTTCTATAGGCTTTGGGTATCCTTACATATAACTTCAACACTCACACACAAATGTCCAGTCCAACAAAACTAATCCCCCAGCTTCACAAGTGACTGCAGACAGGCCTACTTCCCTCGTACACTTGGTCTCCTGCTCTCACCCACTTTCATCCATCGACTTGCATGTCATCTTTTCAGGATTAATTTAATTGAATTCATAAATTAATGATAGGAGTTATTGTCCAGCTGTAAAAAAATCGATACATGCCTTTTATCTTCCAGTCTCTCACTCTTTCATGCTGCGCCTTGTTCATGATGAAACAGAATGGCCCATTGAGTGGTGTTATCGCTCACGGAGATTATGGGATATCAGAGGCAGCTGCAGTTCTGTTGAGTGGACACAGGAGGGCGCTCTGTACCAGTGTGTCACCTCCTTTGGCTCCCCTGTCAAGTTGCTGGATGGGAATTTTCCATGCACCCGGCTGAATTCATGCAATTCTGCACATGATTTTAATTTTTTCCTTTTGCCCTGGTCACTGGGCGTTCATCCAGCACGTTTGTGTGTGTGCGTGTGTCTGTGCGTGCGTGTGTGTGTTAATGTGGGTCTGTATGTGTGTTGATCTGTCTGCCTTTGAATCTGTGTGTGTGTGTGTGTCTGTGTTTACATGTCTTGAGAGATTTATGGCTGTGAGCATGCAGAATTTAGAGGCATCTGCGGATCAGGTCACACAGCATGAATAGCCCTGGTGGCTGCAGTCCAGACCCCGGTCTGAGGTAGCCCCTATTAGGATACAAACCACACAGGCTCAACAGCCGGCTTAACCAGCTGGAATACACAAACACAATATTAGGGACACACAGTCCACATCAGATTAGGAAATATTGTGCAACTATTGATGTGATGATCAGTGGGAGTTCAGGTGAAAAACCAGAAGCTTTTCTTAGTTTTGATGATCAGTTAGTTGTTTAAGTAAGCTGATTTATTTATTTATTTTAGCTCTATCTGAAAAAAGTCAATATTGGCAAATTGTCAAGTGATAGTCCACTTGAAACTGATTTTGTACCACTGACTGAATAAGATAAACTCTTTGGAGGCTGTATTTTAAAGCTGCCGTAGGGAGTTTTTAAGTTGTTGTACAATAGCTAAAATGAATAATAATGCTTCCTAATGCTCTACAAAAGCAAAGAAGACTACTAGCAACATGATTTATCATTTCTATCTAGTCTTTTTTAATCCCTGTCACCACTGACAGTGGGTAAGTGTTATTTTTCCTTCATACAGCAATTATCAGCAATGTTTGAAACATTTTAAACATGTCCAAAAATTTCACTCTAAGCCAGAATTAGTTTATCATTTTATCTTTGAACAACAAAACAACATTTTCTTAGAGCTGAATATTGACAATTAGCTTAAATGTTACACATTTGGGGTAAAAAACTGAGGTTTTGATGGACAAACATGCAGTGTTACACACACACAGTAGTCACTTCAGAAGTGCGCCTCATTCATTCAGGACCCCACACTTTGAGACTTGAACTTCGCTGTGTCAGCACCTGATGGATCGTTTCCCATTGCAGCCATTGTGTGTCTCTGCTCACCCAGTGCTGTTGCTTCAAGCTGTGCCCACTGCCATGTTGGCTCAGTCCGGCTGTGGTGTTGTTTCTGCGTGTGTGGTATTGTTACAGGCCTAGTATGCAGCGATGGAGGGTATTGTGCTCTCCTCTCATGGGTATTGTCCTGAGCTGATGTATGTGTGCTTGTTTATGTTACAGGCCAGTTTGTCAGGACGGTGACAGTTTCACGCTGCGAGACCTCTGCGTTCCCACAGTCGTTCACCTCTGACCCCGGCTCTTTTGCTGGCTGGAGTGTGAGTGAGTGAGTGAGTGTGTGTGTGTGTGTGTGTGTGTGTGGTTGAGACACGGAAGGAGAGCATGTCTGCATCTGAGATTGACATGCAGTGTTAGTTAAAAAAACTGCAGAAGTGGTTTTGCTTCAGAGTGTTTACTCAGGGGCAGTCATCACGGAGAGCACTGCGTCTGCTTGAAACCAGACACACACATTGTTTTTTTTTTTTTTTAACACTGTGTTGTTGCACACAAAAATGTACATGGGTGCCGAAAAAGTTTTAACACTATGTTGCTTTTTGTTGTTTTCTGAGTCAACATGTAGCTTCAATTTAAGACTCTGTATATCAACATTATTTATTTATTTATTCTTCTTTTCTGTACATACTGATACTGCTGGAATTTTAATTTCCAAGAAGAACCAATCAAATTCTTTCTAATCTAATCTAGTTCATAGATACACTTTAATACATAGATTTTTTTTTGTGTAAAAGATGGAGCATTTAACCCTTAGGACCTCCTGTGTACATTTTTTGTTCTTTCAGATGGGTTTTTCTGCGTCATTTTGGAAAGGAGGGCCTGAAGGCTACAGAATTTGCTTTTAAAGTAAAAGCAGCATACTTAGTTCAGCCATGCTAAGGTTACTGACTTGTCAAAAATAATGTGCAGCTTTGCAATAGAAATACTAATTTCTTAGTATTCATTAACTGCACTTCAGGCCAGTACTTGCAACTTGATTCTTGGAAACAAAACAAAACAACAACAACTATGTTTCAGGATGATGTTCCCTCCTGCTTAGCACCTTCAGGATGATCCTCCACTGTATTTATGTTTCACATGATCACATTGATGGTATTTATGTATTGATGTTGCTGCCAGCTGCCATAAAACCTTCAGTCTTGTAGGTGTAACCAGATAGTGTGCCAAAATTCCTCTGATGATATTGATCCTCCTCACATGCCAACCAGACTGTAGTCCCCTGAGGACATATAGCTGCCTGACAAGGTTGACAGAGAGTGGCTGGACGATATATACTTGACCAGATAACTTATAATGTCACGTGCAGTGAGGTTTAAATAAAGATATAGAACAAAAAAAATGGCTGAGGCATTCATTGCTCTTTGGTGTTTAGATCTTTCCCTGGGAAATATATATACAGTATATATATCAGAAACATAAACTTTAAACTGGTTGGTACTAAAGATACAGTCGTAAAACAAAGAACATAAGTAAATTTTATGATAACGTTATAACAGTTTTGTAGTTTTACTACTAACCCTGTTCATTTTATTGTGATCATTGTAAAAATTTGTAAGGCCAAACACAGAATGGTGACGTGCACAGGATAAACACTGATATCTTGTTTAAAAGTTAATTATGGCTCATAAAAATATTTTACAAATCTAGCAATTAATAAGAGTGTGATTTTTCTTCAGCCAAGTTTCAACCTGCACTGCTGAGAAGTACATTGACATTTTATTTAAAAAACTGATTCATTGCATTAGTCCATCTGAAATTGGACCTGAAAGTCCATGTAAACTTGAAAGTCCAACAGAAATTGCAGCAAATCAAACTTCTCATAGTTGAATTAACCTGGCCTAAGCGTTCTGCATGAGCTCCAGAGTTTGCATGCTGGGTTTCAAACCAGAAATTTTATAGAAAAAGTGTGTCGTTAGAAAACTGAGTGATAAACAAAACCCCAACAGAAAAAGAAAAAGATAAAGAAATAGGGAAGGAATTTCATTTAAAGGTACAGGGCTGTAGAAGTGGCGGTGTTTTGATTGCTCAGTATACATCCAGTTAGCATCTAACCTATATGTTTGTTTTGCTACATAAAATGTCAACCAGATCCACTAAGCTGAAAGAGAGTGGCGGACATGGAAATAGAGCCCTCAAACGAAAATACTTCCACACAGCCGACATCACTTCTAGTCCTTGCTACTTTGTTAGTACATTAGTCCACACTGTTGTTGTGATTATGTGGGTTGCATGTTAGATCTGGGCGCTGCTAGATAGAGGTGCCGGAGTGTAGTCCAAAATGGACTGCTTACCGGAGTGCTGATATCTAAGATTTTAGATGTAGGCCGATGTAATCTGATTTTCTGCTGATATCGGACCAATATCCAATATCAATGTCAGATCGGGACATCCGTAGTTAAATTGCACTAAGTAATCAATCCTGGTATTTGAATGACGTAGTACTACACATGTGCAGTTATCCATCACTGACAAGCTCAGTCATCTTGGATCTCAGCCTGAGCCATGATCTCATCAGCTTATAATTTTGTCTTTGAGCCGTTTTCACAAACTTTCATTGTTGATAAATTTAGTTTGGACTGAATTTAGTAAAAGAGCTTCCAGCCTTGCTGCCCCCTCTGCTTAGAGCACTCTGAAGATTGAACTGAAACTCTCTGGAGGTCATTCTACTTTGAACTTTCCGGGACCGAGGGACAGGGAGTGGGAAACTACTGAACAGTGCCTTCGTTTTAAATCTTTAAATTGTTGTTGTGCCGTTGTGTTACATCTCCTGCACTTCTTATTGAAAACACTGTTGCATCTCTAAAATTGAATGTATTAATCTATGCTGCCACTTTTATGTAACTTTTTGAATGACGTGCGGCTGACTTCTTGGCAACGTCACTCTTGTGAAAGAGATCCTGATCTCAATAGGTTTTATCTGGTGAAGTAAAGGTTAAAAAAAGAAGAAAGAAATACATTATAAGCAGCAAAGTGTAAAATCAACCCAGTTATCTGAACCACATTGCTCACTTGGCGCATGCTCAGCTACACAGTGCAACTTTTTCCAGATGAGACTGTTGAATTCCTCATCAGGGCTGGGTGATATGGCCTCAAATCAATATTACGATATTTTGATATTATATTTTGATAACAACAAATAGACAATAACTACTTCACAAGCTGCTCACCCCCTCCCACATCAGCTTTGTCTACTTCAGCTGCTGCTACAACTTTTGGACCGTCTTCCATCTCCTTTCCCTCTTTGGTATGGATTGGATGGGTTATTTTTTTAACACCAAATATATTGACATGGGCAAAATGATGTTGGTTATTGACATAAGTTTTGGTATTTTCAGTTTATTGCCCATCTCTATTCCTTGTAACAGCTGAGATACAAGTGAGGTCCAACTTGCTGCTGCTTATGTGCTTACTGCAGGTGTGGAATTTCACACATCCTGCTGGGGGTCTAATGCTTATTAATGTATGTTTCTTTTAGAATAAGATAGTTCTTATAGTACATATAGTACTTGTGATTTTTTCCTGTAACCACCGTATAAATGAATTAACTGTGTTCTGCATACTAAAAAGTTCATGATATGACCATCCTGTTTCTGCAGTCAACTAATTACCCCATAAAATCATTAAGCAGTTACTTTGATGTCAGCAAACACTTAAGGTAGTTGTCCTCACTTAATCTCTCAATCACTCTGTTAACTGAAACCAAGACATGCACATGCATTTATCTTGAACGCTGCCAAGGAGTATATGTAAGTGTTGTATTGGCAGCTATTTTGGGGAATGAATGCAGCCCATCAGCATGTTTATTACACTCTGCCTCTCCTCTCGGTGTATTTGTCACACTAGTCTATATCTGCCTGTCTGTCTTTGTGTATATGTGTGTGTATATGAGTTTGTGTGAATATAAACCGTGACACCAGTGTGGTGTGTTGATTTGGTCACTTCAGACGCTGGTATTTAACCAAAAGAAGACTCACGTGTCAAAGAGGAAATGCTGATGTTCTCCTTTTCTTTTCTTCTTTTTTGTGTGTTTGACAGTTCAACGGTTTCAAAATCAGGACTGAAAAAAAAAGAAGGAAACTTCATCTCTAAGGATCAAAACAAGTGCACAGAGTTGTTTACCCTCCTGACACACTTGCATTACATGTCCCAGCACTGTAATTGGATGAGATACTGTTACATCATGTCGTCACACCTTGTGGGTTTATTAGACCCCCCGGGCTGGCCACCCACTTTCCCTGACGCACGCACACACACAAAAATACACATGGACACACACTGCCTTATACTCACCACTCCTGGAATGTTATTATCCCACATTACCGAACAGCTCCACTTTTTACTGGCATCTTCTGTCAGTGCAGAGCATGTAAGCATTTTTGAGATACTTTACTGGCTTGTTTTGAAGAAGTCTGCAGAGTTACAAAGTGGAACTTGGTTACTGAGATCATCATATAACATACAAAGACGGCCTCTGTTTGCCAAGCCCCTCTGGTTCATGAGCCATTCAAATATTTAACTTTGAGTTACGAGAGTTACGTGAAATTAAAACACATTTGATCTGCTGAACATGATCATGAAATTTAGTTTCCTCTTACAGAATGACACAGAAATTCCTTATCTGAAGTTAGCATACTTTGAACAAAAATTGTAAGTAGAGGCTTATGCTTCATGTGAATCCTGTAAACCTGTGATTATCAGTCTTGTAATTTCAGGTCCTTGTTTAATCTAATATGTGTTAATTCCCTTGTCCTTTATTTGGAAAATGTAGGTTTGAAATTTTAGTTGGTGGCTGTTGATTAACCGTTTTTTCTTTCATGGGCACTGTGAACAGTTCTCATGTTATGCTGGTTCTGGTGACCCCTATGATAGAGACAATGGACTGCATTTTTCATGAGCACCACCACCTGCTGTCATAAAAATGTGACAATTACTTACTCCCTTCATGGGAAAAACAACTTTAAAAAGTAATTAAGTAAGCTGTGTGGAACTTTTAGTTGTGTCAATTTTGGCGCCCCCTGTGGACAAAACACTCTTCTCTGATCTTGTCTATTACATGCTCAAGTTGTGCATTTTTACAAAAATATCTCATCTCACAGGCTTTTTACAGTCAAATGTGTCACTTATTAGGAACATTATGAGTAGGGATGGGCGATATGGGCAAAAAAATTTATACGATGAGATTTGCCAATCTGACGATAACGAAAAAAGTCCTGATAAAAAATGGTATAATTCCAATCTATATTTTTGACTCATTTTGTCTGAAGAACACAAGTTGGAGTAGATAATAGAGATACTTAACCACAACTTTAAGTGGGAGGCTATGGAGAAAACTAATGACATCGAACAAGTCTCAAAGGTAAAAACATTTTTAACATTTGTTGAAAACTTTTATTGCAAAGAGTGAACAGCAGCAGCAGATCCACTGTCTGATGTCATGCATACCTGATTGGACTCATCTAAGCCCCAATCTTGAAGGAAATCCCTCATGTGGACCCTCGTTCACTAATGAGCTGCTCAGAAACGTCTTCTTTATTACCTTCATTTACCGCCCATCCCTAATCATGAGTGGAAGTAGCAGAAAGAGGCCTGTTTCTCTAGCTGCTCAGTTGACACCTACGCTCTTAAAACAGTTTCAGGCGTGGAAAATGACAATACACTAAATGTTTATCTAGTAGCTGTTGGTTTTTGCTTTTGGACAACATGAAAGGACATCTACATGAGTTTTAGTCTTATGTCATAATCGTCCGAAAACTTCTTGTAGGAGCTTTAAGACACCTTTTTTCAGGGTGCAAAGTAATGAGGTAATGTATTTGTGGCTACATGAAATTATTTGTTGTAACATAATGACCAAACCCCCCAAACCCTGAAATGTTACGGTTTGTAAGCTCACAAAGGGGGATCAGATGTACCTTAATGGTTTCTTGTTACCTCCAAGTCATGATATGTGCCCCAGTGTCCCTATAAAACATCAAAAACCATAAACATACAACATTATGCACACAGTTTAACTACTTAGTCGTAAAAGAGCAGTGAAGCATCCACATACCGGCATAAATCTCAAGTCCTGTTCATAACCATTGTGCTATTTTACCTGTAAAAGCCCTGGTTGTTGAGTTTCATAATACTAACTTTAACAGAAAACTTTTGTTTTGCTAATCCTGCTTCAGCCACATGACTTGAAAAGAAATTTATCTTGAGAGAAAAAAATCCCCCTGGCTGCAAACTTCTTTATAAATGCCAAACTTTATCAGTGGCCCTTTAAACATAGACACTTAGGGCTCTATTTTCGTTCGCGCCGGTGAGGCGGCGGAGGGCGGCGAGCCCCGCGCAGTTGTATTTTCGTCTGGCGGAGCCCAGCGTAAGGCGAGTTTGGTATTTTCGTGGACTGAGTCGCACGGAGGCGAGCCGAGATCCGCCAAGCTGGGCGTGGTGGCGTGGCAGGGGGAGGTGTTGACAGAATCAGCTGGCGCAGTGACATTTTCGTGCTCGCCACCGGCGTGTAACGTGCGCTGAAAGCTCGCCGATTCAAACCTGGTCAGCTTTCAGCGCAAGGCGGAACGCAGCTGGTCTTGTAGTATTTTGGTAGACCGGCGGCGTATCGACATACGTCACTGATGCCTCACCGGCAGGTTTCCACAGTGTCAGGCAGATTTCAGTGCAATAAATAAACATCAACAACTATTAATCTGAGTCAGCACATACATTTAGATCTATATCGATATATTCTGATCTATATCTGATCTGATGAGCGCGTTTGGCACGCGTTTGGCACGCGTTTGGGCACACAACCTGACCGAATCAATACAGCTGAAACTGCATCAAATTAAATTAAATATCTAGTAAATAAACACACATGATGAAGTTAACAAGATATGTAATGTGTCTCCCTCCTTTTCTTTTTTCCTCTTATTTCTCGCACAGCTCGACCTGGACACGTCTCCGTGTCCTCTCCCCGTCCTGCTGCAGCTGCTGCTGCTGCGGCTGAACAGATGATTTGTTTCAGTGCTCAGATGCGTTATCTACTTTAAGCCGACATACGGATATTATAATATTCAGTTTTGTGGGCCAAATTTATTTTATATGCCAACATCTATGAAAGAAAGAGCCAGGCCACGGAGCGCGATGCGTCATTTACGCACAGATGGTTCCGATTTTAATGCCATTTTTGGAGTTTATGTTGTGATCTGTGCGCTAAACCCACCTTTGTCACGTGAGGTTTGAATATATGCAACTTTATGTGAGTGTCTTTTTTGTGGAAAAGGGTGTTTGTCTTACCAGTGGGTCCAACATTACGCACACCAAATCCATCTGTGCTCAGATGAGAGAGTGTGGAGGACACTTGTTGAGCAGCTGCCCTCTGTCGCCATCGTGTGGCATAACTGTCTTCAGACATCTCTTGATCTCTTTGACTACTTCATGAAAATAGTAATACGCCTCGCCGGTGGCGGATTTAAAGGCAAGGAGAGGAGCTTATGTGATTGGTGAAAACAGGTCTCGGCTGTGTTAAACCCCTATACGCCCTCTCTCCTCCCCTTCTATGATTTATGCTGCCGGGAGGAGCTGAGTTAGGGAGGGGGGATACTTACGCCGGGCTGCGCGGCTCACCAAAATACCAAAATGTGCTTGGGAACGCCTTGTCAGCGCGGCGGATCTGATTGACTCTGCGCTTGCGGCACGTCTCCGGCGAGGCACCAAAATAGAGCCCTCTAAGTGCTGAACACCAACTTGTTTTTTTTCATAGAATATTATCAATAACCAGCATTGTTGCTGATAATCTCATAAAGAGGCACCAGTGTGAGAGTAAGATCCTTCAAAAACTTCTCACAGCTGCTTAAACTCTGATTAGATTTCACCTCTTAATCATTTTATTTCAGTTTAAACTCTGGAGGCCATTGGTCATGTAATCTGCTGCATGTTAGGGTTAAAAAGCTTGCTTTAAACACAGAGGTATCTTTTTAACTATCTCTATGAATCCTTTGTATTTATACAATTGATGTTTCATAATATGTTTGCCAACCTACTGAAAACATCACGAAAGCTAGTCTAAAAATTCCTGTGAACCCCTGAGAGTGCTTCAGAGGGTCTCCTGCCAAACAAGTACACTTATCGGTAATTTAGGAGAAATTAACCAATCACTAGAGGATTCAATTACCTGCTGGTATTATATGTAAAGGGAAATGAGCAGTGTGGACTTTCCTGAGGGTTAATCTTTTATTTATGAAGGTCTTTGACACTGTAGAAGCCTATTTAGAGCACGGTAAACAAATAAAGGGAAAGTAAACTGGGTCTCTTATGTCCTACATGTTGTCGCACAGGGTCCAGTATATCCCATAGTACATAACAAGGGATGAATTTCATGAAAGTATTTAAACTAGGCTCACTAGGAGCTTACAGTACGCCTCTGCCAGTGGTGATTTAAAGTAAGAATGAGCCCCTCGCTGAAAATCCAAAGAGTAATCTGTGAGGCCAAAGAGCACATTAGAATGACATCTGAACTAGTGGAATCATGGGGAACAATGCAGGCCTTTGTTTGAGAAGTCAGAGGGGGAAAATGAGAGGTTAGAGTTGGGGTAAATGAACAGCAAAAAGAAAAGTGAGAAGTAATGGTAAACAGGAGAAAAATGAAGTAAGAGGAAAAATGCTACAAGAGGGCATAAGACAAAAAAAGGAAAACAAGCCTCTAGAGGAGGGAAATGTGGGGAAGGAAAAGCAGACAACTTTCAATGATTTTGTCTGACTTGTAGTTGGACTAAAAGCATAAGAATAGCAGAGGCCAAGCTGGGCTAAACTCTTGAGAGCACAGAAGTATGTAGGCCAAAGGGAGATCGATGGTTAGAGGGACAAAAACAACTTCTCCATCTGGTTCCTGAATAGTCTTTGCTGGCAGAGTGCCATACCGAGTCTGTTCCTCTGTTGGTTTCTGGTCATGTTGAAGTAAACACTTAGAGAGCGGGCATGTAAAGGTTGGCAACACACCAACTCAAAATATACACAAACCCTTGAGCCAGTCAGTTTGATTTTTCTCTGCCTTTTTTTTCACCATCACTGGTGGATATTTCTAAGCCCTGAAGTAGTATCAGCTCAAATTTTAATCTCCTAGGCCCAGACAGAGCCCCCTCCCCTTAGGGTGTCAATCAGCGTTCATTGGTTTGTTTTAAGGCGTGTTTGCAGCCCACTCCTCTTTACTTGGCGTCATGAAAGATGGAGGGGAAGGAAGGAACTGCATAAGGACCCTTTGTCATAAATTATGCACAGCACAGGGCATGTGTGATGTCAGGAGGGAAAGTAAACAAGTGATGTTCGGTAACTTATGTAAGGCGTTTTCTCGACACTGATGTAGGGAACCTATGTACAAGTCAAGGCGTAGTCTATAGCTGCAGCAGAGTTCACCTCAATATCAGTCTGACTAAGATTTATCCAGGTTAAAGCATTCAGCTGCCCACTTGTTTTTGTCCTCTAAACCAGGTTTTAGGAATAGACCGATGTGGTACGTAGTTCAGTATGTAGGTAACCTAATTCTTCCCATTCCTGACATATCATTTCCTAAACTCACAGACTGAAAAAACATGTCTTTACAAAAAGCACTCCCCTCTCTGTGCCTGTATATCCCATCTGTCATTTTCTTTGTCAGCTCTGTGTTTGCTTATCCTCGTCTGGACACTCTGCTTATTTTTCTTTGCAGTGAAATCCAAGCTGCTCTGTTTGTTTGCTCATTATGGCTTGTATGTTTTGCTAGATACACTACGCCAACTGATGTCTGGTGGCCGTTTGCTGTGTGCAACTCAGTGTATTTTTTTATGTCTGTGGCAAACCTGATAAAGCAGGATATGCTGCAACTGTGACATTTTCATTCAGCTGATAAAAACAGCACTAAGTAAAAATGTTTTTGTGGGCTGTTATTTTTTAAGCATCTGATAAAAACTTGCATTGGATTAAAAAGACATTTATAGGTGTGAGGTAGGAAAAACAAAGACATTTGGTTCAAAATTTGCTGTTATTACAGCAAACGTTAAAAGGATTTTTCCCCAAACTCACAAGTGGAGCACAGAGAAAAGCACTTTTGCACATATTTTCTCTGTCTTTTGGAGCTTTGATTGTTCTATATTCTAACTATCTGGTGTAAAATACCTCTAGAGTTATCAAAAAGAATAAAAATTGCTGACAATGTTAATCAAATGAAACGTAAAATTTGATTTGTTAAAATGACAATATGTCCCCTTTTGCTGTAACAGTTAGAACCTTGAGGACATAATGTGAGTGCGTTTGTGCACTGACTTGTGTACACAACCGTATCTGTTCTTTGAAACAGCTATAAGATAAATCAAGTTATTGGCGTGGGTTGAATTTGTCAACATTCAACAACAAAATGTACAAATTGAATCTGTCTTATGATGATTGTAATGATAGTTATAATGTTATTTATTCTACATTTTTCAAAAACATGTGACAAAGTGCTTAACACTCATGCTATTTATCCTCTTATATTTTTAATTTACTCACAACATGCTTAAAAAGGTGTCAATCTACTTGTTAGTTTCTGCACCTAGACGCTCATTTCTGTTAGGAGTAACTTTTACAAAATAAGTGTTAAACCCTGCAGTGTGATGTGTGATGACTGGCTCGGAGCTTCTCACTAATCCATTTTGGTTAATGATTCTGCCGAAAAGCTGCTTTGCAGAGAAGCATACTTAGACTGCTACCACAACAACCAGAGCTTGTGCATCGGTCAGGCCTTCTTGTTTTATGATTGATGGATGTTTTGGCTTTTTAAGGCAGCGACTACCCTGTCCATCCTCACCTCCAAATATGGGTCAGCAGGGCTTCGTTACATGTGAGTTTAGAGGGGAAAAAAAACCTCTGTGGGTGTATCTGTGAAATTCCACAAGCACCCGTGTGTTTCTGAATGCAGGTGTGTGAAGGTAACCATCCCACCGTGACGTTCGTCCAAGCCGCTGTCATCACTCCCTTGTTTTAGAGGTCTCCCTTCGTCATACAAGTGAGAGGAAAAACAGAGAGATTTGTACCAGCTTGGAGCCTCTGTTAACGTCGGATTAGACGCAAAGATACCTTTTTTGGCACCTCCAAACACTTGCTTGTATCACAGAAGGTCTGAAGGTTACACTTCCCTCGATGAGGGCTGAGTTTGCTCATGATTTGTCTTTAGAGCCGTTACAGGTTAGCAGTTGGAAAGAACACTGCGGTTGATGTATTGTGCAACACAAGCCCGTACAAATTTGACTTAAAGAGGAAAGATTGAGAAAAACAAGTCATGGGTGTTTTGCTTCTGCAGAGAATCTCTTGAGTAAAACCAAGAGAAGACACACTTTGTTAAATCTATGGTGCTTTTGAAATACTACATTTGAATGTAACGTCTTTTTTTACCCGGGGAAGAGTAATTTTGGATGTTGATGTTGAAATCAAAAGTGCAGAATAGTCTGTTAAAGCTTGTTTTTGACTAGTTTGACAGGTGTCTTATGTGTACAAGACAGACTGTCTTTCTGCTCCCACTCTCCACACCCTCTATAACTGTGTGTGTGTTTGTGTGTGTGTGTGTGTGTAGATGTCAAGGATAGAGGAAATAAAGTCTGGTCTGTGTGTGTATTTTAGGGAGGGAGAAGGATAGAGATGGAGATAAAGAGTGTGTGTACGTACTCAGTTGAAACAAAGTGTGTGTGTGTGTGTGTGTATGTGTGTGTGTGTTTGTGCACTTGTGAAATTGGGATTAGCCCCCTCCTAATTGCGGGCAAGTACTCAAAGCTTATTAATGCCTGACCTGACCTGCTCTTTATTCCCTCCATCCATCACTCTGAAGACTTGCAGAAAACACACTGAGCAGCAAAACAACAACCGCCGTTAACAGAAGGAGAGACCAGCCCCTCCCATCAGCTTCTCTGATTGGCCCAGAAGCATGCCTTGGGAGCAAACTGATTGGCTTAGAAGAGACACACCTCTAGAATCTGTTTATGTGTAGCCAGATAGTGATGGAAGAAGGAGGAGGGGGGTTGTTAGGGTAGGGGTGTGATTGTTTTGGGGTTGGTGTGGAGGTTGATTATGCAGAAACAAAAGGGGGGGTATTTTAGAGGAGGGGGGAGGTAAATGTACGCTCTGGAAGCAGTCATTGGAGCTTGTTCAAAAACTTCTAGGAAAGGATGTTTGTTCACTTCTCTGTATGTGTGTGTGTGTTTTTGAGCTGAGCCCCCAATAAAATCACAACCAGGCCTTCCTGATTTAGTCAGCAACATTTATAAAGCAGCAGCCCCTCCCTCAAAGTATCTGCATGCAACCCTGTTGATAATGAAAAATCAACATCTTTATCTCTGCTTATCACATCAACATGTTTCTGTGGTCAGGCGAGTCCTGGCACGCCACAGAGGAGATAATTTATCACCATCAGCAGCAGGTCCGTCACTGATGTTTTTCATATTTTATATACATAAGCGCTGTCTCATACGTCATTTATCACAATCCACTATATGTGTGTGTGTCTTTGACAACAGGGAGCATGCCTTAAGAAGCTAAAGCAAACCAGATAGTTCAAATGGTTGGGTTTGCGTCTGTTGTTTCCTAATCCAAAGTGCCGAAAAGGTAGAAAGAGTTCACAGTGTTAGTATCTTAGTTTCAATGCACAGGATTTTCTTTTCTCAATTCTACAATTTTTAAAGTAAAAGGTCTTGGGTACCAGCAAGGGCCTGTGTCTACTGATTGCATTTTTGGACTGGTGGCTAACACAACCTCAATTTCACTAAATTAGATTCAGTTTCATTCTCTTTGGTGCTTTCTGTTCTTAGATTAAAAAACTGTTTTCCCTTTGCTTCTCTGATTTCCTTAGTATTCAGTGTTAGGTCTGTTTCTATTTGTTCTGTATGCTTCCATTTGCTTTAATTCCGATAGAATTGTAAAATACAGCATAAAAACAATTTGTAGAAATTGTGTTGCAACAGAAGCAGCTGCTTCAGACTTGGAAATAGTACCTCTGAAAAACAAGCGTGTTTGGTTTCTTCTCTATGGATACCATTGTTGTTGACAAAAATGATGTCAGCAGTCCCACCCACTCTTGATATTGATTGGTTGAACCTGGAGAAGTGACAGTGACAGGGTGTTCAAAAAGTTGAAGGAATTTCAGCAAAAAAAAAAAAATAATAGAGCTGACGTCAAAGGCTCTTTTTCCGGCCCATGACTGAGCATGAAAAACACCAAATTGCATTGTTTTTTTTTTTTAGAAAATAGGTGTCCTGAGTGGAAATAGGCCCTTAGCCAACTTGATTTTAGTTCAGTAACATAAAATGCTTTTCAGATCAACATGTGTTAAACTTGTGGAGATTGCACATGCTTTCTCTGGTTTGGCATCTAGAAAGTCATTCACCAGTGGGCAGTGTGATTTAGATTTCTGCTATTTTGAGGGATGGGCAAGGATGAAAATACTGTAGAGGTCAAAGTTTTATTTCAGGTGTGTTCGCACATTGCCTGCTTAGATCTACACTTTGAGTGTGTAGTTCTGATGTGTTCTTTCTTTAAGTGTGTGTGTTTGTCTACTGTGGAGTGTGTTTATTGGTGGGGTCAAGGTCAGGATTATGTGCTGGTTATGAAAGCTAAAAGCATGACAGTGCCTTTCCCTGCTTGTTTACCATCTGAGTTAAGTGTGTTCCTGTGTGTGTATGTGTGTGTCCCTGTGTGTATGTGAGGAAGTATGTCTGGGTGTGCTCTGAGGCATGATTGACCCCCCGGGCTGGCCTGAGGAAAAGGCTAGGGTTACTAATGGGTTACTTTCGTACACACAGTGACTCTTCTGAGCGTCATGTGACAAAAACAGGGGTCGGGGTGTCCAGAACCCAACTCCTATAAAATGCTTTTCACCCATGACCCCTCACTTCTTACGTCACATTTGTTTGTCTTCCCTCTTCAGCTTTAAAATCTGTCTGTCATCTGCTCTGTTGATGGAGCTTAGAGTAACACAACATTTCTTCATTTGCTTTTTCACAAATACAACAAAAATCAAAGAGAGAAATGTAGATATTAAAACAATTGTTGAAGTGATTAGGCTGTGGCTGCAAGAAATGTGGGTTTATTGCTTTAAGCATGAAAGCTATTTGATGGCTGAGCTAAGCTTATGGTATGTCAGTGTGTTAGTGTGTTCACAACAGGGTTTGGTATAAATCTGATTACTTATAATCCTCCCTTCTCAGTAGATACAGTCAAGCTTTGTATTCTGGCTGAACACATTTGCTGTTTATAGTAATTGTGACAAATTGTCAGGAGGAAAATACATGTGAAGCAGTGAAATAGACGGAGGAAGCCTGATTTGTAGTTGGCAACGGTTGAGTTTGCAAACAGAACACTGCAACCCTTCTTAACATTGACCCCGTGAGTTTGCTTGAGTTACTGACTTTCAGTGTTTATAGGCTATTGGTTTTTAAAAAAAGAAAGTAGAAGTATGATGATAGTCTAAATATATGATACCAATCAAAATACTGTCTGAGTTATCTGTCACGTCTGTCACGTCTTATCTTTAGTGCATCCATTTAAAGCTGGCAAGCTACCACACCTGACTGCTGATTAAAAGAAGAGGGTTTCATTGAGCAGAAGAAGTCACCTGTTTGACAAGCTTTGATGTGTTTTTATAATCAAACCTGTTCAGTTCAGAGTTCAGAGGGCTTCATTGGCCTCCAAGGGAAATTTAATTTGCAGTCAGTGGAATATAAACAGTCAAAAACACACAATAATACAGTAGAGGCAAAATCAGAGACCGTGTTTCCACTGTTACCCGGACAACAGGGAAAGGCAGCCCCTGATTGGTCCATGTGTAGATGGTGAGGTCTAACACATGCTGCGGGACTTTTCAAAGCACCGTTCATTCAGAACGCCGTTAATTCTGCAGTTGACTTTGCAAAGTCGGCAGAAATCGTTTATCTCCGACATCTTCTGCATATCTAAACGATTTCTGCCGACTTTGCAAATTCAACTGCAGAATTAACGGCGTTCTGAATGAATGGCGCTTTGAAGAGTCCCGCAGCATGTGTTAGACGTCACCATCTACACATGGACCAGTCAGGGGCTGCCTTTCCCTGTTGTCCGGGTAACAGTGGAAACACGGTCTCTGATTGGCCTGGTTATTTTCTGATTGGTTATACACGTTCCCAATGGGCTGAAGTCCAGACTGTTGTGGGAAGGAATGGCAAGGGATTCATGCAACAGGATGGCCCAGCCAGGCTAAAAAAAAGAAGGTTAAAAGCAATCTTTTTTTTTCAAATCTTTTTATTGATTTTCTTGAGCACAATGCATATAACAGTTCAACAGCACATGTCACTGCAAGAGGCAACCAGTGTAAAATAAGGAACAGAGAAACAAGAGTAACATGGCAAGCACAGCTTCAAGTAATAGTAAAGTGTCTGAAGTCATATAAATAGCAGACATAACAAATAATGTAAAAAAGTCTTTAAATTAAAAAAAGATTAAAGAAAATACATAAATAAATAAACAAATGAAAAAGGAAATATCTCAAGTAGCAGTTCTATTATCTTCAGGTATTAGATTGAGGTTATCCGCATAATCTACAAGGGTTTCCAGATTTCATTAAAAGTTGCAAGAGACCCTTTTAATGAGTATTGCATCTTCTCGATTTAAGACAACTTAAAATCTCCTGTATCCATTTGTCATGTGTTGGAGGAGAGGCATGTTTCCACTTAAGTGGGATGGCACGTCTGGCCAGAAGTGTTGTAAAGGCAATGGCACATCTGATATTCGAAGGAGTGTTGGGGTTTTTGGGTGGTAAAAAGCAATCTTGATCATCATTAAAGAGTTTCATCGAAAGTGTCAATGAAAATTGTTTAAAAGTGACTACAAAGGGGGATCACAGCCATCTTTACTTTTTGGAAATGTGAATTGACTCATCACAGTCCTCGCTCAAGTGACAAAATTGATGCACTTAAGAGTTGCACATGGAACAAAAGAAAATGTCAGATGTCTATCTGTTCTTGCCTTGGGGAGTCTATATCTCCAGCCGAAAGGAAGATGAATAAATGGAAATGTCAGTGTGGGAGTATTGCACAGCTATGAGAACAATCAACGTAATGCAGTTTGTAAGACACATCCTTGTGACATTTGAAGAAAGACTCAAAAGGAAGGGCAAGGATGAACCACTAGCAACAATATAAATTCCTTAAAATTTCTTGCAAATTTAAGAAACAAACATAAAAATTATAAAAAAAAATATTCTGCAGCTGACACCTTCCTTCCTCTGAACATGATAAGATGATTTCTCAACCCTTATTACATATGTGCTAATCAGGTTTAACTACAATATCAGTCTCCTTATTTCAAAACAAACAATAAAACTATTTTTCCTGATTAGGTGGGACTTACATAATATCTTTGGATCTTAATGTCCTGTCTTTCGATGCTTGCATAATCAGATATTCTGAAACAGGCTGTGTGATTGGCTTTAACAAAAAAATAAGGAAACTGATATGAGGACTCAGCGGTTTGCATGTGAGATGTGGGTCGAGCGTCCCAATCAGCCTTTCAAGCTATTAGAGATTCTGCAGCTTTGGAGTATCTAGAAAACACACTTGGCCTTTGCTGCGATAACTGTGTATCACAAAGTGTTTCTTTTTCTACAAGTCCTTGCACAGTTTGATGCCATGTAAATCATTTAATGCTAACATTTCCCTTGATAAAACGTAAGGATTATGCTTGTAAAATCAGTTTTACCTTGATAATGGAAAAATTCTGAGGGTGAAAAAAAAAACTAGTGAGTTGAAAAAGACCAAAAAACAACCCCATGCTCAGGCTTGTTTGCTGGAAATAGCTTTAAATAATGACTTATGTTCACACTGCTGCTATGTTTTTGAGAAAGTTTCACAGCTTGACAGACTTGCAGGGTGACTTCTGCAACAGGATCACTGAAAAACATTTCTTCGAAGAGCTGTTTGAACGCCCAATGTCTAATCAATAACAAATCTGTCATGCACAGTCCCATCAGCTATGACTGAGGTTTTGTGCAATAAACATGTCCCACCCACAGACAGACAGGTAAACAAGTCACATAATGTTGCGTGTTTGTGTGATGGCATGCATATGTGATATATGATTCATTTAACTGTTCTTCACCCTCTGTTGGCTTTTAGCTGAGGGTTACATGTCCCGGCATGTTCTGCCAAGATATTGTGTGTCTCGTTTCCCTTTCTGGACACATTCTCATGGCAACAAATTCAATATAAACAAGTGATCACAAAAAAGTACGAACGTATTGTTGGTCTGCGTCTGTTCTCAGCTTATCAGTGCCTTCCATAAAGCTGCTTCCAAAGGCATCAAGTACCTTCAAATGTATATACACATAAATCATTAGATGGATGTTTTTCATGAGGGTAAAAAAGTATGTGAACGTTCCTGTCGTCTGTACTAGATGTTCCTGTGGCGTCTGGGTCAGTGTACTCAAAGCTGAAGGTTACATTAGTAAAGAGAATCTGGCACACATATTGTAAGTCACAGTTAGACATACATTAAAGCGTGCAGCCAACAAACGTTAAGCTGTCTTCTGCGTGAGCTAGCTGGCTAGCTTCACTGATGAGGCTGTCGTGCACATTCCTCATGTAAAGTAAGAAGTCTTTTAATTTAATCACTCCCATATGTGTGTGTCTTCAAGTGTGCAACTAAAAATAATCTATTTAAAACACAGCAATCATGTCTGAGCGTGCAGAACAAGAAGTGCATGATAGACAGAGCGCGTGTGTGTGTGTTTGCGTGTATACTGTACATAGTCTGTGGTCTGTGGTGTATTTGCTGGAGCCCTCAGTCTTTACCAGTTTGAACTAGTTTATCTGTCATTGTGGGGTATTTGGCTGCGGCCTGGCTACACAAAGCCACTTATAACAACAGAGGGGTCTTTGCGTGGACAGGGGGATGGTTGATGAAGTGAGATGCAGTGTTTGGGGAGCAGTTGCACAAACCAGTTTGGTGTCATATTCAACAATAACGCACTCATTCCTGTGACACAGTTTTACAGGTAAGCAGAAGGTGAAGCAGAATAAACGGCTGTGATTGGGTGGCGAGGAATTTCACCAAATAAATCAGAGAAAAAGCTTTAAAAGAAGTGGAGGAGACATTTATTAGAGAGGAAGGTTGCTGTAGAAAATTGGTGTAAGGGATAGGTAGAGTTTGTTTTTTCACAGGAAGTGAGGCTTAGACGACCTCTCACTCACTCTGTCTGGCTGCTTCCTGTGTGGAGAAGCAAGCTCTGTTACCACAAAGGGAAGTGCACCCAAGGTCTCTGCAGTTTTATTTAATGAAGCTTATTTTTCAGCTGAAATGTTAGACTTTATCCTCACGTGTTCAGTACATGCAGTAATGCCAATGATTTAAAGAAAGGCTACACCAAGTATAGGAACATCCAGGGTTTGTCAGGGCTGGTGCAAAACATGATCAGTCAACTCTGAGTTTGACTTTTCAACCAGTAAGTTTCAGCTGCTCCATCCTTAGAGAAATAAATCAGTGCATTGGGAAAAGAAAAAAAAAAACCATGTGTATCTTCTGTTCATTGCCTGTGTTGACTAAGATGACACAAGAAGAGTGTGCAGAAGAGATTGGGATAAGACATGAACATGTAAATCAGCTGTATATGAGTCTGCATCCTAGTGCACAGGTCTTAATACCTGTTTAGAAAAACAATGAATCATACTTTCCTTTATTTTAAAGCCCTCTGGACAGTTTGATTATTTGACAAGCAAACTCAGGCCTTAACTTGTGGAGGCAGTGCTATCAAACTTTACTACGACTAAGAAGAAAGTAAGACAGATCTAAACTAACACACTCACTCCAGTTATATCTCTTGGCCTCCACATACTTGCTTTGGCTCAAAAATGTAAGCAACAAATTGAACAACAATTGCTTATGGGAGATGCTTTAAATGAGCTTTATTAGAGGTTAGTTTAAATCTCTCTTGTAAAACTCCAAACCAGAGATTACAATATTTACTGTAAAACCTGGAATATACCGTATATTGCACAAAATTGGTCCAAACTATCTTCTTGCTACATGATTTCCTTTGCATCAGCATGTCCATATATGTGCATTTCTGTGCAGCCTTTTGTAGTACCATTTGTTTTTGCCATGTGGAGTTTGCTATTCTGCCAGCTACTGATACCAAAGTTGAGCCCAGTCTACTGTACCTTTGATGGATGTGAGGTACAGACAGACTCATTGTAGGTTACTGTTTTGCTGCTGTGCTCTGCTGGGCACTTTTTATCCTAGATTGAAAGGTTTTCAGTCGAATCAACCTTCACTAAGGTTTGTTTCCTTTACATAAAAAAAATATGACCTTATGAGGGAGAAAGACTGTTGAAAGATAACACCCCAGCGAACACTTTCTTCATGGAGCGCCATCTTTCTGGTAAAATACCATTACACTACTAAATAAGTACCTCCTTATATTGCTATTAAGGATGCAGCCAACTTTCAGGTGGAAAATAGTATAAAAAGTGCATTGCATACATCAATTTTGAGTAATTGCTTAGTTACTACTTACAGTTTCACTAAGCATTTGCGCCAAGCCACTCAGTGATGAGAAGAAAGTTGCTTAAACAGAATTAAAGCAAAGTTAAATCAAGTTTCTGACTGTGAACGTTTCATGAATAGCATTTTTAGCAGAAAAATTCAGCCGTGATATCACCGTGGTTAACGTGAACGAGCTTTTGTATTCAGATACTTCACCATGTGTTTTTACCTTACTCCGTACACTGAAACACATGATGGCGAAGTCAGCCATGCCTGTGCAAATCTACAGGGAGTTCAGTGGTTTTGCTCCTCTATGCTGCCAAAAAGTCAGTGTTTACTTGTAATTGGGCAACAGCAATCTAAATAAACCACATGCAGCAGCTCGTTTAAGCCTCTTTTGTCTCAGAGCTGCCCCTCTATGGGCTGTCTTCAGTGCGGCTAAAACTTAAAACTCACTATAACTAATTTATTGTAAGTACAACAGTGATCTGTAGGTCTGGATATTTTAGTATCAGATTTCGCACACCATCTCCTGTTCTCACTTTCACTTCATGATTTTCACTCCCATATCTTCCTCTCCCCCTACAGAAACCTTTTTTTTTTCCTCTCTGTTTCACCCACGCAAACACACACGTTCAGAGTTACACACGCACACACACTCACACTGACAGTGACTAAGGTCGGCTTGTTATTGTAGGCAGCTGGTGGAGGGCTTTCCTGTCCAAACAGCCCAAACGCTGAGATGGCAGAGCTGAGGGGGACACGCAGAGACAGAATAGGCTGAGTGGGGTGACCACCAGTTAATCCTCGGGCCGGCCTGGGCGTGGGGGCAGGTGGAGCAGGAAGCAGAGGGCATGGGAGATAGAAGAAGGCCATTGGGTTCTTCCTCTCTCACTCTGGACGGCTGATACAGATGGAACTAAATGGTCACACGCTTGTTATAAAGCTACATAGTAAAAACACCCATGGGTGCACAGTACTTGCTGGCTGGGAGATAATTTACAGCATGATGGCCAAACCTGACCTTGTACACCTTCCACTGAGTATGCCAGAAGAGAGTTTGGGCTCTTCTTACCAAAGAACATCATCTTTGAACTTGTTGACAGGCCACATGGTTAAGGAGTCCATTTGAAATGCAGTGCAAATATTATCGCCAATAGATTATTCAGAAACTAATCTTTAAATCACTTCACTTTTGTTGACTTTTACCAGCTTTTTTTATCAGGAGATAATTATCGATAATTATCGTATTTGTACGATTATTTTGCCCTCTGTATGATGTATGATCAATAACCCAGAAAAAAGGCTAAATGAACAATAATTTGACAGTTTGGTGAATGTGTGAAGCAATGGTACTATCTGCCAGACACTCTATTTTTTAGTTTTTTATTTGCGAACCCTAAATGCATCTTTTAGTGATGTTTCCATCCAATTGTAGCTTGAATTACGTTTGTCTCCGAACAACAAGGATGATTGACTGTCAACCATGCTTAGTTGGGAAGTTGGTTAAGAAAAATGAGCACTGCTGAGCACCCCTGAAGAGGACGGTGACAAACGGGAGCCCAAGAGATGTGGGGTAGGGCGGTGAATGACCACAAAACTGTAGCCACAAAATCGTGAGTGCCCGTAGGATGCTAAACAGAGTGACTATATGTGACTATCATGCAACAGTAAGATTGTTATTCTGATTACGACAGGTGTACGATAATTTTCCCAAAATTACAATAATTTTGGGTCACTATAATTCTATATTTCCCATCTGGCAACACTGTGCCTTCCTCTCTTAAAAGTTTTGAAGATTTTCTGCTGACCACCATAAAGTCTTAAAAAAATGATACAGATCTGGAACAATCAGTCTAAATAGTGGATTCATTAAAATGGTTTTGACTTTTTTTGGTGATGTTAAGTAATCAGAGGCAGCTCTTCCTTCCTGATGTAAAATAGAGAAAGACTTTTCCTGTTCCTGTTTCTGTTTAAAGCATTGTTCAAAAAGCTTCACTTATGAGGAATTCAGATTCAAAAGGCTCAAGTTGTGCGTTTAACAAGGACTAAAGCAGTGCAGTTGAACTTGACACAAATACAAAACATCTGATGATTACACAGTGAAGTTGATGCCAAGTCTTAGTTAATGTTTAATGGAAATCCCAGCCAGCAGGTAAGATGTTTTTAAAACTTGAGCACCACCTGAGTGTTATAGATGTCGATGCCAGCAGACAGGATAAGCAGTTTTCCCAGGGTAAATGACCTGAGGGGCAATCTGCTGAGGGTCATGTGCCCGACCCCCCCACCCTCCTCCTCTACCACCACCACCACTGCGTCATTCCCTGTTATGTAAGCCGAGGGTGAGGGTGATGGCTGCAGGGGGTTTATTTCTGATCTCTGACACTTCTGTATTACATTCTGCACCAGCCTAAACTTATAAATCCTCCAGCTTATGATTTTGAGTCTCTCCAAGGGACAAGAAAAATATCACATCTGCACAGTGACAAATATTGAGACACACTGGATGCTGATATAGCAGCAAGAAGAGCCAAAGAACACAGAGAAAGGAAAAGGGAAGGACCGCAAACCAAACAAAGAGCAGGGTTGCCTCTGAGAGGCTCTGGACAGTGGGAACTGTGGGCCCTCTTGGTTTTGTGTTGTTTTTTTTCTCATATTAGCAGATGGGCCCACATCGTCATGAGCTTTTTTTTCTTCCTTATCAGTATCAGTGGCTCTGTTTCTGTGGTCTCTAAGAGGGGAAGAAATGGAAGAGATAGTGTAAAGGAAAGAGGAAAGAGTTTGCAGGATGACCAAGGTGAGATAAAGATGGGAATTAGAAAAGACAAAAAAAAAACATGGTACGATTCTGAATCGACCCTGAAAAGGCCGAGCAGGAGAGGAGAGAGTGGAAGTGGTTATTTTTGGCAGGTAGCCCGTGCAGCTGCTTTAGACAAAGCCCCTATGCAGCAAAGATCAGGAAAATATTAGCCACAGAGATAGAAACTTAGACTCCCACGCACACAAACACATTCATGTGTGTGAGGCTTCACTGCACTTCACTTTTTGGCCTTGGCAGCTTGTGCTTGTCTTCAGTTCTTAATAATTAGTTTTACTAATCTTCATTCAAACAAATACCAGAAAGTAGAAATTAGAAGCTGGGGGCTTCTGTATCAACATGATGATGTAATTAAACCACTGTTTTTACAAACTATTGAAGGGTAAACAGCCCTCTATGGTTTCCCCAATCCAAATACAACCATATTTATGAGAATTAAATGAGACAATAGGGAACATGTGGTCATCAAATTAGAAACAGAGTGAAAAAGATTTGTCTCCTCCTTTATAATCTGCATCTTGCTCTGCACCAGTTTTGCAGTCAATGTCTGGATTGCAGGACAGGGTCTTACTCGACCAGCTAATCAGGCTGCTCTTTTTCTGACCTTACTTTTGCACCATAGCTGATCACTGTGGTTATGAATGTCAAATTTGGAAAGCTACAGAGATGGTTGTTAACAGTTTTGCAATCCTCAAGCATAAAAAATACTGGAATTTAAAACAGTGCTATTGCTTTTCTTGTTGTAAACAATCCACTGCTTTTATCTGTCTTTACTGAAGACACCTGAGTATTGGGTGCCATGTTAACTGTTGTTCCCAGTTCAAACAATAACTACTGTTTGCAAAATCACAAAATCTTGGTTCTCCAAAAACACTTCCTCCCAGATTGTTGTGTAAAAACAAGCAACATTGTACACACTACCACCACTGAATGCTAACCTCTTATAGGGATATTCCAGTATCATCAGACTGAGATGCTAAGGCAGAAGAACTACCGTATTTTTAGTGCACATATAAGATACACAAGAACTCTGATTGCATTTCCATAAAGTAATAATGATAAATTTTCTGCTGCACTCGGTGATCGACTCATCAGGGCTCCCCCACAAACAAGCGGCTGCTGGAGGAGAGTGAGTGAGTTGTGTTTAGTCTCTTTGCTAAAGAAATCAGGCAAAGCTAAAAAGATGGTTGTCAGCTAATGCTGTGGCTGGGACCCTATATGTACTGTTGATGAAGTTAGGTGCTGTTCTGAGCATTATTTGTGGCTATAGAGTGGCTTTTGGTTAAGGTTTGTGCGTTGAGACATGGACTGCTGTGTATTGCTATCGTGCGGTTGTTACTAAAGTTGGTATAACTAGAGAAGCAAGCGGTCGGCAACATTCATCTCTCGGGGGGGTGTCTGACTCAGTGTTATGGTTTGACTATAACTTAAATTTACATCGGAATATCCCTAAAACTCACCCAGTTTGACAATTGGAAAAAATAATGCAGATGATGGTGAGCGTGTCTCTACTCTGAGATTAAAGCAGCTGTGAGGAACTCTTGGTTTGTGTTGATATTGGTGCCCCCTGTGGACAAAGTGCTACCTCTTAACTGTTGCCTTGTTTGTGTGAAACTAGTGTTTTCAGACCATGATCATATCCTTTCCTCTTGTACTGTTTTAATAATGCACTGCTGATTTAAAACCTGCTTTCAATTATTTAGCGTGAGGCCTCTTCCCTCAGAGTGGTTTTAAGAATTTAAAAAAAAATCTTTACAGCTAAATGACCATTTTGCTGCTGATGGTCTTGTTTGCTTTTGAAGGTCATAAAGAGGCGTCAGTATCAGTTTAAGTCTGTGCCTCAACTGATTAAAAACTCCTTATGGTGCCTTTAAGATCTTACAGTTGAGATGTGCAAAGCAGACCACCAAATGATAGAAGGCCCATCAGTGTGTTTAACACCTGCGGTCCACAGAAAACATCTAGTAAATTGATTTTTTTTCATCCTTGTTGTTAAAGGGTTGTTTGTTATCACATAATGGCTTCTTGAATTTGCATACAAATTCACAGCTTTTTAAATCACCACACTATTCCTATTGTTCCTTTCCCTGTAAAATGTGCCAAAAACAAATCCTGTAATTGATCCAAAAGTCATAAAACGAGGTTCATATTGCTTAAACCTAATCTAGGTTTTGTTTTATTCTGATGTAAGATACTGAAAGAGAAACACAGAGCAAACAGGAAAGTACCCTGACAGAATTTTAAAAGATACCTTTTGAGAATCTTTTAGTGTCACTTTCGGTTTTAGTGTCACTGATTTACACCCACATTTACAGCTCATTTAAAGTATTATGACATTGTGTGACAAGTGTTGATGACATGATCAAAAGCTAATATGCAATGAAAGCCATTTGAACTGCCTGTAATTGATTTACTACCTTTGATTTATAATGCAGTCTTATAGTTTATAAATGAGTGATCAGTGCTCTCATTGTAAGATTATTAAGTTTCAGAGCTGTTGCATAACAACACGAGTGCACGATCATTCGCACCTCATCTATCTAGAAATACTTCTAGCTCTCTATGCTTAGAAATTCAAGCACATCTGACATGGAGGTGTGAAACTCTCCTCCTGCTACCAAAAAACTAATGAGCCACGTGTTTAAGCTGTTTGTTTTGGTCTGATGAAACGAGCTCATCATTACTTTTTGTGGAGCAAGAAGACTCCAGGTGACAGATAAGTGACACACACACACACACACACACACACACACACACACACACACACACACACACACACACACACACACACACACACACACACACACACACAGTTTATACACACACATTAACACACACAGACAGGTCTTGTCCTTAGGGGACTCTGTGCTGTGTTGACCCTGGGGTGGGAGGACAGGGGAGGAATATTGGAAGCAGCTATGGCGACATGCCCATTAACATGCCTGTGAGAAACAGCACCCAGCCTAGACCCCAGGCAACCCTGCTCTGACCCTGCTTATTTAACTGTTCTGTGTGTTTAAGTCTGTATGTGCGTGCGTGTGTGTGGGGGGGTCCTTGTGTTCCCTGTCAACATATAAAGTATGCCTGCAGGTTAGTGTTGAGCATCTCTGTACAGTTGAATGTCTATATGCTGTATGTCTGCTGGGAAGTTTGGCCATAAAACAAAGACTTGCATAAATCCAGTTCAAATAAACCACACATTAGGACTGGGCCAATTGGCAAAAAAATGATCACAATATATTTTGTCATATCGTCCAATCTTGATTATATCACATTCTTTTAAAAAAATTTTAAACAGTCAGTTTTAAAGCATCTTTACTAAAGACTAAGGAAACTAGAGATTAGTTATTAACATGTTATTAACATCTAAAGTAAAAAACAAAGCAAATTGAATAAGATAAACTTAGAAAAATATAAAAAACATTTTAACTCAACAATACAACAAATGATTATTAAATAATACAGTGAAATAGTTTACAAATAGTGTTTCTGCAGGTATGCAAGAGCCAAAATAAACAAATGGCTCCCTCAGGGATAATGATGACGCTTTAAAATGTAAAGATTAGATGATGTAAACGTAAATGATACGATTGATCGCTGCTTTTGTCTGGTGGCTGCACCACTTGTTGTGGCTTAACTGCTAATGCTACTTGTGCCGTCAGTGGTGGTAGGCAGTTCAGACACCGCATTTTCATGCTTTCTGTGTAATCACTTGGGAAGTACTTCTCTATATGATTAAACAGATTTGATGTGTTGCCAGGTTTTGCGGGCACCGACAGCCAACATGCCTCGGCTTAATTGCTCGATGTCGCGCAAATCACCGCCACACAGCCAACGTTGAATAACTTTTCTTCTCAACAACGGCATCCTTGGAGGATGACTCAAAGTCATGGCTGAAAACTATCTTGCTGCCCTCAGCTCCACGTTTAGCTCCATGTTCAGTCATTCTGTTTACTTCTCCAGCAACTTAAACAAGTGAGCAGGAGAAGCTCGACTCTGATTGGCTGTTGTCGCACACATTTCCGCTATGTTTGATCGAGTAAATATGCTCACAAGCTGATCACCATGATCGAACTAAATTTTATCACAGTCATTAATCACGGTCCCCCAGCCCACCTCACATAGTATTAACACACACACACACACACACACACACACACACACACACACACACACACACACACACACACACACACACACACACACACACACACACACACAGTTTATACACACACAAATACATTTCAATATGATACACTCTTGGTGACAGTCCATTTAGTTTCATCATTCTGAACATTTGTCAGGGGTAACTGTGATCTGTCTGTCTGCGGTGGTGATGTTGTTTATTAACCTGATGAATAGCCATCTCAATCTTTCAAAACAGACATGAGCTTAAATATTAGATGACTCAACCCTTTTTCAACACCTGTTTCAGATGAATCACCTCCAGACCTGTCCCGTTTGGAAAGTTTCCCAGAGGTTATGTGGTTTCAGGGATCAGATGAAGCTTATCCCTGAATCTTTTTTCACATTAAGTGTAACATTAAGTTCTTTCATAAAAGCAGAATGTAAATCCTCTCTTGTTGCTCATCACTGACTGGTACACTCTTTGAGGCCATCCTTTTTTTACACCTCCAGCTTTATTTTTACCTCTCTCTTGGTTATTTGTATGTAAACAAGTGACACAAAGCAACAAAACTGACTTAAAGTCCCAGTGAGAAACATTTAGTTTGTGTTGACTTCGGCGCCCCCTGTGGACAAAGCATACATTTCTGGCTTCTGATGGTAAAGGAGATGACCATAAGTTATGTTCAGCTGCTGGTTCTCTGTTATGGCAATTAATAAATTCATGACACAGTTTGCGCTAAAACTCCCAACCACATAGCTGTAACTGTATGTGTGTGTGTATGTGTGTGCGCTTGTGTGTGTTTGTCCTGTCAGAGCCCTCTTTTCCTGACTGCTTCCTGTTTCAGATCCAGGGGTGTGTTCCATTTCCTTCCTGCACTGCCATAATCCTGGACAGGCTTCCTTTTTGTCTTCCAGCTTTATAAAACCCACTGCGTATGACTGAGTATGACTCTGAATACTGGCAGTGAGTTTCTGTATTTGTGTTCAATGTGCAGGTGTTGATGAGGGTGCACACGGGGCAATTAGGACAAGGGCTTCTCGGCCATGTATTCATATGACCTTCTCTCTGTGCATAAACATCGGCTGACACCTCTGAGGCCAGACGCAGATAAGAAAAGACATGAAGTAACTTTCCCACAGTGTGTCGTCACCGCCTGAGAAAATCCTGTCACACCCCAGCGGGTTTTTGGTCACCTGCAATTTTTTTATCTGTTTTGCTTTTTCCCAATTCCACCTGAGAAGACTTTACCCTATGTCACTGATACCTGAATAGAGGTCACAGGGTCAAAACCAGAGCTCTTGCAAACTCACAGAGATGGAGGGAAAGAAAGAAGGCCATGGCAGTGCCTCTTGTTTTTGCAGTGAGAACTTCTCCATCATTGATGAAGCAGCATTTTTCTTGCAACACAGGGGAATGTTTCTGCTTCCCGTCTGGTTGCTGTTGTTTTGACCCCTTCAGACATTATTGGCTGCTTGTTGTGCAGAAGTTACAACAGTTTAAGCTTATTTTGCTGTTTTGTAATCTGGATAGAGAGAGAATGCAGGTTGTTTATGGGATGTGACCCAACAGTGTTGCGTGCAACTTTGCTAAAGTGTAAAGTTTAGGTTAATAGTCAGGTCTGTATAAGATATGGATGTTTGTTGCTTGGCTTCCCCTTTAGATGATCTATACAGTTTGTTTAGGCACACATTTAATCAATCCTATATCTGTTTTGTATCCGTGTTGTTTTCCACACAAGAAGCCAGTAAATTGATCTCTGTCAGATGGTTTTCTTGTTTAATTGTAATGTAAAAATAAACAAAAGAGTTATAAGGAATTTGGGCTCCATGACAAAATATCACATTTCACCTTTCTTCTGTATATGCTCTGGTACTTTTTAGAGCTCCCATTAATGATGGGCCCTTTCAATTTTCTTAACTCCTCTCTTCCGTCTCTCTGGGTGTTTGTTTGTTTTTTTAATTTAACCTTTGAATAACAAGAAGAAAACTTACTGAGATTGAAAATCTCTTTTACAAGAGTTATGAGGACAAGGCAGCCTGCAAAAAAATAAATGAATAAAAAATAAAATCAGATAAAATATTGAGGCTTCAGAAAACAGAGTACAACTCACATCAAGCTGAAAATTAATTGTTAACATAAATTTATACACACATGGTTTTGTGCTGCCAGCTCTCTCAGTGTTTCCATCTTGCCCTGTTACTGCTCTGTTACTGGGATGGGACCACCCAGTATCCCCATCATATCTCCAGGGCAAAGTTATCCCACTTTTAAAGCTCAAGAGAGGAACTTTCAGTTTATGTTAAATTTGGCGCCCCCTGTGGACACAGTAAAAACCCTGTTGTTGTTGCTGAATTTCTCTTGTCCTTGGTAACGTGGTATGAATTTGCAAAAAAAAATATCCTTTTCTCTTTCTCTAGTGAAATCTGTTGCCCACTGTGATACAAAAACTGAGTTTAGGATGATTTGCAAGTTGCGAGCAGTGGTGTCTTTGTAACACAGTCTTTTGGACAACTGATGTTATACAAATATAGAGAAGATTGACAGTTAGCAATCAGTTGGGCTGTAAAATCCTAGTCGACTGGTAGACTTATTGGTCGATATGTGCTTAGTCAACCAAAATTCTGATTGGTCGACTCGATTTTTTCCATGTCAATTTACAGTCTATGGTTAATTTCATCAGGAAGAATGTACCAAGTGCTAATGGGGGTGTTTTCAGAGCACCCCTGTTGATCGGCTGGAGACAAGAAGATTGAAGAGTGTCCACATTAATCAATGTACGGTGGTTTGCTGAGTATAATATTTGTGTTTTAGTCGACATAGAATTTCTTTGGTTGATTACAGCTCTAGTAATCAGGAACTTGTGTTTCTTTAAGTTGGACTGTGGAAATGTGGAAATAGTTATATAAGGTATATTCAGGCAGTATCATGCTCCCATCCTTGAAGCTCTGGTCAGTGTAACTGGACTCTCAGGGATCTTCTCCAGCGTGTTTGAGGGCCTGACTCTGTTTCCCTGTGTGTATGTGGCTGCCGTAGTTACCACAGGACAATCTGTCCCCCTATCTTGTCCTGTGGCAGAGTCCACCCCCGAGCTCTTGTGAGGTACTTTAGGAAATATGCTCTTTAACACAGTCCCAGTGTCACACACACAATCGTCAGAGAGAGATAGCTGGTAAATTTAGGCTGGAAATGTTGTCCTACATACCCGAGCTAATGTTTTATTAACGTTTGGTGTTTCGTTTATTTTTTCAATGTCAAAATGGAAAAAGGAGTGCATAAAATCCAGACAGAGGCGAAGCAAAACAGGAAGAAATCAGCAGCTTTTCTAAAAACAGATGCTGCAGTCGAGACCGTTAACAAAGACAGGAATACGACAGTCATGTGCTGTGGAAGATGCAGACAGACTATACGTCTTTTCACAGCTATTTTCACATCTAATTGTTTTGGATAAAATTATCACTCTTTCCATATAGGCCCAGCCCCACAGACAGTCCCACTCAGGAGGGATTTTAACATGACAGGCCCCTGCACCCAAACACCCTCCGTGAATATCCCATTGAACAGGTTCTGATTGCATCAACACTCTTTATCAAACACCTCATTCTCACCTCACAAGCCAAAACTTTGTCCTTTCGATATCTCACCCACTTCTCCCCTCTTTCATTCTCTTTCAAACAAAACAGCCTCACAGTAGACCTTCTCCTACACAGCCCACAAAACACCAAACAATCCCTTAAAGAACGGCCTCCGTCTGGGTTTGAAGACAAAAAACCCAGTCTGTTTTCAGAGGGGGGAAAAAGCACTTTTTAAAGGAAGCTGCTGTTTTTCAGAGTTCATAGAAAAAACTCACGGAAAACAAATTTGTCCTCCTTCTTCAACAATTGTTTCCATGTGCGGAGGAGAGGCCTCAACATTTGTTACTTGGATGATGCGATAAAGAAAAGTAGCAGTTATCGCAGCGTCAAAACCACAAGATACAAAGATGAAAACGGTTGAAAAAGACATTGAAATTGTCCAGAAAGCTGGAAGTGCAATGACACATTCGGCTGTGCGAGAAGTCACTGCCTCCCTGAAGTAGACTGGGGACTTGTCTGCAGACTATAACTGGGTTGTCTTTTGCAGCAGGGGGCTTCAGAGCGGTACAGAGGGGCCCCTGTTTTCCATGTGTGCTGGTTATATTCGCTGTGTTCCTCTTCAGGCAGGCTGTCAGTATGTGGAACAGTCATGGAGAGAGCCTTGGCTCTGGGCTCTCTATTTTCTTTGCTTTTTTTTCACAGAGCTGATATATTTGCTGGGGTTTGAGCTGTAGCATCTGTTGCTTTGAGGGGGCCTGCTATTTATCAAACTGAAGCCGAGTCTGCTGGGAGCAAAAAAGGGAAAGAGACATGGCTTACTATGTAGGTTAACCCCCCTTCTTTCTCCCTGCGTCGTGCGTACTCCCCCTTTTTCTCTTTCTCTCCCAATCTCAAGACTTGTTATTGAGGGCTGTGTTTGTGCGATGAGAATAACTCAAACGACGCTACGAAAGGAGGGAGGAAAAACATGAAGGGTTGTAAGTGGCTTACTTTATTACCTACAGCTCCCCAGCGGTGTCATAGTTGACTGCATGAAAAAATCTTTACACAACCACTTGGCACCTGATGTTGTTTTTCGAAACTCAAATGCAGATTGGCCTCCGGCTTTTCAGGAATCCGCCAACAAGTTCTTAGAAGACTATACTGAGGGAGAGAGGAACTTGAAAGTTTGGTTTTAATCCTGGGCACATTGGAGCAATGAAAATTTGGTGTATTGTTTGTTTTTGTTCATCTCAAGCCCCTCAGAAGCCCACTTACATATCTGGACTTGTCGGACACCCTTAACAAGTTCTTTTGTTTGTTTTTTAAGACTTTGCGTGTACACACATCACTGCAGAAAAACACACACGCACGCACACACACACAAGCTCGACCCGGACTTATGCAGGCCCTTAGGCGTGCTGTGAAATCTCCTTTGGCCACATTCTTCTTTACTGTCCTGTTGACAAGTGCAGCGATGGAGGTGGGGTGGGGGGGTAGGGTGTCTGAAGGCTGTGATGAAAGGCAACAGGAGGACAAATTAACAATGGAGAGGAGGAGCAAGAGGAGGTGAATAGCAACTGAAAGCAACAGGTATTGATTGACAGAGTGGAAGTAAACAGGTGGACTGAAAAGACCGGAAACTGTCCTAAGGGTGGACTTGAGAGCAGACAGAGGTTACATATCTAATCCATGCATGGATAGTCCTCTTTATGACCCACTTTTGCTTTAAGCGGTCCTTTGCTTCACCTTTCCCTGCTTTTCTTTCCATACCTCCTTCGCCCCACTTTCCCTGTTTGCACTCTCGTACTTTTCCCTTTTTTTCCGTTCAATCTCTCTCCCTCTTTTTCTCTCTCCCACTCTTCCCCCTCTCATACCTCCACTGTGATGTAACTCCCTCTGACAAACATGTTTTCTTGAAGGAGGCGCTCACAGAGGCTCCATTCATGCTAAGTTGTTTTCTGCGCTTTTACATCTTTTTTACACAAGAGCACAAATAGCTCACATGTCTCCGCTGCCTTCGACCAACCTTCTGCAGCACGAATATCCTCTATTTATGTCAAATGAGTCCTGCTGCTGGTTTTGCAACTCCAAAACATGCCCCCTGACACGCTAGAGGAAGAAAATGCAGGTCTGTAACATAAGATTAGCTCAATGCTTCTCACATACAGAAGGCACTTCCTCTTGTTTCGCTCTCCCTATGCACGCACAAATGTATGTTTTCCAATCGAAACTTCAAGCTAACAACCCAACAACTTGTCAACAGGATGTGAAACCTCCCTCTCTTGCTTGTTTCCCTGCTTCTTCTCCTATCAGAGCTGACCTTTCTCCTACTTTTGCCTTTTTTCTCTTTGTCTAAAGTCACTCTCCGCCTCCACTGAGTGTTTTTGGTTCATCCGAGTTCGTTTGGTTGACTTCTTGAGCCCTGTGGCATTCATTTCGAGCACCTCTGAAAGCAATACCTTCCCCCCCTCTGGGCAAACTGTGCGCTTCACTCAGTACGCCCAGGCCGGGGGGAAACTTTCCATTTCTGCGCCGTAACTCCGTGCAGACTCGCAGGGAATCAGTGTTCAGCTCATTTGCTTTATGGGTTGTGGCTGAGTCATTCCCATGTACTTGGTGAGAGGTGTTTCGCTGGGAGATCACTCTGCTGAGCCCCCTTACTCCTTCTCACCCCTCCTCACCCCCCCAACTCCACCTCCACCTCCCTCCTTGCCGGTGTTAGTGGAAGGGAAGATGACCATCTGCTGCCCCAGTTGCCCAGTGACTGGACAACAGCCTTCCCTTATGGCACAGTTCCACTGTCCATTGTCTGTTTAAGACTGTGTATATATGTGTGTGTATGTGTGTGAGCTAGTGCACTGCATTTAAAATGTGTGGGAGGGATTGTGTGCTTACCTTTTATGTGTGAGTGTTGAAGTTTGTCCTAATTTGTCTTTGTGTATGTGCCTCTGTGCAGACAAGTGTGTGTGTGTGTTTGATTGTACCTCAAGGAGAGCCAAGTATTGTGTGGCTCTTTCCTGTGGGAGTCGCACCCTCACCCAGCAGGATGGTCCTCCGTGCAGTGTGAGCTGACTGAGCCCTACAGTCGGGTTAGTGGAGGGTCAGAGATTTTTAAGGCTACAGGCCAACATCGACGGCGCATCAAGAGAATAGATTTCCTCTCCAGACATGTGTGCAGGATCACACACACACACATACACAGTGACAGACAATGATACACACGCACCCATGCAGGCTATTGTGTCGAGTAAAAAGGGCTCATCATTATCTTTCATGAACTTGCTGGGGAAATAGTGTGCAAAAGGTTAACAGGTCAGGTTGAGTCCACAGTGTCCACATAAACACTGAAAAAAAAAATAAAATGGATGCATTCTTCACTTTAAAAAACCTCACAAGCCTGAAATTGAAGTGGCGTTACAGGGAGGTAGTTAAAAGAAGCTAAATGTTTTGATTTAAAGTTATGTATTTTAGGATCTTGTGCTTTTATGCAGAGAAGATAGGAAAGTGGAAAGTGGGACAAAGGATACCATGCAGGAAAGAGGCCACAGGTTGGAATCAAATGCAGGCCACTGGCTTGAGAACTAGCCTCTGTTTATAGGGCATGCAACTTAACCACCAGGAACTTCTCAAAAGTAAGTCAATAGGGACTTTTAAAACACGTTGAAATATTAGTCCCACTTAGATCACACTATCAAACTTCTCATAGTCAAATTAACATGTCTAGTTAATGCTGTTGGGGATTGACTCTTTTATGTTAATATGCCTCAGTCGAAATTAAGGCTAATTTATGCTCTCCATACGTATGAAAATGTACATGTTGGTTTTAAACAATGGTTCCGTCACTGCCCGCATACTTCCATGTGTCCTTTGCGTTTCTGACAACAATAAGCTAGTGATAATGTACATTTTGCATAGGAGACAGAAACCGAGGCAGCGTTCGGTCAGGCCATGAAATGCCTCGTGGTTGAAGGACGGAGAATTCTTTTCTCTAGTCGTACCGATGAAGGAAATTGACGAGGAGCCTCAAAAAGCCCCGCTATTGTTTTCTTTGTTTCTCTCTAGAGCTGCGTATCGGGAAGTGACAGCTGCAACACTGCCCCCATGGTTTCCGGTGGTACTGCTCCTTCTGGCCAGTATCTGTAAACTTCAAGGATATATGCAGAAATATGGATGAAAAGGATGTGAAGCACGGACGGAGAGCTCCGTCTGTATCTGGATCCATATGAGACGTTGAGCATAAATTAGCCTTTAAACTGGCCTAAGAGTTTTGCACATGCTGCAGTGTTCACAAGCTGGGCCTTTTGCTGGAAGTAATAGCACAAATACATTTTGTCATCAATGTAAAGAAGATTGCATTCGCAGAACATTTAGATGTAAAGAGCTGTACCACTCCTTCAATCACAATGTTAGATGTTGATTTGCAAGACGATGATTGGCTTAGCTGAGAATAAAGAGTACTAACAGGTGAACAAAGCCAGCTTTGCTCCGGTGTGAAGGTGACCAGCGACCCCTCACGACCTCCTAAGCTCACTAATAAACATGAGATATCCTGTTTGTATAATCTGTGCAAAACAACAAGCTAAACTAATCTAAGCTTTCAAACCCATGGCTGTACCTTCAAACTTGGACTGATCTTGATTTACTAAAACAACTCAGGTCAGAATGTTTTTCGGACGCATCATCTGTGTACTCTTTCTTAATTGAACAATAATGGGATTAAAAGCGGCGGTAACACTGATTAAAGAGAATCTTAATTTGATACTTCAAACGGTTGTACGAGCTGGAGGCAGTGAGTGCTGTTTTAACATTCAGTAACTGATTCAATCAAAGATAATGAATTAGCCTCGTCAAAGACAAATACATGCCTTTCTAGTGAGATTGACTGATTGTTTGACTGTCGTTGCTTATCACTTCATCCCAGCCATCGTGGCATATAAGACAGGGCCTACTCTGCTCTGTACCATTTGGTGCCTTCACAGGACGTGGATGACAGACAGATAGACAGACTGCGCCTCAGGTGAGCATTGACAATAAGTGCAGAGGGGATTTGTCTTTGTTTGTTTCCTCTTACTTGCTAAAAAACTGAAAGATCTGCCGTGGCTAACCACAGGCTGCTCATATCAAGAGAAATATACAGTACGTGATCATGAAACCTGACCTGCTCTGTGTGGAAAACTTAACGCCCACTCAAATATGTGTTTTTGTATTAGTCACACAGTGTGCTAAGATTTTTTTTTCTTAACTCTGCATTTAAAATCAAGAGTCAGTTTTTCACTTTCTGATGGCAGATTTTTCTCTTACTGTCTTTAGTTTGTGTGAAATGAAACAGCGTGAGAGTGTTTGATAGTCTTCTCACCTTCAGTTTCCATTTTCGTCCTGATTCCCTCTCCTTCCTGTTGCACTTTGTGCCTCTCTTATAATGGGTACAGATGATTCAGGACTGTACTAAGCTCAGTTACCTATTATTCTTCATTCAGTTAGCTGCCTTGCTAGCATTGATCGGGGAAAACAGTGGCAATCTTAGAGCCGTGCTGATGAAACTTTCTCTGACAGCCATCTGGCAGAGAAAGCATGCCTGGAGCGATGCATTTTTGCTGCTCAGCTGAAAAAACGCTGCAAGCACACCAAGTTACAGTTATGTCAATGAGACTTAAACATTGAGCTGCATATAGTTTGAGACATCCGTATTTTCAGGCTCCACTTTTTCATTTTTACTACCTTTGCAAACCCCAGATTGATTGCATAATAATAAACTGTTGAACGGGCAGCAGAAACTGGCAGGGAACACAGAGGTTGACAAATGCTCCTGAGGAGGCAGAGGGATCAGGGGAGATTTGTGGATTGGTGCTGAGCCATGCTGCTTTGGTTTTAAGGTGTGCATGTGTGTGTTTGTGTGGGAAACCTGATAGAAATCTGATTTGGCAGAGCCATTATCCCCTTTAGACTTCAACAGTAGGGCCTGCACTGTGCTGTGGCCACCACTAATCCCATAATGGGCTGACTCTGCACCGAGGCCGCACACACACTCTGTTCCCCTCAGTGAGAACTGTGACAGCGGCTCTGTTTCTCCCCACGTATGTGCTTGTGTAGAGTGTGTAGAGTGTGTGTTTGTGTGGGCCCTCTCAGGTGAGTGGTCACAGATAGGTAATCTAGTGTACAGAGTCATCGATTTTCCCGCTGCACAGGAAGTGGCTGGTTATTGATTCTCAGGGACAATGATGTCACTCCAGACGGTGCGGGCTGTTTACTTATCCATGATAAGGTCCGAGGCGCTTTCTCTTCGCGCGCTGATCAAATAATCCTCTCCCCCCTGTCCTCTTACCTTTTATCACTCTTCTCCCATCACTCTTTCCACCCTCCATCTTTTCATTCAAAGTGGATGCCCCCTTTAACCCTCATGTCCATTATGTGTGACATAATCACTGATGAGGGTCACTTATCAGAGCTGGCTGCATTTCTTGTCTGATTACAGTCTTTATTGCATTTCTTATCACATATGAGCGACACTAATGTCTTCTTTGTCGGAAAGAATACATGCAGCATTTTAATTTGAGGATTTGTCTAGTTTGGAAAGGTTTGCTCATATTTATATATATGTATATGAGGTCTGAAAGTAGGATTATTGGCCAAACCAGCAGAGTCTGAGCACCAAGAGACCTGAGTGGGAACATCCACCCATCTTTGTGTTTTATCATAAACTTGGATCAACTTAGTATCCTCTTGAGTGCTCGTCCTTCAGGTGGAATCTTATTCTGATGACCTCCTTTCTTTTCCCATTTTCAGAATTGCATAGACACTTAAAAGCTTACATCACTCGTGACTTGCCGCAGTACAAACTCCAAGTAAACCAAAGAATGTACCATTACTGCTCATCAGCTTACTTGTAGGTTAATTGACTTTTATCAAGAATGACACCCATAGGAACACTGCCAGACCTCCTGGCGGTGCTGATACAATGGTGTCCACCTTCTTTGGTTATGTAAGACCACTTATTGTGCATCAGTGCACAGTGGGGTTTTCTGTTCAACTGTTTCCCTCACTTAAAAGTATAAAGAAATTAGAACCAAAATCTCCATAGAAATCACTTCAATTATTAATGCGCATCTGTATTCATCTGCGGACATAGCAATATTTCATCACCATAGAAACATACACTTGTGAGTAAATGCGACATTGGACAGGAGCTATTTTATCTCCTAATTTTATCTGACACTTGGAAACTTGCAAAATATTTAAGTCAGATTTGAGTCCACAACATTACTGATACAGGGGAGTTTCGGTTGTTGGTTTGTTCTTCTGTTGGTCCAACTGACCTGTAATTGATTAACCACAGAGCAAATATATCTAACACTACCTGTGGCATGAGGTCCACACACACACACACACACACACACACACACACACACACACACACACACACACACACACACACACACACACACACACACACACACACACACATATTTTAGTCAGGGTTATGAGGTCCATGAAGAGTTTGTAAAGGTAGAGATACAGGATATACACAAACTCTACATTTTAATTAATGAGATGTTTTAAAGTTGTCACGATTGATCTTTTAGCTAAAACAAAACAATGGTGCTGTCTTTTCTAACATACCCACTAAGATTTAAATTTTGTTCGTTTATTTATTTATTAATCCACTGTGTAATTAGGTAGACATGTAAATGACTCAGCATGTCAGGTTTCATCAGACCTATGTTCATATTTTTGGACCCGAAGATAAAGTGCCTGTGCAAGCATTTTCTGCATTTTTTCCACTGTTGCTTGGCACAGTACTGATCTCATGATCTCGTGTCATGTGCTTGCCTTTTCATATTTAAAGGAACTGTCTGCGTATGGTCTAAAGAGAGAAAAAGCATGCATGTACATGTGCCATGAGTTTGTGTATGTTGGTACTTGTTCCTCTTGTGTTTGCACACATTGAGCCTGCTGGCTTCTCTGGGTATTTTCTCCTGTAAAACAGGCCATATCAGCTTTCGGCCCATTAGAAAGTACATGCACTGTTACTTTCTGCCATTGACCTTTGATAAGCTTGTTGATTCCTGGTAGAAATTTTGGGTACTCATAGGTATTTTTGGAAAAGAGTTTAACCAAGAGAGAAAAATAAAACAGATGAGGGTCAGTTAAAGGAATAGACAGTATTTCTGAAATAATGTGTTTACTTAATAACATTCAGAACTAGAAAGATCACACAAATATATTTGGTTTTCTACACTCTGTAGTAGGGATGGGCGATAAATTATCGTTCACGATAAATCGTCAGAAAAATCCTCCATGATAAATATTTGCCATCTCATGATAAATACGATGAATGCAAGTTGATAATAATAATAATAATAATACATTTTATTTGGAGCGCCTTTCATGTAACATAAGCACAAGTGGCGGACTCACAGCCATAGCCCAAACAGAGCAGAATAACAAACAAACATGCCCGAAGGTAATGAAGAAGATGTTTCTGAGCAGCTTGTTACTGAACAAAGCTCCACATGAGGAATTTCCTTCAAGATTGGGGCTTTGACAAGTGAAATCAGGTATGCCTTACATCGGACAGTGGATCTGCTGCTGTTCACTCTGTGCAATAAGAGTTTTCTCCATAATCAACCATTTAAACTTGTGGTTAAGTATCTTTTTTTGATGACTCTAGCTGGTATTCTCAAGACAAAATGAGTCAAAAATATAGATTGGATTTATTTATTTTTTTTCTTGACTTTAATAGTTATCGCCAGAATGGCAAATCTTAATGTGATAAATTTTTTCACCCCATATCGCCCATTACAAGTTGAAAATATATCTGAAATAATGCTGTTACTTAATAACCTACAATACTGGAAAGGCTGCCCCAATATATTTGATTTATTAAACTCTGTTGCCATCAATAATGCAAATAGTCTAAAAAACCTAAAGGCCTTTTCTGGTTTAAAGATAGCTTTACTTGTTCCTTGCACAGAAATGTACCTCATTCATGCAAGAATATCTGATGTCTAACAACAGCCTAAGAGTAAAAAAAACTCTGGTTTGGTTTGTCCACATATTGAAGTCACATACAGTATATTTCTTACGAGAGAAATATTCAGTGACTGACAGATGTTTCTATTTTGCTTTCAAAATCACAAACTAACATAGCAATGAAGGGATTTGATCTAACTGTGTTTTTAAGCACCAATAGTTAGCATCTGGCTTGCAATCTTACCTCCTGTTGTAGTCACCTAGAGTAACCTTCACAGCAATAAAAATTAAGCATTGCACAAGTTTATGGTTTTATAGTTTGAGTATTAAAAACATTTTGTTCATGGGGGACTTTCCAGTGGGTTTCATTTCCAACAAAGCCCTGCCTTTATGCCTCCTGACAGTTTAAAATAGTATTAGCAGGTTTTGGACTCCTCTCTACGGGGTTTGGGAAAATGTCTCCAACTGCAACCTCAGTTTTAATGCTTTAATTCCCAAACAGTAAATGAGAAAGACAAACAAGGATTGGAGCTAATGTTAACTTTAATTAGCAATCTAGTATAAAGTGATGAAATCAGTTTGTAAAAGTTGTTTGTTCAACTGCGACCCATTGTTTGACACATTACCTAAACATGGGAGGGTAATGTTTGCCACCTTTATCACCCATCTGGCCTTTGTCTTATAATGAATGAGGGGGAGCTGTAGGAATCAGTGATTTACTCAATCAGGCAGACAGGAAAAAAAAACTTAACATCACCTAAAGTCATCTAAAAACGTGTCACAGAGTAAAACAAAAAGGGAAAGGACCCAAAATGCAGACAAAAAAGATTTATTTACATCGACACATCGACATACAATGAACCAACAAGGACAGAGGGGAAGACAGAGACTAGATACACACAAGGAAACGAGCAACAAGTGAGCAAACAAGACACAGGTGAAACTCATGGGTGATTAATGAAGGAGGGAAAACCAGGGAAGTAAAACCAGACTAGAAACTCAAGGGATATCTAAAGAAGGGTCAAACACAAACTAAAAATTCACAAGACAGGAACAATAGGGAACAGAAACACTCGGGAAAATACCTAAAATGCCCTCAAATAAAACCAGGACAAAACTAAATAAAGAGAACATATGACACAATGTGTGTTGAAGTACCTTCACTTTTTACTGTACTTCCCATCTTTGAAGTTCAACGTCTCATTACACATCCACATCTTGAAATAATCTCTTCAATGTGCTTGAATAATTATTGTGGAAAAGAAAAGTGAATAGGACAGAGACCAGGGCGATCGGGTTCCCCTGCAATCAAACAGACATTTAATAAACCGTTAAACATTCATAAGGCAGCCGCCATGACTTCGCACCTCAATGAGCCTGTGCCAGCGTTTTTGTTCTGCCATTCAGGACTGGGCTCATTGTTTATTAATGAAGTAACACGACCCCGTCAAAATGTTTTGGAGGGCAATGATTGGGTCGTATCACTTCCTTCCCCCTTCACATCCACCGGGTGCAATCAAAATGATTGTGGTGAAGGGTACAGGTGGTGAAGACAGAAAAGGGGGAAAAAGAGAAGGGCAGAAGTGAAACTGACGAAAGTAACTGTCATCCCTTACATTTTATTCGACTATATTTGCACGTCAGCATTCAACTCGGATATGACGGTGACAGCTGTTTGAGAAATGCTGACTCCACTTTGAAATATGACCTATTGTTATTTCAGTTGCCAATTAATCAGAAGTCAAACCGATGACTATTAAACATTTGAACAACTTAACTGAAATACTCGAGCACTACAAGTAAGCAAGTGCAAAGCTCAACATTCAAGCCTCACACATGCCTGAGTGTGATCTCAAATGAAAATGACTGCTGTTGGCACATAGGTATCTAAACGCAGAGTGCAATCCTTTCAGATTTTTACTGTACCCTGTATGATGTGTTACATCAGACTTCATCAGTTTCTGCTTCTGTCTCCTGTCTTAGCTGGTCTACCTCAAACTGAAGACAGTCAACCCTCTTTGCTCTGTTACATAAAAAGACATGACTGACTCATTTGTTTTCTATGAGCAGCCTCACAGACGTGGAAAAACTGTTTTTTTGCTCGGCTCATCAGCCTTTGAATCAAACCACCCTCTCTGATCACCGGTTAAAAGTGTCTGAAGCTCTAAGCCGCTGCGAGGAGGACCTTGTTATTTGTCGGTGTTCTTGGGAATGAATCATCTCCTTTTCTATATTCTCACACAAACAGGTGAAGGGTCTGATCTTTTGTGTCAGGTTTACAGTGGCCATTATCAATTATAGGCCGATGATCAACAGCTTTTTGGCTAGGCTCCCGGTGACATGAGTCATTTTTCTTTATGCGCAGTCAGCAGAATCTGAGGTCTTTTGCACAGAGCGAGATAGAGAGAGAGAAAGGGAGAGAGAAAAAAACAGCTGTGCATGCCAGAAGGCACACAGCAGTGTCAGACCAGAGGGGCTGTTTTTCTTTGGGGCTGTTTGAGACCTGATGGTGCTTTGAGGTCAGCAATATTAGCCTTGTGCTTTTGGATAACACGAACAGTAGAGATAAACTAGCCCCAGATTTCAAAGTGCACGTCTTCTGTACCTGAAACAGAGGTTGAAGTTTTACCTTTTGAAGCTTTTGCCTCACCCTCTGGCATTTTCCATCAGTAAACCTGATGAAGAGTTGTTTTTTAGAGGAAAAGAGAGAGGACAGAGATTTTGCATTGATTCGCAGTGGTTGTGTCATATCAGGCTAAAGATAGCAGGGGAAGGGCTTGGTATTTTCTGTTTTTCTATGGGATCTTTTCTCTTGCAGCCTGTTGTATTGTGACAGCTGCCCTCTCCCTGTTAGAATAACATCCCCGGGAACTCACTCTTCCTCACGTGCACACAAAGGTTGCAGACCAACACCTCTTCCCCTGGCCTGTAACCCTCCACACTCCTGATTTTTTGGGAGGACTGTACAGACATGATTACGCCACTCATAAAAGAGGGTTATCTTTTGTCCCCCTTTCCCCCTCAGTCTTTCTCTTTTTTTTCCCCGTGTTCTCACTGAGTTCTCCTGCAGTTCCTCTACATTTCATGGAATCCAGGGAACGCTGCTTCCTCCCAGTGTTGGTGTGCGCTGGTCCAAGGCCCGCCGGTCTGGGAGATTGGGGGGGCAGGCCTCTCTACTCAGGAAGGCCGGCGCTTGGCGAGACCACTGCACTCTGATAGCTTGCCAGAATACACACAGATCAGTGAAGAGGTGACTGGGAAAAAAAGGAGAAGAATAGGGAGCGAGGGAGCCAAAGAGGGCAACTCTGGTCAAGAATCTTTCAACTTTGGCTCTTCAGTCTTGACAGAAGTGAAAAGAAAGCCAGGAAAAATCACAGTCTGCTTTTGAAACTCTTAATTATGTTATCAACAGATTTCAGAAAATTTGCACGACATAGAGATGGTTATTGTTGCTTTTTAAAAGGAGACAAAAGTCTGCAGGATGTTGCAGCTGGACAGGTAAGGGTTAAACCTCCAGTCTGCTCAGTTAAACACTGATAGAGGAACAGGCTAAAACCCAAAGCCTTGTTTAGAAAGCAGGGAGGGGGATACTGTCCTAGTCCTCTGTTTTTTTCATACTGAATGGGGGCCAAGATTTAAAAAACCTCAAGTTAAGGTACTTTTTAAAGTATAAGAAAAAGTTTCTGCAGGTTTTAGGGTAACGTGTTTACACAGAGAGCAAAAGTCTACAGTTGTTTTTTTACACCAGAGCTGCTGTTGTGAGTACGGCCACGCTAAAACATGTGGTTTTGTGTTTTTTCTATGAAGTATGGAGAAATTTGTTTTTGCCACTTTTTGTCAGACTATCCGAAATGGACAGAAATTACAACTGAGCAAACACATCAACAATCTAAATTACTTTCTATGAAACAGACCAGATTGGTTTGTTCAGTGAACTTCATACCACAGCAAAACTTTTTTTCAACCCTGTTTTTTTTTTTAAGAGAAACAGGAGAGGCAGAGAGAGTGAGCACAGAAGATTGGCTCCTCTGACTGTTGTTCTGCGCTCTGATTGGGTGAAGCCTGTTGCTAGGCTTGTGTCAGGGTTAGAAAGTTTTCTGCTTCCTCTCCTCTGCGCTCTGATAGGTTGGGCTTGAACCGGTCTGGTGGACTTTTCTGCCACTTGTTGAACATCCCCGCAGTTTTTTTGCGGTTCCCTCTCGTCTAACTGCATGAGAAAACACAGCAGCCGCAGCAGCAGCACAGAAACACATGTGTGCAGTTTACCCTGGCATGGCTTCCTCTCTCTCTGTTTTTTAATCTCGTCAAGTTTTATCACCCTCTTTATTGGTTTGAGGCTGTTGTTAATTCTGCTCCACACTTAAGAAGGAAAAACAACTGCTGTAGTGAGCATCTGAGAGTGGCTGCCATACTTGGTGACTTATAAAAAGTTTAGTGAACTAATTCCTGACAGTAGATCTTAATGAAACAGCTACTTTACTGTAAACCTAATTGTTTGTCCAACATTTAGCATCCACTTTTTTTACCACTTTGTACAGTCATATATTTTCTATCCTTATTACTCTGTTTTTAAAGTAGTCAAACAACAAGGCAGCTGTTGAATGTATCTGTGTACTGGTGTTATCCATAAAACCCCTGGGTCTGAGACAGCCTGACTGAGTGGGCCTGCTACATTTTAGAAGTATCTCTGTTTTTTTGGGGGGGTAGAGCAAATCAGATCTCACCATCCCATAAGATGGATAGTCAAAGAAGAGAAAAATATTAATATTTTGACTCGAAACAAAGACTAGAAAGTTGGTAAAGTTGCACTTAGCACTGAAAATACAGTATAAAAGACTCTTAGAAGTGAAGTTCATCTAACACGTGATCAAACTTTTTGGAGCTGGTACCACATGTTGACTCATCCAGAACCAAGTTACCGTCCTTTTGTTTAACTGCTGCAGCTCCTAGCAAGTCTGGACATGTCGTGGCTGTCACTTCTTTTAATGATTCTCATTGTGCTAGAGTGACACGATGGGGGCGGTGATATTTAAAATAGGTCAGCAACAACTCAACTGTTTCCGCCCTAACAAAGTACTGAAAGTGACTACTTTCTGTACCTTGAAATATCGCTGGTTTTTATTTGTTAGCCATATACGTAGTTGTACCTTATGATATTGCAAAGCATTCCTCCAGAATTTTACCTGCAGTTGTTTTTTGGGAGCAGCTGAACCAAGAAGCCCTGCATGACAGCCTTATGTCACATCATAAAAACTGGAACACGGCAGTTCAGCTTTACAATAGCTTTTAAGCTGCTTCACGTTTTGTTGATGGTCATCTTTTCAAACCACATGTGGCTGAAGACACAGCTTTGAAACTTGTAGCTCATGCCTGCTCCTCTGTGAATAACTACACACTGATGGTTTTCTTTCTCAGGTACTTATTAAGAGCCTCTGACCTCTGGTTCTTGCATTGTGTGCCTATGTAACTTTTCCTGAACAACAGCCCCTGTGGCTGTAAGAAACGTTTACGGGATTATGTGAAATAATACGTCTTGGCACGAGCACAGAAGAGCCACAGAATCAGGGAAGTAAAAAAGTGCAGAGTTTGCTGAAATAGACCATCATCATCATGAATGAGACTTCCAGTTCGTATATCCAGACTTCAATTATTTCTTCTGAAATATACCTGCTTTCACTGAAAAGATGCTTTACTCTGAGGGAAATTGGGTCAAAAAAGCTGTATGATAAGGAAAAAAGTTTCACAAAATGTCCTCCAAAATGCATGTAAAACTTTAGTACGAATCCAAGCTATGACTTGTAATGGTGATATTTTATTACTATTAGTGTAAGAGTGGAAATGTGTCCATTGTTCAGGCTTTTCCTTTAGCAGATCATTATCTGATGATACATGCTCTGTTAAAACAAATCTGAGATGATTCCCTTCCCTTCCAGGAGCCTTTTCGACATAATAGTTAATCTTCCCAATGTTGTCCTAACCCCTTTACTGCGAACGCCCCACACATGCCGCACACAGACACATTCACACAGTTGCCGGTTTATCTTCTACATCAGCTAATGAGTCATGTTGTCCATGAGGTGATTTACTGCAACACCTTCATAAAGAGTAGTTTGCTCGCAGAAATTACACCATTCAAATTCACAGAAGGTGACATCTACAGGTGGAAAAAATATGTTCGACCCAATTTAAAGCATTTGCTTCTATGATATTTACTTTAAAGGGATATTCTGGCATAAATTTAAGTTAGGGTCAAACACACCATAAAACCGAGTTAAACACCCCTTCGAGAAATAAATGTTGCCGACTGCTTGCTTCTCTAGTTACACCCACTTCAGCAACATCCGCACGATAGCAATACATGGTGGTCTACGTCTCCACGCGCAAACCTCAACCAAAAAGCCACTCATAGTGGAGTGGAAGAGCCACGGAATCAGGTGTGCAGTGGACCATTTCCTTGAAGTAATAATCATCATTATAATCAAACTGTACTGCAGAGTTCTTCTGCCTTAGCATCTCGGTTTGATTACATTACTATGAAGTAATAATCATAAATATCCTTCCTTGAGCTGTGAAACTCTGCTGCACTCAGTGATCGACTCATCAGGGCTCCCCCACAATCAAGCGGCTGCTGGAGGAGAGTGGGTGAGTTGTGTTTAGTCTCTTTGCTTAAGAAATCAGGCAAAGCTACAAAGATGTTTGGTGGGTAGTACTGTGGCTGGGACCTTATATGTACTGTTGATGAAGTTAGGTGCTGTTCTGAGCATTATTTGTGGCTATAGAGTGGCTTTTTGGTTGAGGTTTGCGTATGTAGACGTAGACTGCTGTGTATTGCTATTGTGCGGTCATTGCTGAAGTTGGTATAACTAGAAAAGTAAGCAGTCAGCAACATTCGGTGTTATGGTGTGTTGGACTATAACTTAAATTTACGCCTGAATATCTCTTTGATAGACGTAAAACCACCAGCCTGTTCTGTATATTTGCGCACTTTGTAGATTGTCCCTGCACACTCAAGACACAGCTGGCAGTTGATATGCTAAACTTAAGGATGTAACTATTTGTAATGAGTAAAATTGGCTATAAACGATGAGAGAACATTTTCTGAATAGGAGTCTCGAAACAAAAAGCAATACTTATTTGAAGGAGCTTCCCAAGAAACCTTTGGGTTGAAATATCATGAAATGAGATTCATATTTGGACCTGATATTTGGGGTAGAGATGAGGCAAATTCACTTGCTAAGATTTTTATTAATTGATTTTTTTTTTTTTTTGCAGTGTACGTAATAGCTTTGATCCAGTGTGCTTGTTGATGGAAAGCTTGTATGATTTTTACGCAGTAACGAACGCTAAATGGAATGTAACAAGGTGCACTACTTACCCAAGAAAAAACCCAAGTTAAAATGTTTATTTAAAAACCATTCATAAGAGTACAGTAGGGAAATAAGCTTCTCAGTTAAAGTGTTGAGAGTGTAATTAGTTAAAGCCCTGGTGACATCAAAACACCGAGTTATCTGAAGATGAAGGTTTCAGACTCCCCTGTGACACCTGCAATGTGGTTTTCGTAAGTCACACTGTGTTCTGAACACACTTTAGAGGTTACCACAGAACACACAGTGTTTCAGGTTGTAATTCAAGTGAGGAACAATATATTGATTACCAGAGTCAAATATTTTCTCATGGTCTTTATTTGTGTCAATAACAGAGACATGAAATAAAGTCCAATGATTCAGGCAAGGTCAGCACTGTAGGTAAAATTTACAGGGAATCTAGAACTGGATGTATATTTTCACAGAAACACAATAACTCCAGGGCCCTTTTCTGATTCTTTCCAGGACTTTTTTTTAATCTTTCTTTAGAGTTTGACCACAAAAGCTTCTTATAATTTCATGTAACGTGTTTACAGACTCAGGTTTGCTTTTACATAACCCAGCACTTTGTTCCAATTATGAAACTGCCACCGATAAACTCCAGATATAATCAAAGTCTTGATTCAAGAAGCAGATATGTCTGGACCACTGCACTCACACATACTGTACATTGTACTTACTCCTGATGTGGGTACATTATAGCCTCACACAGCATTCAGTCGGTGCGTGCTCCCTTACAATAGTGTTGGGCCCTGTCCACGAGGCCTAAGCGCTTTTTATGTGAAAAGGTTTCGTCGTGTCGTAAGCCCCTAACGCTGACCAGCCTCTTCTGCAGCTTTGCTGAGCCATGGGGCTCCCAGCAGCCCCAGTAGTGCTGACTCCAGCCCTGGGAACATGTTTACAGCTGCCCCGCACCCCATCCTGTGGCATCAGGAGAGGGACCATGGAAGGGAGGGGTGGTTTGGGGGGTGGTTGGCTCGATCCACACAATGAACCTGCTGAATACTGTGCTATCCAACTGACAGTGTGTTGCAGAACTGGCCAGGCAGGCTCTGGATCACAGTGCACAGGGGCAGACTTGCCTTTTCTTGGCTGCGATTAATCATCTCCTCATCATTATTCTTTTATTGGGGTCCCTACACAGTTCAGCCAAACATGCCCTGACCAGAGGTGCTGTAACGCAGAAAGACCAAAACTTGGACAGTATCTGACTAGTTTAAAAACTTTTTCAAACAGTCAAACCTTGTTGTGCTGTTTCGCTATCATAAAATGAGCCTTTGTGAAATTTCGGAAAAGAAAACCCTCCTTTGTTTTACTCTGGAAACATGTTATTTTTGAACTCTCGCCCGGAAACATGACACACAAATGTGCATGCGTGTGGCACAACATGTGGCTGGCCAAAAAGTGGATGCTTTTTAAATGTGGTTGTTGTCTTTCCACAGAGCAACCAACACTTGACTTGCACGTGCTTTTAAAGCATAAAAACCCCCCATTTATCTGTTGTTTACCAGAAATGTTAGAGACAAATACACCACTCTTGTTACACACCATGTCAGCTGCAAAAGGCTTGGTACATCGTATTATAAAAGTTATAGTACACAGTGTCATTACAATGTCAGTACATAACATCTGATATAATTTCAGTCATAATTGACTTTTAACCTCTGCAGGGTGATAAAACAGTTTTACACTGTTCCAGTGACCGTGTTATTGTCAAGCTGGGATAAACAAAGCCATAAGAGCTGCCTTCCTTATCTATGCTTCCTTCTGGCTGTTAAAGGACTCCTTCGGCTTGACTTGATTGGTGGAGGAGGAATGGCATTATCTGTGGTCTGATAGGCTGCGCTGCAAAAACCACTAACTGAAGAGCTGTTGTTGTTGCAGCAGGTCCTGCAGCGACCCGGCTCTGGTGCAGATCTGTGCATGGTCAAACTCTCTACCCTCTTCAGCTGAAGGCTCAGTTTACCCCCCTTGTGCAGCAGGACGCCAATCAAGGGGGTGTCAGGGGGGTCTAGAAGCCTTACTGCTGCATGCTATGGGCTGGCTGTGGCTTGTTTTTGTTTTCCCTGGATGCACATTGTACAGATGAACATGTAGATAAACGCCCATGCCTCAGTTTCCTACACTTGAACATGAAACTACTCCTGGTAATTCCACAGAGATGTTCCTTAATCCCATTATCATTAATTCTAAGTATTGATTAGAATGATTAAAAAGGGACTATCAATCAGTGAACACCTTGTAACGGCTGCCTTTATTAAGCACACAGGCGGCGATGCATAACAGTAAATTCAATCATGATCAATGGCAGCAGGGAACAAAAGAAGCAGAGAGAAGTGATGATGTTTTCTTAGAGGAGGGGGGATTTGTTCTTTCTGCTCACGTTTGGGCCCCACGGTTAGCTCCGCCCTCACGTGCCCTTCCTCGCCCCTATTGGCCGCCCTGAATATGTTGTTGCTCCCTGATTGGCCGACGAGAGCGTCAATCACACGAGCCTCAACTTATTTACCGAATGTATGCTGGAGAGAGGACGGCATTCTGCTTGAGGGCTGCAACAGCTGACTGCCGAGCACTTTACCCAGTGCCTCAAGGAACAAAGAGAGGAGGACACAGCCATTCAGAATACATTTTTATTTTTTTAATGCCCTTAAATTAATCAAAGTGCAGCGAGGACACGAGATGAGGCACGCAGTCGTACCGGCAACAAACGTGGAGAATAATTCTTTCGCAGTGACAAGGCTATTAAAGATATGTACCCATTGTGAACGGCTTAGCAAAAAGGTAAGAAGCTGAAAAAAGACACAGGGAGCAAATAACACTGTCAAAATCCTCCTTTCTTCGAGCTTCAACCTGACGTTTGGATGTATGAGATTGTGTCATTTTGACGCTTTTAAGCGACGTTTTTCCTCTCGGACAAACAAGCTGCAGTGCAGTCTTTGTGCAGCTTGTTTATCAGTAACAAGAGTTTGTGGCCACAGGGTCAGCTAACGCTTATTTTCTCTTTATTGAAATGTCCGCTTTGACTTTAACGAAGATGACATGTAAATAGTGCATTTAAAGACGTGTTTTTAACCGGGTGTCAGTTCAGACTTATGAGCATTTGCTGGTCATTCATTCCTCGGGCTCATTGTGCTCTGCGGGACAGTGTCCGCTGATAGGACATGTCTCGACAAGCAGCGGAAAGTTACAGGACTTCACAGAGGCGATGTAACGGTTCCTTTTTGTGGTTTAAGTCTGCAATGATGTGTCTGTCAGTCAAAGATTTGTCTTGATTTCTCATTAATTATCAAATGTATGAGGGAAAGTCTAGTTTTGTGCATCTTTTTATTATGACGCCACAAAAAGATCCTATAACAGTAAAATAATAATCATGAAAATCCCTCAAATTCAGGATGTGGCACTAGTTTTCGGTAAAAATAGAAGAATAAAATGCGTCTTTCCAGGTGTCAAACAAACAAAGGGACTCTGATAGAGGAAGTGACAGCAGGGGATATTAAAAGTAATAATGATCAATGCGCTGTTTGCTTCCCCTTCGCTCTTCTGTGGTACTTAAATGGCTTTTTTTCTTCTTTATTGTCTTGCAGGACTTGGGAATAAGGATCCCAAGACCTATAGGAAACGGACCAAGCAGATTTATCCCCGAAAAAGAGGTAAGAGATGGTTTGTAATCTCATCTGAAGTTCCTTATCTCCCAGCAATATGACATCTAGTCTATGACATAAACCCATTTTATATTATATTGTGTGATTTTTTTTCTTCTCCTGATAGATTCTCAAAGTCAGTAAAGTGGACACCCGGACACAGTCGATATTTGAGGATGCTTTTGCAGCCCTCGGTCGCCTCGACAACATCTCCCTGGTCATGGGCTTCCACCCGCAGTACCTGGAGAGTTTCCTCCGGACGCAGCACTACCTGCTGCAGATGGACGGACCTCTGTCTTTGCACTACCGACACTACATCGGCATCATGGTACAGTCATGTTTACTCTGTGAATTCTCAACTACGTGATTTATGTAACCACCAATATGTCAAGTATCTTGCGGTTAATGTCTCCTTTTCCTGGGACTCTGCAGGCGGCAGCTAGACATCAGTGTTCCTACTTGGTCAACCTGCACGTGAACGACTTCCTCCAGGTCGGCGGGGATCCCAAGTGGTTAAAGGGTCTTGATGAAGCCCCACAGAAGCTTCAGCAACTTGGGGAGCTCAACAAAATCCTGGCCCACCGACCTTGGCTTCTCACCAAGGAACACATGGAGGTGAGAGGGTGGGGGACTGGTCTGGAGGGTGGATGGGGACATGAAAGTGTGTTATGTAACTGGCTGAGATCATGGGTGGGGACAGGGGTTTAGCTGCAGCTGAAGAACTTAGATGGGTTTGGGCGTTTTTAAAAGTGGAGGTATTGCGAAAGAAATCTGTCAGGTTTTTCCGACTTCCTAAAAGGTCCTTGTTATTGAAGTCCTCATTTGGCTGTTGTTAAATAGTTCCCTTTGATTTTTTTTTTGTAGCGTCTTCTGAAGGCGGAAGAACACAGCTGGTCCCTGGCAGAGGTGATCCACGCCGTCGTCCTCCTCACACACTACCACTCCCTAGCCTCCTTCACCTTCGGCTGCGGCATCACACCTGAGATCCACTGCGACGGCGGACACACTTTCAGACCCCCATCCCTCAGCCAATACTGTGTGTGTGACATTGCGAACGGCAATGGACATGCCTTTCACGACGACTATCTTGGAAACCAGGTGAGACCAAAATCATGTCCTGTTAGGGATAAAATTGAGATTATGCGAATGATTTCATGCAATTTTAACATTTGGGTTTCTTTGTTGTTTTTGTAGGAGATGTGTGGCGAGGTGGAGGTGTTGATGGAGCGCATGAAGCAGCTGCAGGAATGCCGCGATGATGAGGAGGCCAGCCAGGAGGAGATGGCAACCCGCTTCGAGAGGGAGAAGACTGAGAGCATGCTGGTGGTCACGGCTGAGGACGAGGAGTGCGTCCCTTCCAGAGATATCTCCCGGCACTTTGAGGACCCCAGCTACGGCTACAAGGACTTCTCCAGGAGAGGGGAACACGTGCCCACATTCAGAGTGCAGGTAAAGACACAAAACCACTTGAATCCTCAATACAGCCCAAAAGAAAGATGACATTAAAAAAATTGATTTATGTTTTTTTTTTGAAGGACTACAGCTGGGAAGATCACGGCTTCTCCCTGGTCAACAGACTGTACCCTGATGTGGGTCAGATGCTGGATGAGAAGTTCCAGATGGCCTACAACCTGACCTACAACACCATGGCAACACACAAGGATGTGGACACCAGTATGCTGCGCAGAGCCATCTGGAACTACATCCACTGCATGTTCGGCATCAGGTCAGCTGCAGGAAACTCGCCATATTACGTAACATGAGTTTTGTAGCGAGTGCTCTGTAAGAATTCTGTCTTCTGTTTTCTTACACTGTGCCTCTCTGGATGTTTCAGGTATGATGACTATGATTATGGGGAGATAAACCAGCTCCTGGACCGTAGCTTTAAGATCTACATCAAGACCATGGTGTGTTGTCCTGAAAAGACCACCAAACGAATGTATGAGAGCTTCTGGAGACAGTTTCAGCACTCCGAGAAGGTAAGATCTTGAGCTGTAAAGACTTATAGCAGTGTAGTATACTTCACATTAAGTCTTAGCTACTCACAAGAGATGGTAAAAATAAAAGCCTACGAAAGTAAAGCAAGTAGATAGAAAAAGGAATGGTTCAAGCAACAAACAATATTGTGTTTTACTTCCTGAATTCATGCACAGTGCTTGATAGTTGTCTCTCTTCCTCATTTCTCCTGCAGGTCCATGTTAATCTGCTTCTCATGGAAGCGCGAATGCAAGCAGAACTGTTATACGCTCTGAGAGCGATCACCCGCTACATGACATGAAGTGCTTTTTGGCGTTTTTGAGCGTTTGTCTTTTTACCGTCATTGTTGTTGCTCATTATGGGACATCTCGAGAATTAACAAAAAAAAAAAAATCAAAAGTGGGAGGGGGGGTTGGGGGTTGTTGAGAAGCCCTGGGTTGTGACAGAGCTTGTTGAATGGATGTTGAGAAGAGGATCAGAACAAATGAACAAGAAGAGGGGAAAAAAACGAACAGTTGAAGAAAGTCATCTCAAACTACAAGTGGATACACAAACTCCATTGGTGTTGCCTGCAGTGCCAAAACTGACCAAGAGAGGGCAGCCTGGAGAGAACTCCAGCTCTGCCTGAGGGTGTTTGTGCCAGGCCTGAGCACTGACAGGAGGAGGCATCCAGGACGACGTTTCAGTATTCCAGCATCTCCTCCGCCTCCTGGCAGAGTGAAGACCTGCAGAAAATCCCCCACAATGCTGTGCAGTGTCAAAAATCCTGCACTTTGATTTTGTCATCACTGTTTTTTGTGTTTTAGTTTCTTTAGTGTCTTTTTATTTCATTTTGTATTAAGGGAAGTGTTGCAGATGTGGTAACTGGACATGACAGAGTTAACGTTGGGGGAGTTTTTTTTCCTTTTTATTTTATTTTATTTTTTACGTGTGCCTGAACTATCCAGCACAGTGTGCATACGTGCTGATGCTGCTGCTCCCATGTTGTATTCAGCAGGGGTCATATTGATCCCTCAAATCACCCCTTAAACCCCAATTTTACCCCTATCCATCAGAAATCCACTGCATTACCCCCTCCTTCCTCCTAACCCTTTATTCCCCATCCCAAATCTCAAACGTCAATGTAAGCTAATCTGAGGAGAGGAGTGGAGAGAAACTCAAAGAACACTGTCTGAGCCCCTTTTTTGAGTCTGACTGTACATGTGTGGATGATGTATGACTGTGGTGTGGATGAAAACAAACAAAAAAAGTTTGTCTTTGAATTTCATGCGTCAAAAAAAAAAAGAAAAAAAGCGAGGCACTTTGAAGGATAAACTTCTTGCTTCTGCTGTAGCTCTGTTATTGTGAGATAACTGTTAATCATTTGTTGTTGTTGTTGTTGTAAATGTTGATGATGTCTTTTATTTTCTGGTAATGTTTAGGGGGGTAATCAAAAGAAAAGTTAGAAACCAGGTTTTCCAGGAGGGATTTGCTTCCGGTTGTCCTAACCACACCGTATCTGTCTTCCGCTTATCCCAGCTGCCTGGTCACCCTAACACTTTTGACGCTTTGGATTGTGAATTTTACCAGTAAATGAATACCTCTTCTGTTTTTCTCTAGAAAACATATAAGAAGTGCTCTTTGGTGAGCAGAGACTCTTTCCGGGCTGCTGGGTTCCAATTGTTCGGGGACCCGGCAGGCCCACACAGGGCCGACTGTGGTCGTAGCTGTGCTTATTTCCCTGCTGGGGAAGTCTAACCAGTGCAAAAGCAGCTTTTGTTTGTTTTTTTAATTTTATTTTGAAAGGGGTGCAAAACCTCTGCTGTTTTGTTTTTATGTTTACTAAAACCAGTTTAGTACTGCATTCTTCTGAGGGTGGGTTGAAAGAATCAGACAGATGAATGAGTGAGGAAGAGGAGGATTAAGGAATGGTACCTTTGAAAGTGTTTCAGAGGAAGTGGAGTTATTTTTTTTCAAACTTCTGACTGATGTCAGTTACTGACACTTTTTATAAAAAATAAGATGAAAAAAAAAATAAACTATGATATTAAATTGTTGTGTATCATTCGTAGTTTTCTCCTAGACATCTTGTTTTCATTGCATCATCAAAAAGATTGTATTCAGATGCGGCGAGGGCGGCATGATTCAGGAGTCAGAGCAATCACAGCACAAGCAGTCACCATCAGCCCAGTTGCACAAGAGTAGAGACTGAAATTACTCATAATTAGTGAGCATATCTGAAGCTGTTATGTAGAAAAAAGATGAGTCATGAGAAGTTTATTCCATCACCTTACAGTCCAAAGTACACTCAGCTGTTCGATAATAAAGCTGACGTCATCAAGCTGAGCTCAGGGGAACAGTTCAGTTTGTCCAGGGATTTTTATGTGAACTACTTTACTGTACGAGCTTGATAACTGTATGACTCACTGGGAAACAGACGTCTGTCCCTGTTCCTGTGGTCGGTGCGATCCAGGTCAAAGTTGCTCTTTGCTCCTGCTGACTTATGTTCAGCTCAAGATAAGAGGGAATTTCCTTTAGGATACTTTACCTCTTTCTCCCATTTGCCTCCATGACACATCTCACAGGAAAAGCTCAGTGCTTTACTCTGAGGGGGAGCTCATCGATCCAATATTCAGGGTATTTTCCCATCAAGGCCGCAGAAGCTCATCTGTCTAACTCAGCATTACCCCACTGACCAAACTGCCTTCACGTCTTTGTGGCTTCCCCCGTGTGATGAAAGAGAAGGAAACATATAAAAAACAACCTTGATATCAGCCAGCCAACTGTCTTTCATATCAACCTGATAAATAAGTGTAGAGAACAATGTTTGTTACTAGCCTGGCTTATGAGTTTGTTTAGAGGTTTTTGTGGTTGTTCTAAGGTCACTATGGTGTGAAAACTAGGGGAATTGACACTGAGGGTTTTGACATAAAGTGCAGTTTCTGACTTGTTTTGATGTAATAAAGATGTGATTTTGAAATGCTGTACTTAAAGGCTACTTGGTGTAACTTGTAAGCACTGCCTGGCCCCATATATGTGTACCAATAAAGGCTTTGAGAAGCAAAAAAACAGACCAGAGTTGTCACTTCAGTTTTATTTAAAAGTCCAAGTTCCAATGACACACAATCCACTAACAATAAAAGATTCCCACATGAGGTCAAAGCCAGGTTAGTGAGCTGTTTAAGAGTACATTATCATAAAAGTACCTTCACAACCAAGTGTGCATACAAAACAGACTGAGTCAGTTATATAAATGTGCAAAAAGCTTGTATGAAATGATCCCTGTACGTGTAGAGACAAAGGTCTCTGAGAGCTTTGTAGGAAACAAGTTAAAGTGCCAAAAAATAAAGATATAGATTGAACATTAAATAAGAAGAACCGTAGCTGAAAATGCAGGGAGTTACCAAAGGCTAGGAATGAATAATAATGATACAAAGACATCCAAATATCCCAATGTAAAGGTCAGGAAGAAAAGTCTGATCATGTCCAAATAACGCCGTAGATTAAGATAATTTTGACTTTTATGTGGGAAGATAAAATGGATGATGCAACCGCTCCCCAGAAGTGAAGGCAAAATATATTGAGCACTCTTCCTGGTGACTGGCTGAAGTATAGGCCATAAAGCCCACCTCCTCCATTATAACAGATAGTACATGGGCCAAACTAGAAAATTAAAACGCAGTCTTTTCAAAATTCTTCTCAAACATGCTTTCTGACATTAAAGTTAGTTCTTATCATGAAGATGAATATCCCTTTTTTGGAGGGGCTAGATTTGGGCTTGTTGTTGGATATTTAACAGAAGGCATAGTTTATAGCTTAGCTAACAAATGTATCTCCAGCAGCGTTGACACAAGAGTTACTGACCCTTTTATAACCGTGGGTGTGTCTGCTTCAAACCAACACACACAGCTGTTGTGCTGCAGACTAAACCAACCTGAGGGATTGTTGACCTTTTATCCATAAGTTCAACCTGTTTTGGGTTGCTAAGAGGCGGGACATCATCCAACCGTCCAGATCTCCTCAGCACATGCCTTGACTTCAGTACAAATCATAGTGGTATTCTGGCGTCACTTTTTCCATTTGGGAGAGATTGAGGCTCGTCGTCCATGTTTATTCACAGTCAGTGAAAGGAAGTCAAAAAGGATGTGGTGGAAATCTTCACAACTCGATCGAAACTCTTTTGAGGTAAATTTTTTAATTTGACATGTAAATAAAACATGTTTTTCTAATTCCCATCATGCTGCCTGTTCTAAAGGCTGAAGCATCCCCACCAGTTTTTGACTTACAGGTAGGAACTCCAACTCCCAGCATGCTTTGTGGTAATCCCTCATGTCTTCATTGTCAATCCACCTGAGAGCCTCCTCTTCATCTAGACAAGGCGGTGTAAAAGAGAGAGTTAGGTTTAAGTGACGGGTTCAAGCTCACAGATGTGAAGTATGGAGGTGTGTTCATGGAGGTGGAAGTTCACCCTTCCTTCCCCGAGGGCCCCTAATGTCTATAAGAGCATACTGTCTCTCTTCCTTGTTATGTAAGGATTAGTAATAACACTGTGCACCAACCTGAAAACATAATGAGGCTCTCCAGCAGAGACTCTCTCTCCTCTGTGCTCAGCAGCTTCTCCGACCCCCCGCCCAGCATGTTCCACAACGCCTGACAGGCCTGACCCGCCAGCTGCCAATCACCCGGCCCCAAGTCTTTCAGACAGTCCACAAGCCTGACCACACACACACACACACACACACACACACACACACACACACACACACACACACACACACATATAGACATAACCACACAGACACTCACACATCAGATGACTGGAGGGAGAGGGATTCACATGACCGGCACGTTTGTGGGCATTAACTCCACTTCAATGGAACAACATCAGAGAGAGGAGACTTTGTGAGTGAGTGAGTGAGTGAGTGATTGAGAGAGAGAGAGAGAGAGAGAGAGAGAGAGAGATCATACAGTTTTCTTTTAAAAGGAACAGTGACATATTTTGGGATACATATTGTCACCACCTGCTTATCTGTCTACTGAATATAAAGCCTGGGCATTTAGCTCAGCTGGTTATAGCTTTATGTTAAGACTCGGAACTAAATCTACATAAATATCAGTGCAATACCTCTGTGTTCATTTTTCTCTACCTGTACTAAAACAATTTCATGCCATAGAAAGGCTTCGACTTAGACAACTTTATTAATCCTACCAGGGGCAATTGATTTGGGCAGCTTGCATACTGATACAGTTACTTTCATTTACATCTGAACACGTCTGCATCTTTCTAACTGTAGGTCACAGTATGTGTTAAAAACAGCTTCACTTGAGTGTGTGTTTCCTGGTTGATAACACATCTGCAACTTGCAAAATGTGCAGCACACAAGTATTTTGAGAAGAGGAGAAGTGTCTATACTAAGTTTTATACTAAGAAATCTGATGAGTCAGCAGAAAAACTGACAATGATAGTGTGTTCAAGAAATATGAAGCAGCAGTAGCCACAGGTAGCAGTCAGGGACATAAGTTTACTTCAAACATATGACCTTCTGACATTAACCCAGTGAGTGTGTTTTCAAGTATGATGATATTAATGAACATGGATCTTTGCTCACAGAATCTTGGCCTTTCTCACCCCCAGGTATGTAGAAACTACAGATTTTTCTTAGCAGTATGAGCAGAAAGTTATTGTTGGGGATTATTCTTGGCTTAAAAGTCTCTTTATTGTGCATCCCTATTTGGGTTAGCAATAAAAAGTCATTTCCCTTCCAATGTGAACCCACTCGTCCATTTGAGCTGACTCAGCTACTGAAAAAGGAGACTCTTATCTTTGCTTTTGAATACCTCAAATCAACAAAGTATCATGTGTTTATTTGAATTTTTAAGTTGCTGGGTTTGTTGCCTTTTCACAGTTAGGTCAGGTACTAAGACTAACTCAATCAACTGTGTCCTGGTTGCAGTTATATATGTGGTGTACAAAATGAATAAACACAGGTACAAGCATGATTTTGATTATTTCATGATTCATGCTGGATCCCTAAAAACCGACAGACTTCTTCCTTTTTCTTGAACGATTATTTGATTTTAGAGGAATTTATACTATTGAACAAACGTGGCCCATGATGACTTAAAATCTCAACTCTACATCTCTTTGATGCAGCTATCCTTACTTTGCAGCAGCCCCTTCCAGGGAGATGCTGACCCTGTTGGGGGCATCCAGAGCCAGGTTGGTGAGGACCCCACAGGCTGAAAAACACACCTCAGTGCTCTTTGAGTCGAGGAGCATCACTAGAAACTGGTGCACTGAAGGAGAGAGAAGGAGCAGAGAGAGATGACGGCATTGGTGAGCAGAGTGAAGACAAAGCAGGGCACAGCTGCTATCACCACAATCAGCAGGTATGTTTTTACTGACTGGCCTTGCAGATAAAGTTCAGTCTAAACATGACACAGCATGTCGAAGTGCCTACTGTACTGGACAATCTAGGTCTTGGTGCGTGGGTGTTGAATGTAATAAGACACTAGTTTTTTTTTTCTTTTTTCATTCCTTCATGTGTGTTTTGATTATTTAAAATCTGAAACAACCAGTGAGCTTTGACTGTATATAGAATGGACACCGTCTGCATCCCTCTGTTGACAGGCTGCAGTATAGGTCATAAATCCCGCCTCCTCCAGCAATTCTTATGGAGCTGTGGACAAACTTTAGAAATTATTTACACAGAATATAAATTTTTCTCCACCCTGCTTGTGATGTTGACATGTAGTTACTGTAAGACTGGTTTATGCTCAAGTCCTCTTTTTTCTGTGCAGCTCCATTTTTTAGAGTTATTAGGGGGTTCATGTTTTCTATGATTGACACTTGATACAGACTATGAGCGTACAAAGATTGCGTCGCTCACCCGGGGGATACACTGTTTGAGCTGAGCGTCATCACAGCGACTCTTGGCGACTCTACCACCAAATGCGTACATTTCTACTCCACAAGTGGCGGAGTGCGTACAACGCCACCGCGCAAGTGGTGGAGTGTGCAATGTTGGTTTCAGGAAGTAGAGAAAAAACCCGGAAATACCGAGAGCTTTTTGGCTTCAAATCTGTATCCTGGCAGAAGGCAGAACCAAGTTTTCCATAGCATATACAGTCTAAGCTTCCAGCATAACAGCAGTTAGTATAGTCGACGAACACTGTAGACTATAACAGAAATATGAAACAGGTGTAGAATCATGTTTTAGTGTTTTGTGTCTGTTGTATACTCTACCTTGGTTTTGCATAATAAAGTCACGCACATCCTTGGACTGTGACAAATTTCCATAAACACGAGTAGCCTCCAGCACCGCGTCCATACTGGAGCTGAGCAACAACTTCAACATCACTGATGTACAAAGAAAGAGAGAATAGGGGAGAGAAATGACACCAAATAAGCCAAATCATGAAAACAGCAGGGTACTGTGATCGTCCTTTTTCCTTGTGAGAAGTCATTTTTCCTTACACTTGGCAATTGTGAGTTGATTGTGTTCGAGTACAGAGCTCTCTTTCTGGTAGTAGGACAGGTTGTTGATGGTGGCAGCCACATTCACCAGCAGCTCCTCGCTTTCCTGCACACACCTCAGCTCTGTCATGTGTACACGCACAAGGAAGAACAACAAAGAAAAGACTCCCAGTTACTGGTAACTCTCACTCAATGTTATTTCACACAGAGAGGAGGAAGTTTCTGAATTTCCCTCAAAATTCCTCCTTTTTTAAAATTCAACCAACAGAGGGAGCATCAGCACTGCAGGTCAACAGGAGCGAGCTCCCCTGCTCCTGAAATATCTCTGTCCGCTCTTCTCTCATTGAAAGGATCCTGTTTGAGGGGACTAGAGTTAAAATAATCTGAAGAATTTTAGAGAAATATTTTATTTCCTCTCAGAATATTCATGAAGATCCATGACTGTCACCTTTTCTCTGATATTGATCAACCAAGTGAATCCAAGTGACAGCTACCATCCTTTCTGTTGATAACAGAGATAGAGTATTGATCCATCCTGCAGCAGTCACTTTGTAATGATATTATTTTAACTTTTCCAAGCCATGAGACTTTAACTTTAGATATAATGGAGATATGGAAGAAGGAATAAGTTAAGATAAAAAGGAATTCAAATGAAAGCAGGCATCTTTCAGCCTTTTTATATGTACATCAGTTTGACTAAGTTGTATCATTCTAGAAGGAGCAGCATCTGTAATTAATTTTGGCCTGATGTGGTCGTTTTGATTGTGAGCTGGCATACAAAGGTCGCTGTGACCCAATCCAACCAGGCATGACACACTGAGCAGCTCGGAAACTGAGTCTGTTCCCGATATAGCAGCAGATGTCGTGCGCTCGCTCATAAATCGCAGATATTGCGGTTTCTGTCACCCGGCGCCTGTGTCACACCGAATTTTGTTTCTAGTTTTGACTGGAAATGTGGTTTGATGCCCCCCTCAACCCCCCTTCTCCTCTTATAATGTAAAGCAGCTCAGCCTGCCAGGCACTTGATCAAAACATTGATCAGTCGAATCTGCTCTTTCATCCTCCGCTCTGATTTAGTTTTGTTTCCAGCTGTGTAACTGCAGCCCTGTGTTTTATCAGTCACTCATCTTGTGTTTCTGACTTGCGTTGTTTTATTCACCCCTGATCTTACACTATGGCATCAACTGCAAACTCAACTATCTCTAGTTACTAGCCTTTCTTTTAACTACTTTGACCCCTTTTCTGTTTTTTTTTTTTTATTTGTTCTCCAAACTGCCAGCAAGCGTGTGGGAGGTAGAAGTCGGAGAAATTGAGAGTTTCACACCCACCTGTGTTTCGGCTCGACCTGTCCTGAAACTACCTAACCACATAGGAGAATTTCGCACACATACACACACAAACCAAGTCGGCTGTGAGATGTGACAGAACATCCTGCTCATGCACTGAAGCACTTCGTTCTGTCAGAAAAAAAAAAAAAAACAAAAAGAAAAAAAAAACATGTAGACCAAAAGAGGATGTGCTGCGTGTCGAAAAAGAAAGCCCTGAGAGGAGAAGAGAGCTAGCGGTGGAATGAACAGACACATGAGGATGTGTTTTTCAACCAACGTCATGTCTTGTTCCCAACACAAGGGAAGTGGTTGGGTGCCTGCAGGTACTTGCTGTACACACAATGTGATAAACAGATATTTTTAAACTCCTTTTTTTTACACTGTACTTCCTATGTACGTGACAGAGATTTACAAGAAAAGATACATCTGGAAATCTTCAAACTACAAGTCTAACACTTAGTTTATCTCTTGTGCTTCCACTTCATAAATAAAAGATATTAGCAAAGTGGTGGTAAGTCTTTATCTATCCCTCATTAAGGCAGATAGCTGTCCACAGTGTGTCTGGTTCTACCTGAGGTTTCTGCTTGAGAAATTGTTTGTGTTGGATTAATGAAAAGTTGCTCTAAAGAATGCTACAAAGTACAGTTTAGATCTGGTCTCCAAGTAAAGTGGCAGCAATATGACTTCACCGAGCTCACCAAGTGTCTCCATTAGCAGCTGAATGCAGATGGTGCTGGCTGCCAGAGCTGGACCAACGCCTGGGTGGATGCACATGTTCGCCAGCACCCTGATCAGCTTCACCAGCACGTCATCCTCCTCCTGTGGTGAACAGGACTTTCTTGGAGAAGGGGGACCATTCCAATGCGGTGAAAGGTCTCTGCGCTGGTAGTCGCTGTACAGCTGCAGGAGCGTGTCCATGCAGCCTTCGCACTGAAAGAGCTGCTGGCGAGCATCGTCGCTTTTGGCTGTGAGGTTCCCGAGGGTGAAAAGAAGGCGCACGACGAGGTCCTGTGGGAGAGCAGGGGGAGAGCGCTTTAAGTGCAAAGTCTGCAACTGATATTAGGACCTGATCAAAAAGAATAACACTGATTCATAAACTCATGTGCAGTATGTCTCTGATAAACAGTGCTTATAATGATACATCGACTCTAAAATAACTGTCTTTGTTGTCTAACTGTGATGATGCACTGAACTCTATTTTTGCGATTAGGGTTGGTTTAAATAACAAAAAGGCCTACCTGACTATTACAATTTGATGCAAACATAGAATATAAGTACAAGACTATTTCATCTTTATCACAATGTTTTCTAAGAGAAAAGAGATTGATGTGAAATGAAAACAAGATTATACTGAACATACTGTGCCTACCTCTGTAAGACTGCCTGAGAGCTCACAGCTGGATAGTCAAGTTTCAGTTTAACTATACCCTGCCCTTTCAGACTAGTTATCTCACTCTTACTAGGAAAACATACAACATATGACACCTTGTGCGTCACCCGTGCATCCTGACTCTACTTAGTAAACAACGTGAGGAGCAGGCGAGCGAGATTACACTCGTTGCTTCACTGACTTTGGTATGAGGACAGGACAGGCTGTCTCGGGAGTCATTGCATATCCTACCCTCCAGTGTTTGTGTGTGTGTGTGTGTCGTATTAGAAGGCGTGGGCGCCTGTTTACTTCATATGAGATTAAGAGCACATGTCAGTCATGTCTAATGCCAAAGTGCCGCCCTTCTCTTTTCTCCCTCTCCCCCCTTCTACCGCCCCTCCCCTTCACCTCTGTCTCACCTCTACTTAAGCTCACCCCCTTTTTGCTTTTTATTTTTTTAACTTTTTCTCCTTCATCTCTCCTCTCCTTCCTTGACTTATCACCCCCTCCTACGTTGATTAAATGTCAAAACACACACACAGCAGGGAAGAGAAAAAGACACAAGCAGCATGCGCAGAGGGACACAATGTCCCGTGGATGTGCCTGGACTTGAGGTTCATAAACAAACTTGCTCTAAGGATAAACATGCTGAGTGGACTTACTTCATAAACACTGGGAAAGCTTCTAAAACACTCAGGCACACACACGCACACACACACGCACACACGAGTAGGCTTGTGGACTCACCTGTTTTTGGTGATGTTTGCTCAGCAGTTCTAAAAATAGCTGGTAGCAGTTGGGGGTCTGGGCCAGAGCTAGGCGGCACTCAGAGTAGGAGGAGAGTTTACTGAGGGAGAGAGAGGACAACAAATACCTCTGATCATTCCACTCAGCGGCTGCTCCACCGTGCTGACTAAATATGGAGAGATTAAATCAACACTGCTAATGGGCAATAAGCCCATGGATGCTTTTATTATCTCAGGCAAAATTGTTCACACAGTGTAAGTTATATCCACACGGTAATACCTCAGACTCTTTTATCTTGTAATATAAAGGTTCAGCTATTCTCTTACATGCAACAATTTTTATTCTACACCTCATGTATGTATGAGCTCCATGGACCGGAAATAGAGAATATGGACTCATTCTCTCACTTTGTTTGAAAGGAGATTAGTGTCCTGCTGTCAAAAATAGCAAAACCTCTTCTGACTTTAACACCCAAGAACTGTGTCTAGTTTTTAAGTCATCCATTGTACCATGGTTCTACCAAAGGTCACTATTATAAGAGGCACCTATTGCACAACATCTGTTCTGGAGGAAGAGGCACATTTCACCATAGATGACGGTTGATATAATTCAGTGAAAGTACAGAACACTTAGAACTCAGTGTTTCTTTCATCTCATCTGCATACTGAAGTGCCATAACAAAAGTCTGAAGCAATGTTATGATGCAAAACAACAAGAGTCACCATGTTAGAAATGCTGACATAACGTAACTTATTGTCAACCTAAAAACAGACTAATCCATGGAGCTGAGGTGAGGTTAAAGCCTCCTGGCTGACCTGCCTGTCACCTCAGCATAGCCCCAAACGATGCAAATTCATACAAATATATGAATTACTCTTATTCCTAAGATCTTCAAAACAGATAAAATGATTCAGACCCTGTAAACATGTTACATTTTGCTGGAAAAAATGAACATGATAATGGGGTTTCTTTAGCCTCAAGGGGCCACTCAGAGAACTGCAGTTTTTTGCTCCTAGGCACCGGCGTCATTTTTTTAAGATGCCATATAAACTGTCTCTTACTTGATTTGGCAGTAGCTTATGGTGGTTAATTTTAGCAATGATAACTGATACTGGAAGTCTGTTGACCTCAAGTGTCCTTGCTGAATCATTGCTTTTGTACTATTTTTAACACCTAAGATTGTCTGCTGAGTGTTATTCATATTGTAGGACAGGCACTTCTATTGTTGTTTCAGTGATTGTTTTGTACTGTTTTCTAAGTTGTCTTTCGGGGCAGTTTTGCTTTGATTGATGGGGTATCTGGAGAGGGACAGGAAAGACAGCATAGAGTTACCAACAGATACCACTGGGGTGAGGACCACAGCCTCTGAACATGAGGTGTACACTTAAACCACCAGACCAACTGCTGCCCCGCAGTGTTTGTATCTTTGATAGTAAACAAAGATAAAAGTCCCATCCTGCATCAGGAGTAAGCCTTCCTCTTACAGGTAGCTATCTGACTGTACTTGTTTAGCCAACACTGACAATAGGAAGTTAAATGAGTCACACCTTTAGTCATTGCCAGAATTGTCTTTCCTTACAGGTACTTTTCTGTAAACTGTTGGGATTGTGGTGTTTTTATTTACCAGGAGTTTTTGTAACTGAAAGCACCTTGCAGTTTCTACCGCTTATCAAGTCATGTGATTTGTTTGAGCAAGTTTATTCAACTGTGAGTGAGGGCAGACAGTCGGCTCAGACATGCTTTTTATTGTTTGAGTTTTAAACTCATAAACATGCTTTTAAATAGATCAAAGGTCCTGATATAGTTTAATATAAAACACGTAGCGTTATCTTGCTTAGAGGTGATAGAAAAATGTTGAGGTCAACACACTGAGACCTCTTCATTTAAAAACCTCAAAACCATTTAACACATCTGCTGGTAAAATAGAAAAGAGCTCTGTCACTGCTGGGTGTTTTTGTAGCAGTATAGACTTAGAAACAGATGGCAACCACATCCTGTCTGATAAATGGCGAGTTTCTCATCATGCTTTTGTTTTTTTTGTCAGACCAAACTACAAACAAGCTTTACAAAGAAAGCAGGGGATTTAAAAGAAGGGATCTCTGGAGTCACAGAGAAAAAAACGAGAAAAACAGCTAGTCAACATCAACATCCAGTTCTGAGTGGTTTGATTTGTAAACAGGAAGTGCACGATACCTGTATATTCTGGAAATGTTAGTGCAGATGTCCTGGTCTTTGCAGTGATGTCTTAGCACCTCACAGAGCTCGGACAGCACAGAGAAGGAGACGAAAAGTGGGCGAGAATCTGGATGATCTGCAAGGTTCCTCAGGGTTGCTGTTAGCTACAGGGGTTAAAGGTCAGTTAGAGAAGTGTTAAAAGAAGTGTTTGATTGCTTGACAAGGTTCAGAGTATCTCTTAGCATTTATAATTGGGTCAGTATTACATGTCGGTGTTTAGCTATTGTGACTCCTACACAATGTCCGCCATGTGCTCATTAAAGCTGGCTGCTGGCCTGTACAGCGCGCCACTCAGCAGAGAGGCCGGAAACTATTCAGTGCGGACATAAATCATTCTATCACAAGAGGGAAATGGTCATTTCCAACACGCGGCAGAACTGGATGTTCTGGAAAAGTCATGGTCTGCCTCTTTCCCTCCACTAACAGCTTAATGAGTTGTGTTAGTTATCAAACGAAACACCGGCTCAAGATGTTTGCTCGAGCCAACTTATGCGGTTAACAGCAATCAATTTTTTGAAGGAGCGGAGTCGGGTTTGTTTTAGACCAAAGTGTCCAGGGTAGGAGAGAACATTATGTCCTTGAAACAGCTTTTCTACCAGACACTAACAAAAACATTTTAGTCTATTAGTGGGGAAACCTAGATCAGCCAAAAAACACACAAGTAGTAACATAATGTTCAATAGTACTGACCTATAAAACTGTGTTTTCCTCTGACTCTGGACTCAAACTAAAAAGGTTTCTTTTAAAAGGGGGGATGCTTTAAGTCATCTGAACTTGGACGAAAAAGTAGATAACTTTTACCAATCAGTCCCAACGCTTTGACACACCTGAACGAGTATGTGTCCTGCAATCGTGAAGTGTGTGTCTTCTACTCTGCAGAGTCTCTGGATGAGTTCTTTAGCAATGCTCATACAGTTCTTGTCCAGCAGGAGTCTGAGTATCGCACTGTTTCCTGACAGGAATTTCAGAGTGCCAACACAGTACAGCAGAGCTTCCCCAGAGGTGGTCACATCCTCACTGCTCAAAATGCCCAGGAGTGAGTCTAAACACAGAGGGAAAGCCAATGTTAGAATCCATATGGTACACAAAATTGGTTAGGAACTTGACGAGGGTCCGTAAGAAACATCCAAAACTTTGTTGAGAGCTTAATATTTAACAATGAAGAGCATTGATCTGAGAAAGAAAAAAAAAAGGTAAGCACACTTACGAGGGAAATATGATATTTGACTGAATTTACTTTATAAAATAATTAAAAGGAGTTAAATTAAAATATAAATAAATAGAACATGTTTGAACAAGGAAGAATTCTCCATTTTTTAAGTTCATTTTAATTGAGTTTCACATTTAAATCTAATCTGAGCATTGTCAGTACAGATTAAGCCTCATATCCTTGGGTCAACAAGTGTTATCATTTAAAACTTTAGCCAAAAGTCGATATTTGAGACTAATTACAGCTGCTAAGAAAAATGAATGTTTAACACAACGGGGGAGAAAGACATTATTTTAATACTGAAGATGAAATTTGACCTATATTGTGGTTATGTTTCTGTGGGTTAAGGTAGACTGGAAAATCGTTCTGAATTCATTAATTGAAGGGCTAAGACAGATGTGTAGATTAAATGTTGGTGTACAAGTGTATAAGGGTTTCATGTTATTCTGGCACCACCATGAAAGAATGTAGATTGTGATAAATTATGTTATGTTATTTTATGATATGTAATGATGTTGTACTGTTTGGAAAAACGTTATGTACCCTGTGGTGGAAGCATGAAACTCAATTTAAAAACAAAAAAAGGAACTTCAAAATGGATTCAAATGGAACCAGACCCTGAAAAACACACATATAAAAATTCTCCCAAGGCCAGTAAGGAACATTTTACTCCTGGGACAGCTAACACAGCAGACCTAAACGTAAACATTTTTGTCTAACACCAGGAAAATCTTGCCAACAAACACACCGCAAGTACTTAACACTGTGTTCCTTTAGACTGCCTACATAATTGTTTGTTTTTTTACACTTATATCAAAGGAATTTCACCCCAGGCTAGTGAACTTAAAATAGAGCTTCCCACCTATGATAGAGTTGTTCTGGAAGAGGATGTCATTGCTTTCACCGCGGCCGATCTGGAAGATGAGCTTACAGATGTTGAGCAGATTGTTTCCGCTGACACACAGCTAGAGAGAAAAAATGCAAGAAATTTCACACAACTTTTTTAGCAGGAAGTGCCGGAGCTGTAGACGTGCTGTAACACACACACAGATGACATACAGCGAGGCAGAGCTTGGCGATGTGCAGGTTGAGCTGGGCAGAGTTGAGGTCAATGAGGCGGAACAGTGTTCGCAGTATCCCTAACCTCCTCTTACATCGCCGGCCAAGCATGTCTGCATCTGCCAAGGTGCTGTACAGACCCTCACACAAATCACACAGACGATCCACCGTAGCCGCAGAGCTGCCTGGCATAGATGTTACATTAAGAGAAAAAAAATATCATGTCAAGTTCAGGGCATGCTTAGAGAGAGCAAACATCCCAAAATAAAAAGAAACTCTTGTGTGGGTTGGCGGGTGTGTATCCATGTAAACACAGATGAGTGATGTTTTCTGTACGTGGTTGTGTGCTTGTGCAATAAGCTTTAGCAGCTATGGCCTGGTGTGCATTTATTGCTTGCATGAGGAACTTGAGGTTAAGTTTTCTTCATTAGAATAATACCCTGTTCCGCAGTAAAAGACAGAACATTCCCTTCCTTTTTGAGGACACAGATCTTAGTTACAGAGGTCAAAAAAAGAGAAAAATCTCCAACAGGCAGCTCCAGTCCTGACTCAGAGGAAGGGAAAGGGTGGAGTCTTTCCTTGTTTTTTTTTTTTTTTTAGATAAAATAAATGTTTTTTTTTTCCCCCTTACATAAATAACTGGGTTTGGCCATTTCTACAGAGGGTTGGCTGCAGTCTCACACTCAGCACTGCCACTGTAATTTCCCACTGAATCTGAGAGGTGTTTTATGCATGAGCCAGAAGGCATTTGGTACAATAAATATTTAACATTTATCTTTCAAATGAATTTTCCATTAAATTCGAAGAGTGTTAAAATATTTACAACCATAGATTTCATTTCAGGGCTGCCAGACTGCAGTTCAGGCTAAGACAGCTCAGCATGGATGCCAAACATAACAGTATTTTGTTTGCTTTTCTGCAGTGGTTGAAATGACAGTGCTTTTTATTTTGTGGGATTGCATGCATGACTATCTGCCAGTGCTAAAAATTTATTTTTCCTGCCTGAAGACTGAAAACAGGACGAAATAAAAGTTCACAGACATGTGGCACTAACGAGAGAGGAAGACCAGAATTACAGTGACCACATTAGATGAATTAAACTTGGTTAAAAATTCTTCCACCAAAAAGGAAAATAAACCAGACATGAAAAGTGATATTGTGAGAGTAGTCAGTTTCAAAGATTGAAAACAGGCTTTCTACAAAAGCACTGTATGGTTCATGTTTGCATTTTTTTGTGGGTGACCTTTTTGCATTTTTCATACTACCTGCAGCCACGCTCTCGAGCTGTTGCAGCAGAGAAGCAATCACATCATTCCACACCACTGCTTCTACATCATCCTCTGTGCTTGTGGTGCTGTCTTCAGTCCCAACCTCTAAAATGTGCACAGAGAATTACAGTTCGCCAATTACCACCTCCAAAAAACCAGACGGTGAACATGTGCTGCAAGCCTGGTTCACAAGTTCACTGTCTGAAAATAAAACAGCAGGAAGTTTGATGCCACAATGAAAGGTCACCATCTACAGCTACACTTCCTCTTAATTTTTGTCTGTTTCTGTGTTGATGTGAAATAATCCGAGAATGGGCATGTGAGGTGAAAGCACGTGTGCATGTCTTTGTGCACGCAAATGTCTGCAGACTCTGAGGCACCACATGCAACTTTTCAACATTTGCATACCCTATAGCCCGGTGTGATGCAGGAAACTGTGGTTGCCCAAACCAACAGCTCTTTTAGCAATTAGTTGACTGTCTCTGAGGGTGGAAACTAAACACTTTGAAACAACAACCCAGTCAAAGTTTAACACCAGGAAAGTTGCTGATTTTGAGAAGGGCATGTTTCTATATTTCTAACCTACATCCTCTTATGTTTATGTTTTGGGTTGATATCAGATTGGCTTTAGAAAAAAAAGCAAATGAATGAGTTTAAAATCTTTCAGCTGTTTGTTTAGAAATGGTGTGACCACATTTTTAGATTTCATGAAGTGCAAAGTATAAACTGCAATATATTTTGTTTCATATAATAAAGATAGAGTGGTGTGTATATGTCGACAAACCTGTTTTCTGCCCTGCTCTGTGCTCTGTGGGTCTAACTCCTGAGTCATCACCAGGCTGTTTTACCCTGCTGCTGGAACAAAGAGACAAAAAAACACAAAGAGAGACTGGTTACATCATGCTTTGGTGACCTGCAATGACTGATTTATCGACTGACTTTTTACTCATTTTGGAAAAAAAAGTCAAAGGAATGAAAATCAAGAAAAATTTAAATTGTAAATTGTGTCAAAGAGAACATCTCTTGTTCAAGTTGCTGACTTTGTATTTTGCCAACATGTCTACAAATGCAATGCCGTTACATACCACTAAGTGTCCCTGTTGCAGCAGAGGTAGGGACTTGTGGGCAGGTGCTCTTATCTGAAAAGTGTGTCTGTCTGTTGAGAATCATTTCAGCTCTTTCAGATATATGTGTGGGTGTGAGTGTACATTTTTAAAGGCTTGTGAGTCTGTGTGTCTGTGCGAGTGTGTTTGCATCACATACAGCACTCTCTAACAGACAGGAACCTGCATCTGAGCTTTGTGGGCAGTCTGGTTAAAGCTGTTCATGCTTTGTCACTGTGAGCTGTATCCGCAATATCAGTAAAGAGTGTCTAAATACACGCCCAGTGTCGTGCTAAGCTATGTGTTCTGGCTTGCCCTCTGCATGTCACCGTTGCATCTTTCCCCCAGCCTGTCACTGTCGAGTCTGCACTATTCCAGTGACTCACTGCTGCAATAAATTCTCTGAAAGCCTGTTATGACTTATTACTACACAAGAGGCTGACAAAATAATTATAAATACATAGAGATAAATATTAAACACAGGCTGATTCATCATAATCACCTTTTTAACAGCCAGATTTTCTTTGCAAACCTCACTCAAAAGAGTGAGTAAACCCTCAATAATACTGAGCATGGCGTAAACACACATGTCAAAGTCAAAGGTTATCATGTTAACAGGTCTGCCTGAAGCTTTGGTTGTAAAATGAGAAGAAATGGTTCTGAGGGTGGAGTATTTTAATTAGCTTTTATCACCAAGTGACTCTGTCTTATGGTTGTTCTTCTAGGAATGACACAAAAAGGACAAAAATCATTCTTCTTTTGTGTTTCTTAAAAATATTAAATCAAGAGGCTGACAAGTATGTTAGCATCAACATACAGTAGATGGGTACTCGTGTGTTTCCAGGGTGATTGACGAGATTAAGCGTTTGGCATCAGCTGGTACACGCATCATATGCTGCAGGGAGTGTGGCCTGTTGCAGCGAATGTCAGAGAGAGAGGGTTTGGCCTATGTATGATCGGATTAAAAGACTGATAATAAGGCTTCTTTGTGTGATACTGCATTCTCGGAGACATGACCTCATCCCTGTCTTAGGCCCGGCCAGTGCACTGCAGTCACAACACACGCTGCTGCCAGCCTTGCCCAGATGGGCACCCAAATCTAATAGAGAGCCATTTGGAGCTATAAAGCTTTGGCTTATTGGAGAAAAAGAACCTAGTGGATGTCTAATCTCCCCTATCTTTATATCTCATCCAGCTCATCACACTAATCTGTCGTGCTGTCTTTTTCCACTTGCATTTAGTGTACCTCTGGCTCATCTAGCCCTGTCGTTCTCACTTTGAGCGTTCGTCGCAACTCCAAAGGACAAAGGTTTAAAAAGTTGGACTTCATTGCAACCAAGAGAGGAAGTCTATTATCTTATCCAGCAACAAGTTAAACAAACATGGTGTGTTAACTTGGCTGGTGAGGAAGGAGGTGAGGAGGTTGGGCTACGGGCGGTTGCCCAGATTTCCTGTTAAAGTGTTTTATGGTCTGTCCTGCACTATGGCCCCACCCGATCGATCGGCGGATGGATTGTAACGACACTCCCCGACCTCACGGCCAGAGTTATGCCCCTCGTGCTGACATATAGCTGATGAGGTCGGCCGAAAGGGGAAGAGCTTGTAGCTTTTCTGCACTGTGAAGGTGTAAGAGCTGACAAGTGATCGTGATGATAAATGGAGGCATTTCATCAGGAATGAAGTTTTCCAAGAATCGAGATTTAACAACAACCAAGAAATGCTGTACAATCCAGAATAAGAAGGCTGAAAACAGATCAGGAGGAGTCAGGATGAAGACTTTGTTAGACCTAGAGCTGGGCGATATGGGAAAAAGTTTATCACGATATATTTTTTTCATGCAGTCAATATCGATATATATCACAACATAAAAAGTTAAATTTAACAGTGCTTATTGGTAGCATGTCTTTTGCCATTCAATAAGCTACTTTATCTGTGAGGTCTTAGTGTCTCTTTGACGTTTTGTTGTAAGGTGTTATGCTAGAGAAAGTGGACTGAATGGTTGTCTGTTTCCACTGCACAGGCGCCATGAGCTCCTTGCTTCACTTGAGATTTCTAAACTTTTGCATTGCGCGTGCTCTGCCATGTGGCGCTGCTTCAGCTGCTGCTTTACTGACTTTGTGAGAACATGTACTCAACATAATTAACGGTGCACATTACTCTGCTTCATGCACCAGCTCAAAAAACCAAAATATCTCCACACCACTGATGTTTTCATGCCAGTGTTGTCAACGATGTCATCATCTGTTGAGCCTTCATCTGCATTTCTGCTGGGGGTAGCACTCATTTTCTTTTTTTCTCACTAACAGTGCTGTCAGCTTCACGTATTAAAGTGTTATGGTTGCATGTAGCTGCAGCCTGCGACGATGCAGTTGTTTGCTACTTGGTTTTACTTTAGCACGTGATTGGTTAAGCGCAAATTGTACCCGGAGCAACTCCCCTTTTCATTGGCTATTCGTATAGTCTACCAAAACATGGCAGAATGCTAACTATCGAAAAGCATATTGACCATGTTTTAAACTGATATTGGGGTAATTTGGTTTACGATATACTGTATATGGTTTACATTTTATCGCCCAGCCCTAGTTGGACCTATTGGAAACTGACTTTGGTGCCTTTTTCTTTGTTGACATATTTTAAAGAGAAAGAATAACTATAACATTAGTCATTACAGCTTTTTATACATAAATAATTTGAAAGTGTTTTTGTAGTCTCAGTAATCATGATCACACACTATTCAAACAACTTTTACAAATGTTACCCGGGATTTAATTCTTCTGATGTAATCCTTTTCAAATAAAGTATAAATCAATCTTCTGGCCTGTGTTTTCGTTTCTCCATTTGGTTAACATCAGTCTAATTGGTTGTATATGTCAGAACAAAACAAAAAAAAAATGAAACTTGCAGTTTTACTTGGTTGTTTTCTGTTATACATTTGTCTTTCACGTGTTCGGTTGAGTTATAAACCAGAATAAGAATGCAACAAAACATTAGCAAATGAATATGAGGAGGACTGACCCAAGAAAGCAAAGGGGAGGTAGTGGAGGATTTGATGAAAGGCAATAACGGGAGGCACAATCAACTCCATCTAGTAATGGCTACCACTGCAACCTCTGTGTATCTATAAATCTTTAACTCATTGTTGAACTGTCACTCTGGTCCAAAAGGGGAAGCAGGAGAGGGTGGGGGGTGGGGGTGGGGAGAAGAACAGATCTTGCAAGTCAAACAGAGGGACAGAATCGTACCTTTCACTTGCAGCTCTGCGTGGGCCGGGTTTGCGGGGATCACTGCAGACCTCAGAGTGGTCTGTACTGGGAAGTCTTTTAGCTGAAGGCTGCTTTTGTCTGGGGCTTGGATTCAGCGTGTCTTTCACTAAACACACAGATGGGATGTGGCAAGTAGTTATTTGCAAGTTTCTGTTTTCCACATCAGTTTTTTTTTCTGTATCAACTTGCCTAATGCTTCTTTTAAAGTCAACCAACTCCAAAAATCAACACCCTCTGCATTCAAATATTTCCTACAGATGTAAGATTACTTAAAGACTTTGGAGAACCAGCAGCATTAAATTAGACTCTTAGGCCCAACCACAGGGAATGTAAATCAGGTAAGTCAACAAGTGAACGGTTGCATTCATTTACTTTTGAGAAAACTGTTCCTGCACATGCGCCTTCACAGAATAATTACAGACATGGATAACAAAAGAACCATCTTATTTTTTCCAGCTTTTTATACACAACATAGATGATTAACTAATAATAATTATTTTGCTCTGTATCATTAATTCAGTGACCATGATCTTTATTTCGTATGTCTACCACTTTTTTTTCTCAATGGTTCAGCCTCTCATCTGTTTTTTTCTCCATCCATACCATCTGTTTTTCTCTCTACAGGAGGTAATGTAGTGAGAGATCCAGCTCGGAGAAGTCGTGCCCGTGCCCCTGCCAATCCCCTCTTTGTTTCCAGTGGGTCAGTGGGGGGTTTGGGAAAGGCCTTTAATGGATCCTCAGAGAGGCAGGGGGCTGGCAACTTCGGCTTCTGGTACCAAAAAAACATATTTATGGCATATGAGGATGTGAGAAATTAAGTAAGTCCACAAAAAGATCCTGTTATTTTGGTTACTTTTAATGTAAACATCTTTATGATTTAAATACTATTATTGCCACTAGAACAGGTGTGTGTCAGGGAACTTACATGGTCCAGAGGGGAGAGCCGAGTCCCTGAACTTGGCCTGGAGTCAGGAGCATCAAAATTTTGAGCATGGAGACTGTAAAGTGAAAAAAAGAAACGCAAATTCATCAAATTACAGGAGTTGCACATTTGAGCTCAGAGTTTGACAACAGAGAGTCATTTAAAATGTGTCTGTATCAAACCTAAAGGTTGATGGAGGCCGGTTATCACGACTTGCACGGGCAGAGCTCTGTCCAAACAGCTGCCTGTGCCCGTCTCTGGGAGTAAATGGTCGCTGGGTGGACTGGACTCGCAGAGACTGTCTTACTTCACTCACAATTTCTGCACTTGTCTTCCTCAAAGCATTACGCCGTGGATTGAAGGGGCAGCAAAAATCATGCTTTTTCTCCATAGAGGCCATGTGACATTTGCCAAGACAGTCAGGAAGTGACGTCAGTGATTTGATTTGATTATACAAGAAGTTACAGGGTGCCTCACTGAAAGGAAATAAAAGGAGATATCAAAACATAAAGATTCAAGATTTAAGATTAAAAAACCTCACTGTTCACTTCTCAGGGACAAATAATTACCTTCAGTTAGGGACTAAAAAACTAAAAAAATTTTGTGAGTCACTCTGGCAACTGGATAACACCACAAAAGAAATGATCAGGTTCAAATTGCCTCCCAGCAAAACTACAATGAGAAATAATTTTATAAAGGTAAAAATTTTGCACTTTATTATGTATAAATTATAAAATGATCAAAAAATGTACCTGCTGTAGTGAAGAAATTTTACAACTGCTTCAAGAGCTGTCATAAAAAGATATTTTCATTACCATGGGTGTGCTAATTACTCATCTCAATTAAACTGTAAAAACCTTAAGTCTATTTTAAATGTCCAAAATATTTTAAAGAATGCATACTAAAATTGTGGGAATACATTGTCATATTCCATTTTCCTGTTTGGGGAAACATTCATGCCTAAAGACCACTGGTCAACACCATTGATTCATTATGAAGATGAGTAGAATTTTGACTTTGTCAGCTTATTTGTACATTGATGTTTAAGTAATTTATCTAAATATCTGCATTTGATTTTAAAGGGCTGTAAAATGTTCTCTTTAAAAATCTTACTCAAAGAGATCTAGTGTGGAAGATCAACTATAATGGGCCAGGAACAGCAATTATTGTCCTCTGGAATACGTCAGGTTTCAAGTACAAAGTATAAAAAAAGTACACAGGCAAATATCAAATATCTTTGACTTGCTGTATATACTGTATGTAGTACTTGAGAAAATGCACTCTGCTACATCAACGACAGATAACAAGATTTTTATTTTACCTGACACACTGGTTATTGAATGTATTGAAGGGCTTGTTGGAGCCTGATTTATAACAATGACCTGAAATGTTATGAAAAAATCAATAAAGCCTAAAATCTAATAATTTGTCAATAATGTAACAAAAGTGTTGAGCCCAAAATGTTATTAGAAAAAAGTAATAAAACCCCAAATGTAACAAGTTGCTGCTACATTTCAGGCAAAAAGTTATCATATTTTAGGTTTTGTTACATTTTTTTAAATTACATTTTAGGTCATTGTTGTATATCGGGCTCTAACACGGCTCATTTGACGAGTAAACAAAACTGGGCCCTCATCCTATAACTGCAGTGAATTGTCACTTTGGATGTAAACCAACTAGTTGTAACATTTTGAACACCTGGGCATCTAATGCAACCCAATACATCAGCTCAAACATAAATTCCACTTTTACAAAACTTTTAAAGTTTCAGTATTTATTGACATGATTACACAGATTTGTTCTTTGGATTAGTGGGTCGGTCCTCTTCAATAATAATTACTGTATTAAGGACAAAAATAACCTGTCTGATCATGAAAACAAAAACACAAAAATGCGGAAGCTTCCTAAAAGTAGAACTTGTAGCAGAGATTATATTAGACGGCCCAGGTGTTCATACGACAGGTCCGCTAAAATGTAAATATTTCCTACAACATGGCTTTTTATGGATGTTAATGTCATTACTTAATCAATAAATGCTCATCGTTCAATTTCAATGTTCTTGTATTGTCTGGGTTCCTTATGGCTAGAAAAAGGCCTTCAATTCCGTTTTTACTGAGCTTTCTGTTTTTATTTGTCTTCTTCCATGTGCTCTACACAAAGCACTTTGTAAACGTCTGTTTTTTTAAAAAAGTGCTATACAAATAAAGTTATTATTATTATTATTATTATTATTATTATTATTATTATTAATTTTCAAGTGAAAGCGTAAAATTCTATCCTCCATCTACTTAAATTTGGAGAACCTGACTGCTCTATGTGAATGAATGAGGAGTCCCTCTGCGCGTTCCCGCGTCTCCATGGTGACCAAGTGCCGCTATGGTTAGCTGGACAACAAACAGAAGAAACAAAGCAAACAAAACCAGCATAGAAGACGAACTGACTGTTTTAATACGCACAGTGAGAGAACTTAAGAAACTCCTTAAGTGGTGTAAACTTTTATTCGACGGGAAGCAGAAAGTAAAACAGGAAGTGTATGCTGATATTGGGGTGATATGGATGACAACTGAACTACCAAACAGTTCGCAAAGAACCTAAAATCACTTACCGTTAACTCCGATAAAACGCTCCACAAGTCATTCCTAGGACAGCCTCCACCTCAAAGGTTATCCTCCATCCCCCAAAACGACACCAAACATCCATGGCACCCGAAACTTGTTTACAGCTCTTGAGTTTTGCAGCCTGCATGCAACAAGCTAGTTCGAGGTACAAGTGTGAACGCGCATCTGTGCAAGGCAGTGTCGCGCCAAACGGCGACGCGCATGGGGTTAAGAGGGGAAAAGTCAATATGAAAACTTCTGGCTACCGGTTTGTTCGATAACACAGTGAGGTGTTTCTCCAGCTTCCCACGGATAACGTGAGTAATCTTTACGTCAGATTCATCAGCCTATGCCTTACTAACCGTACTAAAGGACATAGGCAGAAGATAAAACGACTAAACTCCTACTGCTCAACTCATCTACAACTGCATTTTACTTTCAAAATCTGACTTTCAAACAACAAACACCACAACTCCTTTCTAAAATGCACGTGAAGCATAATGCTTAGTAAGTTAAAAAAAATGGCGAAATTCTTATTCAAAGGTATTAGCCCCCATTTGTAGAATGAACCGTTTTAAGAGTGACTTCTTAGCTGCGTGGTCCTACTCAGGGTTTTTGATCTTAAAGTTCATTTTCATGCAACAGTTCCCTAAATTTAAGACAATCTTTTCATGCTACCTTCTCTGCTTAAAGTTTAATACATGCTTCAATTCATTAGAGTATTAATGTTTGGCATTGCTAGAATTGAGAAACCTTTCAAATTTATCAGGTAACTGTAGCATAGAGTTCAAATAATCCTAAAAAAATGTGGTTTCATGCTAAGGCATTTTTTATGTGTAGCTATTACCTTTATTTCATTTTAGCAGGATGAAGGGAACTCTAAAGAACCAACACTGTTTGACTGCAGCTTAAAAAGGCTTGTTGTGCTTATTCATCTTTAAAAATTTTTTTTTATCTGAGAGTGTTAAAATACTTTTAATAATGTAAATGATTAATAATACCTTAAGACTGAAACAGCAATCATAAGCGTACACATTCATCAGATTTGATTTGATTGGATTACTTTTTTTTTATTACAAAAAATAAAATAAGATAATTCATATCCAAATTTAATGAATGCCAAAATTTATTTGCATGGCAGCACAGCAAAGATGAAGTAACATGGTTATTCTTAAAAAAAGAATTTACATCAGTACAAGAAATACAATAAGGGAGTGATACTTAAACATCAACATAGACATACACTGCATTTGTGCTCTCTCTAATCATTACACAACATATTCTATTAATATTGAAAAAATAATATCTATCATTTCCATTATTACTTAAAAGAGAACAAAGCAGTTCATTTAAAAAACAGTTTCTGTTACTGTATTGCCATAGCAATTTGCTGTTATTAAGAATGAATTCAAGACATACTTTGACAGGTCTCAGTAAGCTCGCTGTGTAGTAGTATGGTTATGACATGCAGGTTTGTGCAGTGTCTCTGTTGATTTAGGTTCGGGATTCAAAAGTCTCAAAGCAAAATCTGTATCGACTGAAACTGAAAAAGCCTAAAATAAGCTTCAGAGAGCAGCTTTGCATTTACAGTTGGCAGGACTAGTTGGACAACTTTAAAACAAGTATACATGTCAGTAATTTATCTGTATTATTCTAAAAAAATCTTCTACATTTGAAAGTAAATAGAGATAACATCCAGAACAAAGTATCTGCTTGAATTTCCAATATAAATTACTCAAATTCACGAAACCGTCATCTTCAAATTTCTGACTAGTGTTCCGATACCTTTACTCTGCGCTTCAGCTGTTCTAAAACTGTAGTAGGGAGCTGGGGTTGAGCTGCAGCCTACTTTCACTTCTCCTCACTGGCATGTGAAAAGCACACAGGTCAGTCTTTATAATCCTGTAATCCAGATAGCTTGTTCTATTGACATACATGTGGGTGCTCTGTGACATAGATTGATGTATGGGGAAAGAAGGGCTGGCAACATAAAAAGACAAAACAAAACAAGCACAGGTAGCTTTATTACATGGTGAAGTGAAAGTCACAAGACAAAAAAATGGCTCAATTCAGAAACTTTATCGAAACAGCATGCAGAAAAAAATATATCAAGCAGTTTTATGTTGGTAGTTTGCACATACCTCTCAAAAACTGCTCCATAAAGGAAATACTACAAAGTCACTGTCAGGTAAATCGTTTAATCTTGACCGATGTTACGTCCTGCATGCAACCCCTGTTCGAGTTGAGTGTAGGACATTCAGAATCATTCGCCATTTTGTAGAAAGTGTGACGTAGCAAAAAAAAAAAAAAAAGGGTGGACACAAAATGGCCACAGACTTACAATGTGTTCATCAGCGTGGTTGCACTCTCAAGTTTTGGAGTTGTTCCTTGGTGCAATGTTCCTTGTCCAGATGCAACATGACACACCAATGGCTTTCTGCTCCCCTGACACACATACGTAGATATACCAGAAGATGAAACGCCTCAAGCTCCTACCACGGCTGTCCATTTGTTCTGACCGTGCTATCTTCACTCCTCTCAAGCTTCGTGAAACATGCAACAAAATATCATTGGAGAAATGGAGCAGACTGTTCATAGATAAACTCAGGATTCAGAATGAGAGTGTGACGCAGAAGTTCATTCACGCCTCGCTCTGGGTCTCTTTGGCCGGTCTACATGGGCCGACCACTATGAACACCAATCAGGTCTTTGTGGATTTGCACACTCATCCACTCGTAACCCTTTACCCCCCTGTTTTTTTTAAATGATTCTTTCACAGTGAAATATACATCTGAACAATCTTGTGAGTCTCTGGTTGGATTTAAATAGCCTTACATGCTTCAGTCTCTTGGATACAGGGAACCTTATTGGCTGAGAGTGCATGCTGGGCAGGCCCAATCAGAGGGCATCACCATGGAGCTTTGCAGCCAATGGGAGGAGGGAGATGGTCTCTGTGATTTCATTGTCACTAAGGGAGGAGGAAACGTACTGACAGGCCAGTTGGCAGTGACATGGAAAGCAGTGGACCCTATTACAGCCAGACTCTGTATGTTTTAGACAACCTGTGGGGCCACACTGTGGGAGCTACACCGCCACATACACATGTAGTACACAAACACATACACATGCACACACACATACGTCACTGATGTCCCCCCTGCCCACGTCACAGGGATGAATGGGTTGATTTGTGAGAGCCATCGTCCTGCTTGAAGGTGGTGTGTCTCCTTGGTAACCAGCTCTGTCCCCGTCCAGGAGCTAAGACCCACAGGGTGCTCTCAGCTGGGGCTTCTTTACTCATCCTCATCTACCGCTTAGTCTTGCTGTGACCCCAGAAAGAGCTTCTTCTCCCTCTGCTTGTCAGCCTCTCCGCTGTTTTCTTCATTTCTCTAACAGAGTCTTTACCTTATTTGTTGTTTCATCCTTGCACATTTCTATTCATACTTAGGATGTAACAAGTTATTATTATTGCTAAATTGCAGAGTCATTTTTGATAAGTCAATAATATATTCACAGTGTCAGAAAATTAGAAACATTTCCAGAAATCTAAGAGAGCACTAAATGGGATTAAATAAGTATTTTTAATTTTATACGGACCAAAGTTATCAAAGATTTATTTTTCTAACAAGCAGCAAAACATGAAAAACTAAAATGAGAAACGTTGGTATTTTTGCAGGAAGACTGACTCACTCTTCATCACTGATTGAAAATGGCAGTGTTTAATTATTTTGGAAAGGTTACTTTGCACATCTATTATTCAGGACAAATGTGTTGTAGAGCAAGGTATCCAGCAAATAATTCAAAGGGAAACACCTGCACACTGTCCAATTGCGAAGAAAGATAACATTTATGAGCAATTTATTATTTTTGCTAACTTATCATTTCTCTGAGGTTTTTAATAATCATTGTTTTTTGTTTATTTTCAAGGCCCTCATCGGCAAACTCCCATTCTAAATATCAAACTTGTTGGAGTGTAACCCTCTCACATACATGACCCGCTCCTCCCACCATCAAAACTTCAAAAACCCTCGAGTTTAAAGTGAACTTGGAAAAACAAAATTGTTCTTTGATGCCCCAAACTCTTGGAATACCCTCCAACAAACTTGAAAAAAATTCGAGCTCTTCCCTCTCTTGCAGAGTTTAGGACTTTGATTTCGAAACATTTCATTTCAGATTGTACATGTTTCAATTGCTCCCATTGTTTTGTAAATTTTATATATGTTTGCTTGTTTCACTGTTGTAATCTTAATGGTATTGGAAACTAGGAAAACCTCAATGCCCCTTCGAGAATAAATAAAGGTTTGAAATTAAAATTGAAAATATACAGGAAATAAACAGTCTTCAAAACACACTCATGTAAGATTTCTGCTACCTGAAGCCTAACACACCAGCTTATTTTGTATTTAGGTGTGAAATACTATAACACCAGTCATATTTTATGTTACCAGTCATTTATTATTGCATATCTGTGACTTTCTGTTGTTTTTGTGTTGCTTTCATAAAGATTAATTTTCTCCCCTTTGTTGTTGCTTATCTATGAGCTTTATTTTCCAGCATTTGATGTTTGCTCAGGCTAATTACCATTTAAACTTTTCTCATGATTTAAGATTAATTTTTGGCTGCTAACTGTTTTAACTGGCCAGGGTGTGAGCCAAAAACTAGACTTTTGGGCAAGTGGGGCTTACTTATAACAATATTTATTAATAAGGACAATCCCTGCAAAGTCTGTAGGTCGATTGGGCAGTAGTTTAATTTGTCTTTCAGTCCAAGATGCAACAAATTGAACACATGGTTCAATAGTGTTTGGCATCCTAAAGCTCTGTGAGAGACGTCCTGTTTGAGTCAGCAGTCTTAGCTCATCTTGTGCATCTGCAAGCTTAAAGACAAAAAAAAACCTCATCCTGCTGACTTTAGACATTCAAACTGAAAGTGTTCATTTATTGTGAATATTTTATGCAAACTGTTTGAAAACAAGGTTGTTTTTTTAGCTGCTAAATTAAAACCTACCCCCCATTAGTTTCAGGCCTTAAAATTTACAATATAAAAATTGTCAATGTTGTCACTGATGGTCTTGTTTGCTATTGCAATCTTATAAAGCATCAATATGAAGTTCAGTCTGTTTGATGAATGTATAAACAAACTTTTAAGGTGAAAGGTCTCATATTATATAGCGGGTTCACACAGGTCTCAGCGGTCTACAGGTCTCTAAAACCCAGTTTTTTCCTGGACTTCAGCACAAGCCACGCCCCTCCTTGTCTCTCTGGAAGAGGGGGGCGTGGCTTTGCTACGGTACCATGTGCGGATGTCTACGCAGAGTTATAGGCTGGTAGAAGTGCTGTGGTCCAGCCACACCAGTTTGATCCAAAGTCTGACCCAGAAGGAGAGACTCCTGAAGAAATTCCAACTCTGTGGCTGCAGCAGGATGTTAATGAATGGTTAGTTACAAATATTATGTGTCTCGATATTCGTGTGTTGGTACACACTGACTTACATGTAGCTAGGTAACATTAGCTCCTGCTAACTGTTACATATCCGCAGTTTTCTTGTTACTCTGACCTCTTTTGTTGAATGCGCAATATTGTAAGTATAGTTATCGCTCATGACATTGTTCTTGCAGTCTACAGAAACAGACTTCTGTGCAGCCAACAACAGAGCAACTGCTGTGCCTTGCTCGTAACTTCGCCATTTTGAACCAACGTTTGCGAGGGAGAAAAATAGCGTCTGAGTGGAAATTTTCAGGGGGCAGAACAAACATTTTGGACAGGGTCACCAACTTGGAGGGGAGGAGTTATCGCCGTCCATGACGTCATGGAAGGCAAGAGTTTCAATTCACCCGTTTGAGCAGACATTTTCTTAAAGGTGGAACAAGCAAGAGAGGTTAGAACTTTCTCATTTGGGGGTTGTAGACAGGCTGGGGATGAATAGTATTGTTAGAAAACCATTCTTAATTGAACTTTGCATAATATGGGACCTTTAAACTTGAAAATTTATTTGTCATGTTTGAAAGAGAGGGCTGACATAAATGTAAGCACCAAATCCTGCTGTCTCAGTGCCCCAGAATAGAAAGTACTTTACATCTCTTCCTTTCTGTCTCTCAATGCATTTTCTGACTTATTAGTCAGCCCCCTCAAGCAGTAATGTAAGCAACCACTTGGCAAAGTTTAAAAGGCCAGTTGGTTGATGTTAGGATTTGACAGAAAGTAGCAGTCAGTCATTTTGGGGTTTTGCACTTAGTCAGCAGCAGCAGTTTGCTTCTTTCTGACAGACGTGACGCTGCTTGTGCTCATCAGCGAGTTCAAGGTTACAAATTCAGCTACATTCTTTGTCAGTAAGTCTATGATGAATTAGGTTCTTCATGGAAAATGTGCTGTCTTAAGCAGAGGACAGGTCAGTACACTGTGTATTCTGCATATTGTGTGGAGATAAAAAGATGCAACAGTAACTTCTTTCTGAGCACCAAGCAGTTTTTAACTTGATCAGTGCTGCTGTCAGCTTTATTGTGCAAGAAAAGTCTGGCAGTCAGTTAATCCTTTACACTCTCTACTCTGTCCATTAAATCATTTCCCTCTACAGTTTTTTTTTCTCTCCTGTAAAAGTAGAGCGGTCCACATTCATGTCATGAGATAGAAAGTCTTTCCACACTGTCTCATGGAGGCAGAGTTGGGCTGAATGCCAGACAGGGGAGTGAACTGACACTGAACACAGACATTCAAATAAAGCAGACATGCCAGGCAGGCTGTCTCCATCTTATCATTCATCGCTTTTTGTGTGCATGGAAAATAAAATATCTCACATGAACACACTCATATTACGCATGGACAGGCTTTGTCACCCAAGCATGGAGACAGACACCTGAAGATAGGGGCATGCAGGTGTGTAATGCACTTAGAAGCTTCACCATTAAACACAGATCAAAATAAAAGTAGTTTCATTTACAAGAGTCAACAATCATAGAAAGATGATTTTTTTATATACATCTTCAGTCTGACTGTGGAGGTGGGTTTAGTTTAGTTTAAGATGACACATGATAAAGACAATGCAATGCTTTACCCTTAATAAACACATGAGCAATAAAACAAACGAGTATTTCAAAAAACATTTAACTCATCCTGATAAATATGCATTGTAAGCCTTTTATTAAGGTGTAATAACTTATTTAGACCGTGCAAGGAACTGGTTTTTCATTTCTCCTGGAGATTACCATCGCCCTGACAGATCCCACTGAGCCATATCCATCTCATTTCGTACGCTAATCAAAATGCAGGCGACTCAGCCGTATCTTGATGGTCTGTTTCTATGAATAGCTAAGCTGGTTTGGGTGATGACCTGTCTGTGTTTCCCTGTGTCCCTCCTCCTTCATCACTGAAGGCCATCTGACCACTGAAGCTCAGTAAAACGCGCATTCATTGATATACCATAATAGGACAGACCTTTATTTTGCTGGATTTTTGTATCTGTGATTTTTTTTCTTCTCCCAAGCAGTGTTGTTAGGCCTGGAAAAAACCATTCAGTTTATCAAGTGAGCATCAAGGTCTGTGTGCTGCGCTCTCACAATGTCCTTTTTCAACAAGCGTACAAGGGCTGGGGAAGGCCACTGCTGCCCGCCTTGCTCCTTTACAGACTCAGTTCTTTTACAGGCTCTGGTTGAGTTAATCAGAGTCACCCTTACAGAGGCGCATCTGGGTGTCTTTCTGCAAATGCACAACAATTAATAACCTTCTCCTGCTTACCTGAGTGTCTTTCCTTACACAATGTTGTGACTCAATCAATGGTGCATCGCTCATTTTCATGGCAAGCCAAGAAAGTAATAAATGGCGTGTTAGCTTTTCCAACCCCATGGACATTTATAACATTTAGAAAATGTTGTATAGGAAAATTGTTTCACACCAGCTGTTTTTTTCTGCTTTTTTGTCATGCATAATTGGCTTTTATGAGTTTAGATGGAGTTATTTTGATGGATTGTGAAATATACAACAAATAGAAAGTAAATGAGATCATCAACAACAAGACTGACAATGTCTA